AACAAGATATTTGAATTCATATTTACTATATTCTTTACTTCTTTCCCAAATGATAATTTAATTAGTGTCATATGCGCATGATACTAATACAGTTTCTGATTAATTTAAACTTAATGTAGTAACTCCGTTCTAATGTTTATCCAACGTATAATCATATGTCAATTCATTTAGTTTAAGATCAACTTTCCAAATAATAATTGATTTATCTTCACTTCCAGAAAATAGCAAATCCTCATTTAAATTCAATATAGCGCATCTAATAAAACCTGTGTGTTTGTAATAAGGTTATGAATGAATCCATTAAACTTAATTCTATTATTGCCAACAGATTATAGTGTAGTCTAAAGCAACTGAAATAAAGGAATTCTATTGCTTACTATAAACTAAACATGATATCCAATCGGTATGTCCAACTAAAGTTGATGCTAATTATAGCTATCCATTTAAAAATTTCCATACTTTAATATCATTATCAGAGGTCGATACCATAATTGATCCAGTAATATCGAAGACAATTGCTCTACAAGTATCAACTTACTTAATACTTTAGTCAATTAACTTAAATCTGATTTCTCCTTCTTCTAAAATACCTTATTAATTCCCTATTTGGAGAAATTATTATTATTCACACTGATTAAGGTTTTAAGTACTTAAAATAGGGCTTTACAATATTTCTTTGCATTTATTATCTAAAAACTCGCTTAATTCCCTTAATCTAGATGTTAAATTTTTAGGCTAAAAATTATTAATTTTCATCATTTCTTTGGTTATTAATTATGCATTATCATCAGATTGAAATTAATTCAAAATTTTTGCTTCTAATTCATCATGAAAGCTATATTCGAAATCTTATTTGATTTATTATTCTAAATCCTTAATCCAATCCTTCAAAATATTATTTATTATTTCAAATAAATTAAATGCTTTTGTTCTCATCTCATCAACAATATTTATTAATTTTTCAATCGACTGTTTTTTATTCCTTACCATATTTTCTAATACTTATATCTTCTTTTCCTATTCTTCTTAAATTTGGGCAACAATCAATTTAATTCCAATTAATCTTTCATTTATATCTTAATTCTCAACACATTCTTAGCATAAGAGTCTCTAATTCTTCTATAACTTTGGATTAGGCCAAATTAAAATAGCTTCTTTCTTATGTCCATATGAGCATAAGAAATCTTTTTCATTTTCTTTCATTTTAACACTCATTTTGTAATTAAATTATATAATTTATGAGAAATAACTAGCATTATATTGTATTTAATAAATTAAGACAAAATATCCAAAACTGATAAATTGTATTTCTCTATTTATGTTTTAAAAATAATTTTAGGTATCTGCTATACTAATCAAATTACATAATCGCGTGTTGTTGTTATCTTTAATATGTATTAAAATATTATTTTGAATGGAATTTATTTTATTTTATCCTTAGTTCTTTTTAGCTGAAATCAATTTACATTGAAATTATTTCTTATATTATTTAAAACTGTATTTATAAGGACAAGCTGAATAAAATCACTTTTTATACAATTTTCCTAATAAATTGGGACTGTATTAATTCTCAAGAAAATCACTTATAATCCATAAAATTCTGATAAATTTGAAGAACCGAATTGATATGATGATTATTTGATTCAAGATTTTATTTATGATTTCGTGAAAAAAATGGTCATATATCAGATTGGTTTGTGAATTTGTTTACTATCTACTTAATGAAAAGTAGATGGATATCTTAAAAATATTAAAAGAACTAAAGCATCAGAGTTTATGCATCTCATCCGCTCTAAATGACGTTTAATATTATGGATTTGTATATTTTTAATCATATCAAATATACTTTTCTTTTTTATGGATCAAGCCATAGCAAATCTTAATCATGCATATCTTAAATGCACTTAAGATATTTTTGAAAACTTAATTCATTTAGTACTTTAGAATCTTGTAAATCAGACCAGATATGATCTATCTCAAAAACATCCACACAAAACTTAAAATATAAGTCAAACTAAAATACTTTATCATGTCTTAATCTTATTAATTTGTGAATTTCCTTGCATGATGCTCTACTTGGATTTTCATACGTAGCTTCATTAAGAAAATGATAAAAGTTTTTAGCTTTTTCGGATTTGTCATCTTGTTGAATAGAATTTTACTCATCCTCAGCTGTAATTGTCTATAAAATTCCAAATTCAATTTAATCGTATTGATCTTTACTACATGAAGTATTATTATCTTCAAATTTAACTTTATTCAAGTCAATTGAATATTATTCCTCTAGTTTTTCTATTTTTTAATTTGTTGTTTTAATCTCTTTCATATTATTTTTTTGAATTTCACAATTTTTTATTATTTCCTTATCAATTGAAAAATAACTACTACATATTACAGAATCTTAATCACATGATTCATCCGGCCAAATTTTCCATATATTATTATTATATTATGATATTTCTTCATTCTACAATTCATGATTCTTCCAATCTAGTTAGAACCTTAATTCTGATCTTGCTTATAATGCAATCATATCAAGAATAAAATTTTATTATACTACATTCTAAGATTGTAGTTTTTTGTCTTCATTTGTTATTGAGCTTCCATCATCCTTCTCTACCCTTTTAAATGCATTTTATTTTCCATTTTCCAATACTAATTCATTAATCAGTCGATCACAACAAACATCTTCTTTATCAAAGTTCGAAGATATACATATTTTTGATGCTTTCTTATTTGTTCCTTTACTGAGCTATTTGGCATTTCTAGCATTTTTTTCGTTCCCTCTTTACTTTTCTGAAGGTTTAATCTACTTTGAAAATGGTGTTTTCAAAATCTCCACTTATTTTCGAGTTCGATAGGATTTTGTATTTTGGTTTGCATTAACTTAATTATCAAGGTCTTAAACATGGAATTTTTGACCTTTTCTCAAGTTCTATTTGTTTTTGTTCATTTGAGTTTAATTTAATACTCAGTTTCTAAAGTATTCAAAAATTTAGCATATGCATATATAATCTGTTTAAGGATACTTAATTAATTGATTTTATTAATTGAAATTTATACATGAAAAAAACAAAGAAGTTGATAAAAACAACAATCAATTGTCCTTAAAAATATAAATCAAAACTCTTGTTACCCCTTATAAAAATGATGTCATTGATAAACATCAAAAATTGATGTTGAATTTAATCATAACTGATAAATTAGTATGTTAAATTTTATCAGGATACTTTAATCAATATTTTTGAGAAATTCATAAAATCTCGGTAAAAAACTTTTCTATATGAATTTTAATAAACATTTTATAAAAATAAGAAAAATGAAGTTGTATCAACATAACGATTCAAGTAAGAAACAATAATTAAATTACATTTTATGTGATTTTAAGCCATAACGGTTAATTTTATAATGGAGAATATTTATGAAATAATCTCTTCAAAATATTTTAAATTAGTTAAAGATAATTTGTTATATCATAACTAATATCTTGAAAAACAATGTTTCATGATTTGATACAAGTTAAAATATATTGAGTAAATATTTAAGCCTTTTTATTGAGATATTTCAACACCTTTATATTGCGAAAAAGAGATTTCTATTTTACTGATTCTATGAAAAGAAGATATGTTTAGGTATTTACTTTTCCTCTTATTAAGATACAAGAGAGAAGCACTGCGGTATATTGTGTTGACAGTCCATACATCATCAAAAAAATAATAAATAGACCAAAATTAATAAATGAGAATACTCATGAATATTTTATTATAAACCAAGCCAAAATCTATTAATTCGTCAAGATAACAAGGCAACTGTAGTGAAAAATAATTTAAGAAGAGAAAATCATAGTTATATTTCTCATTATTTTCATTTATACATTGCATATGAGAAACTTGATTTTCATAATAGCTAATCTCAATTGAAAAATATAAATGACACTACACAAATATTGATAATTAACAGAAAACGAATAATTTTGATGGATGTATATGAAATATATTAAGTTAAAACAAATATTTTAGATATTGAAAGGTGTTTTAGACTGAGGTATATTAATAAAAATCAAATAACAATTCTTTTTCCTAAATTTTCTTAGATTAATTGGTCATATTGTTGTTTTCTATCCAACATTATTTGTGTATATATATTTTTTCCTTCTTTGTGTTTCTTAGCTTCATCAGTTGAAAGAAGAATTACATTATTTGGGGTAATATCCTGCTCTTTAATAAATTGTATAAATTCTAAAGGTCTTGCTTTTTTATCTTTGAATTAGTAATACAATTATACTTTTCACTAAGCATTAACCATTATATGCTTTATAAATAACAACTAGATCCTCTATATCTAAATTTAGGTCTACTTTGTTTTTTTTAGCTTGCTGAGCTAGCAATTAAATCTATTGAATAAAATAAGGCATTTTGATATCATTTTAGCATAGAGTGGTTGGTGCACAACCAGCAATATCACATAAGACATATGCAGCTAATGAGTAGGCAAATAATGCTGGCATACATCCAAAAACAGGTACAATTCTTAGCCTATAATTAGGCATGACTCTATATTTGTCAGGATCATGTTTTTAATGTCTATTAATAATCATAAATAAAAATACTCTTATAATGGTAATAATTATCTATCTGTATCTTCAGTTGAATAAACAACATTGAATCCAGTTCGTATATCTATTTTTTTGAGCCTCATTCTTATTGCTCTTGCTAAATCATCATTTTATGATTCACTAATATCTCTTATCTACAATCTTGTTGGATCACATTTCATTCCAGCTCCACAGCAAACAATAATTTTGATTTAATTTTAAACACAATGAGTAATTAACGCAATTTTTGCATCAATATTGTCTATGCAATCTATTACATAATCAGGTTTGCCTTCTAAAAAAAAGCTTGCAACATTTTCAGGTGTGATGTAAGATTCAACGGTTGTTAATTTAATAGTTGGATTTAATTATGCAATAAAATCAGAAAATATCTCAACTTTAGATTTACCAACATCTTTTCTAGTAGCTATGGCATGCCTGTTTAAAGATGATAGAGTAACTCTATCAAAATCAATAATTGTAATCCTTTTAACTCCTGATCGAGATATGGCAGAAACTACGTGACTTCCTACTCCACCAACACCAAAAACCATTATATGGGCATTTTCAATTTTTGTTTGTGATTCACCAAAAAATTAAATATTCCTTACTAATTATTCTTATAAAAGTTGCTCCTCATCTTCTGAAGAATAATTTTTCTTTTATACATGGCTCTTTTGTTATTTCATATATTGATGTAATTTTAATCCTAGAAAAGCTAATGATGCGCCTCCAATAAATCCTGATAAGAAGGACCTTTTTAAATCCATAATTAAATAATTAAATTCAATTTAATAATAACTCATTAGAATTTGACAAAAAGGATTGATAAGAATATTCATCTTAATCAAGATTTTGATCTTTACAATATTTTTATAGCTGTTTTGTTAAAGCTTTTCTTTCTGATCGTTTTTTTACGAATTAATATAATTTTCTAAATTATACAGTGTCTAATTTTTCTATGTCTAATTGAAATTCTCCTTAAATCTTCACATTTAAATATTTTAAGATTTATCTCAATGAACTTGCAGAGAGCTTGTTTAATTTTTCATACAAATCCTTCTTTTCCTAATCACTTTAAGGTTGTTTATGTTTGATAATTATTTTATTTTTGATTTCCCCATTCAATAATTGTTGTAAATGTTTTTGCATCTATTCTTAACATTTTTTTTAAAGTGGTTCAAATAAACTTTTAAATTTTTATTCAAGTTCCTCAACTAATTTCATAGATTCAGAATGTGTTGACAAAATCTTACTTCTGCTAAATAATGAAGTTAGATCTTTATAAAATCTGGCGATGATATTTGTCCTATTTATAACTAATTTTATTTACATTTTGATTAGTTATTCATTTTTCATTTTTTTATATTATTCATCATTTTTCATGAATTATCTTGTAAATTATTTATTGAATGTAATTGTCATCTCCTTATTTGTCAGTTACTTATATTAGTCCGTTCTTTTTAAATCATCAAGGAGTTTTACACATTTATTTCTTTCCTCCTCTTAGATTGGATTAAGGCCATCACTATCTTATCTTTATTCACCTTTCTATTATTAAATTGATTATTACTCTCATTAAATAGTAATCAAATGGCAATCTAGTTTTAATATACGCCAACTACTCTTTTGTAAGTTCAAAAATCATTGTTTAAGTTTGGAATATTAATTTATAAAAAATTATTGATTCATTTTAATTTCATTTTGATAATAGCATTCATAAATATTGAATAAATTCTACCTATCAAAACCTAAAGCATACATCAGGCCCTAATGTTTCTGTTGTTGTCATCATGGTTTTTGTCTCTTTCTTATCTAAACAGATTTCTTGATTTAATCGGAACTTCTAATACTGCAATTACTTGAACTAATACAGGTAATCTAGAATCAATGTCAATTGTGACCTCGAATTTCATCAATTTTCTAGTATTCATCACTATTAATTCCTAATAANAAATATTCCTTACTAATTATTCTTATAAAAGTTGCTCCTCATCTTCTGAAGAATAATTTTTCTTTTATACATGGCTCTTTTGTTATTTCATATATTGATGTAATTTTAATCCTAGAAAAGCTAATGATGCGCCTCCAATAAATCCTGATAAGAAGGACCTTTTTAAATCCATAATTAAATAATTAAATTCAATTTAATAATAACTCATTAGAATTTGACAAAAAGGATTGATAAGAATATTCATCTTAATCAAGATTTTGATCTTTACAATATTTTTATAGCTGTTTTGTTAAAGCTTTTCTTTCTGATCGTTTTTTTACGAATTAATATAATTTTCTAAATTATACAGTGTCTAATTTTTCTATGTCTAATTGAAATTCTCCTTAAATCTTCACATTTAAATATTTTAAGATTTATCTCAATGAACTTGCAGAGAGCTTGTTTAATTTTTCATACAAATCCTTCTTTTCCTAATCACTTTAAGGTTGTTTATGTTTGATAATTATTTTATTTTTGATTTCCCCATTCAATAATTGTTGTAAATGTTTTTGCATCTATTCTTAACATTTTTTTTAAAGTGGTTCAAATAAACTTTTAAATTTTTATTCAAGTTCCTCAACTAATTTCATAGATTCAGAATGTGTTGACAAAATCTTACTTCTGCTAAATAATGAAGTTAGATCTTTATAAAATCTGGCGATGATATTTGTCCTATTTATAACTAATTTTATTTACATTTTGATTAGTTATTCATTTTTCATTTTTTTATATTATTCATCATTTTTCATGAATTATCTTGTAAATTATTTATTGAATGTAATTGTCATCTCCTTATTTGTCAGTTACTTATATTAGTCCGTTCTTTTTAAATCATCAAGGAGTTTTACACATTTATTTCTTTCCTCCTCTTAGATTGGATTAAGGCCATCACTATCTTATCTTTATTCACCTTTCTATTATTAAATTGATTATTACTCTCATTAAATAGTAATCAAATGGCAATCTAGTTTTAATATACGCCAACTACTCTTTTGTAAGTTCAAAAATCATTGTTTAAGTTTGGAATATTAATTTATAAAAAATTATTGATTCATTTTAATTTCATTTTGATAATAGCATTCATAAATATTGAATAAATTCTACCTATCAAAACCTAAAGCATACATCAGGCCCTAATGTTTCTGTTGTTGTCATCATGGTTTTTGTCTCTTTCTTATCTAAACAGATTTCTTGATTTAATCGGAACTTCTAATACTGCAATTACTTGAACTAATACAGGTAATCTAGAATCAATGTCAATTGTGACCTCGAATTTCATCAATTTTCTAGTATTCATCACTATTAATTCCTAATAATTTGATATTTAAATGCGTTTTTTCTACTCCAAACCAATTTGGCAATTCAATTTTTATTTAAGGTTGATTGGCTTACTAATTTGTTTTAATAATAAGATTCTCCATAAAAAATTTGAGTCTTTAACTTTCTTTCAATAAAGTAAATGCAATGCAATGAGTTGGATAGTTAAAATTATATCTGTTTGATGTCTTTTAGTTTGAACAATTGAAATTTGGATTTGCATTTTATAAGTTCGCTATATTCTGACTCATTCATTGAATCAAACTTTATAGAGATCTACAATAGAATGTTTTTATGTAGTTTTAAATTACTAATTCACAAACTTTAACCAATATTATTCCAAAGTATTCCTCATCAAAGAGAAAAATCACCAATTGCATGACTGATTTCCAATGTTCCAATCAATTGCTTATTTTCATTATTATTGGATATATTAACGGTAATTTGTATGCCATAACAAATTGTATTCTTTTTTGTGTATTGGTTTTAATAATCTTATCAATTAATTAAATGAGCTTTTGTTAATGATAGCTCTATAATTATATTTTGTATATAGGATTCCTATACATCTAGGTGACAGAATCTTGTCCTCAAACACATAGAAATAATGCTTAAAGTTTGAAGCAATAAGTGGTAATTATGATTATAAATCATCAATTTGGAACAATTAATCATATTTCAACATCATGTTCAATTTTTCAGAGTAAATCTTTGAAAGATAAATATTGAAAAGCAATTAACTAAATTTATTCTTAAGAAGGTTGATCATTTACTAGGTAAAAATGGGAATTCTTTGTTCATCCAATTCTTTGAGAATAATAGCAAATTAAATTTTTATTTGTCATCAAATCAATTAATTTCTGTTCTTTAGAAGCAAAATTTTCCATTTCTCTGACTCAAATCTTGTTCTTCATAATTTCTAATGTTTAATTTAGTTTATGATTCTTAATTGAGTCATTTTATTTTATTTCTACAATATAGTAATTTCTAAATTATAAGTTGAAATTCTCTTTTTTTATTTTTCACATTCTTTTCACTAAATCAATTAAGGATTTTCTAATAACCGAAATTTGAGCGGGATAATCACATTCTAAAATGATATCTCATCTTTATTCTAAATTTGCTACTTTCTAATTCAATTCACCACCCTACAATATCTACCTTGATTAAGCTCTTTTTATCCAAGTTCTAATTTTCTTAAAGAAGTTTTTCCAATTCTTTTGACATTAATTAGATAGTTTCCATCACTTTCTAAATATTAGTACAATTTAGTTATGTAACCATTGAAAATGGAAATTAAAACAATATGAATTGGTGAATTATCAGTACTTGAGTTGCTTTTAGGAGAAATCATGGATTGACTTTAACTAGATTCGAATAGCAAATTGGTTAATTTTCTATGCATATTTGATTTACGAGAATAGTAATTGAAATTAATTTTAAAGAATTTATAATATTCAAAAAATATTCATAATTTTTAATTTTCTAAAATAAGCTAGATAAAAAAGTTATTTTAAGAGCAAATTATGAATTATTAAATGACCATCAACTAATTCGAATAATTATATCTTTAAATAAAAATTAGATATTTTAGAATTGTTTAATTGATTTTAACAGAATAGAATAATAATAATTTTAATAAGAATACACATGCTCATTTCATTCATATACATATTCATACTCATACTCACCATCTCCTTATTCATCTTGAGTTTATTATTATTCCTACTCTGCAATAATGTTTTCAAGGTATTCTTTAAATTGTTAACTGGATTGAGTGAACTCTTTTGCAAATTAGTCGTCTTCAACTGCAGCCATTTGATTTTGATAGTTTAAAATTACCTACTCACTTAGTATTTAATGCTTGTATGACAATTATAAGAATTAGTTCAAATGATATTGCTAATTTTATCTACAAAATGTCTCTATTGATTTAATATAACACAAAACCTCAGTTTCACTGACAAACCTGACTATAAATTCCTCCCATAATGCATATGCATTTTTAAGGGAATCAATATCTGGTTAGATTGTATCCAAAAATGCTGCCATAAAAGCGATAACAATATTCTCAAAAGCAATATTAGAATTCACTTTAATTGTATCGACATTAATAATTGCTTGCCTAACTTAACTCACAGTTTAACATTTAGCTACAATATCTATCATATCTTCTTTTAATCCTTAATCATCATTTTCTTTTGGCTTTTTTTGGTGCAATTCATGTGAATCAGATTCTTCATCAGAATCCTCAGACTGAAAAGTGTTGTCATCATATTTTTAAAAGTTGGACAATTATTTTACATTTTTTTGATTTTCCATTGTAACAATTTGCGATTGAATAGAATTCTTTATTTTGCATCCTGACGCAACAATACAATCTTTTATAATAACATTATCATCAATTTCAATATTATCCCATAAGATACTATTGATGATTTCACAACCAATTCCTAATTTGCAATTTTTCCCAATTATTGATTTTGTAATAGTGACCTTTGGTTTAACATCTGTGTTTTATCCAATAAAACATTAATCACTTATTTTAGCTTTCTAGTCCACTCTGCCTGCAAAATATTTAAAAAAGTCAACGTAGTACTATTATTAGGGACAATAAGGAAAAAAGAATCTACTTAAGTATTTAAGACAAGCATTATGAAATGATTGGGGATGGAATATTCTTTGAGATACTTGGATTTTAGGTGCAATGTATAAATGTATCTTTTCTTCCTAGATATCACTTGTGGTTGTCATATATTTTATAAAGTCTTCTTTGATTTCTGCCCACATAAAATTTTCTTGGAAACTCTTGAGGACATCTCGGTTACAAATATAGATTCCAGATTCAATAAGATTACTTCTAATCACATATTTGCAAGGCATTCCCTTAGTCAGTGTGATATGTTCTTAATAATATGATAAAATATACTTTTGTTAAATTTGATTTACTTTTATTGTAAATCTATTAATTAGAAGAGTTTATCATCACTTTCCAATACATAAAGAAATCTTTCTTCTTCATATTATTATGTTCCTTAATGAGCAACCATCAGTAATATATTCATTTTATCTTCTTTTCTTTAATCATGATATTTATTGATAACATCTTTCAAAGAAATATTTGTTATCACATCACCAAATAATAACAAAAAATCCTATTAAATAATCCCGTGACTGTATAATTCTCTTAATGCATCTCCGGAACTTTTGCTATCTAAAATATTTATCAATTAAATATTTTATGTCTTCCTACCAAGTCTCTTTCTATTATTAAAATATTCAGCAATCTTTTCATTTCTATAAAGTATAATAATTTGATCAATTTCATTTTTTGATAGCCAATTAATTTAATGTTCAATAATTAAATCATCTACAAATGGAAATAAACTCTATATGGAGAAAAATTTATTACTTTCGGCAAAGTGTTTGTTAGATGATTAAATTGGTTGTCATAATTATCAGCAAGGATAACAGCGTAAAACTCAGACATTATTTTATTTATTAAAGAATTTAAATATAGACAAGAATAATTTATATATATATTTTTAATTAATTAAATAAATGAGTAAACAAGACGAGGAATCAAAATTATAATTAATCGAATCCGCCTTTGAATGCAATATATGTTTAGAGATAGCTACTGAACCAATCCTTACAAATTGTGGACATCTATTTTGTTGGCCTTGCATCTTTAGTGTATATATATATATTATTGAATAATTAGTGGCTAAATTCAAACCAAGAATTTCTAACTTGTCCTGTTTGTAAGAATGGTTGCTCTAAGAATTCTTTAATTCCTTTATATTCGAAGGATGAAGCAAAAACTAAGTATTTTCAATCAAGTAAATTAGTAAACCACGCGATCCTAATATTCCTCCTAGACCTAAACCAGGTAGAAACGATCCTGTTAGGAACAACAACCAAATTGGCTAAAATAACTTAGCCAATGGAGCAATGATTGCAGGCTATGGATTGTTTCCATCTCTATTTAATTTAATTTGTATTAAAGATGGAGATATAGAAAAAGATGAGAGGCATGAAAGTAAATATTGACCTGGATATATTTTAGATGAAGCAACTGTGGAAATCGAAAATGTGAGAAAATTAAAGGCTATTTAGTTTTTGTTGATTTTATGCTTAATTATGATGATTGTATTCTACTTTTGATCAATCAAATCTATTAATATCATTCAATAATTTATAACTATTAATTTTGTAGTCTCTCTTATTTACCAATCAATCAGTAATATAAACTAAAAGAATTCAAAATAAATGTTTTTTCAAAGAAATATTATCTGAACTTTTTCGAGACCAGCTACAAAAGGTTTATAATCTCTAATTTTAGTGTTATCTAGTATTTGAAATACATCTTGTCTAGCTAATTAATTTAATATAATTATTAGTATTTTCATTTTCAAAGTATTTCTCTTAAGATGTAATAAATCTCCTCCTCCTGTTTGATTAATCAGGTTTACGTATTTGTTTCACATTTAACTACTTAATGTTGATAATTAGAGGAGGATAGTCTATTGAAGATGGATTCATCATTTTTGGAATTTTTTCAGGCTTTGCCTTAAAATAATTATTTTTAGTGACATTGCTATTTTATATTGATCGTTTTTCTTAATCCATAAATTTTATTTATTATGTTTTATTTAGATTTTATTATAAAATCAGCTCTTCTGTCTTATTAGACTCTATAAAATTAAATTAATTGAGGATATTTTCAATTGTATTGTTAACTTTTTTCGGACTGAGTTCTTTTTATTTCCTTGATTCAATTAATAATTTGCAATTTAAACGATATTTATTAACATTTTACATCTGATTTTGTTTATTTCAATAATTTTTATTAAATAAAGTATTTTTTAATAACCAAATCGAATTACAAGAGAAATAATTTTAGATTACCAATCTTAAATTATTGAGCAATCATGGGCATAAAAGATACAGCAGATTTTATGAATTTTGATTTTGAGTTGCTCTAAAATGAATAAATTAAATCACTTGTGAATCTTAAATAAAATCTAAAATATAGAAAAAGATTGTTGTTCTGAAATCACATTTACTTTCTCCCAAAATTCACCTATTTTCCAAAAGATATAAATATTTAGAATATCATTTCCTAAAAAATCCATCATACATGTTTTTGATAATAAAAAATTAAGATAATAATCAATACTAATTTTTGTAATTTAGAGATTAGGTGAGAAGAACATATTTTTAAAACTTCTATCAATAGAATCATTTTTAAATGGATTATATCCTTAATAAAATAAATCAATTGGTTTTTCTAATCTAAACTTTTATTCAAATGATCATATCAGACTATTTTTCATCCTAATATGATATTTTCTACAAACTGAGATTGATCTAGGATGATTTATAAATCTAGCATTTAATTTAGCTTTATTTTATAATACCTCTTTTACTTTTATTTTTGTCATTGATTGTTGTTTAATTTATTCGTAAAGCTGTTCCTAAAAATGAAATGAAATATTGAATCCTTATCAGTACATTCTCTATTTGATCACTTTTGAAATTCTCTGCATTTTTCTGACCTCTTCATATTTATTACACTATTTAATGTTTCCAAACATTTTTTTTTATCTTTGTTCATTCATTAAATAGTAGGATTCTACAAAAATTATCGGTAATTTAGTATTCTATTATCAAATATATGTTTTTATGAATTTAAGAGGATTTCACAAAATATCATCATTCTAAATTTTTGATGGCTTAATTTTTTTATGTAAATAAATATTCGGATTTCTAGAGTTGATATTTTATTGATAAAATAAAATGATATTCATTTTCTATAATCATCATTAAATAGAACCATTTTCGATTGCATTTTACTCTGAAATCTCACAATCTTCCAGAAAACCAGATAAGTTTTTCAATTAAGCAAAAGTTTCTAAATTATTTTACAAATTAACCAAAGCCTTTGTTAAGCTTTCGTTTTTGTATTATAATTGTTGCTACAATTATTAAAAATTTACATTCCTCTACTTCTAATACTAAATCTAAATCTCCCCTTCTTAATGTACTCTCTTCACTAACTATCGTAGATCTTAAATCTAAAATTATTAAAATGATTTACTTCATTAATTAATTCTTAGTGTTTGTTTTCTAATTTATTAAGTTATGATTAAAGCTCTGTATTTTCATTTTTTAGCTTTGTATTCTCCATTTAAAGCGATTTCTCCTTCTATTGAAATTAGATTGGCACATTCGATAATGCCTAGATTATCAGTTATTGCTTTAAATATTGAAACAAGATCTACATTAGTAAGTGACAATTCTTCTTGATTGTCAGAAGTTTCATGACTATATGCACAAGTTAACATAATTAAAATATTATTAAGGACTTATTAATTAAACAATCAATTAATTATTGAGAATTTAAGTTCATTCATAAATCTTAAGGATAGATATTTAAATCTATATCAAGGAAATATATTGCCTTCTAAAGTCAGATTAATTATAACTGAAAAGTTAATGACATGAAATTTTATTTTATAGATGTGTTCAATAATTATGCTATTGCATTATTTTTTATAAATAAAAATTTGAATGAAAATAAGTTTAAGACTTACTTTTTGAAATAAGACTAAATAAACTGATGATTTATTGAACTGTTTATAGAGTAAACATAAGCGATCACATATCACAGGAGAAAAATCAAATTATCATTTTTTAAATTACTTTTATTATCGATAATAAAAGCTCAACAATCAAAAATACAAAAAATTGATCTTAAATTTAATTCAGTTGATTACTTACTACAATTAAAATATCATTTTCATAATTTAGTGCTTACAAATCAGTTCAACATGTGAGAAGCAAGATTTAAAGATTAATTACCATTTCAATAAGAATAAAATTGATATCAAATGGTTGTTACCTTTTACTATTTCACTTCTTAGCTGAATTGGTAATTAATAAGGTAAAACCCTATTACTGAGAAATGAATTTTGTATCAGGACTTGTGTGGCAATATTTGAAACTATTAAATGAGCTTTTTCGAGGACTTATACTTGGAAGATTCTAAATAAGTTTTTCAACAGTTCTGCTTTTTTGAAATTTGAGGCTGTTCTGAATTTGGTATAAATTTATACGTACCTTAAGATTTATAGATCAATTGTATTATGGAAAAAATTCGAGTTATTATAGAAATTTTATGTTTAATATAATGTCATTGCTTCAACATTAATGTCTTAAGTTTGCTGCTATTATTATAATTAAATTCTGTACTATCTCTAATATTTTTCCTTATTTTTATTTGGCTTCCATCCTCAATTTTCTTCCTTCTTTTATTGCAACACAACATAATGTTATAATATTTGTTTTTAATATAATTTTATAAGTTGATATAATTCAAACTACAAATTAATTAATCAAATAATAAAAAAATGTACTTTAGAATATTCTAATCAAACAAATAGTCAACTTTTATAAGGAAGAAGATAAATTATGAATCAATCAATGATTTATTATAAGCCTTATCTTAAATTAATAAAATAATAAAAGTTAGATTTAGAAAATGACATACTATAATATGATTTTTCAAACTGTACTTTACATTTTCTATTTTATAAATTTAATGCATTCTGTTTCATCTGGCGGTAAAAAGACGAGAGGTAATTTATAATTATTCAAGCAATAGTAAAACAATAGAGCTTAGAAGTTGTAATCATTAATCTTGCCTTTTTCATACCTAAAGATGCTTTTTATTTGTTTTTCATTTTCTTCTGATAGTATTTACTGATTTAAATTAAGCTCTTTTATTCTCTTGAACTTATCCTCACTGATTAAGCATTCATAATTAATTCTATTTATTATTAAATTCATACATAACCTCATGAATGTACTATTTTATGACATCGATAACTTTTATGGGCCTTTAGCTAATTTTACTTTGAAAACAATGTTCAGTTTACACTCGTTCTCTCTAAGTTTAAGGTTCTAAATTTTTCTTCTGCAAGGAAATGTTGGTGCTAAACTGTTTTATTTAAGTTTTACTTCTGGCTTCCAATAAGTTATGATTTATTTACAGGAGTATTTAAAAAAATTTAGCTTTAAGTTGGTGATCGAAATTTCAAATTATCTTTTTGATTATTTGTAATATTAATATTTTAAGTGGGTATTTTTTGATAATTTATGTTTTTTGCAGCCTCTTTGGTTTAATCATTGTCAATTTTAGTGAAAAGATTTGCTTAAGACTTGCAATTATTGAATGCATATATTTGCTATTTTTTATTATTATCTTATACTTTTTGGTTGGTAGGCATTACTTTGGTTGGAAGCACTGCACATAGCTACTTAGGTGAAATTTAAATCACTTAATTTAGATCAGGAAAAGAAATTCTGTTTTAAGGGTAGTATTAGATCATATTCTCAGTTAAGTCTACCAAAATTTTGCAGCGATTTGTATTTTACATTTTGAATGGAAACTTCTCAATTTATTTTTTGAATTCTGCTACTTTCTTTTCAACAAATGGCAATTCGCCATTCATCATTTAATGAAGTATTAATCCAAGCTAAATTTATAGGAGGCATATACAGCATAAATGTCGCGTTTGCTTTAAGGGTTAGGATCATTTATATCTATTAGGCTAGTTGTACCCTCCTGTTTAGGGCCTCCATTTAGTTCTGGTGGGGCATAAATAGGAGTACCAATCTAAGTCATAAACATAGAATTTGAACTACAAACTTTACTAATCCCAAAATCAGTTAACTTATAAATCAGTTACCCCTTTTGAGAACTTATCAAAATATTTTCTGGTTTGATATCTCGATGAAGTATTTTAAGATTATATAAAATCTAATATCCTGATAAAAACTATTTTAAAAAATCCCAAATTTCCTCATCAGAAAACTAATCTTTTTCATTTTTTCTCCTATTTATTTCCTCTTTCAAGGTACTCTGACATTTTTCCATTATTATGATTAAAGATTGTGTTGAATCATCGAATCCATAATATTCAAGTTTCACTAAATTTGTATTTTTATGTTAAAATAACTTTGAAAGAATAGCATTCTATTTTTAAAAGTCCTCAAGAGTCATTTTTTATACAATCTAATTGAATAAAGATGTACTTTTGCACATAAATTCTTGTCCTTTTTATAAACATCAACGCAATGATATATTTCTCCTTCAGAACCCTTTGCGATTATAATTTTTTTATCAATCTCATATTAACCAATTTTCATCTAAATAAATATAAGTCTGAATTACAAATAGTAATTCACTTAAATAACCAAAAATTTCTCTTAATTCTATTAATATTAATATGAAATAATTAATTAATAATTATGGAATCAATTTTGCAGATCATAAGATTTAATTCTTAAATTCAGATCTAAATTATTTTGTCAATGATATCTAATTAAATTGATTATAATTATACGACAAGGTTCTAATTAACTTTGAACACTGTAATGATCGCTCATATTATCTGCATACTATTATAATGTTATTAATCATTCAAATCTGAGATGGATAAAATGATATACTATTTTAACTGAGAAAATATTAAATTAGCATATGGTTCGAAAGATATTGATAGTATGTATAAACTGAAGTTCAAAGAGAAACCTATAATATACATTAACTGAGAATCAATGTTTTAGGAATCGATCTAAATTTAATCAATTGTATTGTAAAACCTACTTTATTATTCATTTAAATATAAATTTATATATATTTCATTAAGGATATTGGAATGGGTACATGTGGAGGTCAACCCAAAAAAGTAAAGTTGTATAATATACCACGGTCATTAGAGGGAAAATGTAAGCTTTTATAGTTATGCAAGTTCTTCCAAAAGAAATTGATTTATTATTCTTGATATATAGCGATCTAAATTCTAGAAATGTTGAAAATTTAGTAAATAAAACAGCTTTTACAGATTTTTTTACAATGATTGGTTTATGGGGTGATCTAGTTTTTGATTATTTTAATAAAGACGATGAAAACGAAAATCTCATCAACTTCGAATAGTTCTTAAAGGGTGTAGCATATTTTATAAAATGTGATGAAGAGTAAAAAATTGATCATCTTTTTAAATTGTACGATTTGGAAAATATTGGAATAATAAAGAAGGCCGAGTTCCTTCAAATGGTAATTAGCTTTTCTAAATCAAGCTATAAAATTACCCAAGAGAAGATTTAATCCGATTGTTAGATGATCCAATGTTCTTAGAGGATCTTAAGATTCTTAAGTATTATGAGAAAAAAGAAAAAATAAACTAAAAAAAGGCTCAGCCATTAAAAGCTGACGAGTAAGAATTTACTGAATCAGGTAAATATTAAATTAAGATAATAGTTCATGCATTATAAAGAAGAGGATCCTAATAAAGCGGCGAGATCAAATCACTTTCTAGATAATAATCAGTTGATTGTCAATCATATTAATCCAGTCTTCCTAATTTTAATGAACAAAGTGTTGTTATGATGTTTCCAAATGAAAGTTTAGTTGGACCAAATGGAGTTCCAATGGGTTAGTTTGGATAAAATATATCATTTCAAATAAATGGGAAATTAGTTGAACTAAAAAGAGTAAATGTGAATTACTTAGTACGCAAATATGTAGATATGATATACAAAAATAAGGGAAAACAAGAAGAAGAGTAATTTACTTTATTATGTAGATTATCAATTGAAGAATTTAAATAGTTCGTCAAGTTGCATCCAAAAATATTTGATGGACTTTACAAGGCATTTAATTATGATATTTGGGGAGTCAATAGCAGTACTCTAGTACCTTTGTTCGTGACAGTTTAAAAAGATTTAGAAGGATAATTAAAAAAGGTTAGTAGGAAAAATCCAAAATAGGTGAAGGATAGATATTTTAAACTTATTTAGAGATTTTGCCTTTCTTATAAAAAACTTGATTAGGCAATTCCTTCAAGTAAGAAAGAATTAACAAACTTAATCTAGAGATATTTTGTTTAGATGGTTTGACAATCCAAGAAATAGTGAATAGCCAAGAGTAAATATATGGATTTGAGATTTCGCATAAAGATAAAGTATACCCTTAAAGATTGTACTATTGTAAAGACTTTGAGGATTTTAAGAAATGGACAAACAGCTTATAAATGTTTTAGAAGTATTTTTATATCTGAAATAGGGCATCAGTGAATGATTATTATTCTATACTATAAAAGATAGGAGAAGGTAAATTTTCTATTGTTTATCTTTGCGAAGACAAGAAAACAAAGTAATAATTGGCAATGAAGATCATTGAAAAATTTAAATTGTCAAAATAAGAAAAATTGATGTTAGCGTATAATTTAAGATTTTATGAAAAATAGGCATGAAGTTGAAATAATGAAATTATTGAATCACTCGTGCATCATCAGATTTGTTGAGATAATAGAAACAAAGACGCATTTAAATATCATTACGGAGGTAGTTAGGGATGGAGACCTATTTGATTACATTACTAATAATGAAAATTTGAATGAATAGGAAGCTTCTTTAATTCTGAGTTAATTGTTTGACACAATTAATTATGTTCATAGTGTTGGAATAGTACATAGAGATTTGAAACCTGAAAATATAATGATTGTTCTTGATTAAATTACAAAGACTGTAAAACAAGTCAAAATTATCGATTTTGGATTTGCAAACTTTTTAACTAACATATAGAATAAAGAAGGTGAGGCTTTATGTGGAACAACTAATTATTTAGCTCCTGAAACTTTATCCTAAAAAAGGATTGATTTCAAAGTTGATAATTTTGCTTTGGGAGTTATTCTTTATTTTTTACTATCAGGTATAATAATCTTATTAATTTAAGGATTCCTGCCTTTTGATGCTCCTTTTCCTGAAGATATAATTAAGAATATCTTAGATGGCATTTATGATTTAGACGATAATTTTTGGTAACAAATATCAGCTGATGCAAAAGATTTGATCACAAAATTGTTAAATAAAGATCCAGATGAGAGAATATCTTTGGATGATGCATTAAATCATCCTTGGATCAAAGTATTGGATTATGTTGATTAATATAGAATCGGTCTACATTGTAAACTAAAAAAGTATAAAGACAGAAATAGAGATTAGGATTATTTTGAAAGCTTTTAATTATTAAGATTGAATAATAATATAAATATATTAAAATACTTGATATTTCAAATTAGGAATTTGTTTTTAATTTTTTATTTATTTGAGGTTCTATATACATTAAATTTAATCATTTATGGGCTTATAAAAAACTAGTTGAGCTATTCATAGTCCAACGATTAAGAGAGCTTCTTGATTCATCTATTTTGATGCACTTTTCTATTTTTGGTAATTAAAAGCGAACTTTAAATTGAGCCTTTTTTTCAGATTCAACGAATGAGTTATCTTTGCATTTTTAAGGTCTTGATTAACTAAAGTGTTTTTTATTGTTTCTTTGAGTGGAAGGTATAACAAGTGTGGTTGGTTAGAGAAATTATGAATATTCATTAACATATAATTATGGCATAGCTCTATAATCTATGCTTGAGGAAAGCTTTGCTTTTTTTAATGGTATATCTTAGACTTGAATTCTATTTAAGAATAGAGCAGGATAATTCTAATTTAAAATAGGAGATAGTTTTCTTTCTATTTTTAATCTTGTTTGCTTAATTGGTTAAGTATTTATATTTAAAGGTTCAAAATGCAGTAGCCTCATCTTAAATTCGATATTCTCAGTATGGATTTTAGAATTTTAGTTTTGAAAAGGTGAGAAACTGCTGAGTACATTGTTCATTACGTAATTATTGTTAAAATATTTATACTGAATTTGGACTGTTTAATAAATAGATTCTTAATTTGTAATTGAATATTGATGGATTTTACGAAGTTGATATTTATATAATTTCTTCTAAACAATTATTAATGTAATTGTGAGGATAGAGAAGCCGAGATTCATCAATTAAATAATAAATATAAATATGAGACCTGATTTTTTCATGGAAAAGAATATAAGAATACTGGAGAAGATAGGGGAGGGAGCCTTTGGTTAAGTGTATAAGGGTTTATACAAGAATGAGGAAGTGGCAATTAAGGTAAAATTGATTCGAATTTTCAGTTCTTGTAAGGTGCATAAATTCAGGAAACTTCAATCATGGAAAATCTGTAGCATAAGAATATCATAAATTTTTTTTAGTTTGTTTCATTTTATATGGTTTAAGTATTTCAAACAAGGGAATTGCTAATATTTGGTGATGGAATATGCAGCTGGAGGTTCATTGAAAGATTTGATGAAACAAAGTTTAGATGAGTTGACGTTAGATCATGGAATCTATTTTTACAGGAATCGAATATCTTCATTCTAAGTAGATTATACATCGAGATATCAATCCTGGTATTTTAACATAACTCATTTAGATAATATCTTAATTAAAAACGCAGAAGATCTTTCGAGCATCAAGATTGCTGACTTTGGTTTAAGTTATCAATACAAACCAGAAATTCGTTATTATTAGACTGTTTCAAAATAGTGTGGAACCTTTATATTTATGGCACCAGAATAAATATTAAACAAAACTTATAACAAGGCTGTTGATATGTGGTCTTGTGGTATCGTACTTTATATGCTATTGAATCAAGGGAAACATCCATTTTATCCAAGGATTTTCACTAAAAAAGAATTTATCAACAGTTTTCCAGATCTGAAATACGAATAACCCTTGCATACATCTCCTCTTGCAAGGGATCTCTTATAAAGATTGTTATAAAATGATTAAGATTCTCGATATACTGCTGCCTAAGCGTTAGTTCATCCATGGATAACTCGAAAATTTAATGATCCAATCCCAATGAGTGTTAAACAATTCGGAATTTGTTAAGAATAAAAAAAAAAAGTATTATATATAATTAATATAGAGTTTTTAATTAATATCATCAGTTTTGTTTATAATTTATTTACAGCAACTATCAATTAAACAATCACCAATTCAATCCAAAAAGGATCTAAGCGAATTTCAAATTTAAATTGATTAATCTGAAGAAGATAAATATGAAAAACCATAATATCTAGAGAACAATATACCTAAAAACTAATAATTACCATTTCAGTTATCAATAACCAGACCTACCAAAATATTCAAAACCTATAGAACTCTAAACAAAATACCCTCAAAAGAAAAGTATTATCTATTAAATACAATTCTTAATCAAAAAAATGATTCTAGTCAAGAATTAAACATGTTCAAATTTAATTAACAATATGTATTGATAATGAAAAAAGAATCATTCACATTGATCCAGATTCCCCTAAGAAAAATCCAAAAAACATTTAACCAAGTAAAATACTTCTTCCAGCACTATCAGAATAGACCCAGACTTCTCTAAGCCCTTCGAAATAAAAATTAACGAAAGCCCCTAATTTAAAACATAACTCATTTCGGAAAACAGGATGTTCTTTTTTTCTAGGATTAAATCGAATTAATAATAATTCAGTCTAAGAATCAGAAACATTAAGAAGTAAAGAAGACATTCATGATAAAGGGTCAATTATTAATACTCAAAGGTCAACTGTCAAATAATAAAGTAATTAATTTAGTAGTATTTTTAAATCGTAAAATAAAACCGTAGAACAATCTTTTTATACAGAAAAAATATTAATCTGATAAAAGTATAATTATGAATAAATTCAAACTTTGTTCATTTTAATCTTTCTATTAAGCATCATATCCATATTTCCAATCGCCATTTAATTTTTCTTTAAATTTCCAGCATTAAAAAATGAAAAATTCTATAATTTTAATAGATATTATATTACTTAGTTTTTAAAGCAACTTTCATACTTTTCATTTTCTATTATCTTCTTCTTTTTAGTTTTATGTTATGATATTTTTGAATTATTAACAGATTTAGATATATTATCTCTGTATGAGCTTAACATTATTTCATATTGATGCTTATTAGATTTGGCAGTGGTTGTTTAAAGTCTCCAAGCTTAATTTTGTTATTTTTTCAACTATTATAATTGAATTGGAAATCTCTCAGTATTCAAGTCAAAACTATAACTCTTTTGTTGTTTTTGAACCAAATAATTGGGTCGCTTTATTAATTCTTACTGTAATTGAGGTTTTAGACAACCAAAGAATTCTAATTATAATTGTTAAAAAATCATTAATATAATTTAGTTATCATAATGTTTTTTATTTCTTCTTCATCCAATTAAAACTACATTCTTATTTTTTGATTATCCAAAGCATCATTTTTTTTTACACCCATTTTAGCCATTAATTCTTCATTTTTATCACATGTATCAAGAGCTTGCTTTTTAATTACCTAAAATCTTTCTAAAGTAGTACTACATACCTTAAGTTTATAATATCATTATACTTTCTCACATGTTAATTTCTTTATGGAATCATCATCCAATTTTAATAAATAATTCTAAAGTGGTTTAAAAATATTGATGCAAAAATTTGAAGGCTAATTGGGCATGTCTCTATTTGTCATCCTAAATTTAGCTGGTATACCACTAAAAGGTTCCAAATTTTATTAACACTCTATCTTGATCTATACTATTGCAATATCTATTAGCTCTGAAATCACGGATTTAATTTTATCCAATTATAATATAACAATGTCCTATTGCAATAATGACAAATTAATTTTCGATAGATTATTTATAATAATTGGTATTTTATCGGTTTAAATGGAATTCTTATTTGATTTTATGAAATTGCAAAATCTTGTTATAATTTATATAGCTAATGTATAAAATTTCTATTTTAATAAGGAGATATAAACTTTGGATGAAAAACAATTCTCTATAATATTTTATAAAACCAAATGAAAATTGTATTCATTATTAGTTAGTTAAATTTAAAGTTCCGATTCTAATTTTTTAATAATTTCTGCTTATCTCATAGAAAAGTATGTTAATAAATTCCATTTCTCCATAAACTTTTTTTCTACTTCTGATCCCTTCTCAAAATTTACTTTAAGTGTTTATTTAATATTCTAAATATTCTAATAGTTTTATTAAAACAAATCAAGTACTCCCAAGGAATATATATTAACACATTCTTTTGTAGACAAATAGATATAGAGCAATTCCACTAAAATATTTTTAAATGAAAATGTTTCAGTTTCGACTTTAGCTATTTCAATGTTGTTCTCGTATATCTATAATACTGATTGCAAGAACTACTCTAAATTTGATGTATCCTTTGTCAATAGATTCTTATTTAATTTAGCAAAGGCGACATCAAATGCTGGCTTTAATAAAAATTATACAAGCAATTTCTCAGGTGTCTTATTTAATTGCATTTTTTGAAATGATTTAAGAATACAAGCGAATTTTATAGAATTAAAATTTTACAAACAATTCACAAATTCCTTTTCTAATAAATTTTAAAATTAGCATTAATTCTATTGAATAATTTGCAGTAAATCAAATTACAACATCAATTATCTACAATGAGGCGATTTATCTAATTCAGTGTATAATTATCTAGATTTCACAATCAACTCACTAGTTTCTAATAAATTGTAATTGGACATCCCTTTACTTAAATCAACACTCTCTAATATATTTATTAATTTCCTTAAGTCCTTCATACTATATTGGAGATTTTATATCAATTTCAAGTTTTCCACAATGACATTTATTTAATATATTCTTTATTACAGATTGTCTTAAGTGAGGACAATAATATCTGTAATATTGCTAAATTAGAGTGTTAGATTATCCAATTATGATTGCAATGATGTTAATTATGTGCTTATTTCAACATAATCTTCTAAGTTATTATCGACAGAACTCGCAATATCCTCACACGTTTATGATTATATTTAAGCTATTTATGGCATTGATTATTCTATCTTCTTGTAATTGATCTCGAAATTAGCTTAAACAAAATTCTTTAGTATGAATTCTCTTACATCGAATTCACCATTCATAAGCTCATCATATTAATTACTTATCATAAATAAAATTAAATATATAATTAATATGTTCTTCCTTCAACCCCAATAAGAGAAATAGTAAGCAACTAGAGAATTCAGAAGCAAGCAATTGAAAGAAGTGTTTAAAGCAGCCATTTTATTTGGAGTGTTAAAATTAGCAGCAATTGCATTCAAACCTAAGAAGGCATGATCATACATTTATTTTTAAATAAATATGAAAAAATCACTCTTGAAAATCTAGACTTGTCGCACTTTTGGGTTTCGTTTATTTAGATCCATCTTGATTATAATCTAATTTTAGAGATAACTTCGCACTAGCCCCAGAGGTCTGTTTCCCGATCTTCTTAACCAATTTTTCATTTGAAGATTCAGACTTTTCAGATTTGTCATCTTTTACTTTATCTAATAATTCTTATCTTCTTTTTCTTTCTTACAAATCTATATATTAATAAAAATTAAAATAAAATACCTGAACTTCCTGTTACCTAAGACTATGATAACATTTACATTTATAACTCCTCTATCAACTAATCCTTTTTGTTTAATTCTTCTTAATTTTCACTTCTCAATTATTTTAGTTCCTCATTCTCATGTAGTATTTAGTTCATCTTCTAATAATATTCTTGATCAGAGGTTTATTCTAATTATGATTATAAATTTTGAATAAGGGTTTCCTATTCTAGAAACTTTTACTCATAAAATGCCTTCATCTAATTAATATCTTGATTCTCAGTGTAAGCATCCTTGTTTATTTCATTCATTTATAATAATTGATCTTCAAGTTATTGTATCTAATATTGATTTTCAACTATTTAATTTTCCTTATCTAAAATAATTTTGTTAAGATCTTCAACTTAACTTATGAAATTTTATATTTAATCATAGGCCTCTATAATAAATAATATATGGTACTTGAGTAATAATTATACATTTCTTCATACTGCAATTGAATTTTGTTTTTCTATTCAGTCAATTCTCCTATTTATTGTTGCAAATTAGATTGATTCTCTTCATATTCTCCAAGTTCTTCATTCAAAGTTTGAATCTTTTCTTTGAGATCGTTAATGCATTTTTCATCAGCATTTTTTTTAAGATTAGCTTCATCTTCAAACGATTCCTCTTTTTTAATTGATCTTCTTAAGGCATTTCTTATATTTCCGGAATTAAATGAATTCTAAATATCCAACAAATGTTATTAGGATTATTTGGATAATTATTGATTTTTATCGATTTCCTTCTGTAGATCGTTTTGCACTAAAATAAAAATATAAAGTACATTTTTAGTATTAATTTTAGGTTGAATACAATTAATCGTTTAATTCAACTATCTCAGCATTTAATGTATTAATTTATTCTTATTGTTCTTCTTCTTAAATATTCTACCATTGCTGTTTCATTTGATTTTCAGTTTCTAATTTTTCAAATTAAGTTTTTAAATTTAAATACTTCTTTTGGAAGTCTTCATCATTTTATTTTTAATTGATTTCTTTGATTTACTTCTTTAATTCATCAATTTCAATATTTTTATTATTTACTATAAGTTCATACTATTGGAGATGTTCCTTAAGTTCAGTAATTTTTTAGGTTTAATCTTCTGGATTATTTTTGTTTGATTAATTTAATTGTTCTACAAAATTTTAGATTTTTTTTTCATATTCATTAATAGTTTCCTCAAGTTCAGTGTTTTGAATTTCCATCCATTCTATTTTCATCTTGGATTCAGATTCCAATTTTTCATATTATGTCTTCAACTATTAAATCTTTTCTTCATAATCATCATTTTTTAAACTACATTTCTATTTTGTTAATTCTACTTTTAATTTGTGGATTTCTTCGTTCTTATCAGAAACAATGTGTTCATATGAATTAATTTAATCTTATAATTAACTAGATGATAATTTGGTTTCATCTTTTTATATTTCAATTTGACCAATCAGAACATCATTTTATTTTTACAATTCTTCAATTTTTTGACTTAATTAATCATTTTCTTATTTGAAATCTTCAAGTTAAGATTTTTGTAAGTTGAGCCATTCTTATTTCATGATATCTTGAGTTTATAGATCAGTATATTATTAATATAATTCATCATATTTGAATGATATTTATTTAATTTCTGATTCATTTGATTAAGGATTAGCAGATTCTTAAAGTTTTCCTTCCAATTCTTGTATCACAAGAGCCAACTATTACAGTTTTTATTATTATTCATTATAAACATCTTAAAGTTGATTTAGGCTTGATAGTTCTTTTTAATATTCCTAGACTTTGTTTTAGAGTGATTAGATTTCTTATTATTTATCTTCCATTTATTTAGCAGTCTATTTAAATAGATCCTATTGATGCTATGATTGTTTTTCTAAATCTTTAACTAACTTTTCTAATTGATTATTTTTTAATCCTAATTCACTAATTTATAGTTAAAATTAATTTCTAAGTTGTTGACCTTTATCAAGTTCTGGAATTGATTTTTTTAATTCATCATTAGATTATTTTAAGTATTAATTTTCTTTGGTTAATTTTTCTATTTGCTTTTCAAAACTATTTTTTTCTTACTTCATCTGATCAATCGTTTAAATAAATTTTTATATATTTTCTTCATATTGGAGCATTTATTAATCATTAAATTTATGATGAGATGTCTTTCTAAATTGATTTAATTATTCAGAATATTTTTTATTTTCAATTTCTAATTTTTTATTGTCAATAGAATGCTTTTCATTTCTATCACTCAATTCTTAGATTTATTTTTTTTATTTGGCAATTTATTCATTAAGCTATTGAATTAAGATCTAAAATTATTATTTTTCTGTATTTGGTAATAAAGAAGTTTATTAATGTCCTGATGTTTTTGCAACTTAATTTAAGGTCTTAGGATCATTGATATCTTACTTAGTCTTTCCATCTTGTTTCTCTTTTAATTAATTAAGAGTATCCCATCTTTTTTATAGAGTTTCGTATTTATCTTTCCAAATTTCAAGTTCTTTAGATGATGATTCCTTCTCAAATTTGAACCTTAAACAGATTTCTTCATACATTTTCTTATATTGTTTCAACACAAGAGTACTAATATCACTAACACGATTTTTAGGTAGCATATTGGAAAATAGATTATAAAAATGAATTAAATTTTATTTTGATTAATATTCATTTTTTTTTTATATGATTGTAATATGAAAAATGGAGAATGGAAAGAATTAATGACTAAATATTAAAAATAAATGCACGATTGGTTTTGAATTGAAAATAATTTATTTTAACAGAAAAAAATTTAAACAAATGAGCACTCAAAGATTTGATATAGTTAGATAAGGATTGAATATTACATCAGGAATGAAGACTGATATAGTGGATCTATATAAGAGAGCCTTAACTCAGAAGCAATATTAAAATAAAGCTGATTATATACGCTATCATTTAGAATAAAAATATGGTAAGACATCATATTTAAATTGCAGGTCGTTGTTGGTGTGTTTTATTGAGTAGTTTACACAGTGAATAAGAGTATGATTTAGCGGATCCTGAACATTTCTTATTTGAATTGAAATCATCAGAACATCAAATTCTAGTTTATTTGATTCCTGAATATAATTATTAAATATGAAAAAATTACCCAAAAGTTATCTTGAACCTAAAATTTTTGATAACAAATATATAATCAAGAATCAACTCAGCTCAGGATCTTTCGGTGTTGTTTATCTGGCAATTCACAGAGTAACCAGAGAAGAAGTTGCAGTCAAATTAGAAAAAGGAGAACATGAAACTTTGGATCGAGAACTTTATTTACTGACGAAATTATAAGGAATACAAGGAATAACAAAAATTGTATTGGTTTGGAGCAGAGCAAAATTATAATGTAATGGTTGTTGAATTATTGGGACGAGATCTAGGATATTATAGTAGAACATATATATAATTATCATTAAAAACAGGATTGCAATTATTGGATTAGTTATTGACTATTTTGAGATAAGTACATTCAAGAGGAATAGTGCATAGAGATTTGAAATCAGAAAACATAATGATGGGCAAATAAAATCAGTCTATTGCTTTTTAGTAGATTTTGGTGTTTCAAAGTTTTTTCTCGATAAAGGAAAACATATGTAAGATTATGATATTATAAAAGTCCATTTAAAGATAGAAAATCATTTATTGGAACTACTAGATATTCTTCAATTGCTGCTCATAGAGGATTAGAAATTAGTAGGAAGGATGATCTAGAATCAATGATGTATGTCATTATCTACTTAATTTTAGGGTAATTTATAATTTGTAATTTAAGTAAGTTACCATGGTAGAATTTATAAATTATTGGTGATAAGGATAGAACTGTAGCTGTAGGGGGTTTTAAAATGAATATAACTATTGAGACTTTATGTAAGGAATTGCCAAATCAATTTGCTGATTATCTTAGGTATTTTTATATCATAAATATACTAAGATATTTGAAGACTTTAAGATTTGAAGATTAACCTGATTATCTCAAGCTCAAGGATTTAATGAAATAATGTAGCACATCTAATACATATGATAAGCGATTTGAAGAACTGATAAGTAATAAAATAAGGACTCTCTATCGGAAGTCAAAGTTTAGAGTTCATTTTTAGCTGCTCCTGGAAATGTTTGAGTCCAAAGATCTCATACTAAAAAATAATCCAATGTCTCAAATCTTGGTATTAACATTTATTAATTTTAGGATCTTCATTATCAAATGTTGTTAAATGTGTACCATCTTATTAAGTTGGTATGTAATTAAAATAACTAATCATAAACTCATATAAAAATTGCTGCAAGTCAACCTCATATGGATTTTAATTTTCACATTGAAACTGTTGATTTTGAGGACACAGAAGAAAATATGAATAATCATCCAACCTTAGAATAAAAATACTTAAATTTGTTTGGATTCGATGCTAAATTAAAGATAAAAAATGCAAATTTCTTGTTCTGCAATTAATGTTTTTGATTAATGAATTTATTATTAACTTTTCAAAATATTACAGTTAAATTGCCTGATTAAGTGTTTATATCCATTTCAATATAAATATGTAATTAAAATTATATAATTATCAAAATCCTGCTGATTGTATAATAATATAATAGATCTAGAAATTATTAATTCATTTAATCAACTATTTATGAAATATTTAAAAAGAATTTCATAATCTTAACAATACTGAACCAGCTGTTTAGTTTTTTTTATGTTTACTTATTGGTACTAATTTAACATGCTGACTTTGCGATCTACTATTACTAATTTTATTACTTCAGCATTGGCTATGACTTTTCTAATTTAATAAGCTTATTACTTTTGGATGTTTTTTGAGCATCCAAATAGTTACTGTGTATCATATAGATTGGTAATGGCTAATGATCAAAGATTAATGGTAAGATTTTATGACTGTTACCTATTTAAGATACATAGCTATACTAATTTTAATTAAATTTTGAATAGCTTTTCTTTCAGTAAGTGAGGCTTATTCAACCAAATTAGCAAAGCTTCTTTTATTATATTTGAGGATTTGCTTATATTGTTCTTCTCTAGTAGGTTTATGTTTTATTGGCATTTGTAGAACTGATTCGATAATAGATTCATCTTCATCATAGTCTTCTTCTTATCTAATTGGAGGAACCAGCAATTAATGTTTGGCTGGAAAAGATTCAGTCTTTTCATCAAATACATTGATTCGCAATTTGAAATGAAAATCATCAATAGTTCCTTACTGATGTCTTAAAATATATTATTAGTAAATGACTTTGTTAATTCTAAAGACTAGATGAGAATCTAATGGAGTAGCAGGCAGGCAACATCTTTGATTATGACCAGTATTTTATTTATATTGAAACTTTATTGTAGTTTATCGTTTATCCCACATTTTTCTTTGAGGTACAACCGATAATACATTACTGGATTAATTATTTTTGATTTCTTTCAAAGAGCACATATTGATTGGAGGCAATTCCACATTTCTTTTCTTGTTATTTGAAAAAGTCTCTTAAAGTGTTATAACATTGACTGCTTTTTTGAACATGTCTTTATTATGATTATGTCGCTTATTTCTCAGCCTCAATTATTTCTGTTGTTGGATTTTAGTTTGCTTTTCTTGATTCTTTCTTTCGTTTTCAAACAATTTATAAGCTAAGTTGAAATATGGTTGAAACTATTAGATAATTGATGCCGTATATTTAATTTTTTTGTTTACTAAACCACATTCTGAACATTCACAACTCCTTCTTTTGACTGGAGTCTTATCTATTTTTGGTATTTGAGCATTCATTTTAAATGATTATCCAAGTTCCCTTCTATTTCTCATATTTAATTATATAATTTATAATTAAAAATTATAAAATACTTATCATATCATTTCCTTATATAGAACAGTTTAACAACATTCAAATCATCGTCCAGATGATCAACCATCTAGAATTTATTTTGTGTATATTTATACCATTATTACTATTTCAGACAATAACATTAATATTCATTTTATGATACCTTTTCAATAATTCCTTATAACTAATAAAGATCTGAAATATTAAATAAGTAATACGTGAATCAAAATAATATTTAATATTATAAGGTTTTATTTATTCTTAATTTATGTTCAAAATTAGAATTTTATCCTAAGCCCAATCCACTTCAAAATATTCCCTAAGGAAATAATTATCAATTATTTCTGGCTAGTAAGCAGAAGTAACAGATGGCATATCTTCATATACGACAAATATGTTAATCACTCTTCTCCCAAATTTCAAGGCTTTATCATTAAATGGCACTTAACAATTATTGCACAATTTCTACTAACAAAATGTACATTTTATAGAGCCTTATTAATCCGTTTAGAAAAATAAACTATATTTCTTATTCAATCGTGATTCTTTATAGTTCTCAAAATTTACTTCTTCAAATAAGTTTGCTATTAATATATGCAAATCTTAGAATTTAGCCTACTAACTTATATAGCATTTTAAAATGGGAGCAAAAGGCTTGTATGATTGATAACCAATATTCTCATATGTGCATTGATGAACTCTAATTTCTATTCGATCCTCATTATTAATATTGCGTTCTTACCACATTAACTTCCTCAATTAATACTTATATCCCTCCTTCAGATTGTAAGCAGGCTTTGCAAAATCGATTTCTTCAGTATAATATTCATTGCTGCACTCAAACAAAACTGAATTAAAATCACATTATAATTAAGGATGGATCAAAAGAGATTCCACCAACTATTTAATATTTCTCTAATTATTTATAATGATTCTGTTCTCCTTGTTGTAAATATATACTGCATCATATCTGGATTTAGTGATCACCACTAGTTTTTCTTCTAAAAACTCGTAATCCATCAAATCATAATAGACATAATCAGTAAATCCATAATATGATTCTTGAATAATCTACTTTAAATTTTTGTATTTCTATGTGAAATTACAAAGTATTTCACTTCTAATTATATCTATGTTTTCATAACATTTAAGCATGCAACTTAATAAAGTTTATTAATTCTCAAATAAAGATAAACCCCTTCTACAATTTTCAATATATTCTTAATTTAATAAAATTTCGCTATTATCTTGATTTATCTGTTAATTCTTTTCAAAAAAGAAACCTTTATTCAATAATTTAATATCCAATATTATGTATTTTTTATGACTCATTTATGCTAGTTCTTCTATTTTTTCTACTTCTATCCTTTTTTCTTTAACTTCTTATATTATTTAAATGAAACTAGTTTAATTCTCATTTTTGAGAGTATACAAAGATATGAAATTTCTTTTTGGCGTTTGAACTGATAACTAATTTTATAATGCATTTTCTAGATGTGATATAATTTAAGATATATTCCAAGAGGAATCAAATTGTTGGATTCCTTCAATAAAGTGTGATTAGGTTTGGTAGACCGGGATAAAGTGAAAAATAATGAATTCATTGATTTAATTTGAATTTCTTAATTATCTTTTTATACAGTACCCGTCATAAAGTGTCTTTCAAATTATTTATAAGATTACGTTTAGATGTTTCCATATTTATTCGCTGATGTAAATGTAATCAACATTTATTCGTAAATTATCTTTTAAAAAAGAATTGTATATATCATCTTAATATCTAATATTTTTTGATATCTTACTAAAGAACATTAGATTTTGTTTCATCTACAATATCGTGATTTATAGGCTTTATTTGCATATTTTATTTGTTATCGAATTTGACCGAATTTATAAAAGTCTAGATCCAGCTAATTAATTATAAACAAAAATTTACCTTTTAGATAAAAGGTATACGATTTCAGGATAGTTTTACTCCTTTTAGAATGTCTCAACCAATTGCACAATTTCCATTAGTTTCATTCAATAATTATATTATTATTTATTTATATTATCATTAATGATATTATTAAATGATTCCTATTCTTTTCATTTCTTCTTCAATATTAATCAAGTCTTCTTTATTTTTGGCTTTAATATGATTGATCTCAATCAGTATCAGGTACTTCAAGGTCTCTAAAGTGATGGCTTCATCGTTCTCAAAATCGCACTCCAGATTGCCTGTGAATGTTATCTCTTCGGCTTAATTTCTAATAGACTCAAAGAAGGGATGTTCTAAACACTTATGTAAGATAATGTAAACTTTTTAAGCAGTAATTCTGTTCTTCGGATTCATTTCCAACATCTAATCTAATAAATCCCTTGCTTTGGCATCAGGAAATGGGACGCTTTTTGAGGCTGGTTGTTTTGGTTTATGAGGCAGAGTCTCTATGAAAGACAAAGCATTTTCATTCGTTACTAATTAATTGAGTTCCTCATCTGAGGGCCGACCTAAAATATCAAAAAACATCTTTATCATTTAAATATAGTTGGGAGCATTGAATAAAATCTTTCTTGTCATTAATTCTGCAAATGTGCATCCCAATGACCATATGTCAACAGGTTTAGAATATTGTTAACTGGATAACATGATTTCAGGAGCTCTATAGTGCCGAGTAACAACATATTCAGTCATATTTTCTTCTATTTGATCTTGTATTTCATCTTTTTTTCTAGCAAATCCGAAGTCACAATAACAAACTTCACAATTCTCATTTGCTAATATATTTCCAGGCTTTATGTCTCTATGTATAGAACCTGAAGAATGCAAATAGTAAAGTCCTTTACATAATTGATACATTATGAATTGAACATGCTCCACTGACAAATCTTAATTGCTTTTTATTATTTTATGAAGATCTGCTGGAAAATATGGACTTACTATATAGATGTCACCAAAAGATTCAGGTTTCTAATCATATATTATATCATAAATTTTGAGAATATTATGATGATTCATTGATCTTTAGATTTTGATTTCTCTTAAGATTCTCTTTGCATCAATTGCATCCTCTATTAAATTTAATTTTTTGATTGCTACCTAATTATAAATAACAATAAAATCAAACTTTATGATTTTTATTCAATAAGTCATATGCCAAGACAACTGAACCATAAGCACCTGTTCCAACTAATTTTATCAATTTATAACGATCCCCACAATCAAAAGAGATTCCTCCAAACATTGTGTTGTTCTTCATTGTTTATTTAATATTATTATTATATATATAAACAATGTCAAGATTGTATTCTTAAATATGTAGAATAATGAACTGTGCTCCTATAGAATTAAATCCATCAGCGATATATTCACCTTCTGTTTATATATAGGCTCTACTAATCCATAGAGATTAAATCCCATAAAATGAGATTCCTCAAACAAGTTACCAAAAAAATGAAATCAAACATGCTTGTGAATAATAAATAGTTGTTCTAGATTGCAAAAAGAAGAAGAGGGCAAGAAAGAAGAAAATTAGAAGAAAGGAAATAAAATTATTAATGCCAGAAATAGATGATTATCATAAATATATTAATAATTTGGACTTAATGGGTTAATGCAAATGTGCCATTGCTTCATGTCCAAAAGATGATATCGACTCCATAAAGATCTCATCTCGCTCTATCCAAATATCAATCAAATAGCATAAAAACTATTAGGGTCAGACTTCCGATCACATAGAACCCCATATCCAAAAAGATGTAGATTCTGGAGTGATCAAAAATTCAATCAATAGCAAAATATCCATCTAAGAATTATCTAAGAATTTGATATAAACTTCAAAAAAAATGCCTGATCCAGTCATTCAAACACTTCATTCATTAGAGAGGAAAACTCTACCAGTAATTTCAATATTCTAAACGAGTTAATATAATTGCCAACTGGAACTTAATATGAAGGTGAGTGGATGAATGGAATGAGGGATGGAGTTGGCAAATAGATTTGGCCAGATGGATCATTTTATGAAGGACAATGGAAGCTAGATAGATCCAATGGACATGTATTAATCAATATATTATTGTAATAGGGTAAATTGGTACATGCCAATGGTGATATCTATGATGGTGAATGGATTCAAGATGCTGCATGTGGAAAAGGAATCTATCTTCGTTAAAATGGAGCAAAATATGAAGGTGATTGGTTAAATGATTGTTAACATGGAAAAGGTTTTGAAACATGGCCTGATGGAGCTTACTATTAAGGAGATTATAAATTTGGCAAAAAAAATGGTCATGGTATCTTGACATTTAATGACGGTGCCAATTATGAAGGTTCTATGATCTATTATATTTAGGAAACTTTGTCGACAACGAAATTTCAGGAAATGGAACTTACAAATGGCCTGATGGACGAATATATGTAGGCTATTGGTAAGATAATAAAATGCATGGGGAGGGAAGACTCAAATGGCCTGATGGAAAGTGTTATTAAGGAGTAATATTAAGCACAATATCTGTTCTAGAATTATGAGAATGACAAAAAGTAAGGGAATGGGATATTTGACTTTGGAGATGGTAGAAAATATATTGGGACTTGGAACAATGGTAAACAACATGGATTAGGAATATATTATTATAATGAGACACAATTTAAAATTGGACTATGGTAGGAAGGGTAAAGAACTAAATGGTTAAATGAGAAGGAAATAGAAGATGAGAAAAACTCAATTTCTATTCTATAAAACTGTTAATAAATTGATTTTTGATTATAATGAATTTGATTAAATAATGTAACATCATGGTTATTGTTATAATTGAAGTTTTTGATCCCTTAGTTTTTGTTTTCTAATTCTTCTCCTTTCCACTCTTGGCATTTTTTATCCGTTATAATTTTTATTCTTTTTAACTTTTTGAAGTGAATGGCATTTTGCTCTTAATAGGTCAAATACGGCTTAGTTAATTTAATATTATTTTTCTTTTATTTAATCTTGAACAAGTAATTCATTAAATATCTTATTCACATTCCATTCTACATCCTTTTTAGCTCTATCGTAAGACTTTTCAATTCTTGAATGATAAACAGCAATTATATAAAGTTCTTCAGGTAATTCTTCATTCAAAAAATATCTATACACTGATTATAAAGTCTTTATATTGAATTTCTGTTCATTAATTACATTTATGAATAAAGGCTTATTGAATTCCATCTTACTTATTAAAGTATTGAAGTCAATTTATAGATTTGTAATTTTAACTTCAATCTGTTATTTCAAAGATTCATAATCATTTATATTTTACAATTCTTCTTCAGTAAATGATGATTTAATGTTATTTACTGTTTCATTCTCTAATTACAAATCAATTTCAATAGCTCTCTTGAATAATTTATGAGCTTTGGTTGTTCTACTTATTGCTTCAATCACTAATCGTTGTATTATTACCTTAAACTGATCTTATTTGTAATTATTCTTGATCTAGTTTATCATCAAAATAGTTTTTGATAAATCTTCACATTACGTCTTTGATGATAAGTTCTCATCAGCCATTGTTCCTATAGGATCTGATAACAAATGATCCATGTGATATTTCACCTTGCCTGATTCTGCATATGCCAACATAAAACTAGAATTAATCAATTCAATCATTTCAAATTTCCACTAGTTATCATCTTAGCAGATCATATACAATAAAGTATTCCCTAATAATGCAGCATATGCATTTTCAAAACATGTATCAGCATTTTCCATCAATACAAAAGTCATTTAAATGTGGAATACGCTTGATCTAAGGAAAGGGATAAGAACTTCATGCTAGTATAGTGGAACCAAGCAATTAAATTTCTCCTTTTCATTATCTCCAATATTGAATTCAATTTCATGATTTGCAGAATCAATAATTGCTAATGAATCTATATACTTATTAATCTTGGCGATATTTAATATTTCAACCGTATATGGATTGATTCTTGATTGATCTGATCTTTTTACATACAAAGCGTATCCAATAATGGGGAGAGATGATACTAAATGGTATTGTGTTTCGCAAGTCTTAATACCCTCTATTAGCTCAGGATCTGTTAGAATATCAACTTAATTTTATAAGGAAAGTAAAGACGTAGGAAAGTTATGGTTGACAAATTTAGTTTTCTGAATCATATCTATAAATTCTGACTTGTAAGTTTAAAATGCTTCCACAGACACTCCCGCAAATTTCAAAGCCTTTCTGTGATACTTTCCAATTTAGGTACCAATTTTAAGTCTTTAGGCAGCTGTTGCTTCATCTAATTCTTATAAAGTTTAAGCTGATGCCAAAAATTTAAATTCCTAAATCACTTAATTAAGTGCTGATTTCTATTCCTACACTCTCTCTAAAAAGGTCAACTTTTTTCCACTCACGAATTTATTGAGTTCTTATAGGGCTGCTTAAGCCTCCTGTGCTACCTTTTTTTTTAAAGACAGCAATTATAGATTTTATAGCCAATATCCTGCTATTAATCCAATATCTTCTCCTTTTATCTCGATTTTTTATAAAATACCATTTTCTGTTTCCAATTCATCCGAATAAAATGATACCCAGGAATCAGGCCAAACCTTATCTGTAAGTTAATCCCAAGGGAATTAATAGCAAGGTGAAATCTTTATTTATTTTTGATGTTTCATATATTCAGCTGCTGATAACATTTCAATCTAAAATCTCTGATCTAAAGGCAAATCTCCATCTTATATGTCAACTAAAAATAAAGGAGGAATAGATCTGTCTCCATTATGGTACATTTCTCTTAAATCCATTGATATGAATGTAGGAAAACCCTTTCCTACTCCAATACAGATAAAATTTAAATTGTCTATTGCTGGCCTAGTCTTATTGATGAATTCCTTTGAAAAATCACCTTGTCCATCAGAAACAAATAGAACTGTAACATTTTACTTTTATTTCAAAGAATACAACAATTTGTTTAACTCCTCGAAGGCTATTGTTATATTTGTTCCTCCTCCGCCATAAGTGTTTATGTTGGATCCAAGTTCAGCCTAAGGTATTGTTTTTACTCTAGTATCAAATGTAATTGCACAATGTAATTTTACTTTACGTCTTATTTCATTGTAGTATTTGGCGACGTATTACCAATCTAAAATAAAATTAAATGTTTACAGTTATACATAGATCCTGAACAATCCAAGACTGCCAACAATTATGTTTCTTCAACTTTGGAACTAGGGACTTTAAAATAATTTAATTAAACTTCCTAAAACATTGTGATTTATAAATAATAATGATTTGATAAATAACAAGGTATTTAAATTATATAAATATTCTTTCTTTATTAATTGAATTTACAAATTAAACAAAAATAATTTTTAGAAATGTCAATATGGGATGGCATACACATATATTTAGCTTTAACTTTTTTATATTATTTCTTTATAAAAAGATACCCTCATAGATATTTCTTTTCAAGAATATTTTTTGTAATTCTAAATTTGTTTTATTATAGAGATTTAGTATTCATATATAAATTATTAAATAATCATGAAGGTTGTGCATGTACTTTAATTTTAAATTATTTAGAATGGTACTTAAGATTATCCAACTAACAACATATGTGTTTATAAAATATGTTTTATATAATATACATAATTTATTTAAATCCGTTTTGAAATAAATGAGAGTTGCTGCTGTTTTGATAGTTTGTTTAGTTTTGTGTTAGAGTATTCCAGTACATAAGAAATTTTTGTAACTCGACGGGTACTTAATATTTAAATTGTAGTCAAGAGAGTGATGTTGAATATACATCAGAGAATTTATAGGTTGTTGAGGAAAAGAGCCAAAGTCAGGATGTTCAGATTTTGGCAGCTTAAGAGAGTGATTTGATGATTAATTAATTAGATCCATCTGAGAAATCAGATGTACAATAATCTTTGGATGATGAAACACCATTGAATACTGCATATGTATTAATTTTGAATATAATTAAAGTTTGAAGATGAAGAAAATAATAATGAAATTATTGAGGATGCTAGTTAAAATATCGTAGAAGATTTGAAATTGATTGGCTAATCGGAAAATAATAATATTATTGATGAAAATCATCAAGTGATAGATACTTAATAAAACATTAATGATGAAAATGAGAATTATGTCTCAGACACCATGAATGTCAATGATGAAATCCAACAGGAACTTTCTGATCAATAAAATGGTCAAGAAACAATCAATAATGAAGATAATTATTATGATGATTCTATTGAAAATAATGATACATTACAAGTAAGTGATACTTCCTCTTAATAATAATTGATTGCTTAAACAAATGATGTCCCAGATCTCACTAATATGGACTAAGATTAAATTACGCAATAATTTACCAAACCTGAATATGAAGTGTAGCCAAATCAAATTGAATAGGCTAATCAATAAGACAAAACTATCATCGTTGATAACTAATTAGAAAAGGATGAAAGCCAACCAGAAGCTCAAATTATAGTTGTCTAAGATCAAACTTAAATGCAATCAGATAATTCAGGCCCAAAATAAGTCAACATCCAATAAGAAATGACCTCTGAGGATCCAAACAATATAAGTGAGATTAATGAGGAGTAATATTTTTAAGCTACATTAGATAAACATCCTAATGCATTGAATTATATAGTTAATGTTATTACAAGGGAGAGACCATGAAGGCTTGCAATGATCTTGGATAAATGAAGTAATTCAATTTCATATTATCATCTCTTAGAGATTTCCCATATGAAATTAAGTCCATGAAGATTCCTTATGGAACAACTCTTACCATTTATGATCATCCCAATTATGAAGGGGAGAGACACACCTTCTCTAAAAATGAAGAGTGTTTAGCAAATGTAATTGTTCTAACATAAATTACAATTTGAAATTTATCATATAAAAATTAACAATAATATGGGAACAAGCAGTTCTACTTTTCAATTCAATTTCTCCCAATATTAATATTTACAAGAAATTTTAGATCCTAGATTTGGAGAAGTGAAATTGTACTAGAAAAATGAGACAGGCGAATTGATTTGTGTAATTGAAAAAATACAAACCTAACCACCCAAACCATTTAAGAAACTTGAGCACTCTAATTTATTAAAAGTTCATTACTATTCTGCTTCAACATTCAAAGTATATTATTAGCTTATTACAAGGAAGTATGTTCTACCTTTACTAAATTATATATCGTTTATGAATACATTAATAACGATCTTAAAACCATCATAACCAATAGATACAAGAAACAATAATATTTCACTTAATCCTAACTTTGGTCTCTCACTTATTAGATTCTAGATGTCTTAAATTATTTAAAAAGAAATGCAATTTTTCCAATGGAAATGAGGAATTTATACATTTCAAATCAAGGTTTTATTAAATTCAATTCTCTTTTTGATAACCATATGACATCATTTTAATAATTATTCAGCCAATTTACTGAAGACTTCCATATATCCCCAGAAGAATTGTAACTTTTTAAAAATTAATCAAATTTCAACAATCTCAATCCAGAATAATGCTAGATTTTTTAGTCTGGTTTAACTATTCTATGGGCAGCATCTCTGAATGATCCGTCGACACTCTTCAATAAGATTGAATGGAAGTTGAATGAATAAGATCTATATTTAAGAATTTCAGAGTTATAATACACTGATAACTTTAAGACTTTTCTTATTAAAATGCTTTAAATTAATCCGTCAGAAAGAGGTACTTTGGATTCCTTATTAAATTTTACTTCAAAATTTGAAAAAAATGATGATCTCCTGAAAATTTGTAAACATGATCTTATTCCAAATAATCATGATATAGTTCATAATAATCACGATGAGAATGAGGAGTATGAATACTAATCTTAATCCTCACAAAATTAATCAAATAGAAAACAAAAACCAATTTTATATTCAAATAAAATTTTACAATTTCAAAAATAAATCTCCTTAATTGGATCTATAACTTTAAAATCTGAAAATCAAGAAATTAACAGGAACAACCAAATGTTCACCAATAAGTTGCTTCAATAAGATAATCAATAGGATAATAATTTTTATTAATAATAGAAATCAAAGTCATTTTTATAATTTAAAACCCCTGACTCTTCTCCGATACAAACCTTTAGAAAACCCCCTTCTATATCAGCATCTAAAAATCAATTAAATAGTACATCAAAACCAAAAATATCTACTTAGTATTAATTAAATAAAGAAAAAATATGTGACACAAGCTATTTTTCATAATAATCCCTTTTGAGTAATAATAAAAGTTAAAGGAGCTTATTAGAAAATAGAATTGAAGAAGCCTTAATGAAGAGTAAATTAGCCTTAGCAAAGTTTGATTAAACCATTAAATATAATAATTATTATAAAAATTGAAAAGGAAAATTATATATAAATAGTAACTTCTCATCTATTCTTTCAAATAAATATTATATCCTACACTATTGAATTAGCCAAAAGAATATTAATTATTGTAAAGTAATAATACACTTTTGATTTCATAAAATGGCTCTATAATCGCCCGCCCATATCATATCAAAATAAAAATAGCTTTTTACTTATGAATAATTAAACTTCTTGTAATTTCAGTTAAATTTCTTATCTACTAGTTATAAATTGCAATTTTAACAAGCATTCATTACTGCCTACCTGTTTTTCTTTATTGACTATGAAATTAGCTTTCAAATTAACTCTATTTTAAAGTTATACATATTTGTTGAATTTTTAAATTTTTGTAAACCTGATTCGTATAATTACTTTTTTATTATATTGTACGTAGCCGTTCTCTAGCATTCTAAAATAATAAGATCACTTAATACAATTTCGAAAATGCATCCTAAAATTAGATTGTAAATTTTCATTTATAATCAAAATTTGAGATTATTATTTCCCTCATTTTTTCATTAATTTAATAATTATTCAGTTTTATTGTATTGCGAATAAAGATTGAACTATTAGGGCTGCAACCTGTTTTCGTTATTGCATTAATTAAATAGAACTAATCTTGAGTTTTTGCTTGAAGTTGTTTGTTTTTTAAATTAATGATGGATATAGATTAAATTAAAATAGACAGTTCCGTCAGCTTTAATTTAAAATATGTAATATATTGATATTAAATTACACCAATCTAAATCACTTTTATATCTCTACTTTCAACCGTCCAAATTCATATTGTTCAAATCTAAATTTCAATTTATATTTATTTATAAATTATGTTATAATATGATCACAACACAATGATATTATTCAAATATTTTTAATAAATCATAATTTTATAACTAATTTACAAGCCTACAGAATCCCAAGGACTTCTATGAGTAAAAAATGAGTAAACTATATTGGGAGGAGGTAAATTAAGACGAAGAGATAATAATAATTTTATAAGTATATTGTTTATAACAATGTCGACGTATTAACAGATTATTTATGATTATTATTAAAAATTCTAATTTATCAACTAAAAAATTATATATTGTATAATACTTGTCTAGAATCCTACTATGATCATAAAATGTTTGAATCGCATTGTTATAAGAGAGACGCATGAATAAAATATTATTAAATATTATTACCTTAGAAAGGTTGAATAAAATTTTATTGCATAATATTGTTTAATCACTGAACTAAAGAAACAATTATTAGCTTGTATCGGCTTCTATTTTAAAAGTATAAAGTGGTAAATACTGTACATTTCTTAATAAATTATCAATCCTTGTCGCTTACAAGTTCAATTAGGGAGAAATATGGATAATCATTTTCTTCCCTTAGTCTGGTCTTTGGAAGGTTATTTACATAAGCCTATTTTTTCATTTTTCTGATAATGACATACCAAATTTAAGCCAATATAATTGTGGCAGCATAAATAATGTGTAGATTAATGAATGTGAAGAAGGTTTAAAAATAAATCATTAGATTCTCTTGATTTCATCGAAATACTCATAGTGTTTAATTGTCTGATCGGCTACTTTTATCTAGACCCAAAGCTTTGAATCTTCCTTAATTGAACCAACAGACACCCTTTTTACTTCAAGATCTGATTCAAAAGTCATTTTTTTTTTCTTAAAACAATGAAGAATAGTTTTTGCAGTTGCGTAGTTAATATTTAAATCCTTTGCTATCTATGATAAAGAAGGTATCTTACTTTTTTTATTTTACATTTTTGTTTCAGTACAGTTTGAATCAGTTAAGCTTTCTTTTCTTTGGTAATATGACAATAGTCTCTTTTTATTCTTGGTTGAAGCACTCTTTCACATACATTCATGGATCTAGTTTTTACGCCGATCACACTTTCACTGCTATTCATTTAAGATTTATATTTTATATTATAATGTTAATGGAATAATACGAGATTTATATGTATCAACATAATTTGCTCAAACAGTATAATTACAATTATCGTAATTTATATAGATAATTATCTACTGATATTAATCTTGAAATGTTAATAATGCTTGCAAATAATTTGATTTCTTCGATGTAAAAACTTCGTAATAGAACATTGTGAGCTATTTCTAGAGATTCTCGCAAGGTAGAATGATTTTAAATGATCATTGAATTTCTTCTCAATTATCAAATACTTTTCATTATTTCAGTATTTTCACTTAAATCCTTCCAACACAATCCAAATTATATATTCATAAGGTTGTAGAAATTTACCTAATGAAGAGAATCAATATATATAGAAATATTTCTTAATATTTTACAAAATGAGATATTGATATTTATCAAACTATTTTTACTTCTTCTACAAAACCACTATTTACTGATCATTAATATTCCTGTATGAACATGTTGATTTGAATATTAAATTGTTAAATCAAAGTTTTTTGAGAATTAAAAATTTTTAGCCAGCATTAATTTTATTGAATTAACTGATAAAAATTTTATTGATTATGTCTGATTACAAAGAGAATATTCTTGAAATGTATATTAATAGAATAGACTTACTTAATATCAAAGATTATTGATGCATCATAATCCTTTGAGTTTTAGAATCCAGAATATGTATTAAATAGTATTATTTTATATAAAATTAATCATGACCTACTGCTACACATGCTTAAATACATCTTTAAAATCTTGTCAATATCCAATGCTGATTGTGGCTCTTTTTTAAATCTAATTAATTATGAAATTATTGAATTACCCTTTAACGCGATCAGTTTTTAAATTTAATCTATGTTCTTCTTCAAAGGTTTGTTATTAGTCTTCAATTGTGAAAGAGGGCATTGATTTAAACTATTCTAGTAATTTAACACTTCCATTCTCATCAAAATTTTTTGATTTAGAGCCATATTTACTCAATTGAATTGATTTAGGTTGTGGACTTTTTATTGCATTGAATTAAGTATTTGAACTTTTTATTAGGTTAGTCAAACTAACTTGATTTCGTTTGTGCATATTTGTAGCGTCTCTTAATGGACTGGTTTATTCATATATGATCTTCTTTTTTATATCATCTAATATAAGTGATTACTTTTTAGAATCAAGGGTAGTTTTATAAATATTAGGAGATTTGATACTCTAAGAAGAAGAATTATTCACATTGTTGTTTGTATTAATTTGATTTTGTCTACCATTTGGATATTATTTATGACTTATTAAAGGAGATTGATATTTTTGGATAGAATTTTGATCCACTGAAAAACTGGATTTAGGAGATATTGATATTTTCAATTCTATCATATAATTTAATTAATTTACAAGTTTATTATTATTGTGGAAAGCATCTCTATACGAATGCAGATTAATAAATATCTTTGAAACATAGTCTCATTGAAGGATCTTTTTGTAATATATTTTTTATCAATTCTTAGGCATCCTAGTTAATTGAACTAGAATATCGAATTAATCCATTTTTAATGTTTTATGAAATTTCTTTGTATTCCTTGCCTTTGAATGGAGCATACCCATGTAATAATTCATAAAGTAATACTCCTACTGACCATATATCTATTCTATAGTCATACGGCAAATCAGATACAATTTCTGGTGCCATATATTCATAAGTTCCACAAAAGGTCTTTCTCTTTAAATGAATATTTTCAGCACACCAACCAAAATCACATAATTTGATATCATTATTATTATCAAGCAACAAATTTTCAGGCTGTAATCATTAAATCATATAATATACTTTAATGTCTCTATGGAAAACATTCATTTCATGCAGGTATTGCAATGCTTTACAAGTCTATATGAAATATTTGCAAGCTTCCTTCTCGTCTAATCTCTTTCGTTTTTGTACATAATTATATAAATTCCCATTTTCTGCATACTCCAAAACCATATAAACATTTCCATGTTCAATAAAACTGTCATATAGGTTTACTATATTAGGATGTCTACACTTTAAATGGACTTTTATTTCTCTTTCCACTCCTTCCTATTCATAAGGGGTTTGTATATTGCACTATTAAATGGACTTTATAGCATATAGTTATTGTGATTTAAGATTCTAAACTAAATTGACTGTTCCAAAAGATCCAGTTCCTAAACTAGCCTTACCATTGGATCGTTATTTGGGTTCAAATTACAACATGGAATTAAATAGTCCTTTATTATAGCATTCTATCTTTCTTTGCATTTGTATTGATTAACTGACAAATTTTTATAAATATAATCAATAAAATTTATAATAAAGTGACTAAAATATAGTTCCTTACTAAATTAGTATCTATTCATTATTAAATCGATACAAATGTAATTTAGAAATATTGATATTTTATGAAATGATAAAAGCTATTGAATTCTTTTTTGTATTTTAGACAATTCAAATTTGATAATTGAAATAATATCCATAATATATAATGAAACAATTATATTTATTAATCTATTTAATTTGTCAAGCAAATATTATTATAAGCTATTTTCAATTAATGTATGAAATCATTAAATTAAAAAATGAGGCAATTCAAATAATAATTGGTTTTATAATTTTTTAGTGAAATTTAGATTGTTTAGTGTGTTTATCAAATATATATTACATAAAATACTTATTTATATTTTTTATTTTATATTTGTAAATTAAACAAAAATTCTGAATGGATAAATTACCAAGATAAATAAATGAAATGAATGTAGATTCTAAAACCTTGAATTCTCAAATAAGATCAACAAATACTAAACAAATTCTTAATTTCTTCTCTTCATAAGAATTTACACCAGAATTATTGATATATTATTACATGGCAACATTTAACGAACCAGGGCCTCACTAATATTTAACTCAAAAATTATTATAGATGCCTCATACATTCATTGAAAATTTTATTCCTCAATTCAGGTAATAGATGACCATAAGTATTTCTAGTTACTTAGCGATTAAAAAGGGCAGCAAAAGCATGGAAACTTTTTTGGAAACCTTATGTTAAACAAGTATAGCAAATTTCCTTAAAATCAGCTGGTGTATTAATGCATATTCTGAGAATGAAAAGTAGAATGAAGTTACTTGTAAATAAATCGAATTCTTTCAAAGAGTAACAAATTATATTTGATATTCTTAATAGAGGCTAGAAAAGTCAATGGTAAATGGAGCCATTAAATATAGCAAGGAAGAAATACTAAAAAACATGAATAATGTAGAATTTCAAATATGTATTAATAAATAAAAATAAAATTTATAGAATTGTAAAACTAATTCTCAGAAAAAGAATTGAGATCCAGTTATATAGGCTTAGTAGAAAAGTTAGTGATGAATTTGATCAAGTTATCCTTAACCCTCAAATAAATTGACCCTTCTGAAAGGAAACAATTTCTATTTAAGGAAATTAAAAATACTAATAAAGCCTTAAAACGATTAAGAAATTAATATTCAGAAATACCATATTATTGGGGAACTATGTTACCTTTTCAAAGAAAATACGAAGGGTAAGACCCCTCTAACCTGATTGTTCGTATTTGCGAAGAAGGTCATGCATGTTTCAATACAAAAACTCGGGTTCCTTATAGAATTTTAGTTGAAACAATAAGTGAGGAAGAAATTAAATAAAAATAAACAAGATTGAACTAGGATGTCTCAACTGATGTAGATCAGGATGATTTATTACATAGAGAAATATCTGATGATCTTGAGTCTCAACTAAGATATCATACGAAATGTAAAATGGAAGATACAATTTTCAACTAACTTCCAATTTATAAATATGATAAATCAACCAATTATGATGATAGTTTACCAGATTCTCCAAACAAACTTGAATAGAATTTAATTTAGAAGTCTTCATTTACTTCCCCTAAGATTAAACGAAGAAATTCTTGGTCGAGTCCTACAACCATAACGGACTTTGCCGTTACTTTGACTGAAACTAAACAAAGCAAAGAATGCGATGATTTAAAAAGGCATTAAAGATAGAGAACATCTATTAATTTGCCAACTCCTTCAAAAAATAATTAATTATTGAAGGAAATAAACTTAAAAGAAGAAGAATATTTATTAGAATAAGAAAAAAAAGGTAAAGATAGAAAGAAAATTCTTGTGAAAATGCAAGGACCATGGGGAGAAGATTGGGATCATAAGTTGGAATTGATAAAAGAATAATCTCCTTTTAAAGATTTTGAATCATATTAAATTAGAGCCATTATGGTTAAAGGAGGAGATGACTTAAGACAGGAGCTCATGGCTATGCAAGTAATATAAAAATTAGACTCAATATTTAAAGCATCTGGATTAAATTTATATTTAAAGCCATATGAGATTATTGTAACATCCGAGAATTCTGGTCTCTTAGAATTTGTTCCAAATACGATATCTATGGATGCAATGAAAAAATATTTGAAATCCAATAAATTTAAGACTTTGAGGGAATTCTTTAAATTCTATTTTGGAGAAGACTTTCATTTTGCTTAGAGAAATTTCATTGAAAGTTTAGCTGGATATTCATTATTGACATATATTATGTAGATAAAAGATAGACATAATGGAAATATATTAATTGATAATTAAGGTCATCTAGTTCATATTGATTTTGGATTTATTTTATCTACTTCTCCAGGTAACGCAGGATTTGAAACAGCTCCATTTAAAATGACATAAGACTATATTGAATTAATGGATGGAACTAGTTCAAAAGCATTCAAATATTTCACAGAATTAATGATATCTGGATTCCTAGAATTAAGGAAGAGTTTTGCTGCTTTATTATAAATTATTGAATTGATGATGGAGAAAAGCAACTTTCATTGTTTTTCTAACTTTAATATTAAAGAATTTAAAGATCGATTCAAGTTGCAAGATAGTGTTGAAAAAGTAAGAATTGGTATCTATTTTTTTAGTGTAAAAAGAATATTATAACATTAATTAATGACAGCATCAGTAATAAGAGAACATATTGTTATGATAAGTTTTAATAACTTACAAATGGAATTTGTCCATGATAGACTTACTAAATTTAAATCATATCAATTATATTTAAGTTATTTATTATTCTAAAACAATATGAAATAGTCAATTCTGCTTAGAGATGAATACAATTATGAATATGAAATAGACACAAATTAAATTATCGGAAAAGGTGCCATAAACAAAGTCTTTAACTGTTACAAGAAGGTTGGAAATTAATCATTTGAATGCTGTGCAAAAGTAAAATTTTAAATTATTAAAGATTATAAATATTACTCCATCTAATAAGGAAATGGTAATCCAAGAATATGAAATCTATAAGACTATTAAAAATTTACAAAATCCCAATATTGTGACAATTCATCATTTAGAAATTATTGAAGAAAGGTCATACTTTGCAATAATTATGGAGAAGTGTATCTCTACTCTTGAACAGGAATAGAGGGAGAAACAAAAATATGAGGAAGAAGAAATTCTTGATTTTTTAAGACAATTCATTAATGGATATAAAGTACTTTATGATTTGAAAATTATCCATAGAGATATAAAACCAGCAAATATCCTTATATAATAATATGGAAATAAGAAATTATATAAATTGGCTGATTTTGGAATAGCTTAATTTTGTGAATAAAATAATTTATGGCTAACCAAATTAGGAACTCCTATGTTTGCTTCACCTGAATTAAATGTTTTGAATAAAGATAATAATCTAAGATAAAATTTAGCTGAAATGAACAAACAGCATTAGAGAAGTGTAGTTGATATGTACTCTGTACTTATTTCTTTAAATAAAGCTTGGTATTGTAATAAATCTCATGTTCACAGGAGAATATCCATATTAGGATGAACATCATAGTATTATTAATTTTATGCGTACACTTGAATATCAACCTTTTAAGATTCATTAATTTTAGAGTGAAATAATTAAACTTTTAGTAGAAGGTATGATAGAGTATAATCCTAAAAAAAGAATGAATTTTTAATCTTTATGTGAAATTTTTAATAGACTCTGTATTGTACCTGAATATAAAGTAAGAGATGCTTTTAGCTCATTAACCCATAGCATTGAACAAAATCAACTAGATTAACAAAAATCAAATGTATTCTTAAACTAGCTAAATTTTGCTCAAAAACAAAACAGAGGCATTCCATTTAGTTAAAAAAATGTTTAATAATAAAGTCTAAGCTTTCTACCAAATTTGCAAAATATGCCATTTCAACAAATCCCAAGATCTCCACTCAATTATCAAAATAATCCTTATTATCAAATCCCTACTTTCCCACTCTGTCAAGGAATCCAAAATTAATCATCGAATTTACAAAACTATGCTCCCAAACAACATCAAGGACCTCCACCAAATTTTTTTTATTAACAAAACTATAGCCTTCCACAAAATTTTCCATATTAACAAATCCCAAATTTTCTACAATATGTACCAAATTTTGGTTATATTCCAAACTTTCAACCAAATTAGCAAATTCCAGGCCTTTAGCTTAATTAATAAATCCCAGGCTTTTAGGTTAAATAATAAATCCAAAATATTCCAATAAATTAACAAATCCCAGGTTGTCCACTAAATTATCAAAATTCACCTTTTTATTAAATCCCACAATTTCACCTGAAATAATAAAATTGGTAATACTAGCAAATCCCTTTGCCCAAAAATTATTAATATTTTTAATATTAACAAACCCCAAACTATATTTTAAATTTTCAAAATTATACTCAATAGCAAAACCAAGGCTTTCCTAATTAATATTAAAATTTTGCTAAATAAATTCTTCATGTTAGGTATAAAATTAACAAAAATTTGTTTAATAACAAAACTAAGGCAAACAATAAATTTTTTATATCCAAAAAAACTCAAGTGAAATTCTGAATTCACAAAATCATGAAAAAAACATAAACAATCCATAAAACATACCTTTCACTTAATAAAAGAACTCAATTATTATACCTAATTAATAAAAACTTTCTTTGTAGCAAAACCAAAATGTTCAACTAAAATCAAAGAATTTCGCTTAATAAAACTCTAGTGAGATATTTAATGAGTTAAATTTTAATCGAGAATAAAACTAAAGTATTCTACAAAATTACCAAAGTTATATTTAACAACAATTCAAAGATGTTTAAGATCTATAGTAAGCTGGTAATTAAAAACATTAAAGCGAAAAAAGCGAGCCACTAAATCAACAAAATTTTGATGTAGAAAATAACCAAAGTATTCCAATAAATTAAGAAGTTTTTGCTTAAAATCCTAATTAAGGAATTCCATAAAAATAATAAGGCTTTATTCAATAGAAAAAAAACAACTTGGGTTAGCTCATAGATTAATAAAAATTTGCTCAAAAACAAAATCAAACCTTCCCACTAAATTAACAAATATTTCCTTTCCAACCAAACACTAACTTTCCATTATTGTAACAAAATTATGCATTTAAACAATTCACAGGCCTTCCACTAATTTATCAAAACATGTATCAATAGAAAAATAAAGGCCTTCCTCCGAACATACAAACTATTCCTTAAAAACCAAATTTCGGAAAAGAAAATGTTTAAAATTTATAAAATCATGAATACGCATTTAAAATGATGTTGTAAAAGCAATCAGTAAANTTAAAAAAATGTTTAATAATAAAGTCTAAGCTTTCTACCAAATTTGCAAAATATGCCATTTCAACAAATCCCAAGATCTCCACTCAATTATCAAAATAATCCTTATTATCAAATCCCTACTTTCCCACTCTGTCAAGGAATCCAAAATTAATCATCGAATTTACAAAACTATGCTCCCAAACAACATCAAGGACCTCCACCAAATTTTTTTTATTAACAAAACTATAGCCTTCCACAAAATTTTCCATATTAACAAATCCCAAATTTTCTACAATATGTACCAAATTTTGGTTATATTCCAAACTTTCAACCAAATTAGCAAATTCCAGGCCTTTAGCTTAATTAATAAATCCCAGGCTTTTAGGTTAAATAATAAATCCAAAATATTCCAATAAATTAACAAATCCCAGGTTGTCCACTAAATTATCAAAATTCACCTTTTTATTAAATCCCACAATTTCACCTGAAATAATAAAATTGGTAATACTAGCAAATCCCTTTGCCCAAAAATTATTAATATTTTTAATATTAACAAACCCCAAACTATATTTTAAATTTTCAAAATTATACTCAATAGCAAAACCAAGGCTTTCCTAATTAATATTAAAATTTTGCTAAATAAATTCTTCATGTTAGGTATAAAATTAACAAAAATTTGTTTAATAACAAAACTAAGGCAAACAATAAATTTTTTATATCCAAAAAAACTCAAGTGAAATTCTGAATTCACAAAATCATGAAAAAAACATAAACAATCCATAAAACATACCTTTCACTTAATAAAAGAACTCAATTATTATACCTAATTAATAAAAACTTTCTTTGTAGCAAAACCAAAATGTTCAACTAAAATCAAAGAATTTCGCTTAATAAAACTCTAGTGAGATATTTAATGAGTTAAATTTTAATCGAGAATAAAACTAAAGTATTCTACAAAATTACCAAAGTTATATTTAACAACAATTCAAAGATGTTTAAGATCTATAGTAAGCTGGTAATTAAAAACATTAAAGCGAAAAAAGCGAGCCACTAAATCAACAAAATTTTGATGTAGAAAATAACCAAAGTATTCCAATAAATTAAGAAGTTTTTGCTTAAAATCCTAATTAAGGAATTCCATAAAAATAATAAGGCTTTATTCAATAGAAAAAAAACAACTTGGGTTAGCTCATAGATTAATAAAAATTTGCTCAAAAACAAAATCAAACCTTCCCACTAAATTAACAAATATTTCCTTTCCAACCAAACACTAACTTTCCATTATTGTAACAAAATTATGCATTTAAACAATTCACAGGCCTTCCACTAATTTATCAAAACATGTATCAATAGAAAAATAAAGGCCTTCCTCCGAACATACAAACTATTCCTTAAAAACCAAATTTCGGAAAAGAAAATGTTTAAAATTTATAAAATCATGAATACGCATTTAAAATGATGTTGTAAAAGCAATCAGTAAACACTAATATATAAAATTTTTTGACATCTTATGTGAAAAAGGCAATGTAAAAATTTATAAAATTTAAGGTTAATTTTTAAAAAGATTTTAAATCCAGATATAATAAAAACCTTAGAATCATACATTTTGGGGAATAGTAATTTCAATGAGATTCATAGTCTATTTGATAACTTTGATAAAAGTCTAGACTACACGGATGAGGATATATAATTTTATTACTGTTTGAAATATGGAATAAGGAATCAAACATCAATCGCGTCTATCTCTACATCTGAATAATTTAAAGATTTATGTAGATGATGATATATAATTAAAATTATTGAAAATTCATTTTGAATATGATTTAATAGATAAATTAAATTTATTATAACAAATATGTAACGAAACCCAATGGCTATGGTTCAACCTAAATAATCAGAGACAATACTGCTAAATTAAATAAACTCATGAAAATCATAACTTTCCTTCTAGGTAAACGAAAGTAATTTAAAATTCAATATTTTAACTAGATGGGAGATTCTCTAAGGAGCTTAGTATTTAAAAAGTTTGGGAATTACTAAAGTTGATGTAATTCATCAAGACATCAAGCATCAAACTGATTTATTGTATTTGGCTCCCATATTTATTGTATACGAAGATCATATTAAAAATTATGATGTGATACTTCAAAAGTAAATGGTGATAACTTAAAGATTTAACTTGATATATTAGAATATAAATTCTAAAATTAAACGCAGCTGTGGTTGCTAAGAAAAGAAAACAGAATATATTCAAAGATTCAGTAAAGTTAGAATGAAAATAAGTTGTTGAAACATTAAAATTAGTATTTAAAACAAGAAATAATTAATCTTTAAAATAAAGGATAATTGAGTCAAATTGAATTATCAAAGGAATTATAGCAGATGCACAAAAAGAGAAAGAGAATTATTTGATAAATAAGTGAAAGAGAAATTGATTAATCGAGAGATGAAAATAGAGCACTAAAGAGATAATTAGATTAGAATAAGCGTAAATTAAAATAAACAATTCGAATAATGGATAACTATGAAAACAAAATCTAAATCTTATTAAAAAAAAAAATTATAAAATTTTGATAAATTAATTAAAAAAAGAGAGGGAAATGCTATTAAAGATCGATATAAATTAAAAGAATAATAATTTGATTAGACTTTATAGTACTAAATGGTTAAACATAGAGAAGAACTGAACAATCTCAAAGAAAACTAAGATAAGCAATAAGAGAGTTTAGAAATAAACTAAATTACAGCTATAAATGATAGATTAACTAACGAAATAAAAACAGAAATTACTCGTATGGAAAATGGGTTGAAATTAGATTTTGAAACTAATTCCTAGTAAACAGATGATTTACAAAGATAAATAAGTGAATTGACTGAAAAAATTCATTGCTTGTGCAAAAATTAACTGATTAGATCTGAATTAACAGTCGAAAATAGGAACTTTCGACACGGAAAGGCAAAATTAATTCATTAACCAGACAATGTTAAATTTAATTAGAAGAACTTGCTAAAACAAAAAGGCATTATGAAGCAAGATTAGCATAGATATAAGATGAATATACTTATAAAATAAAGAATCTCTCATTACAAATGGAAGATGCTGTCAATAGAGAACGATAAAGTAGAGAAAAATCAGTTAAACTATTATAAGATTATATTAAATTGAAGAGATACTTAAAGTAGAGTATAATTCTAGAATTCTCGAGTAGAAACAACAATTAATAATTTAAAGAGTATGAATCATCAATAAACTTTAAAATAAGTATTAATCAATATTTTTAGATTAAATGAAATAAGGAATGTTCATTGATTACAAAACCACCTGTGATATTTTCAAACAATAAAACTTAAGGCTCTTAATTTACTATCGAAAGATTTAAGCCAAAAATATTAAAATTAGCAATTGTATTTTCCTAATCAAAATTTATTTTTATATAAGTCCCTATTAGGAAATAATATCTAGCAAAATGTTATTTACTCTAATTCTAATTACATAATCTAAATTGATCTATTATATATCAAATTAATAATTGTAATTAATTCAATACAAGGTCCAATTTTTTTCATTAATTTTAGTCTGAATACATTTTTAGTAATATTTCTGATATAATTATATCACTAATCAAATTAATTATCTTTATTATTTAAAATAATTCATCCTCTTAAGTTGCTTAAATTTAGATGTTANATAAGTTGTTGAAACATTAAAATTAGTATTTAAAACAAGAAATAATTAATCTTTAAAATAAAGGATAATTGAGTCAAATTGAATTATCAAAGGAATTATAGCAGATGCACAAAAAGAGAAAGAGAATTATTTGATAAATAAGTGAAAGAGAAATTGATTAATCGAGAGATGAAAATAGAGCACTAAAGAGATAATTAGATTAGAATAAGCGTAAATTAAAATAAACAATTCGAATAATGGATAACTATGAAAACAAAATCTAAATCTTATTAAAAAAAAAAATTATAAAATTTTGATAAATTAATTAAAAAAAGAGAGGGAAATGCTATTAAAGATCGATATAAATTAAAAGAATAATAATTTGATTAGACTTTATAGTACTAAATGGTTAAACATAGAGAAGAACTGAACAATCTCAAAGAAAACTAAGATAAGCAATAAGAGAGTTTAGAAATAAACTAAATTACAGCTATAAATGATAGATTAACTAACGAAATAAAAACAGAAATTACTCGTATGGAAAATGGGTTGAAATTAGATTTTGAAACTAATTCCTAGTAAACAGATGATTTACAAAGATAAATAAGTGAATTGACTGAAAAAATTCATTGCTTGTGCAAAAATTAACTGATTAGATCTGAATTAACAGTCGAAAATAGGAACTTTCGACACGGAAAGGCAAAATTAATTCATTAACCAGACAATGTTAAATTTAATTAGAAGAACTTGCTAAAACAAAAAGGCATTATGAAGCAAGATTAGCATAGATATAAGATGAATATACTTATAAAATAAAGAATCTCTCATTACAAATGGAAGATGCTGTCAATAGAGAACGATAAAGTAGAGAAAAATCAGTTAAACTATTATAAGATTATATTAAATTGAAGAGATACTTAAAGTAGAGTATAATTCTAGAATTCTCGAGTAGAAACAACAATTAATAATTTAAAGAGTATGAATCATCAATAAACTTTAAAATAAGTATTAATCAATATTTTTAGATTAAATGAAATAAGGAATGTTCATTGATTACAAAACCACCTGTGATATTTTCAAACAATAAAACTTAAGGCTCTTAATTTACTATCGAAAGATTTAAGCCAAAAATATTAAAATTAGCAATTGTATTTTCCTAATCAAAATTTATTTTTATATAAGTCCCTATTAGGAAATAATATCTAGCAAAATGTTATTTACTCTAATTCTAATTACATAATCTAAATTGATCTATTATATATCAAATTAATAATTGTAATTAATTCAATACAAGGTCCAATTTTTTTCATTAATTTTAGTCTGAATACATTTTTAGTAATATTTCTGATATAATTATATCACTAATCAAATTAATTATCTTTATTATTTAAAATAATTCATCCTCTTAAGTTGCTTAAATTTAGATGTTATTGAAGAAGAGACATGATAAGGATGATTTCCTTAATAAGAAAAAAAATAAACATACGAAAAGATTAATATTTATCGATTATCACTAATTAAATGAAAAATGTAAATATATACTTAATATTAATTCTATATTGTACTTTATACAGTCTATATATATATTTTTTAATGTACCGGTAGGATATTTTCATGTAATCTAAGTGAAAGAGAACTGATATCATGATTAAGTTATTACATATTTTATAATTATGTTAAAAAATAAAAGTTAATAGTTTTCCTTCGAAGAAAGATAATTATATTAGATTGTAGAGAGTTTTAAAGATTATAAGTATATATTTCCTTCTTAATGACAGAATTTGCGATGCTATAACTTTTTGTTAAACAAAGCTAATGTTTTATAATATGTCTAAACATAATACGTAATATAACAGATGATTTACCGATTAGTTGTTAGAATTGAGATTGTATTTAAGTCTCTTCTTGTCAAGATAGATATTTTCATTGAATAAATAATATTTTGAAAAAATGTAATTGATATTTCTATTCTTCTTGATTCAATGGATTAAATGTTGGAATGTTATAACTTCAAAAAAAATTATTGAGTCAATTAAGAATGACTAAATGATTTTAGAGGAGGATTATTTGATTGTGGCAAATGGAAGCTACTCAATAAAATATGAGGGAGTGTAGGCGTATAGGAGATTACATATAATGTTTGATGCAAAATCAAATTTTAGTTAAGTAGAGATACTAATTAAGGTTAATGGTATTAAGAGAAATTTTTTGGTTGTTGAAAAAGATTTTACGGAATACCATATAGAATTTGAGCATTAGGCCTCCGATATAATAATACAGTTCATTTTTAGTGATTTTATCTAATTTTCAATAAGGAACTTTAACTTATTTATTGATGAATGTCCATAGAATTGCAAATATTGCTTATCTGGATTTTGTGAGCTCGAGATATTAGATTAATGTGAAAAATTAAGATTTAAAGATTAATGCGTTGATGAATGCCCAAAAGGATATATAGCTGAGTTTAGAGAATGCATAAAGACAAGTATATAATTTGAAATAAATGAGGTTTAAATTAAATGGGTTTAAATTAAAAGTCTGTAAAAAATGATTTTGGATTAACTAAGAGATTTGGAGAAAATTAAGAATTACTTATTGATTTTTAATAAAATTTTGAAGGGTATTTGGAGATCTTGTTTAATTGTTATGGCAAACAGGAGGAACACTACAATTCAATTTTAAAGATTTCCAAAGAAAATGCTCAACCTGAAACAATTCATCCTTTTCTCCCAATCTATTATAACACTTAATCATATAAATATTGTAAACCAAGGTTCGAATTGGATTGCATATAGGTGAAGGGTTACTTTAAGATGTAATTTTAAGAATAAAATAACATTACGATTTATAGTTATTCAAAAAGTTCAGAGAATGCTGGATATTGGATTATTGAAGAGATTAAACTATATGATAAAGAAATAAAATCTTATGATTGTAGAATCAATGAATGTGAATAGTGTTCATTTAATAAAGTATGTAGTAAATGCAATCAAAATTTATATTTATATGAGAATTAATGCATAAAATAATGTCCTTATTATACAATATAAAAAGATGCTTAATGCATCAATATTGATGAATAATAACAAGGTATTTTCTTTAATAATTGTTTAAGATGTTAGTTTTCTTGTAAAATTAGTTTCTCCATTTCAGAAATTCCTAGAAATCTTTGGCCAAAAAACTTTTGACATGAAGGAATTGATTAGTTTTAGATATGAAAATGGGACTACATTTATTGGAGGAGGTTTGAAAGACAATTGGCGAAGGACTACTTTTACAAAATAATTAAATCTTGGAAAACATTACTAGATTAGATTGATGTTTAACTTAACAATTGAGAACTCTACTTCAGATTCAGATTGCTTTACTTACACAATAGATGGCAAAACATTTTTGGTGCATAAGAATGTATCTTTCATTGATCGTACACTTTATCATAATAAGAATATCCTTAATATGAATTTAGGATGTAAAATCTCGAGTAATGGTAGATGTGTAATCTCTAATTATTATTTCATGACAATGAAAGTAAGAATCTGAAATAATTTAGTGTTCTCCACTTTGTCTCTAATGTGTGGGCTCACTTGCATCAGATTGTAGAGCATTTCAAAAAAATATAGAAAAGTTTGATTATTCAAATTTATAATGCATAGATGGTTATTATTTAGATGAGAATGGATGTCAAAAATGTTCTGTTGGTTGCTTGACTTGCGAATCTTACAACAAGTGTTTAAAATGCAAAGATGACAAGGATGGACAGTTTTATTGTTTGCCTTACAACTGATTTTTAATGTTAATTGTTTATTTTTAAAAAATCTGAATTATTTTTGAAGATTCATATATAATTTGAGGTGATATAATAATAAATAAATAAAATTAATAAGACATTCATTTTTTATTATTACTAAATATTTTATTATTGATTCTTATATAATTTTGACATTTGATTGTGGATTACTTGCTAAATCTATCTGTGTTTTGAGGGGATTTGTATGATGGCAAAGATAAGGTTGAATTCTTTTGTACATCACTTAAGTTCAATTTAAGTTATGCTTAAGCAATGGCGGATGGATTTGAGTTGCCAACATAATGTTTATTTAAAGGTGGTAAGATTTTCCGATCATTATTCTATTTTTTAAATGGTCTAGGTTGTAATTATTCATCACTCATTTATTAATCTTAGTTGTATTGATGATTGAGCTAGATCAATTGAGATACTAATTTTGATCTCTTTTCTACAGTTAATCTGTGATTCTAAGTAATTGAAGATGACATACATTGATTTAAAATTGCAAAGCATTTCTGTCTTGACAATAAGATAGATATCTCAATAATCGGACAAAGTCAGTAGAATAATAATTGGATTCTTTGGCTTGTTCTCTCATTTTTCTCATCATTTCTCTAAAAGCTATTTAAATACGTTGATTTACATTGTGTAGCCTATTCATCGTACATAATATGTTTGAATTCTTCTAATTCAATAGATTCTAAATAATATGGAGATTGATATACTGTTATTGTCTTTATCTGCTTTCTCAAAAAAGCCTCTCAACAAATTGATGTTGATCGGATAGCCGTTCTTGAGAAACATGGAGTACAACTCTTCAATTTCAAGTGTCTCTACAAATCTAGATGGGCAAAGTTACTTGATTAATCTCTGTCGATTAAACGAAATGTGTTTGTGACAACATTGTCATTCATTATTTCACGTGATGATTTCAAATACTGCAATTTAACTTTGGATTGACATCGAGAATTGAACCACTATTTTGATTACACTGAATGGAGTATTTGATCAGATGGAGGTAATATCATTAATATAATTATTGGAGCAAGTATATTTATATATAAATTTAAAAAAAATAATCACCCAAACGATAAGAAGCGAATAGTCAAATTTTATTAGTAAGTGTATTTGATGATGAAATTGATTATAATATGACAACAGAATTTATCAATATAATTTTAGTATATCTCTCTAGATTGATGTAATATGGATTTATTTATATAAATAACATAATGAAATAGCTGTAATTCCTAGTTTTATCAATCCTTATGATGAAAATCCATTGTGGTACTAGTTATCATCCGATCTTTAGGTTGGGAACTTTTCTAATCAGAGTTAATGGATAGTTCAACATTTCATTTGTGGATCAATTCAAACAACATCCCTTCATCAAATTTGTTACTAGTTTGCGACTTATAACCAACTCTCAATTCAAAAATACTTTAAGGTGATATTTCCCTAACTCGTAATATCCTAATGTCTCCATTTAGAGGATTTAGTAAAATCAGAATCAGTTTCGATATCTACTATTTTGGTTTATGGAATTCTGTAGAGGCTCTAACTGTATATGCCAACAGTTTGTTAGTGCATTACGAAACTCCAAATAACAGTTATTTAGAGGATTATCCAATGAGATATTGTATGGCAAGGCCTTTCGGGAAATCGAACTCTGAAAAAATCTCAAGAATAGATTAAACAATATCATTTAATGATCCTTAATTAAACATTGAAATTGTACATGAGTAATATACTGCTGGTTCGACCAGTGATTATGGAATAACAAATTTTGTATTATAAGTTTTTTATTGTGATGATCTTTGTGAAGAATGTGATGAATATAAATGCTTGACATGTAAGTTAGGATATGAATTGATAAAATCATAATGTAGATGCAATCCATTAATAAATTATTCATTTTTCAATCCAGATTTGTAATGTCTTAATGAATGTCCACTTAATCATGTGCCTGATAAGAATGGTGTTTGTTAATTGGCAACAATAAACAATATCTATATGGATTTGGATTAGGATAACTTCAATATTTACAAATTCCAATATATTCCCGATAAATATTATAGTACTATATAATTGATGACGCAAACAATTGGAACCAAGAGCGTGGCTGGTATGTTTGGTAATACAGACAAAATTGTGTATAATGATATTTCATTGCCTGCAAATGGGTAATATGAGATGAGATTTACTTTGTATATGACTGGTAAAATGGGCAGTTTGATGCCAGAAGAAATACTAATTAAATTCAATTAGTTTGTGGTGGTCAAGTTACAGGACTTTCAATCAGTTTTCTTATTATCATACTTTAATCAGGGTAATAGAGTTACACCTAAAGAAATTTGCAATTCTCCCGACTATTAATAATGTAAGTGTTACTCAATTTATATTAAATTTGATTTGACAGAAACAGTCAATGAAATAGAATTCGATTCTAAATTTACATTAAATAAGACATCGCGGAAATGGGGAATCAGAGATTTCGTAATTAATCAGTATTAAATAACAAGTAATCAAATGAATTGTTTAAATAATTGTTAAACTTGTAAATTCAACGCTTTAAATACATGCTTATCTTGTGTTGGCAGTAGAAGTCTATTTAAAGGGATGTGTATTGATTAATGCCCAGGTTATACAAGTGCGATCAACAATGTTTGTGTTGATTCACAAATAGTCAATAACAATTAGGAGTATCTGACCAACATGTTTCATGATTTGAATCATTAATACTTGGAGTCTTATTCAAATAAATTAAGTATGAAATCATACACATACTTTATGAACAAGTTAATTTTAGGAGGACTTAATTTTTGGAGCAATGAACAGGTGATACACAAATTGAGAAACAAGAAGCCATTCTACAAAATCAAATTAGATTTCAAGTTAGTATTCATTGATTCTAAGAACTATCAAATTTAATTTAGAACAAGTGTTAATTCTGAAATTCCAACATATTCATTATTTGGAAGTGGAGTTTCAGTTGGTAATCAAATTGGTTAATCTGAGATTGAGGTGATTTAGAGTGTAAGTTATGTGAAATCATTCTAATCCACTAATGAATTATCAGTGCAATTACACTGCATTAGAAATATTGACAGTGAGGCATATTGTGGGATATTTGATTATCGAATTATCATCTGGACTTGTTAGGGTAATTGTTTGGAATGTGATGATAATGGCAATTGTTTGAATTAGATAGATACAATAAGCACTGATTTCAATGGATGTAAAGTTGGATATTATGTGGATAATAATGGGGAGTGTAGTATTTGTGATATTGGATGCAGTAGTTGTAATGGATATAAAGATTGTATTATATGTAAAGATGGATATGAATTGAGAAATAAAATATGCTATTGTTCTATTCTAAAGGATGTAATTGAATATTGTTCACAAACTAATTGCTTCCATAATTGTTAGACCTGTTTAAATAATAGAGTAGACGTTGGTGCAATACGTCCTAAACATCCCAATAATTGTTTATCTTGTGATGAAACCAAAAATTTATGGTTGAATGTTAATTAATGCACATGTCTAGATGGATATTATATGGAGAATTTTAGTTGTTATTTATGCTATCCAACATGTAGAAAGTGTTAAGACAGAGCTCGAAATTGTTTAGCTTGTCTTCCAGGATAAAATAGAGTATTGGAATCATCCTCTTGTGAATGTCAAATGGGCTATTTTCAAGAAGACAATGATTTAGTATGTTCTAAATGTTCAGATCTATGTCTTAAGTGCAATTTTACTAAGGATCGATGTAGTTCTTGTCATCCTGCTCACAATAGAATACTTGCAAATGACACTTGTATTTGTATGGATGGGTATTATGAAGTTGGTAAATTGAATTGTTAAAGTAATTATTTCCTCTAATTATTAGTGTGTCCTTCAACTTGTAAAACATGTCTAGATGCAAATACTTGCACTTCATGCTATGATAGTCAATTTAGAATTATGAGTATTAACAATAAATCTTGTACATGTTAATCGGGGTACTTTCAACAATCTTCTGATGTTTGCGGATGTAATTTAATTTATATAAATCTTAGTGTGTCATATATCATGTCTAGAATGTTCTAAAAATACAAACTAATCCTGTAGTAGATGTCCTAGTACTAGGGAACCTCTGATAACAAATAATAGTCTTCAGTTCTCTTGTAAATGTAGAAGGGGATATTATGAATCCAATGAAAAGTAATGTCTGAGTTGTAATGATTATGTCAATCCTCCAATTACTCATTACTGCTATTCAAAGTGTGGAGATGGTATTATACAATGGAAGGAGGATTGCGATGATGGCAATGATAATTATAGAGATAATTGCTATAAATGTTTAAATGGTAACTCGTTTTGTTTAGATCACACATGCACTGCTTGCGATGCTGGTCGTTGCACAGCCTGTATTGATGGATTCTATTTAACACAAGATTCTATGTGTCTGCCCTGCGATCAAAGTTGCAGGACTTGCATACACAAATCGGATAATTGTACTGATTGTATTGTATATTAATCTGATGGATCTGGATGCGTTATGTGTAACCAAAGTCAAGGTTATCAAATCTAGGGTGATTAATGTGTCCCTATTTGTGGAGATGGTATCAAAGTTTAGAATGAACAATGTGATGATGGAAATCTAGAGAATAATGATGGATGCAATCAATAATGTCAAGTCGAAGAGGGTTATTAATGCTAGACCTTATGTGAAAAAATAATCTATCCATCCATTATATTTGAATAAAATCCCTATGATAACAAATATGACTCGTAAAGAATTGTAAGAATCAAGACAGATCAATAAGTATCAATATCTGGCAGTATCAATTCAATTATGAAATTCAAAATCAATAATTTAAATCAATACGAAATCACTATTATAGATCTAACATAATATTCTGGATAGTATACTTAAATGTTTCTAGAATTGAACATCCAATTTCAATCAGTAGTTTCCAGTCCTTAATTAATTTGTTAAATAATAGATCAAGATGCTATACTCAATAAATAAGGCAATACATTCAAAGAGAAGAATTATGTTACTTCATTATTGGAATTTCAGACTCCTTCAAATTCAACTGAAAGTGCAACTGATGGCTTAATGAAATTGAGTAAGTATATTTTGTACCTGCTCTTTGGATTCGCTGTTTTGGCATTTCTATTTGGAGGTCTGAATATATTTTGGAATCTCTTGGATGTTCTACAATTAGTATCCTACTTATAATTTTTGAATGTGGAATATCCTTACAATGTTAACAATTACTTTACTATATTTGGATTTGCCTAATTCGATTATATTAAACAATATATTAATTTAGAATAATACATTAGCGAATATGTGAATACACCCGATGCGGATCCGAAGTTTTTAGATGAAGGATACTCCACTGTTTTCTATGTAAACATCATAACAGTTTTGACTGTGTTCATAACTACATTGATCACCTTCATTGGATGTAGAATGCTTTTTTCAACTTTGACTAGGATTTCACATTCTTTTATTTATGCTCCAATAGATTCACAGGAACAAAGTGTGTGCACATTCTTCATCTACAGAATCACAAGAAACTTATAGTAATCTCTCTTAAAAATCAATTAGTAATTTATGTCTGGAGTGATTCGCACATTTATGGCAGTAGCCTTTGACTACAACTTAGCTTTGTTTCTGTAAATAAAGGATGTGTATTTGAAAGACCCAATATTATTCTCCAGTTTTATATTTTGCATATTCGCTCTATTTTTAGAGGTTGCCTTCATTTACTCGGCAATACTGTTCATGTCAAAAGCAGATTATGTTTTCAAGTAGAAAGTGACACAAAATCATTATGGAGCAATTTACGAAGGTGTAAAATTGGAGAAGAATCCTTTCACTTATTACTTCAACATAATCTTATTGATAAAAAAGATGTTATTCATGATGTTTTTAGTTATGTTTTACTCAATTCCTTGCATTTAGATTGGATTGGTGTCCCTATTAAACTTGGGAATGGCTGCTTATTTAATCAAAGTGAAGCCTCTTGAAGATAAAGATGAATTAATAAAGCAAGTTGGATCTGAGATGATTATTTGGTTAGCAGAATTGTTTATAATGGGTTTTGCCATTAATGAGTAATCCAATTAATTGGAAGAGAATGGAAAATTGAATTTAGGATGGTTTGTCATAGCATCTACATCATTTCTTATTTTGTTTCAATTGTTCATCGATATTAAGTAGCATATCAACTTCTTAATTCATGAATATGCTATAATAAAAAAGTTGATTGATAGAATCAGAATGTTTGTTAGTAAATAAGAACCAGAAGAGGAACAAAACATATTCCTTAAGGGAAGAAGAAGACTAGGATTTGAGAACATAACTTCATTGAATAATCTCAATAGCACAAAGAACAATAGATCAACTTGCCATTTTAAATAAGGAAGAGTTGCAACATTTACAGTCAGCTCAAGTAGCAGCTGAAGTCCATCCTCTTATCTTTTGCTGTGTATATATTATTTCATATCTATATATATATATATCCAATCAAAGTATTCAATCATTCTCAATATATATATCCCTTAGGACCTTGACTAAGCAAAGTCGAATTATCTACTTCATTCAATTTCTGTCCATTCTTCAGTTTATCCACTAAATCAGGATCTACAGACATATCAATATGTTTCATACTTGATGTAAACAATCTTCCAAAACTGATAGCATCACAAAACTGTTTCTGTATTAATTTATCCCCCATCTAAGGTGTGACTTTTCCATTCCCTATTATCTAACCTTTAAAAAGAGGTCTACAAAATTAAAAGACATTTGCAATATCAGATTTAGATGATGGGTAACCAAAATCCAACCAGTTTTCAGGATAATCGTCATCTCTAATTTCAATGAATCCCACATTTCTCAGATCTAGTTATTCTAGCAGATATTTGTATAGCTCTTTAGGATTTGGGTCATAGGAGTCATATTATCTTGTAATGGGAGAAATTTTGACACCCATCCTTTAGGGATCAAACACTGTTTTTAGATGATCAACTATTTCTAAGATAATGCGGCATCTATTCTCAATGCTACCACCATATTGGTCTTTTCTTTTGTTTGCTGAAGACTTTAGAAAGGAATCCAATAAGTAACCACTACTGGCTTAAATTTCAATTCCATCAAAACCTGCAGATTAAATTAATTTAGAACATTCTTCATATTATTTAATAACCTATTGAATTTCATCAAGACTCATTTCCTTCGGTTGATTGTATTTACTATTCTTAATTTTAATTGCAGATGGTGCCAATGGAGTGTTTACATAATTTGTTACCCTACCGCAATGCCATAATTATGCTATTATCTTACAGCCCTTTTAATGCAATTCAGATACGATTTGAGCCCATGCTTCAGCTTATTTGATATTAAAAATAGCAGATGATCCTTCTTATGCAATCGAATCTAAACTTAATGGCAATCCTTCAGTAATTATAAATCCTGCAGTGCATCTTTACATATAATACTACTTCATCATCGCTGTGGGTATCATCTCTTTGTTATCGCATCGTTATCTACTCATGGCTGCCATCCCAATACGATTTTGGCATTATATTGATCCTAATGAAAATGGAGTGAATAAGTTCATATTTTGTGATAAATTAGTTAGATTGATGTTTTTAAAGAATATTTTGAAAAAATAAATAAAATCTTTTTATTTATAATCATGGGTGTCGGAAAACCAAGAGGTATGCGAGCAGGAAGAAAGCTCAAAGATCACAGAAGAGTTAATAGATGGGCTGATAAGGAATATAATAAGGCTATGATTGGATCAAGATATAAAAATCCATTTATGGGTGCATCACATGCTAAGGGATTGGTTGTTGAAAAAATCGGAGTGTAATAATTAAATGATTATATTTTAGTGAATCCAAATAACCAAACTCTGCTGTCAGAAAGTGTGTCAGAGTATTGCTCAAGAAAAATGGTAAAAAAATATCAGCCTTCGTTCCAAAGGATGGTTGCTTGAACTTTTTGAATGAAAACGATGAAGTCACTGTAGCTGGATTCGGAAGAAAGGGACATGCAGTCGGAGATATTCCAGGGGTCAGATTCAAGATCATCGCTGTTAAAGGCAAATCATTACTTGCTTTGTGGTTAGGCAAGGTCGAAAAATGACAGTACAATAACAATCCATTAAATATATTTATCTAAACCTCACAATTATTTTTTGATTAAAATGCGTTCTCCTTCATCTTCAAACTCCTTCTTTAATATCCACATACTTTTGAATGAGGCCAAATGAGATAAAATTGATCCACCTTACCAACTCAATGTGATTCTTTCAGGTGGGGCCCAAATTTTCACCTTTGATATTCATAGTATTTATACCTTAGCCTCTTTTGGCACTAATCTCTTAACTTCTCCTATTAACCTCTCTGGGAATCCTTACATCATTGAAGTTCCTCCTGTCAAAACAATTTCACTATATAATGGCTTTCTTAAATCTAAATCAACTTTCTATATCGAATTTGCCAAAATCTCAGGGATTGCTAAACTTAATTTCTTTGTATATTACAATTCAATTCTAAACCATATTTCTCTGGACACATCAAAATCTCGGGAGCTCTTTATTTCTCAAAACTCAACTCAATTGTACTATTATCGGGTAACATATATTAATCTTTGATCTTCCTCTCCTCCTAAAACTTGTCCTCTCCAATCATAGCTGGACTTAAGAAGCATCTTTTCTCCTTCACCTTCTTTATAATCTCATATTCTGCCTTTTATGATAATGAACACTCCTTACTGTAGTAGTGAATGTGTATCCTGCCCTTCTCAATAAATTATTCAGATTCTCTGTAATATCTCTACCTGCCAGATCGACTCTCTATGCGCTGTGTTAAATATAGAATCCGTCATATATTGGAATACTTTATGAAACTGTGTCTCCAACATCCAGAATTACTCCTGTTGTCTTACCGCTTGCGAATAGACTGATAACTCCGGATACTGCAAAGAACAAAGCTGGACAATTATAGCTTTCAAAAAATTGTTTTGCAATCTCCACTTTCTATGATTATGAAGCAAATGGCGGTTCGGTCAATAAAATTGGACACTAAAATAAGATTGATAATTACTTCTTTGGGATTTCCATGCAATTCTTAAAATGTATATTTCCATAATTAATCCATTTCATTCATGTCCTTGATCACACCTTTTTGATAAGGGTATTTGATTTTCATCATTCCTCTTGTACTATCTGTAATTTAATTTCCTACATAAAATTCTTGACTATTTGCTACAGGTAAGGCTTTATATTTGGGGCGTCCAATACTTAATTATTTTTCAATTTATTTACTATGAATTGAAAATCAATTTTGGTTTGTCATCCCCACCAAATCCAGCCTTCATCTGACTTGAACCCTATTGGTTGATATTTAGATTTGTTTACCATATCAATTACAATCGAGTTATTAGCAAATATGTCATTATCCATCTTATAAATTAAATATAATTTAATTCATACTTCACATTAATGTGTACATTTTATATATATCAATTTTCATTTATTTTTTGGTTTCTTTTCTTCATTTTATTCTTAAAACCTTTTTTAATATTATGCAGGGATTATTTTGTAATATACTTTGATTATACTCTCTGTGTTTCTTTTTATCATTCAATTTTTTTACGTATTAACATATCATAGTCAAATGATAGTCCCCTCCTTTAACATTATTTTCAATACCCGTTGACAATCTACTTTGATAGTTGTGAATGCAATGTCATCTGCATATCGATTAATTCAAATCTAATCATACTATTTAACAACAGCTTTTCAAAATAAAGAGAGAATAACCCATGTTAGATTTATATAGAATTTTTGATTTTCAATTTGCAAGTTCCAGAATTAAATTAAACAAAATATCCAGGTTAGAATCAAAAATTAAAAATTCTTAATACAATTTCTTGTTTAATCAAATTAATTACCAAAAGTAATTAATTCGATCTTTTTTCTGGTAGATTTATTTATTTATAATTTTATAAATATTTATACTACAAATCAAAAATAATATTCCTTTAAAATATCGTTGAGTTCTTGGTCTCTAATAGGTTTGACGAGATAATTCAATACACCAATTTTCTTACATTCTTCTCTTTCTTTATGATCTGTATATCCTGAACAAGCAATAATAATCTGATTTGGATTTATTTTAAGCGCTTCCTTAGAAGCATTAAAACCATTCAATATTGGCATCTCTAAGTCCATAAAGATTAATCGATAGCCGCTGCATGTTTAACAACATTTTTTTTTTCTCAATTTTTCAATGCATTCACTACCATTTGATGCCGAATCTATGTCTAGAATGTTTCTAACTATCAATATCAATATTTACTTTTTATTCAATAATTTAGTGAATGTAAAAACATTAAAAATCTCATCATCAACTATTAAAATATGAGGACATCTAGTAAGAGGAGGTTCTAAGTCAATTGATTTTGGAGGTTCCAACAAAAATGTCATCCCTTCATCAACATCTTAGGATTAACCTTGATTTTCTTTAATGCGAAAATTTGACACTCTTTTCAGTCTAGTTTATTAGATTTACAAGTTGAAAAAAAAATAAGTACCTTAATTTAACTTTGAATCTATCTATAGACCACCACAACCTATAGAACTTGCTATCTGATTACTGATAACCAAACCTAATCCCACTCCATTCTCATTCCTCTTTCTACTTTCTTCGGAATTTACTTTGGAAAATTACTTGAATAACTTTTTTTAATCTTCATTAGAGATACCAATTCCATCATCTTGCACACCTATTCTGATTGTTGTGTTATCTATAGAAGAGACAAGTATGGTAATTTTATTGGATGCAAATTTAAAGCTATTGCTCAATAAATTGACCAAAATTTATTTAATTCTATTCCTATCACTAAAAACTAGTGAGGGAGCTTAATTATCATAAATGTAGGATAGGTTTAAATTTAATATCTTAGCCTTCAATGCAAATAACTTCAAACACTCTTTAATCAGTAATTATAAATTGAATCTTGTTTATTGAATTGTAAATTTACCATTTTTAATTTAAGCCAAGTCTAGCAAATCATTTGATAAATTTAAAATATAATATGAATTATCTAAAGCCGCTTGAAGCATCTCAGAATTATCTATCGTTAATTAATTAGTGTGCAGTACATTTTCAATCATCTAAATGATGCAATTCAGAGGAGATCTGTATTCATGACTTACATAGGATAGCATTTTTGATTTTTATAGATCATATTCTCTCAAATATTTGATTTTTTATTTATGTGTAATATCTCTAATCAAAATAAAGAATAGATTGTTCTCCCTTTTGGTTATAGTAAGTTCCAACATTCTCTCTGATTTTCTTTCATTTTAAGACATTGCTACAATATTATTAGGGTAAAATGTTTGTAATGTAAAAAATTCGTTCTAAAGACTATTTTATTTAAATTTACTAAAAATTTCTTTAAATTAGTTAACTACTTTTTTTTCTTGATTCAATTCTAAAAGAATTTAGTAATGAGGATTGATGGATTGATTTATCTGTTCATTCTTTAAATAAGCCATACTTTTGCATAATTATTTTTATTGATTAATTTGTAAAAAATTGTCATCTTAGGAATCATGCTATTAATATTATATGTTGTTTAAAGAATTAAAAATGTCAAGAATTTCTTTTGCTGAGTTAACTGAAAACAATGTTTTTGATGCTATATTTGAAAATACTATCTCCATCTCCTAATTCAATTAGTTTAATCTCAAAACTACTAATCCTTCATGTGTAAATTCCATCATTACGTCTAGTATGTTTGTGTTTAAAACGTGTTTTTGAAAAGAGTAATCTGGCAGCAGAAAATGATAGAACGGAAATTCTTTACTCTTTGGGGACAGCTTATCTGTATCAGACAATGAAGATGCCCTGTCCTTCCTAGTGATTATATAATCTATCTTCTGGTTGTGTTGCTAAACACTTAATTTGTTTTTTGGAATAATCACTTTTTACATTCCGTTGGCCAAATTGATAAACAAGGAGAAGAGCAAATAAATTATGCATTAATAAAAGGATATGTCAATTTATTAAGCTTAATATATGTAAAAGATCTACAAACAAGTTGATTAAAGCAACAAAACTAGCCAAAATAATCTACATCGAAACAACTATTTTTGAAATCTTAACAAATCCTCAATTAGTTGTGTTGTGATAAAATGCAAAATGACAACATACGCAGTACATTCAATTTGAGAGTTACTTTCATTTTGAATTAGAAATAAGCATAAACTCAGTTGAATCAATATCAGGCTTCCAATGAATAGGGTTGGTTTATTTTTGGTCTAAAAAAAAAATAATAATAGAGACGAAAGAGCTTAGATGACTAGATATGCCAAATTGGTATTTTCCAATGATTTTAAATAGTAATAAATTGAAAACCCTAATCCATTGGTCTAAAAGAGAATTACTATCAATCTCCACACAGGTTTCATTTATCAAATAATAAATTATACAAAACCTTCATATTATAAGGCTTAAATTATTATTCAAATGAGACCAGTCTGACTGCTTTATTGGAATGTTGCACATTTAAAGAATATTATCAAATGAAATGCAATAATTTGCTGAGAAATTTATTTTAAAATATAAAGGTTACTTAGAAAACTATAGTATAATTGACCAAAATTGTAAATCTTAATTTTAACTAAAAGATAGCAGATTTAAGGAAAGTAATACTAAAATTAGAAGTATTTGATATTATTTATTTTGAGTTCACATTGAGTTAGGTTAAAATATCTTCTCTACTTATAATAAAATATGTATAAAAAAAAGAGATTAATTAGATAAGAAGTTATAATCAAACAAATTCTGCATTAAATTTTTATATTTTAATTTCTGACAAATCAAGATACTGGATTCATGTATAAAAAAAAATATTGTAAATTTCAAAGTTTTAATAGGACTTTCTTCACTATAGCTTTGTGCTTGATGTGACTTGTTTTTTATCTTATTTTCGAATTATAAATATAACACGTACTTTCTTTCCTTAAAAAGTTATTACTATTATTATTCATATAATGTACCCTAAAATCCTTATGACTTTAAGATATTCTTCATCCTAAGTATATTTCACCAGATGAAAGAGATTTCTAAGTTGATTTACAAGTTCACTCATGAACAAGAGAAATTGATTTCCTTTTTCTTCTCCAAGAATTTGAAAAACAGTTTTTTTTTGTCTCAAAGCATACTAGACTATGGCTTTTGAAAAATTTTTCTGAATATTCGTTGAGTCCACCAATAAATTAGGTTTTAAATTGCTCCCTTTTTCGTCTGATTAGATTTAAACTGAAGGTGTTTAAATTTGTTCTGAAGTTTTCTCGAAATCGATGAAAGGAACAGACTTTTTAGGTAGAGTTTCAAGGGTTTTATCCTCTTGTTTTATTGGATCTCCTTTTGTCTTAATGGCAAGAGTTGGCCCAGCCTACATTATTTGATATTGTTAAAAATATGGATTTTAAGCAGGATAATAGTACTAAGGATAGTATTATGAGTAGTATTGTCCTTAGGGAGTTGGCATGAAGTTCTAATATAAGTTCTGGTACATTAAATAATTATTGTTTTTTGCAATATTTTGTATCACATTAGAACCCGATAGAGAATAAAACTTTTATTTAGAATAATTAAAGTATCAGCCGATTAAATTAAAATGTTAATGGTGATTTCAGAAATGTATGCGATACAAAGTTTATGAAATTATCGCATCATATCCATAAGCATTAATAAGCAAGAATTTTTTTTTGAATTAGTATCTAATTCAGAATTATTTTTAAACCTTATTTACAAAAAATAGTTATAAAATATTATTATTATTTATCTGATTAACTCAGACTCACATTTTAAAATACTTTTCAAAATCCTTATCCGTCTATGGACATATAGTATTACTTTTTATACACGTGTGATGGGCAATAACACCATTAGGATACACAACAAACACCTAAGTGATAAAAACTATATTTACCTTTTCACCAATCGATCTACTACAAACTGCACACTTTTTTTCAGATGTAATCCTTACATTTGCTTACTTGGTACTGGCATTCAAGCATTCAACATTCAATAAATCCATGTCAGATAGATGAAATGCAGCTTTTGTTGACCTCTTTTAATGCAATGTGTGGCCTAAATGTAAAGTATATTATTACTTATTACACTATTTAAAAATTAAAATAATCCATCATCTTCGCCTTAATCAGCAAGTATCCAATTCTCAGGTATCATTTCTAATACTTCTAAAGCATTTAGTTAAGAGTGTGTTGCATATTTTTTCAAAAAATTGTTGATTGTAAACTATATTTTGAATGAATATTTGAATTACTTTAACTTAATTAAACGCGAATAATGTTTACTGATCTGTTGGTCTTTCCTTCTATTTTCCCTCCAAAAAGAAATATAGCTCTTTATACTTTAAATTACAGAGAATTCATACCTTTTTGAAGAGTTTAGTCAATAAATTATCAGTATACTCACAACAATATTTTTCAGCCCATTCATAAAATCCAAGATTTAATAATTAACTTAATGCTTCCTCATGTCTCTTTTCCCTACCATACAACAGTATCACTTCCTAAATCATCCAAGAATCCTTTACTTTCTTTTCCAAAATGCTTGAGGAATTATATTTGGCATTTGGATTTTTCAAGAACTTTTTTAATGATTAATATGTTTCCTATGCAACCTAATTCTTCTTCATATCAATTTAAGATGGCTACATTTCTTTAGGAAATATGGTATATAAAAAATCGATGTAAGAGTATACTAATTGAGTATGGAATCTTTCTTCCTCTGTCGACTTTTCCAATACTAAGACTTCTAAATATTTCTCTTTGAGTTTCCTCTTTAGATCTTGTTCCTTTTCTTCATCCAAAAATTTTAGCATTTAATCTGGTGATATTATGCTTTCACTAACGTAAAAGATTTAAATTCCAGTTTTGAATTACTTTTTCAAAACCCATTGAATGAACTTGAATATTCTATTCCTTTCTGGGTTCTACTTAAGAATTCGAGTAGTTTCCTCACAGGCCTCTTATTGAACTTATTAATTCAAAGAATCACCACCAATTGTCCTCCAGACTTCCAAAGACAAATCAATTTTATTAAATGATTCATAAAACCTAGCTAATATACCTTATTATTATTCAATTGCTTTATTATTTTAAAATATGGCTTATAATTCGGGGTACATAGATAAACAATATATTTGATTACAAGATAAAAAGTTCTTTAATTTTGGTAATAATTAAGCCTCTAGATAGGCCTTTATCAATGCAAAATCTATAAGTTCCAAAAGTTATTCACATTGTATTGCATGCCATTAATTTTAATTGAAAATCTAAGTACTTGTTAGTAAATTCAATTTATCCTTCATAGAATAAGCATATTAAGTTGAAGTTAGTACGGCCCTCTTCTTTTCTAAAATTTCAATCAAGAAATCTCTAGCTTATATTTTCAATTCTTAACTCTTCTTAGGATCACCTTTATTTTATTCTTATACATATTTGGCAATAATTAGTGATATCGTATTTTAAGATGGATTTGGATTAACTGATTCTAATTTCTCTACAGCATAGTAATAATCTGGGAACAAACAAATGAAATCTCTTGGTTCAAAATTTGTCTATAATATATAATTCAATGAATTCTAAAACTACATCTATCTAATCAAAGCCCAACCACAATCCAATTTTAACTATTCCAATTATTAATTCTTTTATGCATCTTAGTTTTAATTGTATTGTTAAAATACTTGGAGTGCATCTTCCACTTTCCCCTACTTTAGTAAATCTTATATCTATTGTTCAGGCGGTGTTTAATATAAGTATATGATCTAAAAATGTTGATGAAATAATTCATACTTCACTAGAGCTTCCATAAAATAAATGGTTTGATGTTTAAGTTATACATTTTGCTGATGACGACAATTAGATCTCACTCATTGGTTTAGAATCCAATAAATTGAACACTTGTATTAAGTTATCGAATAATACTATCAGATATTACTTATATATAGTTATTATTTGTATTGATTTGTTTTGTATTTGGATAGTGCTCTTCTATTTGATTTAGCCATCCTTACCAATAAAAATACCAATATTGTTAGTAGTTATTATTAATAATTCATCATTATCAGTTGCCTTGAGATATGGATTAGTACCAATATCCACAATTAAATTGGCTACCTAAAGTTACTTATCATCAAGATTTATCACAGAATAATTTTTCTTTGATATTCCAAAATAGAATAAGGTCCCTATAAATGCAATCGTTACAGGAATATCTGGCAACAAGAATCTCTCCCTCAAACATTCAAATTTTCCTGCTTTCTAATTGTATTATAAAATGAAGCCTTCTTTCTTCTTAGTCACTATTACAATCTCAAGTTAATTAATTTTTGAAAATTCGTTTAAGGCAAATAATGATACCTTTTCTTTGGAAATCTATTCCCCTTTTAGAGTCTTTTCTTCAACAAAAAACAATGTCTGATCTGATAAAACCAAAAGATTAGCATTTGTTTAAGGGAAAACTTTTATTTAATCAATCCTTGATTTAGTTAAAGATTTGGATTATGCTTAATTTGCTTGTATAATCATGGCTTAATCTGGCTACAATTGATATCTAATTCAACTAATCCTTTACCTATATAATGTGCCTTTCTCATCTCCAGTGTATAAGACATTTTAATAAGCATCTATAGAAGATATCTTGTAGTTTATTTCAAGGACACCTCTTGGATTAAATACACTTCCCAATTTCATTAATTTATATATAATATAATTTATATTAATTCATTATTATATAATAGCTTTATTAACAATTATAACTTTATTAGACTTAAAACATTATGAGAGGAACAATTAAAAACATCATTTTCATTTTAAATTTCGTTTATAGATGTGAAGTTTAATTGTTTTTTAGCAGAATTTTACTAATACCTAGATTCTTTAATGAATGAAAATCAGGATTTACCAGAGATGCAATACCTAAATCAAATTTTTAATATTCAAAGAAGAGATAAGATGAAAACCGTTAATGAATAAAAATTCTAATTTTAGTTTTGAGTTTATAGTTAAGTAAGTGAAAAGTTCAAAGTAAAAAAATAAAGAATAAATTATTTTGATTGATTATCTTGTTTGCTCATTTGTCTATTAGATTTTGAAATCTATTACAAATAAAAGATAATCAACTAAATGCTATTTATAACGATAATATTTCATATTTCATATATTCTAACTGTGTGATCATCACTACAGGAAGCAAGCAAATTATTATTAAATTTGATTCTGTTAATAGTTTTAGAATGTTAATGATATTTATCTACAGCAGCAAGCAATTTTAGTTCAAGAGCTTATGTAAATTCAAATGTCTCTAGTTGTCCTTAACCATATGCTACAGCAACAATTTATTTTTCACCATGTTAAACAGAATCTATGGCTGTGATCTCATCTGGGAAATCGATTTCTTTTATTGGCACTGATGCCTCTTTAGTATTGTATATTCTAAATTTTTTATCTCTGCTTCCAGTAAAGATCAGAGATTCATCATTATTGAATGAACAAGTGTACACAATTCTTGAACAAGGCTATGATTTCGATAGTAATTAATAAGTTTCATCATCTTATTTAACATATACTCCTAAACATCTATCTTTACTAACACTTATTAAATATTTGCCACTTTTCGAAAAGACAAGTTAGACAACGGTATAATTATGACATGGTAATAATTATTTAATTTTGAAAGTGTTTGTATCCCAAATGATTATTTCAGCAGCCTTAGGTGTAATTGCAACAGAGGATGAAGCAGCTATATTTTAATGAATAGCTATTGCCTAGATTGCATAACCATGCCCATATAATTTGTTAGTTTCTGGCCATAAGGATTTCTTTGCAAGTAAGGCATCATTGGGAGGTTATCCATATTTGACTTCAAGATTAACTTCAGCTTCATTAGTTTTAACACTATTATATATAAAATAAAGTGTACTTCTCCTCTTCTTCATCCTCAAATTACATCTGCACATTCATCAATCCAAGTGCCTATTGTATGCCTTCGGTTGCTAATTTAAATTCGTTAAATTGTCTATTGTTATAAGTTACAATTTATGATGGAATATTCTAATTCAAAAAGACAGATGAATTAATATTCTATTCATTCAAATAATTGAGTTAATTTATTGTAAAAGGAGATGGATTGAACATTCTTAATATCTTTTCATCTCCTCCACTTATAATTTGATTTCCAATTTGTTTTATAGCATTCAAATCATAACCATGAATTTATGGTCTGGATATTTCATGATATGTGCCATTTTGAACCCACTAAGCAAAGATTCTACTAGTTTAATCAATACTACAAGTGAGTAAATAATCTTTAAAATCTAGATCTGTTACTTCTGCATAATGACCTGTAATTACAGGTTATTCTACCCAATTATCTTAATGTTATTTCCAAATATAAATTGCCCCAGTCAAAGTATAACATATAATGTATTTTTTATCATATGATGTCTACAATCCAAATATCTGATTCTTATTTCCACTTGTTTATCCTAATCTAGATACACTTAACCATAATCCTGTATCCTTGTCTTACTTCCAAATGATAACATTATAATCAAATGAACCAGTTAGAATTGTATTCTCATCCAACCAATTTACTGTTGATACCTCTTCATTGTGTCCTTAGAGGATGGTCTCCAATTTGAAACTATATAATTATTAGCCAATTCTAAAAGATTTGATTTTTGCTTCAACTTCATTAATTTTGTAAATGCTCCAGATTCTAGTGTATGTATCCTTAGATGCGCTTGCCAATTACAAATAATCCTAGTTTTTTTAGAAAAATTGCAAATGATTTAAACTTCTCTGATGACCTTTCACTGATGCTTTGTATTATAATTGATTGTTCTCTAAGGTGTATAAATGAATTTGAGTATCTACTCCACTGAGAGCTACAAAAATGAAATTATCAAAAGTAATTGCATCAATGTTCTCCATCACATTATTACCAAATTCAAGCTTTGATAATTCTTTTAATTCTAAATCCAGCACTGTAACTAAGCCATCAATTGACAAGGCAATTATGTGTTTACCAATAACTTTGAACAATTATATTGATTCGCTTAATTTAGTTTCATGTAAAATTTAAGAATCGTTGAATATTGCTATTTTACCCTCTCCATCTGCAGCTATCAAAGTAGTTGCATCCAGAAATCTTACGTAATTGACTCTCTTATTAAAAGTTGAATAAGAATATATAATCTTTAATTTCTCAATATCATACACTAATACCTAAAATAAAAAATTGAATTACTTGGTTACTACAAGGAAATGCTATCAAATGTGAGTTTGGTTCAAATTAACAAACATCCAAACCATTATAGACAGAATTACAGCCTCCTGATATGAATACATTTTTCATTCTTAATTAATTATTTTAATTAAAGAAAGAATAATGGATTATCAATTATAATTATAATTAGAAGTACCTTAATCAAAATTATTTGAAATTAAAAACCAATAGCCAAAATAAGTTGATGCTGGCATTCTATAAGTATTGAAATCGCTTTAAATATTAGATATATTAATCAGAACAACTTAAATTATCTTTCTTAAAATTCGGCTAGTTTTAATATACATTGTAAAAAAACATCCCTGTAATGGTTGCTTAAATAGTTAATGGTAGCAAAATGTACATTTTCCCTGGTCTTAATGATATATTTTATGGAGTCATTGTAGAGAAGTAAGATTAGGTATCTGATACATTTGAACAAATTCTGTCAATTAATGTTCGGCTTGTGATTTCTTCCCAAAAGCAACACTAAAATATTATGTCTAAGTCCATATATGGAGGAAGGAATGATATGAAGTAATTAAATGAATAGCAAAAATTGACTTAACAGGAATTAATGTTGAGAACTGGGATAATGCAAGTTAATTTATGGGAACATGTTGGATAAGGAGAGAAGCCTCCAGGAGTTAGCGATTATATAAAATAAGGAGGAAATGCAATTAGATAAGGCCTAATTTCTGTGGCTGGGTTCATTGGAGAAGGGATTAAGAAAGGAGGAGAATTGATTTCTGAGAAGATCACTGATAAAGAATAAAAAGAGATCTCTGAAGACACATTGAATAAGGTAAAATTAGTGAATAAAGGTTCTAAAGCTATACTTTAATTTACAAAAGCTTAAGTTGATGCTTTGATTAATCTGGGAAAGATGATTGCAGATGAAGCTGAAAAGTAATTTGAGAATAGTGAAACTGGTAAAAAGATGTAGGAACACAAATATTATGATGATGCTAAAAACTTTGGGGGAGCTGCTGTTGTTGCTGTTGTTAGCATTTATGATGGATTAACAGAAGCTCTAAGTGTATTATTGGATTGTACTGGCTAAGCAACTACAGAGGTAGTTTAATTATTAATTAATTTAGATCATTAAAAATAAATATGGAGATTAAGCTAGTGAACTGAGTAAAGAAGGATTTTAAGCTGCAGGAAATGTTCTTGCATTTGATAAAATTTATGTTTAAGCAGCAGCAAAAGCAGTATTAGAATAATAATAACAATAACAATAACAAAAATAATGAAGATTTTTAATAATTCTTATTTATTTTTAGTGAATAAATATTGCTAAGTTAGATATTGATATAAATTATAGACTTTCAATAATCTCTTCTACTAAATTCCCTTCGAAGCTATTTTGTGTTTCTATATTTATATTTTTCTTTATAGAGTTGCTTGATTACATTATTGAAATTGTTGTGAGGAAGATATTCGATGTAATTATGAATTTTATCAAATCCTTCTAATTCAGAGTTATGAATGTACCCTCGAAATTGATCTAACTATTAAAATATCAATGTTTCTTTAACTAATGTTTTCCTTTTATCATTCTCTATTAAAGAGGGTTTTTTCTTTGAAAATATTTATGATTTGTTTTGTTTTTCACTTTCAATTTTTTTAGGGAAAAGAGACTCCCTTCTACAATCTGAAGGCATATTTTTATTTTATTCTGGCTTCGAAAGCGATTTGTTTGATAACTATATTTGATCTATTCCTTATTGAGATTCTTATAGGTAACTGAGAGAATTTGAAATTTAATAATTGAGCATATTATCTGTATTCAATGAATCTGCGTAGTCCTCTTAAATTTCTTTTATGGCTTATTAAACTGAAGAAGATATAATAATAGAATTTGTTTTCTAACCAGATCTCCTTTAATAAAACCGATAATTAATTTGTGACTAATTCATCTTCAGAATTTTGATATATAAATTTGGTTAATAGGTGATGAAAGGACATTCAAGTTGGATATGATTGCATTAGCCACAAAATTGACATTTTTTTTAAATAGCTGAGAATGATTTTGAATAAAAAATGTTGTCCTTTATCTTATGAAATCTTTCAAAATCTTTAGAGTTTTATTTGATGATGGTTAGAAATTAGTCTCTATCTATTTTGAATAATTGAGTGAATCCAACACTAATAATGGATTCTTTAGTATTTTAGCCTGTAAAAAATTAATATTCTCCAAATGTCTCTCCAGCCTTTAAAACCTTAATAATTTTCTAGCTTTATTCCTCTACAATTTAAACCTCCCCTTCTTTAATGAAATATCTAAATGAATATAAAACTTTACAAAAATTTATCCTTATTGTCATTTCTATGATAAATGAAATCATTAGGAGTAGACTTAACTTCATTTAAAATATTCTACAATTTATTTTAAGTTGATGTTGAGAAATTGTCAGTGAAAACTTTTATTTTTAAAATGGCTCTGTATTGAATGTCTTATTCAATTTATTTTCTTAAGTTTACTGGTAAATCATTAATTATTTTAGTTGTATCCTCTTGATTTTCTAGAATGTCATTTTCAATATTATATTTGATGTAATTTTTTACTCTTCTTTATATTTATTAATCAACTTCATTCTTAGACATGAACTAATTCATTAATATTAAAGTCCGTCTAGAATTATGGATTAATAAATACTTGAATTTTGTTTATTAATCATAAATTGTTTTTACAATTACTCCAATAGAATTCATTGTGTAAGCAAACATACAACTTGACAGTAACATCATGATTGTTGCAAATGTCACTTCAAATTAATTTTTAGGTGTGATATCACCATATCCTACTGTTACCATAGTCATTGTTGCCCAATAAAATGAATAATTGTATCTGGCCCACAATGGCTCATCAATAATATTGTAATAAGTTAACCAAGATCCATATTTTTAAGTAAGTTCTCCTACATGATGCCACAAACATGCCATTGTATGTGCAAAAAAACAAATAATTATTACTAAAGTTACTATATTAAGAAGATTACTATTAAACCCTTTTAAATATAATTGTTCCACCAGAATGTTGAATTTCCGATCTATCTTCCTAATCGTAATTACAAATTATAAAACTACCATGATTTCATTTAGAAATATTTGCTCATCAAAATCAAAATATACTAAAAACCATATAGTAAAACTGATAACATCTTCCAGCAGTTAAGTTTACAAATAATTTTTCCATATTTATGAAATTTCAAAAACTACTTCTCCATTCAATATGATTGGCCGATAAAATGAAAATACTATCTCCAAAATTATATATAGATTTATAATAATTTCTGCAGGTTTAAAGGTATATAAATGCTAGCCAAAGGAAGCAATTAACGTGCATAAAAAAAGACTCAGAAACAACACCAATAATGAAACTAAATCCCAAACCAAAGTGAAGTTTCGATCTGGCATTAAAAGATTAATCAGTTTTTTGCTCTTTAATTGCAATTTTTTATTTTACTGCCTCATATATTACAATATATTTTATACATCTCTATGACATAATTTGCTGATTTTACTTTATCTTTTTAATCTTATAAATATCCTTCGTTACCTAGTATATTTTTCATACTATAAGGTAAGACATAAGATGAGGAAAGCAGATTATGTTTAAATTTATTGATCATGCTTGATTTTAATATTGTTTTAAGAAAATTAAATGTGTCTTGCTTACTTGTCTTTTCTACTCTATCAAGTTACTAGATCTTTCCTTCAAATAAATTTCTTCTACTCCCCTTTACAAAATTGCTCTGGGAAGACTAGAGGTTTTAATTTTTCTTAGTAAATTATTACTTAGCTTTCAAAACTTAATAATTTATTGATGCCATTCCAACTTTTTTTGGGCTTTCCTTACCTTTTTAAATGTCATTTTAACTTGTTTCTGAGAGAATTGAACTTTTTGAAGATGGATTTTTTTTATACAGATTTACTTCAGATTACTCAATTGAAGGTCCAAAATAACAATCTTATAGGAGACCATTCTCTGTCCTGTTAGTACTCATTTATATTATTAAATTAATTAGATAGAAGAATTGTATTTAATCATGAAATATATTTGATGAAATTAAATAGTTATTAAGAAGTTTAAGTATTTTTGATTTCTCATTTGTAAGGATTCATTAAAGATATTTTCTATATTTTAGAAATATTACTACTCATTTACACATTCAATCTTCACTCTAAATTTTATCAATTAAATAATAACATTTTTATAACTTAATTGATTATTATATTTAATTGTTAAGTTTGAGGTTGCTTATTAAAAGATCATATAGAAATATTTATTTTATCTTAAAATAACTAAAACAATAATATGTTAATTAATTATATATATCAAAAAATAAAAATTAAAAAATTAAAGCTAATTGAGTATTTTCATGAAAATTATTTCTTTTATTTATCTTTCTTGATTAAAGCTCTTAATTCCTAAGATGAACATTTCCAATTCTTCTAAGTGTACCTCTATACTGATTCTATTTTCTTTATAAATGATTCTTCTTATTCCTACTTAATAAGTTATTCTTTTTGTTTATTTAGTTCTTAAATCCTTTAAAGTTCTAATAAGCTATCTTAAATCTCCTTAAACTATGATTATAAAGTTATTTGGCTTTTAGATTGCTAGATTGCTGTATCATAATTTTGAGGTTTCTTTAATTTCACATTACTGAAATTAAGATTTGAGTTAGAAGTTGATTCTTACAATTCAGCCATTTATTTTTCTTTCTTCAATTATTTCAATTGCATCTCTAGTTTTATCTCTTTTTATACTCTCTCCTTCAATATTATTCTCTGTTATAATGCTTCTAATTTTCTTATATCAGCATGTTAATTTTGAATAGCACTTTCAACTAAATAAGCGTTATCTTTGTCTACTGTGACTTATTCATTTGGCTGATTATTGGGAGCGTGATAATAGTAGGAAATCTACGGTCTCAATTCTTCAGAATGAATCATATTCATGTAATGTTAATTTGGAGGATTAAAAACCTCGAAAAATGGTTTATCCATTCTGATTTCTTTAGGGATACCTTCGTCTACTTTTCTCTAAAGTATTTAGTTAGGTCTACCCTTTGCTTTCAGTAATTTAAGTGAAAAAGGCTTAACTTGGGGAAGATCAAAAAACTGATCACCGAACTTACCAGTGGCTTTGAGTGGAATAATTGATTATTATCCAAATTGAGCAAAACGATTCTGCATTATTTATTGAAAATATTTATAAATATTTTATTATTTATTTTAAAACTAACATTCAAAATGGGAAATTGCTCATCCTAGAAAAATCATAAGAATAATACAACAACTACCATAAAATTGGAAGAATTTATAAAAACTGTAGATCATAACAATGTCCATGATTAAGCATTGGTCATATTATATCATAGTAGAAATCAACGTCTAAATCATTTAAATGAACCTGTGTTGAGTGGTTTTGGCAAACAATTTTCCAGAACATCTGATTAATCACAATAAAGAAATTCTACTTGATCTTTTGTAATATTAATAATAAATTACTATTTAAATTATATTATGATGTATTTAATTGTAGTTTATACCAAAATAAGTTTATAACTACACTAATATCCTCTTTCAAATAATAATTTCCTCGATACTGATAATTGCAGATATTTTTTATATAGTTTGATTGAAATATCAAACAAATATTTTTATATATTTATATAATTATATGATTTTTAATATTATTGACGAGTTCCTAAAATAAGATAATATTGGGATGCAAGAGGCAAATTTCAGTACAACAAGATACATAGCTTCGTTGTTGATCTAAAAGAAGAATGTAATTGATTGCAGTATATGCTAATAGATTGAACAAGTGTATTAAGAGATGTCAACCAAGGAAAATTAATGCGAGGAAATCATTTCATAGATAATTGATCAGAAATATGATAAATTCAATCCCATGATTAATAAGCCTTAAATTTACGGAGTAAAATAATAATATTATGTAGAAAGCATACGACGAATTATCCCACAATGTAAAGCAAAGTAGAAAAAGATTGTAAAGCAGCAAAGAATTGTTAAGTTCTAAGTCTGCGGAATTGAAGTATTTTTATTACTAGAATATCTACTATAAGGAGATTATTTCCACTTTAAATAAATTGAAAACCATTAGATCATCAATTAAATTGATACAAACTTAAGCTCTGAGTTAACCTTATGAAGGTAGTTTGGAGTGTAGAAAAATTAAATCTTTAATAAGTATATTCCCAAAATAGGAGTCCTTCTAAATTCAATACATTAACAAAGGATTCAATTTAGGACTATCTTAAATTTTGGGGGAATTTTAAAATTAGTTAAAAGAGTTTTTCTTCTTGCAAAGGGGCTCCATCTTAAAAAGCACTGATGCTTAAAAGTATTATGATTTGGAGAGAAAAGTAAGAGATTTAAAGTCCTTGAGTGAAATCTTGCAGTTTATTAAGGCAAATCTCCCGGAGGTGACATTGTAAAATGATGATGAGTTGGAATTATGTTTGATTGATTAATAACTAAATAGCAATGAATTAATCATATCTTATAATCAATTGAAAAGGTTTATTCAAATGAGTTTTTAATTTAATGATTTCGATGCTGTAAAGTAGTATGTAGATAACAACACATCAAAGACAGGAGACATTAATTTAAATATCAATACCTAATAAACTAGTTTATTAAATATATTTCTATGTATCAAAGGGTGTACAATAATTAGAAAAACAAATGAATTATTAAATAAGCATTTTGAAGATTTCAAATATAACTTGTAAGATTTATTTACTAAATCTTTGACAATATTTATTAAAAGATAAAATCCCAATGACAACATTAAGATTTCATTGTTTGGAGAACTAAATTTTAGCAGTTTTGCAACTTATAAGATTATAAGTTAATTTTTCAAGAAGCTAATAGCGTATGCCATGATCATTTTGAGAAAATAAGTGTTATTTGGAAAAACATTGCACTGTTTAAATGTTGATGTTGACGAGAACACTCTTTTACTTTCTTTATCAGAATTATGCAGATAGCTGTTTTGGTAGATCAATGTGGTTTTGAGTATGTTCTATAAATCATCGAAAATAAGTGAGTAGAATAAGGGCAGAGATGTTTTGGATGTGAGAAACGAGTACCATTTATTCATTCAAACAACTCTTTAATAATTAATCAAACCTAGTCCTCTATATTATCTCTTACAAAGGCATCTGTTAGACGAAGTCTTACAACAATGTATAGAGTCATTGAAGGTGTTCATGAGAGTAGAACCCATCTTCAAAGAGCCTATTGATAATGAAATTTAATTGCAGTAGGAGTTAAGTAAAAGTATCTATTTGGATTGCATAAAGTAATTAAATGAAGGAGTAAAAAATGTAGTCAGAAATGTAGTATCATTGCCAAAACGATAGAATAAATCTTTTATCCCTCAAATAAATTATTAAATGAGTTAAGATGTTTAAGATCAATAATTAAAGCAAATGCTCAACGATTTTCATTTGATTAATCTAAAGATGCAAATTCCTGAATCAATACAATTTTGTTATTTAATACATGAACTCAATGTCATAGATCAGATAACCAATCTTTAAATAGATTTCATTCAAATATTGAATTGGATTTTGAATGTCTATCTTCAAGAAATACGGATCAAGTTAAAAGCATCCATATAGGGTTCGCAATCCGAGATTTTGATGTATAATCAAGACAAGTAAGCCTTGCAAAAAAAGCTGTTGTCTTATATGGAATGGAAATGCAAATTTTAATAATCTAATCCTCTTTTAAATGATGGAATAAATACTCAATAAAGGTTGTAGAAGGCTAAAGGCGATAAGTAATTTAGATTTTAGTTGAAATAACCTATGTATTAAGGGTATATGGAATACTTGGTGAATCAAGTTGATGAATCTAAAACGAGTCCTTTGATTAGATCGAAAGAAGTCTTGCACACTTTGGGTGCTTTACATGATAATATCCATGCCTTTCTAACTTTTACTTTTCAATCCATAGAGCGATATTTAGATAAGATGTATAGATATTGATATTGATAGTGATCAATAATATTTGATAAAATAGTTGGATATATAATAGAAGGATGTTCCATTGGAATAGCAGAGTATAAAAATTCAATTACTGAAGATTTTTTAATTGAGATGCGAATAGCAAAGTTTTCAATTGGAGTAATTCAAAAACAAGAATGCAATAGAGTAAACAATTGTTAAAATAGAATAGAATTTAATATAATGACAATGTGCAATAGTCCTTTTACAGATTTTTAAAATTATGCAATGAAATATTTCTGGTTCAATTCGATGTTTATCTGGTATTGAGATTTGAATTTCATATGAGACATCTGTTGATGACCAACATTCAGGAATTCAATTTCGAATACATTAACTTTTCTCAAACTCTTAAGGAGAGTATATAAGATGACACGGTAATTGTAATCTTATATACTTTAGTTCAATATCATTACTTAGGACTTTTGGACGATCTTCAAGGCGAGTCTGAAGGCTTAGTTCATAAGGTAGAAGGACTTCAATCCAAAGAAAATTTAGATGATTTTGAAGGATCTTAATGTTATGAAGGATGAGATGAGCAATCAAGGGAAAAGAATTTCTCATTTGCGAAGATACTTCAAGTTGTATTTAGTGAATGGGTAGGATATAGAGAAGTTCCTAAAGATCAATGCTTATAAATACAAATTTGAACAGATATAGGAATATTGTAAATTAGTGAAAATGGAGAATGCGGAATCATTAAGAAAGTATTGTTTATGAGCAAAGGTGTGATTTTGATATAAATAGTAAATGGATCCGTTATACCGTTTTTATTTAATAATTATATTATTTACAATATGAATTAGGTGTTAGTGTTATCACTGATATGTCTAATTAGCATCAGAGGATTTGAAATTGATTTCTCATTGCTCTTGCAAGTATGAATTATAGCGATAATTAAACAAAAGACAGGATCTGAATCAAATGATGCAGTATAGGCTGTTTATGATTTATTGAATGATTTGAAGACAAGCAACATAGAAGCGTAAGGAGTGGCAGATGAGAAGAACATTTCAGATGAGGAGATTGGATAGTCTAGAATAGCTGCTTTATCGAAAGTGAATGAGTTAAACCAAAAGGCTTGGGCAAGTGCAAAGGCTAGAAGAGAGTAAATTGGAGTTGAATACAGAGTAACGTTTAGATTGATATGAATGTATAGGAAGCTACAGATTATATTGCCTGGGCTACTCAAAGATTGGCTGATATTGATAGAAGATCTATTGAATTATAGGAGTTGAGATGTTTTTCCAATGGTTTGTTTGTGAGAGCCATCAAATAACACAATGATGCTTTGGGAGTGATTAGAATATTAAAGAATGACTTAAGTGGATATTTGACAGGTCAACCATCCTCATTGGTAGAAGTTAATGTGCAAAATGTATCAGACAAATTGAAATAATACAGTCAACTCTTTAATCAAGATGCAATGACCAAATTTGCTTAATTAGCTGCTGAATAAGCTTCAGGTAATGCAGAATTGCATGCACTTGGTCAAGAGGAAGGATCATCATCATCATCATCAGACAGACAACCAGGACACAACATTGGTCAATTAGTTTACAATGCTCTCTCAGATCTTGAGGATTAATTGAAGGGATCCTTAGCCCATTTAGAGGCCAACGAAATTGCTGCCTATTATCAATTGGCCGATTGGTTAGCAGACACAGAATCTGAAGTTGCTCATCTCAATGACGAAATCTAGAGGAAGACCCAATTGTAAGACAAATTGGTTGTGGTATGTAAATTCCCTCTTAATTGTATAATAGTAAGAGCAAGCTGCTCTTGCTGTGTAAGCCAAAGCCAACAGTGTGTTGAAGGATTCTCAAAATGCCATTAATGCAGCCACAGCATCTTTGTAAGAGTTGAGAGACCTATACGAGACTGAGTTGAATAGAAGAAATGGTAAGGAGATCAAATTAATATTTAAGAGGAGAATGCCATAATTGACGAGGTCATCCATATCTTCAAGTAACAAGTGTTGGAAATGGCTAATTAAACTTCGTATGGAAAGAAATGATTAATATGCATATATATTAATATTAAAATAGGAGAAAAATATTAAAGGACATTTTACATAATCCTTGCATTAATTTGGGTTGATTGCTAATTTGATCAGTTTAGTAAACATAATCCTATCTACACACCCAGGGTATAGATAATTATATTAACATTAGTTCGACGAAGTCCTGACTGAATTGGTGGGCACTCTTGGAGAAGCTAAATGGGCGGAGATCACTAGACAAATGAAAACGATTTATGGTCTCTCTATCCCCCATAAACCAATGGTGTAAGCTAGATGGAGAGCTATAGATCCAAAAATTAATAGACAAATATTTTCAGCAGAAGAAACAGTTACTCATTGGCATATTTGTGTCAAATATAAGTGTCATTGGGATGCAGTCAAGGCTGAATATGAAGCAATTGGTTAAATTAGAGACAAGTGTTTTTTGAGTCAAAAATTCTATGCTCACTTCTAATTCAAATTAGTTGATTTAAACAGAATGATGGGCAAGATGGTAGCTTATAATCAACCTAAAATTGAAAACATGAGAGATACAACAAAAAAAAGGATCTTGGAAATCAATGCCAGAGAACCATCCAGTGTTAAAGATCAATCTGCAAGAGAAATCATATAAAGTTGTTAAATGCTAATCAAACTATTGACTTATGTAGTTGACAATCACAAAGAAGATTATAAAGTGATTACGGAAGAATTAAAGAAGATGATCACTCCAGAAAAGTTTGCCAGAGTCCTTTAAAACATATTCATTATTGATTTAATTGTGTTGATAGCTTGTAATGAATTGAAACCATCTGATGAAACTCCAGATTTCATTAAAATGGATGAAAGAAAGAAAATAAAATATAAAAAGCCAACTAAAGTGAAAAGATGGGATGAAGCACTTTTACTAAGTTCAAGTCCAGAAAACACTGAAGATGAAGATGTACTAAGAACTGAATAGGAGATCAACAAAGTTACTGGTGGAACCAATTTCACAAAAGCAGACATTGAAGAAATTAAATAGAGTCCAATTTATTGTGTGTGCAATACAGATTAAAATCAAACATTTTATGATTGGTACAATGAAGCCAAAATTCAGAAGGCTACCCTAAAAACAGACTTATTGGTTGATGTCATGGATATTATGACTAATAAAGACAAGCAGAAATCTGAGAAAAGCAAGCCTGTCTAAAAAAGAACAGCGTTATTGGCAAAGAAATAAATGAAGTTGATTGAAAAAAAGAAAAATGAACTTATGAAACAAGATAAAGATGATAAAATTAAGACTGTGAGAGGCAAAATTAAAATCGATAAGGAAGTATTCCCAGGGTGTTACACCAAGTTCTTTGACAAAGAAGATGAGGATGATTATGAAGATAGTCAAGACAATCCAATATATTCAGCTATTGATGCAGATCAGATCTACTAGATTATTATGCAGCAGAAATAAACACAAGATAATTGAAATATTCTTATCTAATTATTTATGATAATACAGATTTTATTATTATTATTATATAATTATTAATTAGATGATGTCACACAAAAATTTGTTTTCTAAGATTTAAATAATATGAAAAGCAAGATTATCGTCTATTTTGTCTTAATATCTCTTGTCGCATCTTAGATGACCTTCGTAAGCGAGGATCTCATGAATTTCTCTGTTTCCGATAGTAATTGGAATTATGGTACTACATGCGATTGGACCTATAGTACTACCGTAATATCCCAAGTTGGAAGTTGCACCCCAAGCAGTTTCTAATACTCTTATGTGGGATAAACCAATAGTAGATAAATGTATACTGTTACTAACATGCCTCCGCATTTTTAAGTTAAAATCATCGTGGATGGCTATTTTATAAATTCAGGCAATAACATGAACACAATTAATTACGATTGCAATGTCTCAACCACAGCAACAAAGACTTTTTAATTTAAAAACAATGGAGCGAATAGTGTTAAAAACTATTAAAATGTTTGCAATGCAAGTTGGGCAAATTTTTAGATCTAAACGTACATACTAACCTATGTGCACAACGATAACGATACACTGTAATTTCGAGTTTGCGGAACATTAAATGCTGGACAGACCTATGGAACACGAAGTTTATAAATATACGTTGATCGCTGTCATTGGTCCTGCTTGAAATGCGAAACAAGCTCAGCCAGTAATAAATGCAAAGTCTGTTTTAACAATCCCACCGTAACATTGGCAACAGCAGGAACCTGCGGTGTATGTCCCACAAATTACCTTTATATAGAGTATCTGAATAGCTCAAAAGGATGTTTTACTGAGTGCCAATACTATAGAGTGCCAGACTCAAATAATGTATGCTAATTCAATGAGAGTAAGAAAATTTGTTTATTATAGATATGCTACCATTTACAACCTACCTAGATACAACTACATTTACCACTGCATCTCCTTGGGTCTTTGTCCCTGATCCTATAAATTTTAATATTGTCAATGTTGAGAGAATATCTTAAATTCCTTGTCAAACTACAAAAAATTACTTAGGTCCATTTTATTCGAATGAAGGATATAAATTATAGTTATCATTACCCTACAATCTAACTTACATAAGATTTCGTGTAACTTTACTGAAATTTGGAACTTGGACAGACTATTCAACCATAAGAATACTTTTAGACAGTGATGAATAGGCATCCATCTACACTATTAGTAATGCCGTACTAAACAGAAATGGTTAGGTATTATTAACAGATACGAATTGCACAAGTCCTGTAGTTACCTATTACAGAATGGAAGTAAAATTAAGAAGTAACGTTGTATCTCCGATCTTATGGATATAGGGAAACATGGAGTAAGAAATTAAATTTATATCAGTGCTGCTGGATCCTAATCTTGGGGGTTTAGAAATGTGGTTTTGGATATAATGAAATGTTAATCTACATGTTCGTGGTGTGATTATGATTTGAAATGCTATGCTTGCTCTACCGGAGTGTTGTATAAGAATAGGTGCGTACCTTCTTGTCCTCCTTATTCGACTTTAAGTTCTGGTAAATGCACTGATTTTGATGAGGTCGTCCAAAGTAATAACTCATTTTAATGTAGATACTAGATATATAGTTAAGGCCTTCTATGATTCCACAAATACTACAGATACAGATATACCTGCCATCATAGGAACTCCATCATCAAGTGCTACAGACTTTTAAACTACCAATACGTTCATAGGATCTGGGCCCACAATCTATTTTAGTTATTACTTAGGCAAAAGAGTTTTAGGTGGTCCTTTAGTTTGGAACAAGGCTATTTTTACTTAGAATTTTGTCCTGAACCCGCATTATAAATTCAGAATAAAGTTTACTCTAGTTTTGGGAGATGATTTTGTCAATGCTGGAGATTTCCGCTATACAGTAGGAGGATTCCCTTAATAAATTATAACCTATGCATAAGGAGCTACTACTACTAATAATATTGGAGCTTTGGGTGTCGATAAATATATACAAGTAGATAGAACAGAGAATCACTCTCTGAGTAGCTTCTAAGTGATTTTATAATGCAATGCAATTTCATCGTAATCTATTAATGACAATTTTTGTTTAATATATGACTATTTCATTCTTATCTTAGAAGTATTTAAATATCATAATTATAGTGCACTCAATATTGTACAGCATGCACAGGCCCCACATGGGCAGAATGCACTGGTCAATCTGCATTACCAACTGGAATGCTAACACCAACATCCTGTGTAGATGCCACTTATTATCTAGATAGTTCAGTTACTCCTGCTGTATGCACAAAATGTTCCCCTATATATTGTTTAGAATGTACAAATCAATACATATGCACTAAATGTGCAACCAACTTTTATTTATCCAATGGCACATGCTTATGTTATTCCTGGACTTACTTAACAGCCACTAACACTTGTGATAATTGTCATGATTAATGTTCTAGTTGCTATGGTCCTGCAAAAAATTAATGTTTATCATGCAAGAATTCTCAACATAGATACATCAATAATAATGTATGTCTATGTTAAAATAACTATTACGATGATGGAGTAAATAATAAATGTCAATCTGTTTGTGGCGATATGGTAGTGACTGATGGTGAGGATTGCGATGATGGTAATACAACAAGATTTGATGGATGCAATAATTGTAAGTATGAGTGTCAGAAGGAATGTTAGATTTGTGTGAATGGTAAATGTTCAGTCTGTTCAACTGGATATGTCTTGAATTCTACCATGAAGTGGTGCATTCCTTTATGTGGAGACAATACAATAGTAGGATCTGAGCAATGTGATAATACCTACAATTATCCAATCAAATATTGCTTCAATTGTTTATAACAATGTTAATCTCAATGTCTAGATTGTTATTAGGGATTGTGTTATAGTTGTGATAATACTTAGGGATATTATGTGAATTGGTCTCTCTTAAGATGTGATTCTTAATGTGGAGATGGAATTATAGCAGGAGTCGAAGCATGTGATGATGGAAATATCACTCCTTTTGACGGGTGTCACGACTGTTAATTCTAATGCGATTCATTTTGCGATATATGTTTGTTCTCTATATGTACTAAATGCTAAACAGGATATCAATTATACAGCAAAACTAATTAATGCTTACCAATATGTGGAGACAAATATGTTACCTTCTATGAATCATGTGATGATGGAAATTTGATTAGAATTGATGGTTGTTTTCAATGTTAATTCTTGTGTTAAGATGAATGCACCAACTGTTTATTGGGTTAATGTTATGAGTGCAATACACCAGGTTATACATTAAACCAAAAACTATTATAATGTATTCCTGTTTGTGGAGATGGGGTTGTAACGTAATTTCAAGAATAATGTGATGATCTAAATTCTGTATTTGAAGATGGCTGTTATCAATGTAAATATGAATGTTAGGCTGAATGTGCAGTTTGTGCTGCAGGATTGTGTTATTCATGCCAATCTAATTATTACCTGGATTAAAATAATATTTGTCTTCCTCTTTGTGGAAATGGAGTCGTTTCAAAGTTTGAATAGTGTGATGACAGTAACACAGTTCCAGATGATGGATGTAATTAATGTGTTTTCAATTGTGATTCATATTGTGATTAATGTATCTTTGGAGTATGCAAAAAGTGCATAATTGGTTACAACTTAAATTACAGTTAGTAAAAATGTACGTCAATTTGTGGGGATGGGATTATTACAAATGAAGAATAATGTGATGATATCTAAAATGCAGAATTAAACCATGAAATAGAATGTGTAAGTTGCTAATTATAATGCCAGTAAGAATGTGAATTTTGTGTATTAGGGCAGTGTTAGAGATGTAAAGAGTCTAACGGATATTATTTAGATTCAGAAACTGGTACATGTGTCAGTATTTGTGGAGATGCTATTGTCAGTTAAAATGAGCAATGTGATGATTAAAATTCACAATTATTCGATGGTTGCCAATATTGTGTCTAAGTCTGTGATGATGAGTGTCATGATTGCAGATATGGAATTTGCTTTAGTTGTAATAGTGGCTATGAATTGCTAAACTAAAAATGTATATCAATCTGTGGAGATGGACTTGTAACCAAAGATGAAGATTGCGATTTTGGAGTAGATGGAATTATTGATTATGGATGTATCAATTGCAAATTTGAATGTTATGAGGGTTGTAGTTAATGTGTAAATGGACAATGTCTAGAATGCAAAAACGATAAGGGTTGGTATATTAATTAAATAGATTAATAATGTAACTCTGAATGTGGAGATTTTATAGTAAGTAATAACGAAATGTGTGATGAGAATTCTAGTTTTTGTGACTCCTGTGCTTTAGTTTGTGATGATAACTGTGCCTAATGTTTCTTAGGCATATGTTCATAGTGTCAATATGGATATTACCTTGATTAAAATCTATGTACCAGTATGTGTGGAGATCTAATAGAAAGTAGCTATGAGTAATGTGACAGTGATGATCTGATTCCGTTTGATGGTTGTTATTAATGTGAATACTCTTGTTAAACTTAATGTATCACATGCTTAAATGGTGGGTGTATAGAATGTGATGAGATAAATGGTTGGTACTTAAGCAAAGAATATTGCCATACTAGATGTGGAGATGGAATCAAAGCAGGTGATGAGGAATGCGATATAGATATTAATTTATATTAAGGGGACATATCATTAAATAAGTGTTTTGATTGTAAAATCCTTTGTGTATAATTTTGCAAGCTGTGTGATAAAGGACAATGTACCTAATGTATTGATGGTTATGAATTAAATGATGATAAGGAATGCATTCAATTATGTGATAGCTTATAAACACATCTAAAACAATGTGAAGATGATAATTTAGAAGCTTTTGATGGATGTTTTAAATGTAGTTTTGATTGCGAGGATTTGTGTTAAAGTTGTGTTTATGGAGTCTGCCAATCATGTAAGATGGGTTATCAGATAAATAAAAATGGAAAGTGTGAGTCAGTGTGTGGTGATGGATATATAAGTGAAGTAGAATTTTGTGAAGATGGGAATAACATTGAATTTGATGGATGTTACTAATGTAATTATTCATGTCCTTAACATTGTCAAAGTTGTGTGAAAGGTCAATGTAAGGCTTGTGAAATAGGATATCATTTAAACTATCTGAATTGTATTACTGATTGCACAGACTTAATTCTATAGTAAAGTGAACCTTAATGTTATAAGGTATAATGTCAAAATTAATGTGAAGTTTGCATAGATGGATAGTGTTATCAATGTAGGTAAGGTTGGCATTGGAATTAAATGAAATTGAGTTGTGAGAGTTTGTGTGGTGATGATGCAATAATAGGTGAAGAGCAATGTGATTATATATCCACGTTAGATCAAATAAATCCTAAATGTAATAATTATTGCCAATTTGAATGTCCTAATGATTGTTTGTAATGTGAATTTGGAGTTTGTAAGAAATGTTAAGATGGATACTTCTTGAGAAGTAACACATGTTAGAGTCAATGTGGAGATTTACTGATTAATTCAAGTGAATAATGTGATGATAATAATTTAGCTCCCTTTGATGGATGCTACTTGTGTTCTTTGGATTGTTAGTCTCAGTGTGAAATATGTGTTTAAGGTCAATGTGAAAAGTGTCTGCTTGGTTATGAATTGATAGATAATAATTGTTTGCCAGTTTGTGGAGATGGAATAGTGACGAAAGATGAGTATTGCGATGACAAATTCGATGATTCATTGAGTTGTGAGCAGTGTAAATTCTCATGTGATAAGAATTGTTAATTTTGTTAATATGGAAGATGTATATTCTGTCAAAAGGGATTTGGATTAAAGGGTAATAATTGCTAACCAATTTGTGGAGATGGATTGATTTCTGGATATGAATAATGTGATGATGAAAATTTATTGGCAGAAGATGGGTGTTTTGAATGTAGCTATTCTTGTTAACATTAATGTTTAACTTGTCAGACTGGTTATTGTTTGGAATGTGATTCATCTAATGGTTGGTAACTTACTCCATAAGGAATATGCGTATCTGTCTGTGGAGATTTAAAAGTAACTGGGGATGAACAATGTGATGATGGGAATGAAATTAATTTTGATGGATGTTTCAATTGTCGATACATCTGTTAAGTAGCCTGTACCAAATGCTTATCAGGATCTTGTTATGAATGTAATACTCCTGGTTGGAGATTGGAGAATTTTTTCTGTTGGGAAATCTGTGGGGATGGTTTGTAAGTTGGAATAGAAGAATGTGATGATGGGAATGATATCCCTTATGATGGATGTTATGAATGTAAGTCTTAATGTGAAGAAGCATGTGTTTTATGTGATGCTGGAAAATGTTTGGATTGTGCTTTTGGTTGGAAGTTGAATGCCTAAAATAGATGTGAAGCTTATTGTGGAGATGGTTATGTCATTCCTAGATATGAAGACTGCGATGATGGCAACCTCATCCCTTATGATGGTTGTTATGAATGCAACTACTAATGTGAATAATTGTGTACAAGTTGTTTAAAAGGCATTTGCTATGAATGCAATGTTCCTGGATGGTAGATTTCAGAGTTCTAATGCATTCCAGTTTGTGGAGATGGAGTGGTCTATGGTAATGAACAATGTGATGATGGTAATCTAATTCAAGCAGATGGATGCAGCAATAAATGTGAATTCTAATGTCATTCAGCTTGTTTATTATGCGAAAAAGGTATTTGCAAGGAGTGTGATGCATCTTAAGGGTTCTTTGAGAATCTGAATTAATGTGCTTCTTAATGTGGTGATGGACTCTGGGAACCCTTAACGGAATATTGTGACGATGCTAACAATTTTAATCTTGATGGATGTTCTGCGGATTGCAAAATTGAAACTGATTGGTTTTGTTAAAATTATTAATTATTAGTTAGTAATTGCTTTTATCAAAAGTAACCGATTATTCAATTAGAACTTATTGACCAATAAGATAATGTCTCAACCATTTAGATTTCATTCTCAACTAAAATGATGCTCAGCTTTAGCAATGATTCTTCTCAAGTCTTCTTGGAAAATTAAGTTGAAGATGGCAATAATAACGATATCAATTTAATAGATCTAAAGATTGAAGATTTAGATGAAAATTCATACAGTTACTCTATCAATCCTATTACACCTGTTAGTTAAGAACCAGCCTTTGCGACATATCTTGCATACATTGAACTCAAGACTACAATTTCATTACAAAAAATTAATGTTAGCTTTATAGTGAATAATAAACTTATTGTTTCTGAAAACAGAACAAAATTAATTAAAAATGTAGAATCAATCTAAATACATACTCAAACATACATCAGTAATTCAGCTGAACAGCTTATAAAGACATTTTCAGAATTTTAAACATTTCAGTCATATTCATTTTTAACTATCACTCTAGTTAGTATATATACAAGTGGTTACTCAAATTTCTATATGGCATGTGATACATTATAGTATCTCTATTATTCAAAATATATTAATTTGCCCTTCCCTGATAATTTATAATAATATCTGAATAGTCTCAAAGAATCACAAATATCCCAAATTGCAACTAAAAAGTTAGGGATATCTGTGATGAAATTTGATGATAATTAGACCTCTAATACAGATAACAGTTAAATGCCTCAACCTTTCGGAAAGGATTCTCTTACCTATGACTTTTTTAGCAATGCATCACCCAGTCTAACATTTTTCTCCATCAGTTTTGCTATCTATTATTCCTCACTTATCATTTCTAAACTACTACATCACATTACCCCTTCTACGCTCAATAGTTTAGGCTCAATTGTGGGAGGGTCAATACTTACTGTTAGATAGAAATGTACTAAATTTGTTAATAACTTTACTTTCTCTGGAATCATCAGAGTGATTACTATCAATTTTTATGAACTAACTTTTTCATCATTACTCCAATTATCTCACATAAATCTTAATGATACCAACAGTCTAATCAATAATATGGGAGCTATAGTTACATTACTATCCTAGTTTGTATTTATTGGTCTTCTATTTCATAAAATTCAACAGATCTAAACTAAGAAAACTACTGATTTCAAATCCTCGATTAAAACATTATTTTAATAATTAGACTGCTCTCATCACCAAAAAATGTGGGTTATGCAATATAATACAGTTTTGTTGATAAAAAAAATCTTCTATATACATGTTATTGTGGCTATGCAATAATCAGGCCTCTACCAGTCAATTGCTGTTGCTTTACAATCATCCATTTTTTGTGTCTACTTAGTCGTACAACAGCCATTATCAAAAATTGATGATTTGAGAAAAGCATTAGTTACTGAGGCTGGAATGTTTCTCAATAGTTTATCCTTTATTCTATATTCAGTTAACTAGTAATTTTAATTTAATCAAGAAACATTATTTTACTTAGGATGGATAAATATTGGAACCTATACTATTATAGTGAGTTCAAATCTATTGATAGATGGTTTTGCTTAATTTAAAATTGTTTATGCAAAAATCAAGAAGGCCTTCAATAATTTTATTTAATCATAGCTTCCCTAATAATCAAGAATTTAACCTATTTTCATTTGAATTGAGATTCTTTTTATTATATTTATATATAATTACTAAAGTTTATATACAATAGAATTAATTAGATTTTATACAAATATTACAATCACAAGTACAAATTTGATCATATCATAATGAAAATTCTAAGGATAGATGAGTCAGTCCATAATTTACTTTGACATTTATATTGCATTCTCTCCATGCATTCCATAATAAAAATTTAGTTAAATAAATAGATATTATTTAAGCTTTTTTCTTACTGTCTAAGGATTTGTCGTCAATCGTTTTTTACAAGTTTTATAAAATGATTTTATAATTTTATTCAGGATTCCTACTAAAATTTAAATTTTATTTAAGAATTTTTGAATTTGGTATCATATCTATCATAGATCCCTGTAAAGTTACTTTTAATCTATCTTAATTCAATTCATTCCGTTTTTTTAATTTGATTGTTTAGAGTCGATCGAAAAGCTAAGCCAAACTTATTAATATGCTAAAAAAATAGACTTGATTTGTTATAAATCCAGTCAATGAACTACTGACATTAAACTCAATTTTCTTTTGCAATAATAGATTCATCTGATTTTATATTTGACTAATTTAAATCCACCCTTTCCTATTTCGCATATCTTAATAATTAAAAAATAATCTGATTTATTGTAAGTTTATAACTAATAGAACTATCTAAAGTCTGGTTTTTATAGTTTTTAATTAGGTGGTTAATTATTATAGTAGGAATAAGATGAATGTTTCTTTTTACTTGATTACTTATTGAAAATCACGAATTTTATTCTTTTAATTCTATTCGAAAATCAAGATCACACATTCTTCCTCTTGCATGATTGATTGAATCAATTTAACTTTTAATTCTTTATTTTACTACTATGATTTCACCTCCAATTAGTATTATATTAATTTCTATTTCTAATTCTTAATGACATCTCGAATTTCTTCCTCCAAATTTTACTTTTTAGCATCAATATTTTTATTCCCTTCCTATATAATGAGCATCTTTAAAATAACAATATATATTACATCTCTTAATACCGCCCTCAACTCCTTATTGTTTGAGATTTTCAATCTTTACTTTGATAAATCGTTGATTGAAGATAATATTAATTGATCTTATTTTTCATCGAATTTAATTACCAACACAGATTACTCTAAAATTTAATCAATTATTTTTATCCAATTATTTTGCTCTCTACTATTTCGGAATTGCATACGCCTTGTCTTTTCGTTCGTATATTTCATCAAAATTAATCCGATGAATACCAATAATATTGTTAGACACATTGCATAATACTCCAAAGTTTTCGATGGATAATATGTCACGTACTAAAAATAGATAATCAATAAAGCAACTGCTTAAGGCCAGATCTAATATCCTAATTACATAACCGCTACGATTATATTACCATTTACCAAAATGAAAATAAAATGCCTACAATCCATAGTACCAATTGTAGTCGTAAGTAAATGCAGAGTAAGAATAGTCGTCACTGCCTAATTCCATTGGAAAAAAGTTATCGAGATTCCAAATGTAAGCAAAATAAAGTTGTAGAAAAGGTAATATATATTTATTACTACTAGGTTACTTATCAATTAGGCATTTCAATAAGAGTATTAAAACCATAAAGACTAGAATATTAGTTACAACAATCAAATTGAAGGTGTCTTCTTGAAAGTAATACACAATGTAGGCCACAAAAAATAACTAAATAAGTTCTTATTATACAATTGTCTATATTGAAAATAGCGCAAATTCTGATTTTAAATGGATATGCTATTCTTATCTATAGTCATTTTCAATTTGATTTGACTTAAATTTTAGAGTGAATCTAGAAATCATAAGAGTTTTTTATTTAATTTATAAATCTCGCATTTAATTTATTTCAATGATCTCATTACTGTTTTGAAATATTTGATTAATGTTTTGAAAGCCCTATTTAATTAGAAAATCTGTAGATCCATTAAATAAGAAAACTATTTAATTGATATTCAATTTCCTTCTAATTTCACAAGGTGAATTTCATTATGCAAATTAAGGTAATTAAAATATATGTAGAGAGTAGTTTAAAAGAGATCGAATAGATGGATTGATATAAATATATTTAATTAATTTAGTATTATGCATGATTATCAAAAACAAAGAACCTTGTTTAGATTGAAAAGATTTAGGAAATATTGAGTTGCCACATCATATTCTGGGTATAATATGATCTCTATGGTTTATTACTAATATTTTGCACTCTATTTTTGTTCCCCTTATGTGTACATTCCCTTAATAGATTGTTCGAGAGTGCAAAAGTGATTTTAGATCAATTGAATCCTTTTTTCAACGTCAACATCATAATATTATGAGATAATTTGATTATTTAAGGTAGCCAATAGTATTAGACTACTATCGGCACTCGATACTAAGTGTAACTTTTTCATAAAACTATCGAATAAGGAATGCAAATCAGATTTGATGTTTTTGTAAATCTCATCCAAAGTTAATACAATATTGTTATATTATTAAATGCTATTCTCTTTGAGGATTTAATCCTTGACATGTTAATATGAGCAAAGCCAAAAGGATTAAGCATTTTAGGGTTGATATGATGTCTTGATTCCGTTGATATAGTTGTACACAGATTTGATTTTCACTCTTGCTATAGCCTCTACGAGCACTTGGTATCCTTTATTAATTTTTTTGATATTTTTAATTTTAACTAAATCTCCATAGATAAAATTCTCTGAAACAATAAAATTGCATGAGCCTGAACAAACTCTTCTGATCATTTCCTAGTATCTAAGTTCAAAAAAAGTGAACTGAGTTTCCATATGAACTATCACTATTTATTCAAAATTAAAGATTGGTAATCCATTTACATTATCTAATTCCATAATTTCTTCAGTTTGTTGAACCTCTTCAATCTAGAATTACTTCAAATACCAATTGATAAGATCTTTATATTTCTAATTTATGCTAACTTTAAGTGAAAAACTAAACTCAGAGCATACTGGGCATAGCAATTCCTCTTGGAGACTCTCTTAAATGCATTTCTAACAAAACATATGTTAGCATGGTAGAACAATTGGATTTATTGGAGTCAACCCACAACAGAGACAGATAATTAATGAAGGGAATTCGTTCAAAAGTTCTGAAATTATTGAAATCTATTACCTTCTATGCCATCCTTTTCATATATCTACTACACAATTGATAACAATTCATCAGATTTATTCTATGAAATCAACACAGGGTAACGACACAAGGGACAAACACTCTACTCTTGTTTGTCTAATGTGTTATGAATACAATTGTGACAAAATGTGTGTCCACAACTGAGAGACATAGGATTGCATAAACTTTATAAGCATATAGAACATTGTAGTATGAATTTCATTAATAAAAATATCAAACAAATTCTTGAATAATCAAGTATTTTTTATTAGAATTTTTAAGAATTCAAACAAATGATTATCAAAATCTTATGTATTATTTCTAGAGCTGTGAATTTCAAAGCCTGATTTATCAAAGTATTTTTGTAATATTCTCGACAATATTTCGAAATTTAAGAAACAAATGGCTTCAATTCCTCTCAATTTATCCCACAAGTAATTTAAGAAAAAATAGATATAAAAAAGTTTTAGTTGCCTCCAAACTTCTTAATACAAAAGATGAGATAGCTAAATCTCATATTGAACTCAAGAAAGTTTTGTATCAATTGGTGACAATTTAGCTTGGGCTGCATATCTATTTTTATTAAACTATAATGTAACATATTTTAGAAAACAAATATATGGTGATTCTGAAAATCTAATAGTGTATTCTAAGCAAGAAATTATATTATTTGATATCAGTTTAGATTATCTAATCTGTTTATATGGATTTATTACACTTAAGTGCATTGATAAGTTATATAATTATTTTATAATTCTAATTTAAGAAATAATTTGTATAATTAATTAATCTAAAACTTATTGGCCATTCAATAATTTTCTCTCTATTTTCTAAAATATAAAACTAATTTCATAAGTTGATTGTTCTTTCAAAAATCCATTAAATGAATTGGATCTTGTGTGCTTTAAACAGATTTTATTAATTCAAATATATTAAGTGCATAAATTCACTAATTTATTATTTGCTTATAAGCATTTTTAATTTGATTACTTGTCATAGATGTGTTTTTTCTTGTTTGGATGGAATATTGAATTAAATTGAGAGCAGAGTTTCATTTTAATTTTAAAGTATATTTTTATATGTTTCTTAATATATTACTCTAATATCATTATTTAGATAATATATTGAGATAATATAAAATATGTTTGTGTCTATATTCATTAACTTCACATCAAATAGTTATTAGTTTATATCATCAAAATGGAATGACCTTTATATGATGTTCTGGACTAAAGTTGTAGCCATTTATAGTACATTAAAATTATATTTTTAATAGAAATACAATAATCCCAATCAATCATAAATTTTCTAATAATGCTTTTTAATATCCTCTTGCCTCTACTTGGCATCGCGCACAACAATGTTCAACTGATGTATCATTTCCTCCTTTTCTTTTTAATTCATATCTTGAGTCTTGAAAATAGAGTTTTGCGCTTAGTTTCCCATTGGCATTGAATTTAATCCATGAATAGGCATAATGGGTGGTGGTTGACTTTAGTTTGAAATTTGGAATTGATTTTTGCTTTGAATTGAAGTAAATCCTCCGTTATTTGGAAAATTAGGTCCTGGTGGTGTAACTTGGCTTGTAATAGTTGATCTTGGTGGATTAAACTGCATAGGATTCATAATAAATTATAATTAATTAATATATTCCAATATTAAAACAATATTAGTTAAATAGTAATTCTATTATAGTATAAAAAAGTGTCTGAATTACTACAAACAAATTAATATCATTCTAAATTAGCAAGTAGAGCAATAAATTCATCCTCCTCTATTAGACCATCCTTGTTGTTGTCACATGCAGCTAATATATCTTACCAAGCGGAATTATCAATCTGAATGCCTCCAAAGATTTCCTCAAGTTCAACCCTCGAAATAGTTCCATTTCCATCAAGATCAAATAATCGAAAAGCACTCTTTAGACTCTCTTTTAAGAACTTCTGTTCTTGAATAATTGAGGCAGTGAGAAACTCTGTGAAATCAACTCTCCCAGAATTATCAGTATCAATTTTCTCCATAATTTCCTTAACCATAAGTTTGGATTCAATTTTATCCATTTTCACCTTCATCATACCTGAAAGTATTTCTTACTAACTTAATAATCCATCTCCATTTTTATCTAAGGATTTGAATATTTATAGGAATTTGTATTTTTCTTCCTTTTTCGATATTTAAACAGTAACAAACTAATTAATGGCTACTCTTAGATTATTATATCCTTTAAATTTTGTAATTTCTTTAAAGAACTCTTGATCAAATTAAATGCTTTATTTTGATTAATTCTAAATCCATTTATGATTCAGTGCATCCTTCATAGAAATCCTTTTTTGAGGATCCTTTTAAATCATGTGTTTAATTAAGTCGATGCCTTCTGGACTTATATTATTCCAGCGTTAGCCTTTAAATACTTAAGTAAAGTACCACTGAAATTCAAATGCGCTTTCTATGCTAATTGAAAGGTTTCTAATTAATTTTTCCCTCTAAATGGTGCCTTCCCAATCAATAATATATAAAGTATTACTCCACATGACCAGACATCAACTTTTTCATCATACCCATTTGATCCTAAAATTTCAGGGGCCAGAAAATAGGGCGTGCCAATTTTTGTTGTTAGTTTTTAGGATATCATCTTCTCGCTTGCACCAAAATCTATTATTTTTAAATTAGAATTAATATCCTTGTCATCAAATAAAATGTTTTCAGGCTGCAATTAAATTAATTAATACTTTCAAATCTCTATGTACAATTTTTCGATTATGACAATAGACCATTGCAGATAATATTTGTTTCATATATTATTTTGCAATATCTTCATTATAGTTTGTAATTGTTCTGACTCTCTCAAGCAATTCGCCTCCACATAAACATTCAGTTATAATATAAATATTTTAAGCATCACTAAATATTTCAAGTATTTTAACTATGTTAGGATGATCCAAGTCCTTTAAAATCTGGCTTTCAGATATTAACAACTACTCATCATCAACAGCCTATTTCTAAATTACTTTTGCAGCTCGAATCAAATTTGTTTTTAAATGCTTTACTTAATAAACTGACCCAAATCCGCCTTGTCCTAGTTTTCTAATGATCTCGTAATGTAGTGAAAACATTTCACCTTCTTTCTAATTTCTCACCAAAATAACTGGAGAAAGTTATAAATCCTACTGATATTTTATCTTTGGGTTCGATGTTTAAGAACTAAATATGTTAGGAGTTTGACTATCAGAATTCTCTTACACAACAACCTCATAATTTTAGGTAAATATTTGTTTGGGTTCAATTAAAGGAGGAGTTTATATAACTTCATCCTTGATAACCTCATCAACAATTTTTTATTCAATTTAATCATGGGTCTAAGCTTTATGAGGTTGAATAAAATAATACCTTTTTGGTCAATTTAGATCTTATAAATACAATTTCCCATAGCTAATTTGAAATATTGGGTAATTAATTATTATTTTTAATTTATCTTACAAATCCTTAAAATCAACGATAATTAGTTTTTGGTTATTAATATTATTATAACATGCTTAGAAAATCAACATATATCAAAGGTTGAAATTTTTATGCAACCATTAATTTAGTTGATGTATTTGATACGTAGAATAGCAGACGTATATAAATATTTGATTAATTTATAACAATATTATTATTTTTATTTTTTGATTGTTTCACATCAGTTTCTTAAATTACTTCTCTTTTTTTGCATCCTATTTTGCTTGCAAAATTCGTTGTTTTTTCTGCTCAATCTTTTCATAAACATTTGGATTGCCAATCTCCTTTTTTATAGACTCTGTCATTTATTAAAAGGTGTATTTATAGAAGAATAGCAAATTATCATAATTCTTATCTATGTTCATGGCCTTACTATATTCTTGATAGCAGTAATATATAGCTTCTATTGTAGCTAAGCATTTCAAACTATGATGCTAGTATCTCCAAAAATAGGTTTAATAATCCTCTAGTTTTAGGAACTTTTGATTTGGGTATTTTTTTGATATTGTTTCTAAAATTGCCCCTGTTTGATGCCATGTACAATCTATTGCCACGAATTTTTTAATGCTTTAAATCTCCTCTTAAGATAGCTCTTTTATATATTTGGCATTTTAGTGAGGATAAAGAATATATGTATGCTCATCAAATTCAAATTCCCCTGGGTAATCTTTTACTTCTACTTAATCACTCAAAAATTTTGCAGGTATTGCAGAACTCTTTTAATGCTTTTCTTTGTTGTGATGGAGAATAAATAAATTGACAGGCAACTCAACTTTTGGAATTAGATCTTTATTTACTAGCAACTCACCACATTTTAAACAATACACCTTATGAAGCAAATTACATTTTGGACATCTTACTTTCTCAGCCTAAAGATCAATCTCAGGGAATTAAGAGAAAAATTCTTTGGCTCTATTAAATTATTCCTAACTAGAAGTCGAACATATAAATTTACTTGTCTATCTTTTCAGATTCTTTAAAATTTTATCTATCAATATACTTATCACGAATATGCATAATAATAATAATTTATCAAATTAATTAGAAAATAATCAAATAATTGAAATTGCTTTCTAATTTACTTATATATATAATTTATTATGAAATTAGATTCAAACATTCTTTAAAGCATAAAGTTAATTCAAATCTTTACAACATTTCTTTCAATCACATTTGTATTTGCATTGGTATAAAAGTAATTCTAATCATATCTACATAGCTGCTACATTCTTCAAACACGCTAATAAAATTTAAACGCTGATATATTTTCAATGAAATTCTTAAAAATTATTGTTGTATTGCAATATTGTATCTTATATATAAAGTAAGATAAAATATCATCCTATAAAATTTAATAGTACCAGCTCAATATTACCATAATTTGCCTCATCTGGCTTTAACCACCATGAAATTATTATCCATTTAGCATATAAGTCCATTCATCTAAACCTTTAAAAAGTTCTGCTTAAGCTGTGAAATAGGCTTCTTTTATCTGATCATTTATTACAAATCATATGACTTTATGTGTATGCCCTGTGTCGACTTTTAAGATATAATAAATGAGTAAATAATTCCTAGAATCTAAAGCATATGAATTTGGACTTGATTTGAAATGTTTTTGGCATGCTAAGTAAGAATTAAAGAAGATTAAGTATAAAGGTTTTTTATCCTTTCTACAACCATCTAATTCGTTATTTTACAAAATAGTGTTGTTATCATATGACTTGAATTCAAAATTAGTTCTTTATTTATTAGGAATAAAATTATGTTTTCAGATCCTGTTATAAATTGTGTTGAACCAAATAAGGCATTTACTTTTATTTGGCAATTCCCATTACCAAACTGCGTTAATAAGAGCGTTCTATGCAAAATCCAAAAACAAAATTTTTTCTACTTTTTCAAAGCAAATATTGTAATAATTCAGAGAGAGAAGCCTTTTAACAAATATTACAATAATGTCTTATTAAGCCTAAAGTTACTTGAAAATCTAGAACCAATTAAATAACTATTAATTTATGGAATATGCCAAAATATTTATAAATCTTTCCTTTGCAATTCTATTTTGGATAATTAACGATGAATTGATCTTCTTATTTCAATGATTCCATCAATTAAACTTTTATTTGATTCTTTGAGAAGCGAAAAAGTTATAAATAAAGAATCTCATTTGAATCTATGGTGTTAATTAATTCATTAATTATTGAAAATAAAATGTTGGAAACAAAAGAGGAATAAACAACATGGAAGGATATACTATTTAACTTGATTGTTCTGAATATAGATTACAAAATTTATATCACTTTTAACACTTCAGACAATTTATGGCCTAATTTGTTGGGTACATAACCAGATAAATTTCAAGACATTTCATACAATATCTATAACTGGGAACTTATATCCGAGGAGGATGTGCCACATATCCATGGCATTGTGAACAAGGATACGCCTTGTTACAGCATGAGAAAATAGGTATTGTATTGCACTTAGTTCTATGTTGACAATCTTCTGTGTATAACTTATAAGGGAAGGTTTTAAGAAGCTTATCCCTTTCATTCTATCTCTCAGAGTTCTTTTAAGCTTCCTTTTATTTGAGAATCTATTCTTGTATTTGTTTTTGTCTTTCTTTTTCTTTCTTAATTTCTTCTTCCTTCTTTCTCTATTCTATTTGTTATTGTATTTTAATTTCTTCTTGTTTTTTCTCTTCTGCTTTCCTTTCTTCTTCCTTAAACATCTCTAATTATTAATGGAATGGTTAACTCAATTCATTCACTTTCAATTGCTTTTATTAGAAAAATTGCATCTTATATTCAGCGAACTCTTTGCTTTATGGGTCCAAAAACATAACCTTATTGTAATCATTAAGTTGTTGTGTTATATCAGTTTCTAATTAAATTTTATAATCATTCCAAATATGTTCAACTAAGGCTATTTTTTAACTTAAATAATTATTCGTCTCTTATTTTATATATTCCAGCTCTTTAAAATGTTTACCCTAAATAAATTCCAAGCTTTCCTTCAATTCATCCTATGTCATATCAAAAATGAGTTTAGAACTCAGAACCTCCACTCTATACAAAATCTCCTTTTATAATGGCTTCCATGCCAATTATTCCGAAATTGATTGCAAAATATTCTTTTCTATTTATTTCAATCGATCCATAATTTGATCTCTTAGTTATTCAAAGAATAAGCTTACTTAAGCTGTCTTATCTGGTACTTGCAAGATTGTGTCGCTCAGATTTTTAAACTAAAACATCATTTTTTGTAAATACTTGCTTTTTTCTATCATCAAATATCTTACAAAAGGTTTAAACTTCCATTACTTGTTAGGAATGATCATTATGAGATTCTACCAAACAGTACGAGCATCCCAATCTATTGTCTGCCTTACAATCTCCATATTAACAAATGTAGAGCATCTTATTTTTTTCATGATTCTTTTTCGGACATACTGCCTCCATACTCATTCCAAGAACTTTGATTACAGAGCGTTCATGCATGTTTTGCATTTACTGTTTTGATATTATTTGTGATGGTCTTTTCTACATATTTCTACCAGGAGATGTTACTGATTGTGTCACTTTAGAACTACTACGATAATATTTTGGTTTACCTTATAGATGGAGTCTATCCTTAATGGCCAGTTGAGCTACGAAAAGATTATTGAGTTTTTAAGAGTTCTTAATTTACTTGGCTTTGAGTAAGCATATCCTCAGGTTTTGGATTTCCACTCGGACTCGTGGGTGATTTGTTGGATCTTCTCGCCGATGGCTCTGTTTTTGAATACTTGGCTGATTGCTTTTTCATATATTTTAATTTTTTGATTCAACCAACATTATTACTCATTTCTTCTTATAGTATTGTAGATCTTATTGAGGATTTTCACACTTATAGAAGAAAGAATAATTCAATTACAGGAAAACAACATCAACCCAACAGTAAACCTAACAATACTTGCAAAGAGAAAGCGAAATATAAATTTTATTAGTTTAATTATTTATAACAGAAAAGCTTGTAACCAGAACTAAATATTTTTTTGATAATAATGTACTGAAATATGATTTATCCCTAAACTGTATTTTGAAATACACTTTGTTGTAAGTCTTTTAAGCTGCCTTTTCCATAAGGGAAAGTGTAAATGAGGATCAAATGAATATCAGTTTCTCTTGAAATTATACAAACAGCTCCATGCCTTATTTATATTATAATTGGAATTTAATTTCATGTACAAATACTTAGAATAATTAAATAATCTAGAATAAATTTTATTTTATTTTCTTTTATTCAATTTGGGCAATCTTTTATTGTATTAATTAAATATTTTAAAATAACCTTAGATTTGTTTATTTATATGATGTATTATTTGAAGTAGATGTACTCTTACATTTGGAAAATACTTGTCTGCTTATGAAACATCCTTATATAAATTGATTTTTTATTCTTTTTGATACTCTTTATATAGATATATGATAAAATCATTCTTATTTCAATATAGTTCATTACGTTTTATTGGGTCATTGAATAAGCGATAGTTAAATACTCTAGAATTCTTAATAATGGTATCTATGTATATTATAATCTGATCTCATTAAATAAATAAAAATGAAGACATCCCCTCAATCATTCTAAAGGGAAAATGAAGAAACTGTATGGCATACTCGCAAATTACGTTAAGAGACTGAGAAAGATATCTTATTAATGAAAAATAGACTCAAATTATTAAAGAGAGGTGATGCACAGTTATCTAAGAGAATTGATGAAACTAAGAAGAAAACAAAATCTATGATAGAATTGAAAATGAATCATCATGCATAAATTGAATAAGTAACTAACCTTATTTATCCAAACTCATTAGAAAAAACTAAGTCAAAAGAATGATGAAGAAATATTGAAGGATAAATAGAAATTAAATTATAGTCTCAAAAAATAACAAGAAGAACAACTAGAAATGATTAAGAAGGCTATGGAACAAATCAAATTGGAAGAATATAAAAGAATTAAGTATTCTTACAATTTATCATTTAATCTAGAGAAATATCCATAAAAAATTCTGAAGCCATTAATAAATAGAAAGAAGAGTTCCTAAAAAAGAACAAAGAGAAAAGAGAACATATCAAGGAAATTATGTCCCAATCAAAAACCAATATATCACTTTATTGGAATGAAAAATTGTCCCACATCCAAAAGGAAAACGAGAAGTAAGCATTATTGACAATATTTCATCAGAGCTAAATTGGAGAACAAAAGGGCTTGCGAATACAATAAGGCTTAATAAGAAAAGATGGAAATGGAAGAATCATACATGATGCAAAAATTAATGAGATCACAAGAAGTTTAGAGGAAATTAGCAGCAAGATTAGAGAAGGCTAAAAACTTGGCTCATGATGAATTCAATCACATGATCAAAGAAGAAGAAGATCATTCACATCATCTTAAAACTAATAAAAGTGCAGAAGCCCCTCGTTGGTTACCTACTCCAGAAAAGGATCTTGTTGTCTCTCAAAACTTAGATTCAGAACCTTAACAAGATTCTGATTAATAAAAAAAAGATGATAATCATGATGATTAGTAAGAATGATCTATTATCAATGATAAATTAAAATTTTATAAAGCTTATTTAATAAGCACAAAAATAAAATAAATTACTTATTCTAATATATCTCTTCATATTAATTCACAATATAATTTATTCTTAAATGTATTATTTCAATGTTTGAATCAATTAATTATCATAGATATTATCTATAATTAGTGTTTGATTCTTTGTGATCATGAGCATTTCGAATTCATCATAAATTAGTTAGTTTATACTGTATAAAATAATTAAGTTATCGTTTCTGAATTTAGATAATATCGAAAAAAGTTTGAAGCTTTTATAGCAGTAAGGGATTAGCCTTATTAATATGATATTTTATTGTAGTGGTTTTTATAAAAGAAGATCTAGTATTGCGATACTATGCAACTTATTTTAGATTTCTGTTTAGACTTTCTATTAACTTAAAGTTAAGAATGGTATTTATTGTAAATATGGATTTAAAGTGAATAGCTGAGATTGAAACTCATTTCTTATGTATTGCTGCATCCATTAAGATACTTAATAATAATTCCATTCTTTGTTAAAGATGTTGAATTTGAACTGATTAAATTCTAAATAAACTAGGAAAGGCCCATCTTTAATGTTTTTATACAAAAAACGTTATAGCAGTATTTTAGCCATGAAGATTGGTTCAGTAATGATGAATACAACATTTCTATTTTGATTCGATTATCTATTAATATCAGATTGCTTTTAGATGATTAGTTTGTTTTCTTTAAATTGATAAAGATTAAAAGAAATGTAGAGAAATGCCCTTTGGTTTTGATTTTATTTTAGATATGCAATATGTTTCATTGTAAAGTATTATTGTTAGTAAGGATGAGAGTATTTTTCCAGGAAGGGTCTAATTTAGTCTAAACTTAAAATGAGCAAATAATGATCGTAACTATCTTATTTCCTTCTGATGATAAGGTAGTCCTAATCAATTGAGTAGTTTTAAATAAAGAATTCTTAAAATATCTTATGATTCTAAGGGTTTGCGTAGTAAATCATATATAATGGGTAGTCATAAGTCAGATGAAGGAGGTAATTATAGTACGATTAGTTGAGTCCATAGAAAATGAGTAAATTCTCTTAGATTTAGTTGAGTTAAACGATAGGCATATTGAGGTTTGGGAATTTTTGATGGAAATAAATGGTTAGCCAATACTTGATATCTAATTCAAATACATCCCATTGATATTAAATAATAGAGTTAGAATTATTAAGTAAAATGATTGATTATTCTTCTGATGGGATGTTGAGGATTGATAAGTTGAATTCATTGGCTACTTTAATAAAAGTGTATCTGTATTGACCACAAAATTGTGGATAGTAGATGATAATTTATTCCTGTTGAGAATAATGTATTAAAAATAACAATATAATAAACATATAAATATTAATTGGATTGGTCTCTCTTGCTTGTCTTTGGGTTGTATTTCGTCTTCTAATTTCTTTATATTTTCTAATCTATTGTTGGTAGTAATATGAAAAGAATGGCAAAGTCAGCTGCAACAATTATAAATGCCTGACTTAATTCAGTAATTTAAAAGTCATCGAAAATATGAATGTGCAAAAAAGACGATTAAGTAGAGAATGGTTAAGGTAGAATTGATATTTGAGATGCCAAAAAATCGAAATGCAATTACATTAAAGCTAATAATCCAAGATGTATTATCGCTAGATTGAAACCCTGACATATTGACAATAACATTAAAGATGGAAAAGATATGGGTATCATTTCTATGAATTTGAATTGACAAATAAACTTCATTGCTAATTATAGGTATGAGTAGGAATTTCTTATCATAATTAATAATATCTTTATTTATATATTTTTAATCCAATGTTCAGAATTACAACTTAGGCCTTGTACAATCAATAAGCCACAAAATTAGTTAATCGATTCTGTGTGGTGTCATAAAATAAACCAGGAGTGGGTCCTTCTTAAGTAATATGGATGCATAATGTTGATAGGGACATCTGACAGACAAATATACAGTGATAGATCACACATATGATGCAGTTGTTGTAGGAGCAGGTGGTGCAGGTTTAAGAGCAGCATTTGGTTTGGTTGAGCTTGGGTTCAAGACTGCTTGCATTTCAAAGTTGTTTCCCACTAGATCTCATACAGTGGCTGCTCAAGGAGGTATAAATGCAGCATTAGGAAACATGACAGAAGATGATTGGAGATGGTACTGATTGAGACATATCTAGGCATGCATACGATACAATAAAGGGATCAGATTGGCTGGGAGACCAAGATGCCATTACTTATATGTGTAAGGAGGCTCCAAAGGCAGTTTATGAATTGGAAAGTTATGGTTTGCCATTTTCAAGAACTCCAGAAGGCAAGATTTATCAAAGAGCATTTGGAGGACAGAGCTTGAAATTCGGAACAGGAGGACAAGCTTATAGATGTTGTGCTGTTGCAGATAGAACAGGACATGCTATGTTACATACTTTGTTCGGAAGAGCCTTGGGTTATGACTGTATTTTCTTTGTTGAGTATTTCGCTCTTGATTTGATGATGGATGATCAAGGGTAATATTGTGTTTTGATTTATAATAATAGAGCTTGCAGAGGAGTTGTTTGCATGTCGATGGCAGATGGATCAATCCATAGGATTAGAGCAGGATACACAGTGATAGCAACAGGTGGATATGGAAGAGCATTTCAATCATGTACATCTGCACATACCTGCACAGGTGATGGAGGAGGCATGACAATTAGAGCAGGTTTACCAATGGAGGATTTGGAATTTGTGTAATTTCATCCTACAGGTATTTATGGTTCTGGATGTTTGATGACTGAGGGTTGCAGAGGAGAAGGTGGTATCCTTAGAAATTCATTGGGAGAAAGATTCATGGAGAGATATGCTCCTACTGCTAAGGATTTGGCAAGTAGAGATGTTGTGTCTAGAGCTATGACTAAGGAAATATTGGAAGGAAGAGGGTAGTTATTATTGTCATTTATAGAGTTGGACCAGAGAAAGATCACATCTATTTGCATCTCAATCATTTGCCTGCTGAACTCTTGCATGAAAGATTACCAGGAATCAGTGAAGCTGCTAAAATATTTGCTGGTGTTGATGTTACCAAAGAACCTGCACCAGTCTTACCCACAGTTCATTATAATATGGGTGGAATACCTACCAATTTCAAAACTGAAGTTCTTAATCAAGTTGGTGGCAAAGATCAAGTTGTTCCTGGACTTTTAGCAGCTGGTGAAGCAGCTTGTGCATCAGTTCATGGTGCCAATAGATTGGGAGCCAATTCTTTATTAGATATCGTTGTATTTGGAAGACAAGCTGCCAATCTTGTTGGTGAAAAGTGGAAACCTGGATAGAAACAACCAGATTTACCCAAAAATGCTGGAGAAGCTGCCATAGCCAGAATTGACAGATTAAGACATCATGAAGGATCTTAGACTGTTGCTTAAGTCAGAAAGGATCTCCAAAGAACTATGTAAAAACATGCTGCTGTCTTCAGAATTGAAAAAACATTGCAAGAGGGTGTTGAAAAAGTTAAAGAAATCTATTCAAGAAAAGATGATATCAGAATCAAAGATAAAGGACTTGTATGGAACTCTGATTTGATCGAAGGAATAGAATTAGACAATTTACTATGTATTTACATATATCAATATTATTTCAGTGCAAGGTAAAATGACCATCGAAGGAGCTCTAAATAGAAAGGAATCTAGAGGAGCACATGCTCGTGATGACTTCCCAGATAGAGATGATAAGAACTGGATGAAGCATACATTAGCCAGAATCAAAGACACCAAAAATGGCGATATTGAATTAACTTATAGAGATGTAATAATTAATATTATATTTTATAGGTTATCACTAAGACCTAAGATCCAAAAGAATTTGATACCGTTCCTCCAAAAAAGAGAGTGTATTGAATAAATATTAAATAACATTAATAAATAAAATATTATGTTAAACTAATGAAACTTTGTTCTTATTCATTTCAAGATTAATTGTTCTTGCAATTGAGGTTCTTTTGCTTCGATAATTAAATTTTAGTGAACTTAAATTAACAAAAATATAAATCAAAGGAGAAATGTTATAACATTTTTGATATTATAAATAAAGAATTATAAATTATATTGATATTTTCATGATTGCATGAGCCTCTTTACTTACTATCTTATTTCTAAATAGTCAGAGATATTAATTTCCTTTAATATCATAAACTATTAAATTTTAGATTCTTGTGCAAATATCTTCATGTCAAATTCTTTCAAATAATAATGATCAATGATATCAAAATAATAATGTAATTACTACAGAAGCGATATCTCAATTTATTATGATTTGTTAATCTTATTAGATAAATTGGTAGCATCAATATTTTAAGCAAGTATATGATTATATTCAATGATTAAATTTCTAATTATCTTTTTAATAGCTTTCCACTCCAATCCAAACAAAATTTTATAGAACTCTTAGTCATATTTTTAATATTCGATTATTAATGATTTATTGGTTTTAATCATTTGATTATAATCTAAACAAGTCTTTGTAAATTAATTATTTTCTAATAAAATTTTGCACTGAATCTGCTATATGCATTCTCTTTGCAAAATAATTACCAATCTTTAAATTTATACTTATTGTCACTTTCGATCAATTGCTTGTAAATTGTGTCCTTGATATTTTAAAGATGTCTTGAACAAATAATCCTGCATTTCTCATTTAACAAAGGACTGATCAATCTGATTTCCTTTAATTTAGATATAATATTATTGAGAAACATACACAATGAAAACTAGCTTTGGAGTATCAAGGAAATTTCATCAAAAAAAGCCTAATTTTTATTGTTTCCCTTATTATAAATAGTAGTTATCTAATTGTTTTTTGAATTCAAGTACTTGTTAAGTATTGCATTAACTTGGGGATTTTTGCAATTCACATAAATTAGTTTTTTATAGGAATTATTTGTAGTCCATGGTTCTGAACAGTTTGGAATTTCAGATTTTATTGTTTATTCAGTACTTAGAATATCCATAGGCCTTACAGTCCTTTCTGCTTTTTTTGTTCTTTTCTTTATCAGGGGATGTCTTAGTAGTTCTGCAATTCCTAATCTTAGATATGGATCAACAATAAGGCATTATTTGATAAAATCCTTAACAGTTTCAGATACTGGAGGGATATCTGGAAAGGAGATGCGTTAATTGAGAACTTTAAAAATCAATTCTTATTCAGTCTATGCTTACCAGGGTGGGTATCCAAAGAGAATTTCATAAAAGAGGACACCTAGACTCCAAATATCACTTTTGGCGTTATATTACGATTTGATTATAGTTTCTGGACTCATGTAAAGAGGAGTGCCAACATTCATTTCATTATATAATTGATTTAAGGGTTTTGCAAATCCAAAATCAGCAATCTTAACACAATCATCATTGATTAATATGTTTTATGGTTTTAAGTCTCTGTGTATGATATCTCAAATGATAATTTAGAATACTTTGTTAAGCCATCACATACATACCATCTATGATTTATCTAACGATTGCTATTGATACTTCTTAACTCAAATATCCAAATTGTTTCAATTTCTAGGCTAGATCTCCTTGTCTACAGTATTCAGTGATAATGTATATATTGTTTTAAGTTGTGAAATGCTCGTAAAACTTTAAAATATTGCGACCCTACAGTTTGGATAGTATAGATATTTCATTTTAAATAAGTGGCAATTAATCGGATAACTGCCTGTTGATGACCTAAGAGAATAAACTAAAATGATATTACTTTAATCGCTACATTTTCTTTTGTTATTGTATTTTTAGCCTTTGTATACATTGGAACTAAACCCTCTTCCAATAATATCGCAAGTACTAAACTAGTAATTCATAATTATTCTGGTTTGAAAACTCATATATTTTAGTTGGATTAATTAATTAAGTTAATATGTTTAATGTATAAATCCTACATTAAGGGATTAATCTGGTTATTCCTAATATTATAAATTTATGATTAAAACATATAGTTTACAGTATGTGTCTCAAGAAATTGAGCAATTGTATCGTTCATCAATGCTGACAGGTCTCAAATATAGAAGGGAATACTTATATGCAGTAGTGAGCATTTATCTAATTCTAATAATTATAAAGTATCAGGATTCAATGCCCATAATATTTGCTGGCGTTAGTCTAGCATTAATAATCATTTGCTATTTAGCTATGAGGAAGTATCAATAATACAAAGAGATCTTTGTTGTTACAAATATACTTATAATGAGTGCAGTAATTGAAAGTTTGAGACTTTTTGGATAGGAATCAAGCCAATGGTCTTATGGTTATCACTCATCCATTTTAAAATTGTGTAAAATCTTATCATTTATCATAGTCATCTATTTAACTGGTTCCTCATTCATGGTTTAAACCTTTTTTTTCCTCCTAACTTAAATGGCCAGCTTTTATAAGCTTTCAATATATGATCCATAGACAATCATCTCGTAATGCCTAATAACTGTTTTACTTGTTTTATTAAGATATTAGTATGAAATGATAAACAGAAAGCATTTTTTAGTCAATTTATCCAAAGTTCAATATGAAAATATTTTAGAGGACTTATTGCCTTCTTGGGTTGTGATTGTGAAATATAATAAATAAGCAGGCTAACTGGATATAGAAAAGATCAATTAACATCTAAAAGAAAAGTTCAAAATATAAAACAACGAAATGTTAAGGGATTTTTTAAGGAAATTAGTATTCTTTGATATGGAAAACTAAAAAACATAACATTTTATAAAAATCGAACATGAAATAATCAAGGAGCTTAAATTGAAAAATGAAGATCATCCTATTCAAAAATATTTTGCTATTCTAGATGACCAAAATAACTCAAAATTATGGAAGTTCAGAGTGACTTAAGTATATTTCAATTCCTTTTAACCATAAGTTTTACTGTTCTTCGAAGAAATACAAGAGGATAAATATGATTATTACGTAAATGCAATTGAACAAAGGGATAAATAATTATATGTAATTTATATTTATTATTATAGTACAATGCCAAATTAAGTTTAAAATAAATCAATAATTAACTTGAAAACATTCAATAATTTTATCATGAAATTTCAAAACATGAGTGCTTAACACACGTGCTACAAAAGCTAAAATAATAACTGCAATTAAATTATTTCCTTTACAATCTAAATAGCAACCTATTTAATTAATATTAAATTTCATATAGACAAGTTAAGAGCGATATAAGTGTCTTCAAATTGAACTAATTCATTAATGATATCTGTCTTAACCTTCAAATAGAATAATAATAGGATAAAAAGGAGGATCAAAATCTGAAATATAGGAACATATATTTGAAGACTGACAAATAAAAACTCATCTCAATTATTATGAACCTAGTTTAATTTATTAAACTATTGCTTTCCATTATTAATTGTGAGACCAATATTTTATATCAAGCCTAACCTTTAAGAAAGCCAATTCTAATTTCCATAAAGCAATCCAAAAATTTTGATGACTCTTTGCAATTTTCTATTACTCATCCAAGTTTAAATATTAATAATTCGATTGTAACATAATTATAAGATATTCCACCATTCTCTTTGGATGATGATAAGAGAAATTGGGAGTACAAAAATTATTTTGATAAAATTATTCGTATAAACTAAACCTTGTAATAAATGTTGAATATGTATAAAAAAGAAATATCCTCATTTTAATGTATTTCAGTTGATAATTCGAAATTAAGTAACCCTTAAAATTAAAAGGTCAATAATCAAATCAGCTAACAAGAATATAATACTGTTGGGTATATTATAGCTCAATACTTCGTAAGTAGATTAGGTCCGTAAAATAAGTTTAATTTCAAATAGACTTGTTATGACTTTGAAAAATTTAATACATCTTAATTCATAGGATTACAATAAACTAAAATATAGTTCTCTATCTATAAAAATTATTTAAGCTTTGAAAAAGAAATGGCAAATAATGGATTGGATTATATTTTTGAAAATGATGCCGAAGTTTAATCAGAAAAGATGACAAACTAAGAAATTTTTTAGAAATTATATCAATTAAATCGAAAACCAAAATGAAATTATATAATTTTTGCTATTTAATTTATAAATCAAATTAGTTTAAGTAACAAAAGTAAATATATAGGCTGAAAAAAGAAGATTTCTAAAAACTTCCATTTAAACAGATTAATTAAAATCATATACTTTAGAATATGAGATTCTTATACGTACTATACAAACTCAATTTCCATAGTATAACTTTAAAAAAATTATAGGAAATTTGATCTCAATTAGAATTAAATAATAGATAGAATTTTAACTTTCAATAGTAAGGATGTTAAAATTTAATCAATAAAACACTCTCTAAAATAACAATTTAAAAATCAAGTGAAATATAGATAATATAATATAAATTAAGAATTGGCAGAATTATAAATCGTATTTATCTAAGATGCTTTAGAAAATAAACAAATAAATAATTAGTTTTTCAATGGAGGATTATTTTTTCTTTCTTTTGTTTAAAATGTTAATTTGTATTTTATTTTGATTCTGAGCATAAAATTTGAAATGATGAGCTATTATTTTATTATAAATAGTAAGAGATATTATTAATTCAAAAAATTTGGTATTCTACTTTTTCACTATTCTTTTAATTTATTTATAAATATTTTTAACAGATAATGAGTGGATAAATTTCTTCTTCTGAATCGGAGGAAACATCTTTTATATAAACTGAATAAGAACGAATTCTCAAGAGTTCCAATATTTTCAAGTAGAAAGAATAATGCAACAATATTTGTGCAAAACATCCAAACAAGAAAGTATAACCATTTATTTAATCAGGCAAAATATTATGTTCAATATGATAACAGCAAATTATTTTGTTCAAAGTGCGCTTTGAATTTAGCGTTGAAGGGATTAAAAATAGAGGAAACCTAAGAAAAGCAACCAGAAATTTATAGATAATAAAGAATATAGAGATTTTAAGAATAGTTAAGTGAGGTTTTGAAATAATGCTCAAATAAACTATTTTAGTTAAGAAACATAGAGATGAATTCGTCAAAGCAATTAATGGAATAAAAAGAAAACTGTCAAAAGTTCTTTGAATCTGTTATCAATACTGCAAATTAATTGAAACTTACGTATTTGTCTAAATTTGAAACTGATCACATTACTTAGTTGAATTAAATCACAGAGAAAATAAGTTTAGTTTAATAAATTGATACTTAGTTGAAATAATATGAGTTTGATATATCTAAAAATCACGAGAATATAGTTAAAAATATGGAAATGAAACCATTTGAGGATATAATGAATAGATATGAAAAAAGAGTTTCTTAAACAAAAGAATAACTTCAGGAATTCAATTAGGAATATTTCCAAAAATCAATTAAATTTGAACATACTCAAATATTAGCTGACATGAATAAAATGTGTTATAATTTATTACTGAAAAGTGAAGATTCCTCTGAATAAGCACCAAAGCAAATCAAACTTGAAACTAGTCCAAAAATATTACAAAAAACCACTAATTCCCCTATTGATATGAAGGTATTTGAATTATTGGAAGGTGAAGACATTTACTAAAGTACTTGCTCAAATCCAATTAAGGATCACATATAATCGCCAGTTAAAATATCAACCCAATTATAACAATAGTAAAAATCAAAAGTGAATACATATTCTAATCCAGGATCCACTATACAGAATTCAAGAAGGGAGAGCAATGCTAATACTCCAGAAAGCTGGCAATTCAAGGCCTGTTTAGATAGGAAAAATCATTAAGTAACTCCAAATGATAGAGAAAGCTTCAAGCACAACATCAGCGTGGGAGACTAAACCAGTAATGTTTAGTATCTCAACAACTAATTTGAATTAAATGAAAGGCATTTCAATTAATAAAATGAGAAGTAAAAAACTATAATTGAAGGGGAGAGACTAGATGAAAAGTCAAATTAATTATTAATCAATAACATTAATTAGTTATATATCTAAAAATAAACAAAGGATACTGAGAGAAAAAGTGTGGAAGATCGAGAATTTACACCAAAACATCAGAAGAACTTAACAACTGCAATTCCATAAACTTTTAAGTTATTGACCAATCATGCAAGTCAAAAATGTATCTGTTTCATTTATTCAAGCTTAATATCAATATCCTTTAGTGAATAATAACTTATTAGAATAAAAGAGTTAAAAAGAATTTTCTAAAACTAATTATGATTCATAACCATAATAGAAATCTCTGACTCCTCTTCATTAAGAACCCTAGTCAAGGATGAATAATCAATAGAATCATAAACAGGATAACCGCAGATCCAATTCAAAATAACCTAAATAGCCCTCTTTAGACTAAATAGATGGAAAGCGATAATTTATACTTGCAAATATGAATATCTAATAGTAATACACTTCGTAGCCTACTACAAGTGAAGACACTTTGAAAGATAGAATTCTAAAGGAGTTATGCAGTCATCCCGGAGAATCGGTTTATAACCAGGTGTTAAAATTGAATTGCTAATAAAAGTTGAAAAATTAAAAATAAATATCTAAAGAGAATTTTGAATAGTCTACAACAGTAAGAATGAAAAATGTAAATGGATACTTGTGCATCAAAAAGCAATCTTATTAATAATGAATGATGATTTTATTAATATTGTCTAGAATTCAATCATAATAAATATATATATGTATATAATTTCAGATGCATACTTCAGTCTAACAAATTGGACATTTCTTTTCGTTCATCAACCACTTCTTAATACATTTTGAATGATAATAGTGTTTACACTTAAGTTCTCTAATGTTTTCGTGTGTCACTATCTCATTATAACATATTGAACATCTAAAATACATTAAATTATTAATACCCATCTTTCTATTTGAGATATACTGTTCTTTTTGGTATTTTCTTTATCTATTCTTTAGTTAATCCTCTTGATACGTGACCTACTTAATTTTGTAACTCTAATAATTCTTCGTAGGTCATTCCATCTGTTTAAAACTATCTTTATGGCATCATTGCCTCTTGTATAAATTCATAATATTATTGATGTTTCATTTGTCTTTACATTTCGAGGAGCAATAATTCTTCAGGTGGGTACTTGACTTAACTTTACAATTCGTGATATCTCTATTAGAGGTTTTAATAATTTTCTGTAAGACTTTTGAGTTATTCTTTAGTGATAAGTAATTCAGACTTGAGCATAGCATTTTCCTAGAATCATATAAATAATTATACTTTCTTGATTTTCTCAATTTCAGTCATTGGAGCCACTTTCGATGCTTGTGTTTACGTTTATTAATAAGAATGTTGTTGTTATTACTACTACAAATTAGATTTTTATGGCTCTTCTCGATTGAAACCTTATTAATTGTTTATAGTTTTTGAGTATTAACCATTTGGTCTGGTAAACTTGTGTTTCTAATCATTTTTAGAATCCATATACAGATAAATTAATTAATTGATAAATATAAAATGAATTATTCAACAGTCTTAAGTAAAAAATCTTTCCCTCCTCAAAAATAGAATCAAGCCATTAATTTATTGGTTTATGGGTGTGAAATTCAAAAAATAACATCTGGGAATAAATTTGAAAAATTATTCATCTATATGTCACACGAAGTTAGTTATCATCTTATATATATCATAAATCAATACACAAATTATATAGATTTGAGGAAAATTAGATTTATAACTGACGATATTCGAGATACTAAGAAATTTACAGATGATAAATCAGTGTTATTACAAATCTTTGTTAGTGAGGAATGTTGGTATTTAAAATTTGCAAATCAAACACTAAAAGAATTGTGGTGGCAAGGATTGTAATATTTTTATACAAAAGTAAAAGAGGATTTGAAAGAGTATTATTAATTTGGTACTATATAGAAAATTATAAATCCACTTGATGGCTTGGGAGATGTTTGTTAAATTTGATGAAGATAGAGATGGATCTTTGAATAAGGAAGAATAATAAGGATTCCTTAATTGGATTAAATTGATTTATCCAAATAAAAGTTTTATTGAAAATAAATGTATCTAATCGAGTATTTAAAACAAATTGGAATTTATGCAATTTGAAGTAAACTTACCTCAATTATCTAGGAAATAGTTAGATTATTATACAAGTAGTCTATATTAATTAAATTAAATAAGCTGTATTTAAATTCTTAAAACCTATTAATTGAAGCGGATTTCGAAAAGTTCATTAGAACTGCACAAAGATAAAAAGATACAGACTATTTCTTTGCATTCCCCATGACAGCTGATAAATTTAATGATTTTCTATTTAGTCAATAGAACTCTATTTTTGAAATGGGTCATTCAGACGATATGACCAAACCTCTATCTCACTACTACATCAACAGTTCTCACAATACCTACCTTACTAAGGATCAATTGGCAGGTGACAGCAGTGTAGGTCAATATGTAATTGCATTATTAAATGGGTGTCGATGTTTTGAATTGGATTGTTGGGATAGCATTTCTGACAGGAATCCAGTGGTGTACCATGGGTACACTTTGACATCGAAGATTTTGTTTGAGGATGTCATTCTGGCTTTAGACAAATTTGGGTTTATTTTTTCATCCTACCCCATAATATTATCATTAGAGTTGCATTGCAGCATTGATCAATAAGAAGTATTGGGATAGATTATGAGGGCCTAATTTAAAGATGAACTCTATGTATATGAGTAGAATCTTGATGTTCTTCCTTCGGTTGACAAGCTAAAAAGAAGGTTCTTAATAAAGAGTTCAGGTATTTTAGAGGAATCCTATAGTCTGCACAAAAACAATTAGGAGATCCACAAAACTATGCAGGGTAAAAAAGTCATTAAAACACAGAAGACTTTGGAGCTGATATAGGTGGATTAAGATCCAGAACCTGGATTGGTTAGAGAAATTGCATAAAAACAAAGAATTAATAATAAAACTTTAAAAAATCTGAACTATGAAAATAAACAAAAATAATTCATAAGACATGATGCTATTTGTGATTTTAAAATGATAGGAGATTAAATTGATTTGGTAATCCCTGTGAGTATGAATGTCAAACATCATCCCTAATTTTTGAGTTGCATAAGTTTATTTAATTCTCCTTTTGAAATCAATAAGAAAAGATCAATTTGGAATATATCCTCTTTGAGTGAGGACAAAGTGGATAAAATCTTTAAAGAAAAGAAGGTTAAGGAGGTCTAATAGCATTTAAACAATTATCTAGTTAGGATTTATCCTTCAGGTATGAGAGTGGATTCAAGCAATTTCGATCCAATTCCAAGTTTCATTTTGGGTGCTCAAATCATTGCCCTCAACTTCCAAACCAAAGATGAACCCATGTTAATTAATAGGGCAAGGTTTTCACAAAATCTTGGCATTGGTTATGTTCTTAAACCAAAATACTTGATTGAAGGATTGGATAGTGTGACTAATTTTGAATCTCCTGATTATCCAACAAAATTAGTAACTCTCGAGATTATCTCTTGCTAATTATTTTTACTACATACTAAAAATGTCATAAATCCATAGGTGGTAGTTAAACTAAAAGGAAATAAAGTGGATGACTATGGATAGGAATTGCAAACTAATGTTATATACAATAATGGATTGAATCCAGAATTTGATCAGAATTATTCAAAAACTACTTTTGAGGTTAAAGATGTAGATTAAGCTATCTTCATATTTAAAGTGTTCAATAAGTCAGATGACAATAAATAGACTATCATAGGATAGTATGCTTTACCATTTAAAAATATGAGGGAAGGATATAGAGCAATACCATTAAAAGATGAAAATTTAGTGGTTATGGAATATTGCTATATATTTGCTCAAGTAACCATCTAATGAATTAATATTATTAAAATAAAAGAGTTTAAAATCATAATTATTTTTATTTAGAAAAATACACCTAAACCTTATTGTCGATCCAATCATAAAATTCTTGGTTTTCCACATACTTAGGATACCATGGACTTTTCTCAAAATTCTAAGTTATTTTTTACATTTTCTCAAACAAAGTGCTGGCCATCTAATCTATATTATGAATTGTGTACTTTTCTGGCAACCAAAGCAACTAATGCTTTAGGTATGTATCTACATTAGGGATCTGAATTGGTAACAGCCCTTACTCTACATTTATTTTCACTGATAGGTGTTAATTCAAATACATAGTAATTCAATATCAAATTTACAAACTTTCCTTTATCTTTTGACAAGTCTATATTATGTACTTTTAAAAATTCAGGATCATTGTCAATAGATTTACAAATAAATACTATGGTACCATTGATGTTAAGCCTATCAATACCTTCTCCAACAAACACAGCTTTTCTGTCGGAAATCAAAGGAAAGTACACCTGTATGTCACAGATTTTACAGCATTTTCCAATTTTTTTCGGCATAGATGATCTAACACAAAATGGTACATAGTTTTGATATAGTTCAATTTCATTAATTAAAGCCATCAATTTAGTGACATTAGCTTCGAAAACTGAATCCATGAAGAGAGTCACAGTTGAGTTTTTGGAATCAATCTTATACTTAATGACAAGTGTTTTCGTATTTTTCTCGATAATCCAGCCACTTGATTCCAGTTCATTGAGATTAATTTGCATAGTATTCATTTTATCTTCGATCGTGATAACGTATTCTCCATAGGTTTCATAGAACCATTATAAGAGTAGTTCGTTGTCCTGCAGTTCCATTTTAGCTTGTTATATCACATAATAGGCCTATGTATATAAAAAGATCTACATCATCTAGTTAGGCTTCGTTATAATAGTAATTCTTGGATTAAGCCAATCTTTGTTCGGTGACAGCTTTTAGATCGGATAAAGGGTTCCTTTCGAAGTTGATTTATGAAAAGTAGCTCTTCTCATCAAATTCCTTTATGACATTGAGTTTATTTTCATCTAATTCAGAGAAGCTTTGCACTTTCTCTTTGGTTTGGTGTAACAGTACTGATTAGGATCCAACTTTTAAATATTCTTGTTTATCACAATTTTCATTCAAGATGCAACTAACTGCTTTCTTTTATTTCTGGGTTTATTTTTGCTTTGAGTTGATTAGTTTGGGCAGAGCTTGGATTTGAATAGGATGGATGACTAATTAAATCAGAGATTACACATACATTCATCGTATTCAAATAGCATTTCTTGTATAATTTGGTCATCTGATGCTTTTTTTTGGAGAACTTTGAGATTCTGGTAAGTTTAATTAATTGTTATATCTCCCATATTTGATTGTTCTAAAGTTCTGAGCTCTTAATTCAATTGAACTAAAAACGTTTGATAAAGGGGATATACAATTTGAGCATGGTTGAATGCAGTATATTCAGAAATAATAGTTTCGAACTAGATAATAATAATTACATAGTACATAGAATTGAAGCATTTCAAGTGTTTATTAAGATGATAATTATTAGTTATCTACAGGAATTTCAATCATAGATATTTATAAAATAATAATTATTCAAAACTAAATTTTCGGATCCCTTTAAATTCTTAGATTCGATTAATTCCTTGAAACTAATAGATAAATGAATTTATAATTATAAATGAATCATTATTTTAACATACACATAATGGGATGTTCACCTGCTTCCAAAATATCATATTTTTTGTCGCATAACAAATAAGTTCCAATTCTAATTTGGTATTTACAAGTTTGCTCCTCTGCAACAGAGATGAACCTCATCAAGTCCCCTGGATAACATTCAAGCTAGATTCGACTCTATCTCGTTGAATTAATGGGATTACAGAAGCTACCGAATCGATAATGTTCTTCAAAAATTCCATTAATCTCCCCTGTAAAATTTAATGGATGATAATACTAGGTTAATAAACTTGTAGAAAATAGGCCAAATTCGACCAAGGGAAGTGGCATTATATCATATATCTTTACACCATTAGATTTCTTATCAAATTCAAAAATGATTGGTGAATAGGTTTCTCTTCTTATTCTCTCCATCTTAAATTCAATAATTTTATTTGATAATTTGATTAAATTGCCTTTCCCAACATACAACATGTCGATTTCAGTATCCACTATAATCCAATATAATTGATTTAGAATACTACTATTTTGAAATCTAGATTCCATTTGAACATATTTTCCTTACTTGTTTTTAATGTAAATATTTGGTTGAGGTTATGTCAACATGATAATGGATGTTTGTAAATACATATCGCTAATTATATTGACAAGTAAAGCACAAGCTGTCTCATTATTTAATTAATAAATAGAAAATGTAACTCCCATGTATTTTTGATATTGTTATTTCATTTGATACCCTTAAGTAGAGTAATTGAATACATGGACTTGCACCAGATCATATTCTAGTTTTTTCAGGGAGATTAAGTATTCATCTTCGAATTCAAAGGTATCAAGTTGCGGTGGAATAACATTTGATAATTTAATGAACTAGCCACTCTTTCTAACAAATGCTTTTCCTTCATAACGCAATCCCTTGGTCAGTTTCTTATCCAAAATGGCAATTCCATTATGTTCTTGACTTACTCTGAAGGATTCAACATAAGTAAATGCTGAAGTGTCATCAAAAATAGTGATAAAATCATTAACATTTATCTTATTATCATAATGATAAAATAAGGTATTCTCTGAAATCAGTACAGATCCTCTTAATAATTCATAAATAGCATTGGAATCCATTACTATTAATTTTTAGATCAATAAGGGAGACTTTTAGTCTTTAGCATTAGGTAAGTAACCTAAGATCTAGATGGCACAGTAATCAATGACTTTTTTTACTTACACTAAAAATGGCTTGTCTGTTAATATTACACCAACACTCTATTGAGGATGAAGGATAGACTGAGCGTAGAGATTCAATCCAAATATAATATCCTTGTATTGATAGTATTGATTCTATTTAATTGCATATTTCTATTTTTTTGATTGAATTATCTCGAAGTAATCTGAAATGATTACTACATCTGAACATTAGGATAATAGTAGCAATTCATTATAGATGACTTGAATCACACGAAATGAATACATTTTGTCAGATGTTGAAACGTTGAGTTGATATTCGAATTTCTCTGATATCTAATAGTTTCTCAATTTGGCCAAGCACCCCTCTATAATTATCAATCGATCAATCTATTATCGTATTTAATGATAATTGGTATCTAGTTAATATGAGGAATTGAGAGGCTCTTAATCTGCATAGGAATAATTCTTAGAAATAAATTAATTCGAATATCCCAAACTGAAGTCCTCTTTTAACTTAGAATATACATATAAGTCTTACGATCTTTTGCATGTTTTAAATTGTATTTAAATCGTCATATTGTCTCACATGTTTTCTAAAGCAATATTCATAGAGAAATTCTTTGGTTATATGATTGACACATAAATCTATCAATGGAAAAAGAATGATATTGGCTTCATCTTCTGTCAGAATTCTGGTAATTGATAATTGATCCGCATTCAGAGGTTTAGTTAGTTGGGGTATTGGAATTTGACATAGGACTGTTCTGCCGTCTTCGATACTACAAATGCAATACCTTGTAGGGTTATTTCTTTACCAATGGAATCGAAAATATGTTATACAGCATAAAGTTCAGGGTAAATGGTTCGATTGTCTTGATGGTCCTTCTCAATTGTATGTATTGTGTAGGTATTATCTGCATTAAAAGCTTATGCAATAGTAAATATTAGAAAAATTAACATATTAATGAGTGTTGGATAGGTTCATCCTAGTTGCTCATCTCCGATTGATACCAAGGATTATAAAACAGGATTAGAGTATAATATCCATTTTACTTGAATAGTTCACTCAAACTATTTAATACAATAAGATAGAGTAGGCACACATCAAAAGAAACCACTCTCATTATTTCACCTAAACAGTATAGCTAGATTTTATTCAAGTGCAATAAGCAATCGCGCATTCCTAACTCCTAAACGTAGTTAGTTTACTAGTTAAGATTAAATTGTTGAGGAAGATGATTATTTTAGAGACCGAAGAGCAAAAAGAAAATTTGATACTGCATCCAGAAAATTAATGATCCTATTGAATTTCTTTAGGCATATAAATCAAACAAAAGACACAGATAAAACATCATAGCTTAAATAAATTCACAAGAAAAGAAAAAAGCTGCCGTTCTATCCAAATTAGTTGCAAATTTGGAAATAATTTATGTCAGTGCAAACATTAATTACTTTGATGTTGTATCCAATCTACATTAGTCTCTCGGACTATAAGAGTTTAGTATTCATATTAATCATTTTAGGATGTCTTGACCATTCTTATTTTGATATTGGATATTTTATATTTGGTTGACATCATTTTAAAATAAGTTACATGTCAAATCGATAAAAATCATAATTTAATCGATACCTTCTAGGCCATATTCTTATTTAATCTATAGAGATGGCTATTATTCGATATCCTCAGTATCATCCCCTATAAGTTATTTGTTTATGATTTTACAGATTAATTGTGCTTAAATCTCTTAAAATTACTGAGATTTGTTAAATATTTCAGCTACAACGAAAGATAAATCTACTAAGAGGCCTAAACATCCTCAGACTAATCCTAATATTTCGAGAGATTATTTTAACTAGATGGGAAATTGTTTAGCATTTTGAAGATATTCAAAAATATGCTCATCTTAATCAGTCTTTTTGGATGTTTGTTCCATTCCGTTTTATTATATGATGGGATTTCATAATAAGAAGATAGCTCAAAAATCTATATTCAAGGATTGTACTGGGCTATTCAAACAGTTACAGTCATAGGCTACGGAGATGTACCTATGACAACATCAACATAATATAATTTAACAATTATTTGGATATTTTTGGGAGTTGGGTTTTATTCCATGACTATCGGCAACTTAGCTGCAATTTTGGAATAGCAATCTGCAAATGAAGGTTTTGATGAAGACTTAGAAGCCCTGGAGACTCTGATGTCTCAAATCCTCATACCAGAAGAATTAAGTGCTTAACTATTCTCCTATTATTATTATAATATTGAAAACAATCCATTTTGGAATTACAAGAAGTATTTCATTTATATAATAAAGATGATAGAATCATTGAAACCTTGCCGTCTCAACTTAAAGTATTTGCCATTGCATTTTGTCAAAAACAACTAATCGAAAATGTTAACATCTTCTCTTTTGATATCAATTTTGCTGCTGCCATCCTACCTCACTTTTCTATTTACTGTTTCAAACAGTATGAAACTATATACTTCAATGGATCCCCTAGTCTTGAAGTCTACTTCTTAGTGGCTGGAGAGATTCGTCTATGCGATAAGGATGGCAACACACTTCTTAATATCCAAGAAGGATATATTTTTGGGGAAATTGAAATATTGGAAGATTGCTACAGAAAATAAGCAGCAATCGCCAGTAAGGACTCTGTTGTTATAATATGTCCTGTATTATAATTCTTACAATTAGTTTAAGATGATGAAAAATTGCTCTTTGAAATTGAGTAATTAGGTTTAAGAAGAAGACTCTTATTGCAGGAAAACCTTTCCAGAATTAAAAGTATTTATATATCCATATGTCTCAATAGAAAATGCCAAATAAATAAAAAGAATAAGTGTATTAGATGGGGAACTAATGAATTAGTATGTTTCAAAAAAGTAACTATTAGAGAGACAATTTAAAAGAAGCATCATTAAGGATACCTATCAATAAATACATAAGAAATTGATTAGATTCATTTTTGGTCAGAAGCAAGAGAAAAAATGGAAATATCAAGCTATATTTAAAATGGCTGTCAGGAAAATCATAGATCATAGAAAATAAGCATTATTATTATCAAGAAAACACAGTATGGTTTTAGGTAAGTAGATGCTTTAAAACTTTGCTCAAGTCAGAGAAGACGAAAAAAATCTTCAGAAGAAAATATTGAATAATAAGAAAAGTGGAAAATATTAAAAAAGAGTGAAAATTAAAGATATCATAAATCATCATAGATAAAGTCGAATAGCACCTATGTTAATCACGCCTTCCCCATATAATGAGGAAATTATCAGTGAAGTTAAGGAAGAAAAATAATTATTTAAACAAAAATAAAATTTAATTGCCGAGTTATCTAATAAACTTATTAAAATAAATTTAACTGGATAATTAAAAATATTTAATACCCTATATGAAGAACTAATGAAAAGCATTGATTTCTTAAATGAGATTTAGTATCAAACTAATTAATCTGTAGAAGAAATGGAACTAATATACTATTAAATATCTTCATTGATTATATCTATTTTTTGAGAACTTATTCTATTTTGTAGTTAAAATTTATTAAAATAATAAAATTATAAAAATTATACTTTTAAACTCACTTGTTATCAAACGTATTCGATATACCATTTAATTTCAAGTTTGCAATCTATTTCACACTCTTTACCCATTAACCAATCTCACAGCAACCCCCTTACAATGATCCAACTAAATATTCTGTTAATTTTGATAAAGCAAATCCCTCTGATAAGATCTCTGCCATCACCAATTAGTCTGCAAATAAAGTTTCCCTTATTCTTTATTAATATTCCTTTTTGTTTTATATGACTTAATCCTACGTCTTCAAGACAAACTCTAACTCCACGTTTGCTTAATATCTTGCTTAAGTTTTAGCTTCAAACTCAATTTTTTTGTGTATTCTAAATTTGTATAACATCACCACCAACCACTCAGTAAGCTAAATTATTAAATAATTCAATACTAAATTTAGTCCAGATTTTAAAACAAGTGATTAAACAGGATCTTAACCACATATTCTTAAGTATATTAATTGATCACTTTATATTCGGAATCTTTTACAAAGATCACTATGGTTTTCTATAAAAGATATAAGTTCTTCAGTAACAGCTATAATTTGCTAATATCTGGTATCACTTGATTACTAGTTTTATAATTATTTGAGTAAAAATTATAACTAAATTAAAGCATCATTTTTTTCAAACTCATTTTCTTTTTCATAAATACTTTTGTTTTCTAAATCAATAGATGTTATTATTCTTTAGACATTATTGTTAGCAACAACATTAATATCATAACATTCTGAATAAATTTCAAAAAGATCCAATCCTTTATCAAATTGAGTTGCATTTAATTTTTGATATATCTATGTGTCCTAATTTATTATCTGTAATGCTCTTTCATAGAGTTCCTGATTGACTTTTGACATGTATTTTGAAGTCTATTGTTTATTAATTATTCTAATTATAAAAATTGAAGTTCAAATATATTATTTATTAAAAGATGATTAAGAATTTAATTATATCATAAATTTGTAATTACATTTTTAGTGTATAGTCTTTAAGAACTACAAAAAATACAAAAAATATTCGTCAAATTGGATAGTTAATAGATTTTTGAACTTAATTGAATGAGACACTAAAATGAGTTTAAAGTTTTGTTTATCAATTTTAAATGGCCTTAACAATCAACATTATTCTACGTTGTTATTTGTAGATATTCGAATTTAATATCTTATCAACTTTTGACTTTATTTAATTATTTTTAAATTATTCGTATCAAGCATAAATACTTGTTTATATAGTTTAAGTTGATTTGTGTGGTTATTTAATTTTTGTACTTATAATTATGTAGTTAAAATAGACTCAAAATCGATTTAATGATATACTATGTATTATTAGTAATAATTTAATCTAGTTTAAGGTTAGAATTAACGACTATGTTATTCTTATATTAAAATAATATTAATTCATAAATATATTTTATGCAAGAAGAATTAAATTCAAGTCTTGATTCTTTAGAATTGGAGTTATATCATAAACCAAATACAAAGATAAAATCAATACTAACCTATTTAAGATAACAAAAGATTTAATTTTGCACAGACCCCAAAAGAAAAGAGGATAATTACTATTCGAAAAATGATAAGGAAAACGATAGCAAAGATTTCGGCATATTTAGAAACAAATTTTATAAAAGAAAATCCTCAACCCATGTGAATTAATTGTGAAATCGAATAATCATATTTATGTTTATGCTCACATTCTAATTAAACAACAGATTTTATTATTTGATGTTATTTTGAATCTTATTGAATAATGTTTAAAAATCATATCCTAATAATTATAAATATTCAATATAATTTTTTATATTGAATTTTATTTATACTGATTATTAAAGCATTATGCGACATCACAAATTGAAGGAAAATAAATTAACAAAAGGATTTATTTTTCAAATTGAGCTCTGATTCAAGAATAGCTTCCTTTGAATCCATAAATTATAAATTTGCAAGGAATTAATAATTATTTTTAATTATGAATTTAATTATAGTATATTTTTATAATAACTTTAAAAAAGGAAATATAAACTTAATAAATTTATGAATGAATAAAAACAAAAAATCTGTTTCTTTGAGAATGTTATGATAAATCTTTAATTAAGCATAAATTATGAAATAATATTATTCTTGTTCTCAACCTATTTCTATAAAGTTCTATGGTTCTTAATTCTACTAAGTATCCCTTTTGCCTTTTTTTAACATTCTTAATTGGTTATTTATAAACTTTTTGGCTTAATATATCTTCTCCATTTCTGATTGAGCATCCTTAATATTTTCTTCTTTACCCAAAGCTTTATCATACAATTTAACAAGCATATTATTGTAGTCTTTATTTTCATTCAAATGCAAATACTGTGTATTTCTCTTAAGAAAATACTCAATCTGACATAATGCTTCTTTTAACAAATGGATGTCTTCTAAAGACCTCCAATTTTCTATTAAAGCTAAACAAATTTAATATCCCCTTATATCGAATTGTTTTGGCATAAAATCGAGTAATTCAACTAGCTCGCTCCACTTTTTACATGCAATATATATCCTGATAACAATCTTAACTACCTTTTATTTTAAGTATTAGAATATTAGATCATGATGATAATATTATCTTAAGACTTCGTCTTATTCTGAATATTCTTCCCCATACTATTTATAATACTTTATTAAGTCCTTATTTTAAGTGGAAAATATTAAAGATATGATTTAGAGTAAGTTCTCAAGCTTTTCTTTTGACAAATTCTTATTGCTTAATTATATATGACAGTAATAATATATGCCTTCTATAGCATACCTTTAAGGAGCAGCACGATCAATCCTCATTTTAATTTTTTCAAAAAACAAACACAGATTCATCATTACAACATTTATTTTTTATTGAGAGTCTTTATATATTTAATTGGATGAATCGCTTTTTTTATCCTATAATTATCTCTTATAGAATCTTAGTTCAGGCTATAAACTATATTAGAATTCTTCATTTTCTTTCATGCTTTCCATTAACAAAGGAATTTTAGTTTCAATAATATCTAGTAATTTGCTCAGAGCATTTACATTATTACTCTAAATGAATCTTCTGAGATACTTATAAACATTGATTTATAAATCTGATATACTTTCTACTTCTCCCTCTGAGGAATTGTAAAAATAATTCATTTATTTTTCTTTCATTTAAATTATAAGTTTGTTAATAGAGGAATAATTCTGAATAGATTGAATAATTCTATCTATTGGTATGCTCCTTAATTTTCTTAATATTTTTTTTTCAATCAATAAAATCGCCCTGAAATTATGTTATAATTCAAAAATATCATTTGGTATTGCAATTTGGTTCTATGAAAGTAAAAATTGGTATGCCTATTGCACTTTCTAATAATTCTTTTCATTTGGTTAACTTTCATATTCTAGTTATCTCTGCTGTGCTTTTAGTAAATCCATAATGAATCTATATTCGAAAAGATGAGCCAGATTTTATTATTTTTATAAGTGAACTTAAATCTTTTTTTAGCTAATAAACCAGTCAATCTCCTAAGGTTATACCTTTTGATTTAATTAATTGTAAGCTAGATTGAAGATTTTCATATAAAGATAATTCCAAAAAAAAGGGATCTCATTCAATGCTATTGCTATACAAATATATATATTATTTTTATCATCTTCTCTTGCTAATTATAGCAAGTAATAAATGTTGGCCATATAATCATTCGATAACTTTTGTTGCACTATGAGATCTTTCATCTCATTAAATTTGGGAGGTTATTATTACGATTACTTTGAAAAAATCATTTAATTCAATGCAGTCGCATATTGATAAACTTAGGAATCTATTTTCTTTGGAATATTTTTTAAAATAAATGTGTTGGCAAAATTATGAACTGCTTTTTTATCAGAAAACTTGTTATAGCAAATTGGCAAGAAGTAACCTATAAATTTAATTTCATCTTCGACCAATTCTTTTTAAATGAAATGTGGACTGAAATAGTAATTCTCAAAGAAATATACAATAAATGTTTTTTTAAGATCTTTGGTGGAAAAGGAGTAAATTTATTTGACTAATTCTTTCGAAACTCTTTTAATTTGATTGGAAATCTTGGGATCTCCCAAATTGATCGATAATTTATGACTTAATAAGTATCTTTATTTTTCAATGCTAAATTAATATTAGTTTTATCCAATTTTAAAAGGCTCTGTTAATTACTCATTCATCAATTTAATATCTTTGAAATATCTATTATAATGAGAAGTAAAATCGTAGTCATCTTCCGACTCACTTGAATATATCTCAGGTGGAACTAAATTTTTTGTATTTTCAGCAGGTTATGTTTCAATTTGCATTTAATTTTTTTTAACTGTACAATGTCCATAGATGCCTGGTTTCTCGTTAATATAATTTAGTAAATAATACTGAACATCCTTTGAATCTTAAAATTTTTCTGTAAAATTTCTCAAATACTATTAATAGTCTTGTTTCATCCTTTGTCTTAAATCAAGTATTGCTTTGATTACATTATTCAAATTATATATTTCTAAGAATTTACATAACTGAATTTATTTTAATTAAAGTGTTGTTATTAATAATAGGTCATTTTTTGGAGAGTCTAGCTTCTTATGATAGAATAATAAAAATGATAATAGTGGTTAACTAGCTTCTTCATCCAGGGCTCCATAAATAAATATTAATTTTAACAAGCATACAGCTATGACTGAATTAATTTGGGTTAATTTACAGAATTATTCAAAAATAGGTTTAATTATTTGAAATGCATATTTACATTATTCTTTTGTTTGCCTAAAATAGAGTTGTTTAATGCAAGCATTCAAAATTAGATAGGTTTCTTTTTAGTCACATAGGTTAGGTTCATCTTTGAGGAAGCTCTTTATCTTAATCACCTGAGTCTGTATTTGATCCCCTTTTTCAATCAAATAAATTGGTTATTCCCAAAATTCTAGAATTTCTGAAAGTGAAAATTCTAAAAGTTTAGTCAATTATAAGTGTTGAGTTCTATTTTGTTGATTTTGATTTTAATTATGATTAGGGAGATTCTTAACGATATTGAATTCATTGTGGATTTGAGACATAATCATTTTGAACTCCTTAGTTTACGATATTTATTGTTCCTTTTAAGATTTCTTAAAACTGATTTAAAATAGCAACTTGTCATTTAATTTAAATATCAATTTTTAATAATTTTTTAGTTTGATTACTTACATTTTAGTTTTGTTTTTTTCATTTTTTATTCTTTATTTAAATTCATTGAATAATTAATAGAGAATTTTAAGATCTATTTTCGGATCATTAGTTAAATCAGTCATAAAGTATTACGCCCAAATATAGGATTTAACTAATTCAATTTAAGCTTACTCGATTGCTTCTTTATCAAAGTTTAATTCATCAGGTATTTTATAGAGAAGCTCTGTTAATTGGTTTATTAGACTTATAAAGTAAAACTTAGATGATTAGAGTTTTGATATTAAATATTGTCCTATTTAATTTTTATTGACTGTCACGTTTTATTTTTATTCTGTATCTGGACTTTGTTAATGATTTAAGATGGTATTTTTGCCATATATTGAGATTGCTTCAAACTTGACACCACATTTTTTCATTATTTCTATAACTTTGGAATTTTCTTTCTGAATAATAGATTATAATGAAAATTTTTCTTTGTTGTTTTAATCATTCTATAGGTTTAATTTCTATTTCAGACGCTATTTAACATTTTTTTCAAGTTGTTCTTTGAGTTTGTTCATTGGAATAAGTTTTTCTTTTTTCGATTTTACAATGAAAACAGTCTTTAGAATAATAGAAATGTCTTTTTAGTGTATTTCTTCTGTTACCTAATCAATGTGAAGATTATTTATTAATAGTTTCCTGAGTTTTTTAAAAAACTTCTTGAGGTCGACTTCATCCAAGTAGATTTCGCATTCATATTCTTAATAGAAGTAATCTAGAATTAAATATTCTTTTGGTATTTATTCCAATTTTTTAGAGATTTAATTTCTTTCTTCTAAAAGTTCATTCACAAATAAAGTGGTTTTTGATTCCTTAAAATACTAATCTAATTCTAGGAGTTGCTACTTCAATTTGTTTTCATCAGGCATCTTTTCCAAATACTGATTAAAGTAATCTACTTCGTTAATCAAGAATGCTAAACAGCAAACCTAATAGTACAATATTATTTTGCCTTGGACCTATTGACAAGACTCCAAACTAAATAGTAAAACTGAATAAATACGCCTTTAAAGTCAAGTGCAAGGCTCTAAAATTGAGGCCTATTTATCTGAAGATAATGGCCATTTTTCTATTCGTTTCCCAACAATCCTCTATGATGGCATTGCTTTCATGATAGTACCTTAGAGCTTCGCATTTCTCTCTAATTTCATTGCTTCTCCCACATATTTCAGCCAATGAAATTAATGTAGCATAATGAATGGTTTTGTTCTCCTAGCTCTATACAATTTTGGAATGGAGCAGATTCTTCAGTTATTCCTTCCCATCATTGATTCTCCCCTACTCTAAGTTATTTATCGCTTATTAATAGCAAAAGAATATTTCAACATCATGAGGTGATTTATTGGCTGGAATCATAAAGTTAATTATAAGATAAAAACATTAATTTAAGGAAGAAAAATCAATCATTTTAACTGTACTCTACATCACTAGGTGAAACATAGTAAGTAGAAATGGTTAAATTTTTAGAGGGAAGATAAACATCTTTGGCATAATCGAATTAGAATCCTTCATATTCGCTTTCCACTAAATTCTTCGTGATTTCACTAACGAGAATCTTCCCCTCCTAAAATTAGATGATTTATTACTTGTCCTGATGATTCCATCAGATTCGCTATTGTAACATCTTCCCCATAAATATCGTATCTAACTACATCTGTTCCCACGACGCCTCCCAAGACTCTACCCGTATGGACTCCGATCCTCATATTTAGATGCTAGTATTGAGGGTCTTTCTTGTAATGATTGATGATTTCAATCATACTAAAACCAAATGCTAATACTTTTTAGGCCTAGTCTTAAAATAAAACTTACTTCTCCTGCAGGGTCTCTCTTCTTACAATCCAGCACTCCCATACACACATAACAATCTCCTATCGTAAACAACTTGTAGATTTCAGCCTTCTGACAATACTCATCAAAATTTGAGAATAGATTTCTAAGCATATCTACCACTGTTTCTGGTTCAACAGAACTCGAATATTTAGTGAAACCAGCGATGTCTGCAAATAGTACTGTCGTGTTCTCCAATACATCCATAAAGGTGTCTGTATTCTCTTAATCAGGATTCAACAATCTTCTCAAAGCATGAGGAGGCATCAGGTATTGGAGCATGTTTTCATACTTTGCTATTTAAGTTGACAACTGTAGACTTATTAAATAGTTCTTAAATAGTAGGTCCTTCTCTTGCATCTAACAAAAGAACGTTAATCCAGAGATTCCCATCAAATAGATTAATAATTCCAAAATATAAGCCTCATACACTATCATTATTGTTATCACTATTATGAACATAGCAATAAATCTCTATCTATCCTCATAGTTTAAGATTTATGAAAGATATACATTGATGTACAAAACACTTATTGATATTGTTTGTAGGACTACCTCAAATTCTTCCTTTTTCTCGAAATTTATGATTAACAAAGAAAGACTACTAGAACCCAAAAAGTAGATCCAAATGATAATCTTTAGCATTTCCAAATTCACTCTTTCCAAAATCATTTGGTAACTGATTGTCAAAATTAGACACATCCCAAACTAACACACTTATACAACTAATAGTTGAATCTATGTATCATTAAATTATTGGCTTATGATGAACAACAATAAACCCTTAAACAAGTTCAAGGTTGTTAGAAATACTAAAATATTCCTCATCTATAATTTCTCTTACTCTTTGTATTCCTCATAAATAGAATGGTATAACTATTGATCGTTAGTTTTGAATTGACTATTATCAATTTCAAAAGTAGACTTTTCATCATAGTCAAGTTTGAACTTCTTAATTGTCTCTAAGGTCTAATAATCAAACTTCTATTCAGGTGTAATAATCAACTTCTTTTTGGCTATTTCCAATTCTTCTAATCTTTCATTCATGGATTCTGGACTCTTCTTCAAAGCAGAACTAGAATCCTGCAGGTGTTGCAATTTCAAAGACCGTTAATTTTTGAGTTATTTTTTTTATTCCATTTAAGAATCACTATCCACTCCTACTCCAGATACTTTAACTATTTAATTTTTATCCCTTTCCTCTGGGAGTATTATCTTAGTACTAGATTTTATGATTGCTCCCTTCTTCTAAATTAGCTCTCCCAAAATTATGGTTCCTTTCTTCTTCATCTATGGTCTTGGAATAAAATTAAGACCCTCCTGTTTGTTATTATCCACTTATTAATCAGTCACTTTTAGCAATTGATCAGCGGAATGTAAAAATTACTATTGATTTGATTAATGAGATAGATTAACACCAGATGAAAATAATTGTTACTAACACGATTGTGATACAGCCTAGACTTGAGGCTTTGAATCTACTTGGAACTAAATCTAAGTAATTGAATCCTATTGATTATTGGGTTATGCTAAAAAATTCGGTAATTTTTCTTCAACAGCACTTTGCCGTTTTTAAATCCAATTTTTTTGAAATCCAGGTGTCTTTGCATTACTATTATGGTTGTTATCTTTCACATCATCATTCTTAAAATTAGTAAAATTATGGTACTTAATTAAATGATTTAGATTTGATGGAATTTAATCGTTTGCTTTCTAAATCGTTTTCTATTGATGGTTTTTTTTTCAAAATCATATTTGGCATTATGGAAGATTGGGTTTCTCTATGTAGCTATCTAATGACAACTTTGGGGGATTTGGCATGATCATTGAGATTCAAGGCTCCGATTTAGGCAGGTTGAACTGACGGTCTTTTAAAGATATTCTTTTTGTCTGTGGATGATTTAAAATTCATTATCTTCCTAGGTTCTTTCGATTAAATTGAATTCTTATCCTGATATTCGGATGTCGATACTTTGGGAGTCAATATTCGTGTTGATTCTTTTTATTATAAAATCAATTTATATGTTTCAATCATCCCTTTACCTTTAGCAGCAACTGATTTCTTCTCAAATTAATATTTAGTATTGTCTTTCACATGCAAATATGCAGCCTCACTTAAAGTAATAAATCCAGCTTCACCTGTGCTACATACTCTGCTTGTTGTATTAACTGTATCTCCTATCAACGAGAACTAAGGTTTGTGAACACCAATAACTCCAGCTATCACTCTCCCAAAATGAATTCCTATTTTTAACTGCACATCCTAATTATCCCCATATTTCATAGTTTTCACAGTCTCCATCATTTATATTGCAGTTTCAAGTGCTCTTGATGTGCTGTTGGCATTCTTTTAATCTAAAATGATCGAATTTTAATTTACTNGTCTAATAATCAAACTTCTATTCAGGTGTAATAATCAACTTCTTTTTGGCTATTTCCAATTCTTCTAATCTTTCATTCATGGATTCTGGACTCTTCTTCAAAGCAGAACTAGAATCCTGCAGGTGTTGCAATTTCAAAGACCGTTAATTTTTGAGTTATTTTTTTTATTCCATTTAAGAATCACTATCCACTCCTACTCCAGATACTTTAACTATTTAATTTTTATCCCTTTCCTCTGGGAGTATTATCTTAGTACTAGATTTTATGATTGCTCCCTTCTTCTAAATTAGCTCTCCCAAAATTATGGTTCCTTTCTTCTTCATCTATGGTCTTGGAATAAAATTAAGACCCTCCTGTTTGTTATTATCCACTTATTAATCAGTCACTTTTAGCAATTGATCAGCGGAATGTAAAAATTACTATTGATTTGATTAATGAGATAGATTAACACCAGATGAAAATAATTGTTACTAACACGATTGTGATACAGCCTAGACTTGAGGCTTTGAATCTACTTGGAACTAAATCTAAGTAATTGAATCCTATTGATTATTGGGTTATGCTAAAAAATTCGGTAATTTTTCTTCAACAGCACTTTGCCGTTTTTAAATCCAATTTTTTTGAAATCCAGGTGTCTTTGCATTACTATTATGGTTGTTATCTTTCACATCATCATTCTTAAAATTAGTAAAATTATGGTACTTAATTAAATGATTTAGATTTGATGGAATTTAATCGTTTGCTTTCTAAATCGTTTTCTATTGATGGTTTTTTTTTCAAAATCATATTTGGCATTATGGAAGATTGGGTTTCTCTATGTAGCTATCTAATGACAACTTTGGGGGATTTGGCATGATCATTGAGATTCAAGGCTCCGATTTAGGCAGGTTGAACTGACGGTCTTTTAAAGATATTCTTTTTGTCTGTGGATGATTTAAAATTCATTATCTTCCTAGGTTCTTTCGATTAAATTGAATTCTTATCCTGATATTCGGATGTCGATACTTTGGGAGTCAATATTCGTGTTGATTCTTTTTATTATAAAATCAATTTATATGTTTCAATCATCCCTTTACCTTTAGCAGCAACTGATTTCTTCTCAAATTAATATTTAGTATTGTCTTTCACATGCAAATATGCAGCCTCACTTAAAGTAATAAATCCAGCTTCACCTGTGCTACATACTCTGCTTGTTGTATTAACTGTATCTCCTATCAACGAGAACTAAGGTTTGTGAACACCAATAACTCCAGCTATCACTCTCCCAAAATGAATTCCTATTTTTAACTGCACATCCTAATTATCCCCATATTTCATAGTTTTCACAGTCTCCATCATTTATATTGCAGTTTCAAGTGCTCTTGATGTGCTGTTGGCATTCTTTTAATCTAAAATGATCGAATTTTAATTTACTTATCACAACATCGTAATCCTTGAGTCCTCCTGCTGCCATGTATGTTTTCCCAACAGTCTCAATTTTCTATAAGTCGTAATTTTAACACAATTGATCGAAGGCTCTATAGAGGGTATCTAAAAATTCTATTATTTTCTCCTATTAATCCTTGATTACCTTATCGAACTGATAAATGTCGCAAAATAACACACTTACATCTCCTTAATCTTACGATATTTAAATTTGGCCTTTATTCATCCTCTCTTGTATGAATCGAGGCATTAACAAACCCAACACTCTATTAATTTTTTTCTATTCCTTACTCAATCTATTTTGGTAGACATACGAAGATCTTTATAGGAACTGTATTTTTTGTATATAATTAAAAATGGGGTATGAGATTGCTATTATTATGAAGAAGTATTTAAAGGAACAAAATATGGCTTCGTTAATGTTATCATATTTAATGCTGAATCCATCCAACACCAATTCAAATAGATACATAAGCAATTGCAAGGCAGCGTATAGGTAAATATTGATTTTTGGCTGAGTTGTGAGGGCAAAAGATAGGCTAAATAAGGTATGATATAGAAAAGCAGTGAACTCCTTTCTCTCATCTAAATAGAGTAGATCTATTAGGATCTTAAAGATGAACCGCAATCCAAATGATACTATTTACAAGTACTATTGCGAAGTCTTGTTATTTATGAATTTGAATTAGAATATCACTATAAGCAATTACAACATTAACTAGATGATGATTACTATTAGGATCGATGTTGAAAAGTCATTCATCATAATTTCATAGAGATGGGAAATAAATATTGTGCCTTCATAGAATACAAATACATAGGACAAACTATACTTCTACCAATTCTACTATCTAAAGAAATCCATAAAGTCATTTTCAGTTCTCCTATCATAAAATCCATGATTTTTATCCATGTAATCTATTGTAGTCTGATCTACTTTAATGAATTTGGTTATTTATTCATCAACTATGTCTTTATTCTCAAACAAGGTTTCTATCATCTTCTTTATATTTTGGAAGTATCCCTTCTCATTTGTGTCCGAGTTAAGATTCTATTTAATATTATTGATCTCTTTCATATGAATTTCTAATTAGGAGTTATCAATAGGAAATGAAAAATCCACATTAATGATTTGCAGCATTAATTTGAGTACAAAAGATAAGCCAACTAAAAATGCTGCCATAAATATAAACACTTATAACCCTGGGTTGTTGAATTGTAATGAAATTTCTTAATTGTCTTCAATTGATTAGACTATCAAATAACATATTGACAATATAAAGGTTAAAGAGATAATAATGAGTAGTTGTTTTATCTTATATAATATATCATTGAATGCATCAAAAACAATAAATAATAATTTACTTTTCTCTAAAACCTCAATTCCTGTATACAATAAAACTATTTAATTTGTTTAGTTGATCTTTCCATCTCCATAAGTTAAATGCAGAAGTGCCTTTTCTACTATAATCAATAAAGCAGAATCAAATATTGCAATTATTATGATTTTAATTAACTATTTTACAATGCTTTCTGTTTTTAGAATCGTCAATCTTTTTGTCAAACTATTAAAGTATTTCTAATCGTAATCTACTTAATTGATGAGCAAATACGATTAAAATATGAAAGTGGATATATTGCTGGGAACAAGGAAAAATATCATCAAATTAAATAGATTTATATCGCTTTAATATAGGTTGATGCCAAAAACTGATAATCCTATTAAAGTACTTCTGTAGACTTGAATTTCTAAAAAGGAAATGTAATTCTATAAATATTGAGTGCAATAAAAGTAAAACAGTTAAAATACTTGTTTAATATTTCTAACTACAAAATTTGGTTAAGTAATGCAAAAGAATGGGTTATTTTATGTCAAAGTAAAACTAATGTCTGATTTGTTAAATAAATAATTATTTTGCAATGAATTTCCAATAGAGATTACTTTTTTTTTGTTCAATTTGAGCAATTTAACTAATTACCCATTACATTTACCAGTAAATTGATAAGCACCTAAGCCACTTGCAAATTCGGTCATGAATACAAAATGATATTTGAGATAATCATCTTACAATATTATTTTGAAAGATTCTTTACTGATTATGATATATTTCTCTAAGTGTTGTTAAACATCACTCCCCATTATATCTTATTCTTCTAACATATATTAAATATGTTATCTAAATCTGTATTATAATTACTGCACATCTCTCTCATAAAAATGAACTATTTATTCTTTTTAAACCACTTAATGTGATCTAAGAAAAATAATCAATTCATCATATGACTCTGATGTAGTTAAACAAATTTTAATGTTCTACATCTGAAGTGTTTAGAATAACTTCTCCTCCTTTAGAGCGTCCATTTAAAATTCATTCTATGAAATTTGAGAGGTGTTGTGATGATTCCCTGATCTAATACCTATACAAAATAGTATTTCATTTTATTATTCCAATTTCTAGTACTCAATTTCTATTTCTTAGGATCTATTCCCATAAGCATCATGCAATTAGGACAATTTTTACAAAAACTCTTGAGTCTAATCTTGGCTCAACTATCTCTTACTGTACACAAAAGTTGATTGTCCATCCCATAACAATTCCTACAATTGTTCATTATAGTAACTATAATATTCTGGCTATTTGTTATGAGGATCATTTTTTCCTTTAAATACGTTTTTCAATTCAGTGGTTTAAATTCTTGTGTATAGTATTGAGCCTTCTTCCAACAAAAATGATTCGGGATCTCTCACCAAAACAGAAAGTGTATTCTTTCTTTTTTCGGTAGGCTCCAAAAAGGCCAAGACTTCAAAGACCTTCACTTAATTTTCTATAGAGATCACCTTTTTGATATAACTTTTTAATTTATAATCCAATCTGGAGTTCTCGATTTCAGTGCTGCATAATAATTAATAATTAAAGACTTTTGTAAATTCTAACAGGGATTCATCGAACTTATTGCCAAAATTAAATTATAGTTCCCTAGTTTGGTCATCAAAAACACTTAATATATTATTGGTAATTAGAATCATCAATAAAATTTCATTGTGGAGAGTGTCATCCTTTTTATAAAGGCAATCAATAAAATCTTATTCATTATAATAATCTCCTATCAATCTATCTGCTCCTTAATCTTCATTTTATTTTGTTGGTGAGACTTAAAGAGAAGAATTATTATTGTATTATTTTATGAGTGTGCCTCCCTTACCAAAAAACTAACTTCTTTATTTTTATAAAGAGCTTGGTGTGCTATTATTCAATTTACTAAGGTCTTTCATTGAGTCCACTCTATCAAGTGACTTCTTAGCAAAAGATTAATCAAAGATATATCGTGTACTTTTCTTTTTAGGCAACTATTGCTTTTATGTGCCTAATAATGTTTTATTAACAAGTTCTTCTCTTGATGCCAATTGCAATTTTTTGATTTAATAGAGACCTTCATTTGAATTTCTTAAATTTGGAACTTTCTTCTCTGCCAGTAATACTTCTAGATCTTATGTTTTTTATTCATCATTAGTCTGTTGTCTATTTGTATCTATTAATAATTTTTCATAATTTGTTTTTAAGGTAGGAGATGCTTTCTTGACCAATTCTTATAGTTTTTAATAATTAAAAAGATATTATTTTTAATCCTTTGTAATGATCTACATAATTTATGGTTTATTTTTAAATATTTCTTAAGGGTTGTCTAGCAAAATCATGTCACCTTTAATCATATCAAGGATATTTATCTTTGACAAAGTTAAAAATCCTTTGAAATTGTCCTTCTTCTTTTTCAACAGTTATATCTCTGTTTATTAGATGGGTAGAAGATTTATCTTAAATTGCTTTTGTATGGGTAGTAAGACCTTTTTCTCGTTTTCAGAAATGATGACTACTTGATTTTCATTTATTTCACTTAATAATCTATTCATTGAATTTTACTGGACATTTTATGCATTCTTGTATTTATTAAAAATGTTATTATTTTTTACCATATTAATTAAAAGCCAAAATTAATTTAACCACAACAAATTTTAAGGTATGATCAATAAAGAATAACATATACTACTATAGAAATACTTCTCATAAGACTAGAAGGAATAAAAAATTATGTTTGGAACCAGCAAAATTAAAAACAAAACGATTAAAATGAGTATTACCTTCTAATATACTTTATGTATCCAACTGGAGGGTTTAAAATTCTCATTATAAAAATTGGATTATGCTATGCAATCATTCCCCACTCTAATGACCATTCCAAATATCCAATCAACTGAATTCAATCTTTCTCCTCTTTAAATCATATTCTTTTTCGTAAATGGTGTTAATTTTGGGTCATTTTTCAACTTGATGGTCCCCTGTATTGTAAGATCAGTTACAGTGAATTAAATAGTTCCACTTAACTTAGTTTTGAAGTCTAAAATATTTCCCTTAATAGTCTAATTTAAACTAACAAAAGTGCAAGAACAGGGAGTTCTTTGATCAAAGTTTATTAAAACCTACTCTTTACTGGAATCAAGGATCAATAGATCAGCAGGGCTCTGTTCATTCTGTTGTAAACAAATAATGTGGCCAACCTTTAATTAACTCCAAGTAATTTTTTCATATGAATGCAACCTATTAAATGATAATTATTTAATTTACTCAATATTTAAATTGGAGAGTTGCTTTGATGAAACATCTGGAAATTTGGCTATGATGGTGCATTGCTAAGAATTAATTGTATTTTATTATGTCTTTCGTTAAAATGCAATTATTGATGTGTTCATTAGAGATAATAACAGTTTAAAGAGATAGCAAAAAAGAGTGTAATATACGATGATTTCTTCGTTTTGATCATGAGTATAGGTTTACCCAGAAAGTGCGATAATCAGAATTCCAAGTATTATAATATTCTCAACGCTAATAATTTTTTCTATAAATATCACTATAAGAGTTTTAATCTAAACTAATAAGACATTTCCATACACTAATTAATTTGATATTATTGGTTGCAATTTCAAAATTGGTGATCTTTTGCACTTCTCCATTCGAGAATTCAATCTAATTTAAGTTTGAAATTTTACTTTTTGTGTCTAATCAATTCCCTGTTGTAACAATAAAGATTTTTATACAGACTTCTGAATTTTACGAGGTAACCACAAATAACACCTTGAGATTAACCAGAATAATATTTTCATAACTAATAATTTTTACAAATTTTATTTAGTATTAACACTTAAAACAAATATATATGAATATTTATAAATTGAAGCATCATCAAAAATACAACAAAAATAATCACACTCAAACAAAAATGGGCTAGACTCTCGATTAAGTAGGCATCTAATTCTCCATGAATTTGTCAAAACTCCTCTTTACTTTCTTGTATAACACTCTAACTTAAGAAGAAAAATCAATGGCTAAATTAGATGTCAATATGGTTGTGAAAATGCCGATATTAAACCATCCAATTTAACTTAAGCTCTCTTTTGAAATCGAAAAGTACTCGTACGTGTAGTATGCACCAAAACTTAGAGTATTGGCCATCATTCCTAATTCTGTGATCAACTGTTTAATTTGATCCTCATTATTTGAAAATGGTGAAGATACAGCCAAATAAGTTGCAAATGCAGCAGCTTAGGTAGCAACACCAAGTGTTTAATAAAGTCCTTGGTTTTAGAAACAAACTATTATTAACATATACGCTGACTTTTTCACAAGCAAAATTGTATTATACTGCATTTACCACGTTGACTTTAAATAGCTCTTCTCATCCGATTAAAATAAAGTTTTAATGTAAAACTTCATCGTTAATGATTATTTAGTTTAGATCTATCTTATTCTATGAATAAGCAAACTAGTGAAAATGCAGGTGAAGGCTAGAGTGGCAACAGCTGCACTATTATTTGCAATATCACTATAAGAATTAAAACTAACATGTGATAATTAGATTAATGATGCAAATTGCATTTCATAAAAATTAACTGTTATTAATCTAATAGCTCCAGAATAAAAAAAGTCATTAGATATCTTAGTGCATTTTGATCGTACTTTCAAGATTCCCCCACCAATTATTGTGCCAAGATCATTTAATTTATGAGGTGGAATCAGATGAAGTAGTTTCGAGATGGATAAAGTAGTTAGGAAGATACTCAGACCTATAGACAAGGAGACAACTGTTGTTTTTATATTTGTAGTAAATTAATAGTGTAGATTATCCTATTTAAATTTATTGGGCATGCCTTATTCTTGTTCATTATCTTCTTTGGGTTGAGATGTGACTTTTTAGGATAACCCTGTTTATTTGAGTTTATTGGTAACCATTGAACTCAAGGAAGACTTCTTTAGATTATCCATATTCTATTGCAAATTTTAAGGAAATTCCAAATTGATATACCTTGTGTAGTAGAGATATTAAATAGTATCAAGAGTCATAAAAAGATTTGAATAGCCTGTTGAGAATATACTCACTAGAGAAACACACATTGTAGTATATATTGAAATTTCATTTGCATTCGAGAAAAGTTCAACAACTTTTTAAGACAATTCATCTTAAATAAATGGAACTGAGATTTTAATTTAACTTGAATTTTGTTCTAAATTGACTAAATCCTCAGAAATAATCAATTTCTTATCAGCAACCACCATTACATTAATTTAATCATATGAAATATTCTTCAATATTTTTAAATATATGATGTATTTAACTTCTTGAGGAAATTCTTAGAATCCAACGACAGGTTCTATTGTATAATCAAAATCTCCCTCATTTAATTCATCAACTTTGACCATGAAAAGCTAAAAGTCTGTTATAGTGGGATTATTGCTTTCATTTTCAATCAAGATGTAATTTTGGTAGAGCATCATTTAAGTAGAGAATGTTACTTCAATTTTAGATACTCTCTCTTCTTATGATAACAATTTTAATTCGACACTAGGCTATCTTTTGAAGATGCAATTACTAATTTGCATTGGTTCATTTTTACAATACCAATCCACTTCAGTCCTACAGTATTTATCGCAACCATCCTAATTCAGAAGGTTTCCATCATCACACTATTCTGTATTTTGTTCCCACAAACCATCTCCACATTATGACGAACATTAATTATTGGATACAAAATATCCCAAAAAGCGATCGCATTCTAAACATTTACCTCTATCACAAGTAAGACAAGCTATATGACATGAATATTCACAAGAATTACTACAACCATCATTTTCAAATATATTGCCATCATCACATTATTCATATCCATTAACTTCACCATCTCCACAAATTGGAATACACTGTTAAGTTTTGCTCTCATAAGTCCATCCAGGTGTATCACATTCATAACATACGTCCTTTCTACAATCAGTACAATGTTAAACACATTAATAATTGCATTCGTAACATCCATCATAAGGTATGAGATTGCCATCATCACAATCTTCAAATCTAGGTATTACATATTAATCTCCACAAATTGTTCCGCATCTATGATTCTCATTCAATTACCAACCATATGCACATACTTAACATTATCCTTCAGAACAAACAACACATGCTTCTTCACATTAAGTTTTGCAATCGAAACATCCATCATAAGGGACATCATTACCATCATCGCATTCTTCAATTCCAACCTTTATTGCATCTCCACATATTTCCCAACAAAAATAGTTTTCTAGTCTCCAACCTGGTGTATTGCATTCATAACACAATCCATTAATACATTTGGTGCAAGCTTTTTAGCAAATATAACTGCATTCGTAACACCCATCATAATTCTAATCATTTCCATCATCGCATTATTCTAATCCAGCAACTTTATTATCCCCACATAGAGGTTGACAATCTCCTTGAGATGTTGCATGCCATCCTTTTTCCTCATTACACAAAATGCAAGATCCATATAAACATGATTGACATTGCTGTTGGCATGCATATTGACATTCGAAACACCCATCTTCATCAATTAAATTACCGTCATCACACTTCTCATTTCCAACAATTAAACCGTCTCCACAAACTGAAATACATGCCTAACCTGATAATTAAAACCCATCAGCACAAAATATACATTTATTAAATTCACAAAATGAGCAATTTTTGTCACACTCATATCTACATTAATTACAACCATCATGTTTAATAGAATTTTAATCATCACAATCTTCATCAACTGTAATTATACCATCTCCACAAATAGAAAAGCAATGTCCATCAATTATTTCATAGCCCCTTTAACACATCTAACATATTCCTTCAATGCATAAAGTACACTGCTCTTCACAATCCTATCGACATTAAAAACATCCATCGAATGGTGTAAGATTATTATCATCACATATCTCGAGTTCCGTCATTTAAGCATCTCCGCAATAATGAGAGCACTTATTTTCTATCAAATAAAAGCCCCTTTGACATACTTGGCAAATACCTAAAGAACAAGTAACACAATTGCTAGGACATGAAAATTAGCATTCACTATTACAATATGGGTCATCTCTTTCATAATTTAAGAATCCTTCACATTACTCTTACCCTACTATAATTTCATCTCCGCACATACTTTCACATTTATGTTCTAAACCATTCAAATACCATCCAGTTTAACATTAATAACAATCACCCTTTATACAAATTACACATTCACTTTAGCATTATTTTTATGGATAGCACTCATCAGCATTTTAAGTATAACTAATATCTTTACAATCAGGGATACATTTGGGAAATGAAAGCACAAACCCTTAAGAACAACTTTAACAAACTCCTTTGACACAAATATTGCAATTTTCAGTACAAGAATAGTTGCAGTTATAGCATCCATCATAAGGTATGTAGTTACCATCATCGCACTCTTCATATTGAGTTAGTTTCATGTCTCCACATTTAGATTGACATTATTAAGTATCTTAATCTAATTCAAATCCATCCTCGCATAGGATGCATTACCCATTTACACACTCTTAACATTCAGATTAACAATCATGTTGGCATGAGAAACAACCATCAAAACCATTAATATTACCATCATCACATACTTCAAAGTCTTCGGTCTTTAAATTACCACAAATGTTTACACATTCATTATAAACATTTAAAAAGTATCCATCTTAACATGATTTGCAGATTCCTCTATCACAAATCGAGCAATTTTAAGCACAGGATAATATGCAGTTAAAACAATAATTAGATGAAACATCTCCATTATCAAAATTCAAACTGACATCGCACTCTTCTAATCCAGCAATTATACCATCTCCACATTTCGTTTCACATTTTTTATTTAATAGATACCATCCCATAGCTTAATTACATAATATACATTCTCCATTTATACATTATTGGCATTGATCTTAACATTAAAATTGACATGAGTAGCATCCATCAAATGGGACAATGTCATCGTTTTCACAATCTTCAATGCTTGTTTAAATTGAATCTCCACATATACTGACACATCTGTTTAAAAGTAGTTCATAACCTGGGTTGCAACCATAACAAAATCCAAATTTACAATTATTACAATTATCATCACAAACAAAATTACAACTTTCACATGATTCTGAGTTTTCATCACAACTCTCATTGTTGGTTATAATTATATCTCCACATTTGGATTCACATTAATGATTTAAATTCAAATAAAACCCATAATTGTTTTTGCATTCTAAACAAGTGCCATAAACACAATTATTACATCCTTCTGCACATTTGTATCTACAATTGACACAATTAAATGCATCAAAATCAATTATTCCTGTATCACATTCCTCGTCTCCAGCCACTATCCCATCACCACAGACTGGTAAGCATTTTTAATTAATTAATGTATATCCTTGGTTACATTATTTACATAATCCAAAAATACATATTGAACATTCTTACTAGCATGTAAAAACGCATTGATTGCATCCATCATTTAATTAAGAATTAAGATCTTCGCATTCTTCATAATCACTTATAATTGAATCTCCACATTAACTGTAACAAGAGGATGTTTCGTAATCTAAATACCATCCTAAAGACTCTTTGCATTTTAAGCATAAGCCTTAAGTGCAAATTTCACATTATGGTGAGCATTAGAGCTAACAACTAATACATCCAGTGGTATTTTTAATAGTTTCATCGAATGGTATAATACCAATGTCACATTCTTCATCTCCTAATATTAGTGTATCACCACAGATGGGTAAGCATTTATCGAAAGAATAATTTAAGTAATATCCGCTTTGACATTATTTACAAATACCAAATTAACAGAGTGTGCAAGTCTTTTCACATTAATAAGAACATTATGAGCATCCATCTTCAACAACAAAGTTATAGTCATCACAAGATTCATATTTAGAAATTACTCCATCGCCACAAATAGGAATACAAGTATTATCAGAATTAAGATAAAAGTTTGGTTTGCATCTATAACAGATTCCTGCTGCACATGTCAGACATTCAGCCTAGCATTCATATTTGCATTAATAACATCCATCTTCAAATGTGTTATTGCCATCATCACATTATTCATTTAAAACAGATTGAACAGTATCCCCACATATAGAAGTACACTATTTAAGTTTTGGATTTAAATAATATCCAGGAGTATTGCATTCATAACAGATTCCAAGAAGACAAGATGTACATTACTCTTAGCAAGTGAGACTGCATTAGCTGCACCCATCAGAATTGACTTCATTACCATCATCGCATGCTTCATAGTAAGTAATGAGCTTATCTCCACAAATTGGGGCACATTACCCATTTTAATTTAATAATTAGAACCCTGATTTGCACTTGGTACAAATACCGGAGATGCATAAAGCACAAAAGGAATCGCAGGAGTAAGCACAACTGTTGCATCCATCAAAAGGGTTGTTATTTCCATCATCACACATTTCTCCTCCAGCAACAATTAGATCTCCACAATAAGTAACACATTTAAAAGTGGCCAAATTTATATAATATCCAATAGAATTATCGCACTCATAACACTTACCATAGATACAATTTGTACATTAAGGCTAACATTAAAATTAGCAATTAAAACATCCATCATAAGGAGTCAGGTTATTATCCTCACATTATTCTTAGCTAACAAGGGAACTATTTCCACATGTAGGATAACACATTTTCATAGTTTTTTAAATTGTGTAACCTGGAGCACAAACAGAGCATTAACCATTAACACATGTTAAACATTCCTTCTAACATTCAAATTTGCAATTATTGCATCCATCAAATCTAATTGTATTGCCATCATCACAATCCTCTCCATCGGCTACTATCATATCGCCACAAATTGATTAGCACTTATAATTAATACCATCATCATAGTAATAATTTTCACAGATACAAAAATTATTATTCAAATATCTGTGCTGATGACTATTACAAGACAAGCATTCATTACTATTTGCTCCATAACAAGATTCGCATAATGGATGACAATTTTGACAAGTATCAGAAACTGTCAAATAAGTCCAAGGATAACATTAACATTTTCCATTTTACAAATAAAAGTTAGAAGCACACTTAGTACAAATATAAGAATTTTAGCATTCTAAACAGTAAGAAGGTGTACAAGTCCTACACACAGCAGGAGTAACTGTGTTGTCAAAATAGTATGCCTTATTAATACAAGTTGTTGGTGATGACATTTCAGTTGGTAATGTTTGTTTTCCAGAGCACTCTGCCCATGTTGGACCACTGCAAGCAGTACAATATTAAGTACACTAAATTTAAGTTAACTATTTACTTCTAAAATGATTATAAAATAATCGTAAACTAGACAAAAATTGCTTCTAATTGATCTGTCAGAATTGCATGTCATTTAAACGGAAAAACTCAGACTTGTATGCCCTATTGTTCTATCAATTGTAATATATTTATCTCGCTCATCTCTTCCTACTTCTTTAGATGTAGATGAAAAGCCTGAGTCAGAATATTCCAATGTCTATGAAGTTCCTCCAATTGTATACTGAAAATCTCCTGAAAATTCATCTCCTAAAATTAGTGTGAATTTAAATCTAAATTTGTAATGTGGATTTAAAGTGTATGATTTTGTAAATGTTGCTGAGTTCCAAACCAATGGACCTCCCAACACTCTTTTACCCATATAATAACTAAAATAAACCTTAATGTTAGTGTTTAAAAAGCCATCTGATGTTGTAAAATCTGAGCCTCCATTCGTCATCGTCCCTACAATATTGCTAACATCTGTATCTGTTGTATTTGAAGAGTCATAAAATGCTTTGATTAAATACTTTGAATCTAAAATAGATAAATCTTATACTCTCAACTAGTTCATCAAAGTCTTTACAAACTCCTGTTTATTATACTGAGTGCGTTGGACAACTAAGTACACATTTATTTTTATAAAGAAATCCTGATGAACATGAATAGCATTTCAAGTCAAAATCACACCAATCACAATTTGGTTAACATCGCATAATATCCATAACTACATCTCGAAAACCCCACGATTATTAGCCAAATTAACTTAAAATTATAAATCTATTTGTACTCCATAGACCCTTATAGAGTTAAGACAGGATTAGTAATATTTGATTTCAGTTTAGCCTCAAATCTGAAATATCCAACACTAGGAGGAGTACAAATTAATTCAGAATATAAATAATCAGCATTTCGACCTGTGAGAACTTGACCTATTGTGTAAACAGACGCAAATTCAATATTATCTAATAACACATGAACTGCTGAATAATCAACCCAATCATTTAGCTTTACAATGGTTGCTCTAAACCTTATATAAGATATGTTATAGGGAATTTATAGAGTCACACTAAAAGCTTCGTTATATAAGAATGGTCCTACATAGTTTTTACCAGTTTCGCAAGGTATCGAACCTATTTTTTTGGAGTAAAATATGTTATAATTAATTGGATCAGGAACAAACACCCACGGAGATGTTTAACTGAATGAGGTTGTGTCAAAGTATGTTGTGTAAGGGAACATGTCTAGATCAATGTAAAGAAATACTTTCATTAAATTAGCATACATTATTTGAATCTGGAACTCTATAGTAGTGACACTCTACCACACAACTCTTTGTGTCATCTATGTATTCAATAAATGCCTTATTAGTAGGGCAACTACCACAGGCTTAAGCAGTAGCAAAAGTAGTAGAGGGATCGGTGAAACAAGCCAAGCAACCAGTTATTAAGTTTGAACTACATTTCAAACATGACCAATGACATTTATTAACATAAATCTATAAACCCCTTACACCATAATTTCTCGAATCCATAAGTGTTCCACACACCCTGAATCGGATCTCACTATAATCAGTATGAGAAAAAGTCATTATAAAGGTTTGAACTTCAAATCTACCCCAGGATCCTCTACAAGCATCCTCATACCCTTGCAATGCACTATCCTTATATTACAATGAATAGGTGGGGGTTGATCCTTAGACTTCGTATGATACATAGTATATATTGTCCCTATCAGAGTCTAGAAAATAGCCATCCACTACCACTTTGACCTAATAATGAGGAGGCAAGTTTAACACAGAATAGTAGGCTCTAACTTTGTAACTTCCCACTAAAATATATTCAATATCATTAGATGAGCATCCAGAAACTGCTCCACCCCCACCCATACTTCCATTGTCCCAATTACATGTGTTTCCATAGTTCCATTTACTGCTCGAGACAGAAAAATTTAGCAAGTCTTCACTTACAAGTTACCATTATGACTAAGAGATGACAAAAATCGAAAAAAGTATTCGTATAGTTTACATTTTGTCTATTATTTTTTTATTTATTAAATTAAATATGACATCATGAAATTATAATATTTCTCAGTTATATCCCGAGATGTTTGTTAGATGACAAAACTTATCACTCTCAAGAAGCAGCCATAGCTCGATCTCACTCTCTTAATGAATAAAATAGCAAAGTCTTATATAAATCACAATAATTTATAAAAATAATAATAATATAAATTATTCACTCTATTAAATAAATTGATTCTACCTTCATACAATTTTCTACTAACCTCTGAAAGTTGTTGAGGCAAGCCAAGAATGACATAAAGGTTAGCTGGAATTTCTTACTTAATTTTTTACCCTCCGAACGAATTTCTTTGTGATCAGTTTGCTATTTCAGTCAACCTTATGAAATTTTCAAAAATGTAACAGTTATCAAAACTAAATCGAAATGTCTAATAAAAGTAGATATTCTTTACCTTAAAACGATAGAACAATATTTTAATATAAATTTCCCAGTTTATTACTAATTTATATATAATAGTTTAACATTATTACAATTTTAACTCACATCTTAATTCAAAAAATAATTTTTGGAATGCATATATTTAATGGAATAGATAGCATTTTGCCATATTTTTTGGGGATGTAAGTATCCTAATTGAATAATAAAAACTCTTGAATAACTGGGTTTAATTATATTAGACTGAGGATTTTTAAAATATCTTTACACTCAAATGAACATATTCTACTCAATTGTCAATCTTAAATATTTAGACCTAGAATTACATACTCTAAATCTTTTAATTATGTTTTATGTTTAATTATATCCCTATTAATATATTGAGGGTTTGAATATTGTAATGAATCTATTTTATTAAATTTGAATTTTGCCATGTGTTAGCCTTAGTTAGGAATAGAAATTAAGATAATAATCCCATTCTTCATTTAAAAGTCTTTATTTGAGAATCAATTTCTATAAATTAATAGTTTTCATCATTCATCCCAAATATTGGCTCTTAAATACATTTATAACTATAAAGTATATATCTATGAATTTTCTACATATTTCTTATGATAAGCTCATTAAATCAAAGTTCATTTATATAATTGGACTTTATTTAAGGAAAAGAAGTTGAAAAATATGCCAATTCAAGCGATATAATATCGATTACACCCCCTAAAAATTATCAATAATGTGTTCTACTTTTTTGATAATATTCTTCGGCAATCATAAAGTTTAATCTAGAAGAATAAAATCTCAAACATTTAAACAAAAAATAAAGGAATTAAATCATAAATTCTTAGAACTATTTTAATAAGATAATTTCAGGGATAAAAATAATTTGATGTCAAAATTCTTTCTATGTGATGATAAGAAAACCAAAGAAAATTGTAAATACATTTTTGCAATACAAAAAATAGAAAATATACAATATACAATACATTATAAATATTTTTTTATTAGATAATAATGAACATAAATACCATATATTCAGTATAAGAATTAAATTAAATATCCTAAAGTTTAAATTGCTTTTTGAATAAATAAATTGGCTAAATAATCAAAGTTATTTTATATTATTGTAAAAATAAGGAATAATGAATCAAAACACTTCAAAAAATGATGCTTTATATATTTTGAGTTGGAGATACTTCAATTACAAGATTAATAGAATTAAATTACTTAAAATATTAATACTTGAACTTTATACCTACTTTTTCAACTTGGCTGATAGAACTAATAATTTTTATCCTTTAGATTTATAATGATTATTAATGTTTCCATCTAACTACTATTGTAAATTGTTTTTTAAGAAAATTATGGAAAAATGCATAAAACTCATAAATATACGCTTAAACAATAAAATTTTTAGATTTATTCGAAGAAAAAGGACTAAATTAATTTGTCAAATCAAAGTACATTAACGAATTCGAATACTATATAGAGTTGTAAATTTAGTTTAGAAATAAGCATAAAGCGCTATTTTCTACTATGACAAACAGATTGGTATGAAATATAAAAGGTTTTAAGAGGAAGTAAGCTTATTAAGAACATTAAATATTGTAAAATGCTCAGCAATAATAATGCATTATGATTTATAAATTAATTTATAAATAATTTTTATACACTCAAAATCCATTGATATTTCCATTAAAGGAATATGATTTATGAATTAATATTTTTTGAAATTTAAGCTGATGAAAGATCTTATAAATGTATAATAAAAATAAATAATGGGTTGTTTCTAACCTAAAGGTATAAATAAAATTGTTGCTATGCAAACAACAAACAGAGCTTACATCTTTACATCAACAGCAGACATACATAAAATATTTTCTTTCGGGAGAGTGCTAGGAATTGGAGCCTTCGGTAAAGTTCTCTCAGCTAAAAGGCGAAATAATTCAGAGAAATAGTACGCCATAAAAATGATTGACAAGAGAAAAGTTAAGGGAAGAGAGACCATGCTAGCCAATGAAATATATATATTATAGAAGTTAGATCACCCGAATATTATAAAATTCCATGAAGTATATTAAAGTGAACTATACTTCTATATTTGTATGGATAAATGTGCTGGGGCAGAACTTATGGAGAGCATACCCAAAAATTAAAAATCATACACGGAGGGTTAGGCGAGAGATATTATGGTTAAAGTAATTAATTGTTCTATTTGTAGATCATTTCCGCCATAGCATACATTCATGAACAAGGAATTATACATCGAGATATTAAACCAGAAAATATTATGTTCACCGATCGAGACATCAGATCTGAGCCTAAACTTATTGACTTTGGGCTTTCAGTGAAATACGATGCCTTCAGCTACAAGTAATGAAGATCCAATATATTTAGTAAACTCAAAGCTGGAGTAGGAACACCTGTCTATTTAGCACCAGAAGTAATCGAAGGGACTTATAGTGAAAAATGTGACGTTTGGAGTCTCGGAGTTTTATTGTTTAGTATGCTTGTGGGCTATCCTCCTTTCTATGGGAAAAATCGATAAGACCTTTATGAAAATATACAATATCAAAATGTATTAAATTTAATTTATACATAGTTGATATTTGATCGAAGACATTGGAGAAACACAAGTGACGAAGCAAAAGACCTTCTGAAGAGAATGCTTAACAAAAATTAGCACTTAAGATATTCTGCCAAGGAATGCCTTAAGCACCCATGGTTTCAACTTTAATTTAAGGATGGGGTTTTTAGACCTCCAAGAAGGAGTACTGGATTTTCAGGATCGCAAACTGAAGACGATTAAAGGACATTATATTAAATGCTAAAGACTTACAGAATTTGTGCTAAATTTAAGAAGGAAGTGATGAAAGTTTTGGTTAATCAGATGAATGAAAAGGATTTAGGGAGGTTGCAATAAATATTTAAAAATATTGACGTTGATAATTCTGGTACAATTACAGTCTAAGAACTACATCAAGCACTTTAGCAGGAGGTATTGAATGAAATAATTATAAGGGTTCCTTAGCAACAGTGGAAGAGATTGAATAAATTATGGAAAACATTGGGTATGACTTTGATGAATTAGAGGATTTATCAATATCTCATTCTCACAAATCCACAACCAAACCTTTAATAATTAAATACAGTGATTTCTTAACTGCCTGTATTGATGAAAGACGTGTTTTTACAAGGGAGAAATTGTGGTCTATTTTCAAATATTTTGATACCTAGAATGAAAATTTTTTATCAAGGGAAGCCATTAGAGAATCATTTGCCAGGCATGGACGCTCACTTTCCCTTGAGAAAATCAATCAAATGATAGCTGAAATAGATCCTAATAATTAGAACAAAATTGGATTTGAAGCATTTTGTTAGATGATGGGTGTTGCTGGAATCTAAGAAACTCTAGAATTTAAAGATGAAACTAAAGATCCTTAATCTGTTGCTCCTTCTATAATTTTATGAAATCCATTCTTATGACAAATAAATGTTATATATATTATTAATTTGTAAATAAACTATTATTACAAATTGAACAATTGTACTATAAAGATTCTATCAAATAACAATGTTTCAATGTTTTTCCACATCTAATAGACTTTCATTTCTTGTAAATTCAAATTAATTTAATTAAAATTAATTCTAAGGAGTAATTCATTTTTAATTTCATCCTCAGTTATAAGTGATCCCTTTTTACAATTGAATCTACGTGAACTCATTAATAAGATTCTATCTTCATTCAATTAATTGATTATTTATAAATTAATAGGAATAAAAGTATTTAATTGTTTTTAACAATAACATAATTTATAATGTGACATTTGTAATTAAATAATTAAATTTTTGATAATGATTCTAGATTTCCTTTCAAATGTGGTCCTTTTCGGGATAATAGCTTTAGTTGGATTTGCTGCAATTGGTTCGTTTGCTAGGAAATAAGGTTTCCGATCATGAATTAAGTTTTTATGTGAATATTAATCTAATTTGATACTGTCATTGTGAGTTTTGAAATCCAATAACTGACTTTAATTAGATGATCTAATTGTTCTTGAGATATTAAATTGCATGGGCAGAAACACTATAAGGTTTGGTTGTATTGAGTGTTGATTGAAGTTTAAATTAGCATATTAAATGTATTTTAATAAATATCAACTCATAAACTATCGTACTTATTTAGCCTTCCGAGCAGAAAGGCAGGATTTAGCTATTGGAGCAGAGGAGGGATATTTAGTTACATAAAAGGCTAGGGATAGAGGGTTTTGTTTAGGAAATTGGGTTATTGAAGAATTGGAGCAGGTCTTCCTGGGTAACGAGAGTCATGTATGAAATTACAATTATCTCCTCTTGTACATCCAATTGGGGAATGAAAATTGTGGCAATGCTTGGTTTTGTATGCTCTTAATCTCTAAGCCTGTATAGGATTAATGCTTTATAATTGTTCAATTCGAGTTCTCTATTATTCCTATTGAGATTTAATGCGTTCTTATTCAGTTATAATTGATTATTTGTCATTCAACTTAGTTTCAAGGAATGATTTAAAATTTTTTATATATTATTCCTCACCAATTTCCTTTAATTTTTATATAATATCATGTAATAAAGTGACTTAAATAAATTAATATTCTTACGAATGCTTTCTTGGCTATGGTTTTGTTTCTGCTCAACCATCTGAACCAATTGTTGCATCTTGGGTTGGAGATCCTGCTTAGCCTGATTCAACATGACATCCTTTTATTTGGATTGTTCCTCTTGAGGTTTCTTCAAAATGCCTTTGATTTATTTTTTGTTAGCATTCTTGTGCTTTTCTTCTAGTTCAGTGAAACCTCGATCGCAGATGATTTGAACCATAAACATAAGGTCTTCCCTCTTAGGCGGATCCAAATGAATGATTTTGAATTGCATTCCTCCTTAAGTATTAGAGATTTCATTATACCCAGGTTAGTCAGGAATCTACTAGAGATTAAAGTATGTAGAAATATTTACGTCTCTGTTATAGAACGCTGACATTTTGGACTCAGTTCTCATCTATTGTTTCTAGGTCTCTTTGAAATTGGTGTCATAAGGAATAAGAAAGGTTTGTCGCAATTCTAATAAATTCAATAACTTACTCAAAGGTTTAATAAATGGAATTTATTCTATCATTTGTTGTATGTTATCTAATTATAATTTATGTTCTTGTCCTTCCATCATTGACTCCCTGTGCTTTATATCATAACCATTTATTTGATGTAATCTTCTTAGTTCTCCCGCATATTATTTTTGGAAGGCAACCACTTCCTCTATGGACATTCCTCTTTGATTAGGTTCATCGTCTCTTTTAAAAAACTTGTAATTCATGAGGATGTCGTCTCTTGCAAATCTAATAATTTCGAATGCTTATAACATACCGAACATTTTTCTTTTTATTCTTTTTCTTTTTGTTTGATGATTCATTAGAACTTGATGATAAATTTCTTTTCACTTTTTTTTTGCGTTCTTCATATTTATCCTTCTAATTGTTGTTTTTTTTGAACTCTTCCAAAGTACTCCTATATCTTGCCTTAATTTTCAACCATTTTTATAGAATTTGATCATTCACACTTACTCTTTAATCTTCTAATAATCTTTTATCTTTTATTTTGATTAACAACTGTCCCATCTCAGATTCTTTAAGCATTTCATCATTTAAATTCATTTTCAACAACAACATAAATATTTTATCGACTAGTTCTTCATTAGCCTAAATGCATTTCAAAGCTTCTTTTAAATATTAAGTGATCATCTTCATTGAGCCTGTCTATCCAAACCTAAAATTAGCCTCCTTTTTTACATGTCTATAAACTCAGGAGTGGAATTGAGTAAGTAATTCACTATTTGTATTTTTGCATAAACTGTAACTGCTGATTTTAATTGCATATTGATCTTTTTCATAAGCTCCTTACTTGTTATTTGATCCATCAATAAAATCTTATATTAATTTATATTATCATTATTATCTATAACTAAATCAATAACAAAATTCTACAAAAATTTTATTTATTTGCTAAAATTCAACTTCCTTCATTGCTCACATATAAGGGAATAATTAAGTTTTATATAGAATTCTCTCATTAAAATAATTAATGGCAGAATAATAACAAAACTATAGTGATTTAGTGAATCAAGAAATCTAATAGCCAAACAAACCTATCAAATGGGAAGTCGACGGAATGCCTTAAACAAGAGTTGGACAAATGAAAAAAGAGTCTGTCTACATTTTCTGGTTCGAATTCCTAGGAACATTCATGCTAACATTCTCCATCTATGCTAGCAAGTAAAGTCCAATATAATAATCAAAGTAATAACCTCTTCGTTTTCAGTTGTGCTTATGGCATGCTGATCTTGGTAGCTCAAAATCAAAAATGCTCATTCAATCCTGCAATTACTACTGTTTTATCTGGCAATGACAAAGGTTTATGGGTCTCAGTGGCTATAGCTAGTTAATTTGGAGGAGCATTTTTGGCAAGCATGCTTGGTTTCTTTTGCTTTAAAAATTAGTAAAATATTATATAGACTATGTAATAGTGTCAACGAAGTTCCATATTTGTCCTAAACTACATTTGAAGAATATTTCGCAGTTATCATTGGCGAAATCCTAGGATCGCTTATTCTTACTGCTGGCTTTCTATTTTAATATGATGATCTGATGGATTTCACAAGTGATAGATTAGAACATAGTCTCATAATCAGTGGATTATATGGAGTTGGTAGAACTTTAAGTTATGTTGCTAAGAGCAGTCTGAATCCAGCTATTGCCTTGGGGTAAATCTTATGATTCAGTAATTAGATTAGTATTTTTTGAATGTTGCAAAGATGGTCATTGGGCTAGATTTTGGAACTTATGGATTTATGCTGGGCTACCTTTTGTTGGAGCTTTTATCTCGTTAACATTGATTAGAATATTATACAAAGATTGCTACGAAAAATAAATAAAGGCTGGTTTGAAATATTGAATGACAATAAACTAATTTTAGAGATATTGATACGTATTTATTTAGTTTTTAATTATAAAATTGGCAATCAATCAGTAATTCAGGCATATTTGAATGGATATCATATCAACATTGGTTAAATTAATAATATATTAATTGATTTTAGAAAGGACTGGAAAGTTTTAGTGTGTCAATTCCAAATTTCTAATAATTAAATTTTAATTATTAAAATATTAAAATACATATTAAAACATGTCCTCAAAAGAATCACGTAGACGCTCAAACAGACGTTCTAATCGCAAATAAAAATAGTAAGAATCCATATTTATTATGCTTGCAGTTCTACTACTACTTCTTCTGTTGTCACTGATGATGAATCTAATGGAAGCTCTTCAAGTGATGATGATCAACACTACAAATATAGAAGAGGCGAATATATTCGAGAATACAAGGTTAAGAGACACATTTTTGATGGTACATTTGGAAGGGTCTTGAAAGTCAAGAGAAGAAATTCAAAAACATATGCCTTGAAGATCGTCAGACGCAATCACGTTGAGAGTGCACAATCAGAAGCTGATGTTTTGTTTCATTTAAAGAGAAAAGGACTAAGTAGATACTTTGTTGAATTGTATGAATGTTTCCATCATAGAGGATATTATTGTATGGTATTTGAGAGGGTATTTAATGCCATCAATTAATTTTAGTTAGGACCAAGTCTTTATGAATTGATGAAATTAAATAAAAATCATGGAATTCCAATGTCTTTAATAAGAAGCATCAGTAAATAATTATTAAAGTATATTGGTCAATTACATGATTTAAAAATTGTTCACACTGATTTAAAACCAGAGAACATACTATTTAGTAAAAATTATAAATTGAAAAGAGGATAATAAGATTTGTATATATAATATTTATATTCTTAATTAGATATCTGCCACAGGATGACCGAATAAAGATCATAGACCTTGGTGGAGCAGTATTTGATTATGAAGGACATGATTGTATAATTAATACACGTCAATATAGAGCTCCTGAGGTATAGTTGTAATGTAGTGAATGGAATCACAAAAGTGATGTTTGGGGGATTGCCTGTATCATCGCTGAAATGTATCTAGGTAGGAATGAATTATTTAAAATATTTTAGGACACTTATTATTTCAAACTAGAAAGAATGAGTATGAACACATGGCTTTGGTTGAAAAAATCACTGATCAAAATTTCCCTTATTGGATGGCCAGTAATGTGAAAGGATCATTGAAATAATGCTTCACAAAAAACTCTACAAATGGGAAATACTACATTTGGCCTTAGGAAAATACATCCAAAGAGAGTATTGCTAAAGTCGAAAATCAAAAACCATTAAGGGAATTGATACTTGATCCATTATTAAGAGATTTATTATAAAAAATGCTTGAAATTGATCCCGATAAAAGAATCAGTTGTCACGAAGCTTTGCATCACAAATTCTTTTGTCATTGATAATGAACAATTCATTTTATAAAATTTTAATTTTATTCCGTATAGAAACATAGCACTCTCAGCCATCCCCTTTACGTTATTCAAGTTAATTCTATAAATTCAATTCATATAAAGTAATCTCTAAATCGCAATACTAAATCAAACCATACTTAAATGATATTTACCTATCACAGTTAGTATTGTTGTTTCTATGAGATTACTTCATTTGAATATGATAGAATGTTAGACATACCTTTGAGATTATCATATAAATAGATTTATTTAATGCCATTGTAAGATAATTACTAACTTAATAATTTCTTAAATTAAAATTATATTGATTTGCTGTTTAATTCTCACACTTTATTTTCACTTTTTATTTAATATAAATTTTTGTAAAAGATAGTTTTATGATGAAGATTAAAATGATGTTTAGCCTTTTATTAAATCATATTCTTCTAAATTAAAGTAATTAACAATAATAATTACCCATAATATAATGGTATTAATAAATTATAGATATTTAGAAGAAGTAGAAATTGAAAAAAACACCATTGAAATTTAATCCAAAAAATTGAAAAAGTAAACAAAAGATATTCATATTCAATAAATAAAGGTGTATGCTAATATAGTATTTAATTAATTATTCATTCATTATCATCTTCAATTATGTTTTTAGACAAAGTTTTCATGATAGATCTCCATTCTTCTATAATTGCTTTTAATTATTGTTTTATTTCTGTGATGAAACTCAACAATTCATCCTACATAATTATGGACATTTTATCGCTTCTGTCTTTGTTCTTTTAATATTTAGTTTTGAGTACATCCATTTCTAAGTCTCTCTATATGAATTATATTTATAAATACTCTACTAGAATTATCTGTATATTGCATTTTGAGTTATTCTATTCTTTGTTAATCAACCAATAATTAAGATTGTAAATTTCTTCTTCTTTTACAAGCAGTCAATGCCCACTCAATTTCAAATAAGCAATTTAATAGTTTAGGGATAAATTTCCTATCAATGTCTTCAATTTCTCGATTAATTTTTCTTTGCCTGATTTCATTGTTATATTTCAACTATTTAAATTATGAAATATCTTCCTCACTTGCAGATCCTAATCCATCTTATATTTTAATATTTAATTAATACTCCAAGAATAGAGAGCTTCATTTTAGTCATTCAATGATTTTGCCTCCTCTCTCAATATAACAACATGTTCTTCAACAACAGTTTTCAACTTGGTACCTTTCATAGACAAGGATAGGAGTAGTGTTTCATCATAAGTTAAGTCTTTTTCACTTCCATCAAACATTTTTGCAGGATCTTACCCTTTGGCTGTCAAAGTACTACCATGCCATAAGGTCTTGACTGATTGTAATAGATTATCGTATTTTTACTCAATAGTTTTATTTTATTCTAATTCACCTTTCAATAGGGAAATAAACTAATGTGTAATTTCTAAATATACTTTTTCCTTATCTTCAATGAAAATTCTTAATTCTGGCACATATCTTAGATGATGATGGTGAAGTATTCTTTACAGGAACTGCTGAAGGTCTTTCCTTCTCTTTTCTGAGAACTATTATTTAAATTTTAAATCTCATAAGATTACTTCATAACTAGCCAAATTGACCTTGGTGAGCAAATGCTTTTCAGGAATGGCAGGAATTATGTATCCTCCATACTTATTTATCAATTCCTAATACAACCACTCAAAATCACTAAATCTCCTGGATACTTCGGTTTCCCATTCCCCTCCCAACTTCTTGGTTCTTACTAAATATAATTTATATTTAGTTATGTATCCCTCTTTCACTACTTCTCCATCTTTGACTTCCACGATCCGATTATTCATAAATTCATTAACCACAATTGCATTATAAAAATCTACATTCGGAATCACATTAGCTTGATGACTAGACAATATTGAATTTGATGCATACTCGAAATTTAATAAATCCATTTGTTGAGTCCCATTATTTTCTAAATCCTCTAATAAATTCATTTTACTTATATTATAAAAATAAATAAGACGCAAATGAATACTAAGTCTACTTCTCTCTATATAGGGAGTAAATAACTGAATCCAAAGAGAATACGTTCTCCACTCAAGAAATAGTCCATGATTTTTAAGTAAAATTCAGATGAAGAGGAAAATCAATCAGAAGATGAAAAAATGGAAGTTATTAATCTTAACTACTTTAAAGCAAAAAAGCATCAAAAGAAGTTTAATTTATAATAAATGCTTCAGTAAGGTAAATTGGCTGAGGATGAAGTAGATCATAATCCTCATTTTCCAAGTCCAACGATTAATACAAAGTTAATACATAATATATTCTAAATTTATCATTCAGATAGAAAGGAAACCTTTATTGAAGACAAAGTTCATGGGACTGCTGAAAAAATATCAAAACAAACGAATTAAAAACTAGTAAATCAAATCTTATTCAATAAAATGAGATAGAAGAGAGTTGTCTCATAACATGAATTAAGTAATTCAACCTCAAATGTATTGCAAAGCTTTAAGAATCTCTCATCAATGTTCAAAAGTGTTAATTAAATTGTTGACTATCATGCCGTCGCCAATCAATTCAGGTAATCTCAAGCATAGATCACAATCAACAGAGAAGAACATAAAAATTTGGAAAGACAATAGTTCAATTTCAACTACATTATTGAAGGCAGATTAAATTAGATTAAATTACACAGCCAAGAAATTTATTAGTATCAAATGAGTTTGCAAAAATTGAGATTGGAGAATTGCAAATTAAGAGATCATGTCTCCAGATTAGGTGAAGAAATTGATTAAATCAAATCAAAATATAATAAATAAAGACAATTAGCATTGCATCAGGAAGATAAACTTCATCCTACTAAAAAATGGGATAGACAATAATACTTTTAGACCATTGATTAAAATGAATAAATGGAGTTATCCAGAATCAAAACATTTTACATGGAATATTAATAACAACTGCAATTCAATCAAACTTAATTAAAAAGAGAAGAAGAAATCTTACAAGATATTAAATATACTAAGAAATAAATCAAGTAAGATTTAGCAGAGTTCTTAAAATAAGTATTGCAGAGTGAAGAAATTTAGTAACTTATATACTTATAATACATAGAATATCAGGATCTATCATAATCATTGTAAAACTATTAATGTAAATTAATGAGAGTGTGACATAAGCTGATTTCCCATGTTATCTAGATAATCAATCTAGGATATTCCTTATATCTAAGGCGAAATTAGAAATTAATAATGATTATTTGAAATTGCAAATTAAAGAAAACCAAATCAAATAATAATAGTAACAATATGGCAACCGAGTTAATTATGAGAAAAAACTATTTTAAGTCATGAATTCTATTTCTAATATGAAAAAATAAAAATACACTTTAAAATCATTTGAATTACAATAACAAGGTGACTCTAAACAAGATAATCTCAGTCAAAAATTGTCCAATTAATCACTCTAAATAAATAATTTGGATAATTAAATCATTGAATTAGAAGAATAAGAAATCTAAAGACTTTAGATCCTTTATTAAGGAAAACAATTGCCTAATAGTTCATTATAAAAACTCATAAAAACTGTCTAAGCTGAATTCGGTTATAAATAGATGAATTAAAAGTTAAGCATAATAATTCAGAATTATGACACAATTAAGAATCAAGTTAACAAATCCATTAAGTGAACTAACATCCATATACAAATTACTGTTTAAATTCTGACATATCATATTATATCATTGCAATTAAATAAATAAATTATCTTTCTCATAATTTTAACTAAGTCATTATTCTATTATATTCTTGCTTCATCAAAATCTCTTACATTTTTATATTCAGGCTTAACAAAAAATTAGAAAAATTATTTAATATAATAATAATTGGGACATGCATACTTTTAAATTTTTATATATTATATAAATCTTAAATCAATTTAAACTAAGGAAATTTTGAATATCAGGATTAAATTGTATACATGAAATCAACTAAACTAATATATGATTTTGAAATGACATTATAAAACAGAAATTTTAGTTGTATCTTCCTTTCCAATTGAAATCATAAAAGTATCCTCACTATACGATCAAAAAAATTCCAAATTATAGAAAATAATAAGAACAGTCATTAATTACAATAATATAATAATTCTAAATAGATTAAGCGGATTCACTCATTTTTTTTTTGGTGTAACATCTCTGCTTGTTACTATACTTTAAGTTCCATTGATTGATAATTAACACGATGTCCGAGACATCTACAAGGAGATATATCTACTTCGTTTGAATTATTTGGTTATATTTTAATCTTGTTAAATAAACTTGTTCTATTTATTTAATGGAAATTTAACATTTTAGATTTATGAATTTTATTCAATTTTCTAAACCTTTAATTCTTATTAAGATTAGACATAAAATCTTTTTCTACTTGTCAATTAATTCTCCTTTTAGTTAGTTTGTTCCTGTCTTAAATCTATCAGATTTAATAACATTTTTGAGTTGCTCGGAAATATTAAATTATTTAGTAAGGCTCTGCCTTCTATAGGACTAGAGATCAGTTTTTATGTCGGTTAGTGATACATCAAATTGAATTCTGTAAAAATCTTCTAATGACGGTGAACTTATTGTAATTTCTTGACCAATTATTACTTTTGTTTTTTTACGGATGTAATTTATTAATTCAATTAAGTATATTTAGGTGTAAGATGTTCATACTCAGATTAGGTTTATTGTAGTATGTTTTATTCAGTTTATACTAATTAATTTTATTACATAAATAATTATGAACAAATTTGAAGATGAATTAAAATATGCTTAAAAAGCAACTAGCAATGAATTTCTGTCCTGGTTATAGAATGTGAGTTATGAACTTATTAAATAAAAAGAATACTCATATGGATAAGAATTTTTCAGATCTTAACAAAATTTATATGAACTTATATTCAAATCAAATGGCATTTTGAATAATAGTTTTCGAACAACTCAACAAAGATATGGCTCGATTGAGGATACATTTTTCTTTATAAAACTGTTGAATATTCTTTCTCCAGAAGAAATGTCATTTTATTCCGCCTTGCCATCAGAATACCCTTATCACTCTGTTTCATTAGATGTATTGCCAGCACATATACAATTATATTTTAGAGACCCATCTTTGGCTAACATGAATCAATAATTTTAAGCATTTTAGGATATATTTTAAGAGAACATTTAAGTTGAAAAAAATCAACTAAAATTTTGTGTTAGTGCAAAAATGATGTTTTGGATTTATTTATTAAATGGTGCTGTTAATTTTAAGGATAGTGCTTTGTATGTGACAGATAATAGTCAAAAATTGTTAGATTGTGCTTTAAATAAATGTAAAAGGAAGTTTAATAGCAAGGATCCCTTATTAAAATAACTCACTCTTAATCCATACTTAGTTCTTATTAGACGAATTCTAGAATATATGTATATAAAAATCAAAGAAAACAATTAAATCTTAAGTCGCCAGACCAAACAATTGTCAATCTTCACTTTTCAATAGATGATTATACTTTTATAAGAATATTCATTATATGAGCATTTATATGTTAATAAATTATGTGAATTGAACTTAACAATAGATCAATAGAAATTATTATACAAAATTAAGCCAAGTAGCATTGTCTTGGATACTCAAATGATGCTAATCTACCTAACAATATATTTTAATTCATTATACGGAACTGATTTAGAAACAATTTATTAATAGTTTAAACCTTTTTTGCGAAATTCTGATATTTTTAATAAGAATAGTTAATTTATCTATCAAAATAGGAGTTTTTTTTTTGAGTGTGGAAGATAAAAGCAATAAATTACTTACTAGTAGGGCTTATTTAAGTTCTTTTAACATTCTTTCGAAGTTTATCCTAATGAGAGGTAATGTAATTAAATTACTTTATATTCACACATAGCAGCTTATGTTTTATTTTTGAAATGGCAATTTATTCATAAAGAATAAAGCATCTATAATTAGGCTTTAATTTTCGATCAAGCTCTTTCATCTTGTGTTGCATCACAGAATTAAATAATGGGACAACTTTAAAAAAAAAGAGTGAACTCCTATAAAGGAAGTAATCCATTAACTAAATTTATCATAAATGAATTGTTACCTCTTTATTAAATCTGTAAAAATAAATTTGGAGATTGTCCTTAAGCCATTTTATTCAAGGATTTCAAACCGCATCTAATCGAATAAAGATTTAGTTAATTTGAATACAGATTAGATTCCCAAATGAGAGAACTAGATCCATTAAGGAATTTAATGAAAAATTCAATTAGACTGTATTATCCTTTTTACACAAAATTGCTTATTACTATTTTTTAATGCTTAAGTAATTTAAATTATCTTAATGATTCAGAATATCAAGGATTAATTCATTTATTTGCATTTTGTTAATCTAATGATTAAAATTCATTCTTTTGTGATTCATTAAAATTTATTAAATAAAAACCATTTCAAATACCAGCTTATTCAGAAGTTAAGAATTTTTGCGATATGTATGTGAAAAACAGCGATGAAGGAGAATATCTAATTATTGAAAATAAAGACACTAAGAAATTTGTTACTTAAGCAATAGAGTTATTGATGTCATACTAATAAAGAATAGGCATAAAAAATGATAAAACAGTAGAGTTTTTGGGTTAATAATTTAATATTTAAACGGCCAAAATTAAAGCGATTCCGATCAAAAATATTAGTCCCTAGTAAAGTTTAGGAAGATTATCTAAGTCTAGAATGTAAATCTAAAATTTATTTAGTTAGTGTAATAAATGAATGGAAAGCCCCATTAAGAGATTTTGAAATTTATGTTTTTTTTATTATACTGTGGTATTTTAGTTTAGGATTAGATAAACTAAAAGGATTACCTCAAAATGAAGTTCCACAAACTCAGTGGCCTAGAAGATTTGCTTCACCGATAAATTTATTTATTGTATCCATAATCATTTATGGTCTTTTTAAAATCGCTTTCATGTTCATTTGATAAATATTAATATCATTTATAATTTAATTAGTTAATTAAATATCCTATTTTTATATATATAAACTATCCAGAAGACAGCAAATAATTAAAAATAAATAACAAATTATCATCTTTAGGTCCTACAGATAGTGTGTTGTAGTAGTTAATTTTAATATCCTTTCAAGATCATAGCCATGTTATCAATCATTTTCATCACACACTGAAATTATTCTAACTTTTTCATAATGTCTATAAATTCTTCTTCTGATAAAGGTTTGTTTTTTTATTACTTCTTTTTGTAGAATTTCTTGGTCTTTTAAGTTTTCTTTGAAGGACTATTTTGTAATAATTTTTAATTTCCATTTTTTTCTTCTGTGTGATTATTAAATTCCCTTATTCCAATTTCGTACAACTAATCATTTTCATTAGAAGGACAATCTCCTTGAATAGAAGGTTCAAGACTTTAAATTCTGAATAGGGATTTGTGGTAATTTAATTTTGAAGTTTACTAACGACATCCATCTTATATTTCCTCTCGATTTTCTAAAGAATACAGTAAATTGTGATAAAGGTATCCACTTATGTCCATTTTAGAGTTTATTAAACGATATAATAATTAATTTAAAGGATATTTAATTTTAGTTTTGAGACAACTTTTACAGTTCTAATTTATGATATCAATTAATTCATCTTCTAAATATATATTTAGATATGCAAAATTATAATATATTTTTGAAATTCAAAATTAACGATTTGAAAATGATGAGATTTGAGACATCATATTCTTCGATATATTGGAATAAATTTTATTTTTATGAATTCTTTCTGATTTAATGTTTATAAAACGTGTAATCTAGTGATAAGATGACGTCATAATTTATATATAATATAATAATAAATAATTTTATCTGAATAAAATGAGTTATCAAAAATTAAAATCTGCATGTCAAAAAAATAATTATTCACCACCACATGTAAATCGCTGATAAAATCTTTAGTAATATGTTATTTTAGAGAATATTTTCTTAATGAATTAAATTTTAATGCTTCTAATTAATTAAAAAAAATTTTATATAGTAAATTTTGCTTAAATTTTTGTAAGCCTTAAAATTAATTATTTGCACTTATGAGTTTGAAAAAACTATTCATAAGTAAGTCAAAAAAAATTAATTATTGAATTTTGATATGCACGTATATAAAGCTTCAATTTTTTGAGATTTGTACAAATGGTAATTAAAGTAAAAACATTAAAAGATATAAATATCAATAGAAAGATATATTAAATGAATGAAAAATGAATAAGATCAATTTTTCTAATTTATCTGTTTCTGGTACTAGCTTAAAATCTATGATTTGATTCTGGATAGGCTTCCTTCGAGATTGTCAATAAGTTGTCTCATTTATTAACAATATTGAATTTATGTGATAGTATTATCTCCTGAAAGGTTAACATAGGAAATAAAGTCACTAAGTACCTTGTTTAGAGAAGGTGGATTTTTATTTTTTTTAATTGAGGTTCTCTTATGAATTTTTTGAAGCTTCTTTTTGATAGTAGTTTAATTAGTTTGAGAAGGTTAATTAAATTGACTATAATCGTCATCCATATTATCAGTATGATATTAGAGATGGATGAGCGAATGTTCATCCTCGTCATTAAACTTTTTAATTTAAGGATGCCCAAGCAGAAGAGGAGATGGACAAATCATTTGATCAGAGTATTCATCCCAAGTATTGTTGTTGAATTGCTCATCTTCAAAAAAGTTTGAGTCCATAAATTGTATTAATTATTAAAATATCTTTAATGGTAATTAGATTTTTAAATAGCAAAATATAATTCAATATCAATATAACAACTAAAAAGAATAAAAAAGAATATTTGATTCGTTTTTTTGGTATTGTTTTATAACTAATCATAAATAAATTAAATTAATGATAACTGCATATATAATTAAAGGAATTTTGGCACCTTTGATCTTAGTGATCCTATATTCAAATTCAAAGGCGTTACAAAATTAGGAATAATAATTAAGAAGCTTTTGGGAGAATATCTTTGGAGAAGTATATTAGATTAGAAAGCAAACGTTTGTTAAAAATTCAGCCTTCAAGCCTGAATATAATGTAAATCAAATAAAATAGTAGTTAGCAATCTCGTTATAATGTGGCTGAATCTCCTGTTTACTGTAAAAAGAGTGACTCATATAAAATGACTCATCCTGATGTAGTATTGTAGGATTACTATGTGTGGAGAGATTATCCCCCTTCTAATTTACCAAAAAAGATAACATTAGATAGAACATTTGCAGTATTAGATAAAGTAAGTCCTACTAAGACTGCCTCATACAAATATGAAAATTAATTGCCACTCTAACTTGGATTTATTTATACAACTGTTTCTACATTATTCAACAACTATATTTGGGGCAAGGGATTAGGATGTGCATTGCAAAAATATAGTCATATACCAGGAAAGAGTTCTGTGGCAATGAAAAACTAATTAATTGACAATTTTATGAAGTACGTAAGAGATTTTGAAAAGAAGAACATCACTAATCCAGAATGTAAGAGGAATGCATCATTCATACCTGAGACATATAGATTGAATGATGAGAATGATTGTAAGGCCTTCTTCGAAACATTCAAAACAAGTGATTATTAGAAGAAATTCAAAAAATATGGGCCATAATATATTTTGAAAACTAATTAACATAGAGGAGAAGGAATTACAGTATTGTTTGAAAATGAGACAAAAGAGTTGTAAGAGGAATATAATCATGGAGAAGAATGTGGAAATATCTCAAAATAAGTAATTGCTCAAAGATATATATCAAATCCATTTTTATATAAAGGACACAAGATTGAATTTAGAATCTATTATACCATTATTTCAACAAAACCAGTCATTGCATATTCATATTCAAGGTAATTACTATCTTTATTCATATAATAGAGCATTAATTAAAAGATGTGCAAAGCCATTTAGTGTCCATTCCACTGAAAAGGGAGCACACGTTTGTAATACAGCAATTGTGAAAAACTTAGTGAAAACAGACAAAGATGATGATGAGATTGAAGATGAAGAATTCTTTATCGATTGGTATCTGGAGGGACTAGAAGATTTGTTAATTAAATAGGGAAGAGCCAAGAAAGGATGGCTCCAAGCCTATCTTTATCCCAAGATTCATAGATCTTTAATACATATGACTATAGCTACCTACCGTTCATTTGCAAGAGATAGCACGTACTCATCTTTCTTTATGTAGGTTTGGAGAGTTCTTTGCAGTTGATTTTCTACTTGATGATAATCTAGATGTCTGGGTTTTAGAAGTCAATTATAACCCATAAGTTCTGAGTGTTACTCCTGACAGAATAAAGAGAAATTATAAGATGTTAGAAGATCATTTCGAATTGCAATATGCCTATATCAAGAGCAAATTATATAGGTTGCAGTAACTTGGTAAAGCACTTTTGAAGAAAGATGCCAAATCTATTCTTAATCAACCTAAATAAGTTGAAGAATTGTTAAGAGATAAACTAGAATCCCAGTTTGAACTTAGTAAGGATAACTTATATATAAAAATCATGGATGAAGGTTTACCAGGGACTTAGGCATACACCAATTTAATATCTAAAGAGTGTCTTAAATGACTTTATAGTGTGTGTATAAATATCATATTATTTAAAAATCCTTAATTTCTACTAATAAAATTTATTAGAAAACCAATATAATGCATGATATCTTTCAATTAATTAAAAAGATTAAACATATAATTGTAAAGTTTATTTTTTAAATTTATATCTTAGAAACAAGTACAAATAATTTTCTATTATTATTTTCCTTTACTAAATTTTTTTGGACCAATCATCAGTTTTCTTAAGTTAAGATTTTCAGTTGAAATGTACTTTCTAATTTATCTAATAATATTTTATGGAAAATTATTTACAATTCTCAGAATAACTACACTCTTGCTAATTCTAATTCATGGTTGACTAATCATTGTGATTTAACAAGAAACTAATAGATAAATTTAATAAATACTTTTCAATCATAGTACAAGGTTAAGTAATTTTTGGATCATATTTGTAATAAGTAAACATTAAAAATCATCTCAATTAATAATATTATTCAGAGACTCAATGCTTAGTTTCTGATAATTTATCACGAGTTTATATCTATTCAGTATTCATATTTTCTAAAAAATAAATGCATATAGGGAATACGTCAAATAACTCATGGAAAATATCTTTAAATTCTATATAAATAATGTTCAAATAAAAATGAACTCAATTCTATTCGTTAAGAATCATTCTTTCTTTTATCCAGAAATCAAATTAAATAATGAATTTAAAATGCATAAACAAAGGGTGAAATATAAATTTATATCTCATAAATAAATATTAATTATTTGGTCTTTGTTTTCCTGATATACTTTATAATTATGAATTTATTTGATAATTAATCATTAACATCATGTTGTCATCAAAAAACCTACTTAGATTATGGTAAAAGAACTTACAAACAGGTCACCTAATCTAAGGTATTCTCTCTCTCCAGAACTACTTCAAAAATGAATCCAAGCAGTCATTTAAAGAAATTAAACAAATTATCTCTGAAGATAATGCTCTTAACTCAAGTTATTATTGCAGTGATTGTGGAGGAAAGATTTAAAACTAAAACAGCTTCACATCAAAATCAATAGTTTTGATTCGGATAAAATTTCAAAATTTTAGACACTAAAAACAATTCTTATCATCAGTCATATACCTTATAATGGCAGCAGTATAACAAAGATTAAATTTAAGGCATTCAGTCATCATCTTTTAATGGTACATGTTAAAAGTGTTCTGTCTATATTAGTAAATTCTAACCATTCAAGTAGTAATAATAAGTGTTTTAATCCTCACCTTGGATAGCATCGGAATTAGATTAGAAGACACATAACTTCCAGCCTTCTAAATCGAAAGATATACAGAGTCCTTTGATATGATAAAGATTGAAAACTGAACTAATTATTTAACACTAGTAGTAATAATCCCCGATCGATACCCAGAGTAAGCTATTTGCTGCCATAGGAATTTTAAATTTGTCAGAGAAAATGGAAAAGAAACCTGTAAATAAACTAGTTGCTTTAGCAGGTAGATATAAATCTCCAAATAATCAAAAACTAAGAACATTGTGTTAATGAATTTAATGTACTTATTAAAAAAATCTGATTTGAAACTTAAAGAGAACGTTAAGAGACAAAATTGATTTTTATTATTAAATTATGAAAAAATAAAGAGTATAGCAATAATCGAGATTTCCAATAACTACAAGACCTTTATAAACATTTGATTTGGAAACTGAAGAATAAATAGAATAGAGATTCAATGAATTCTTGAATGAAGCTTAAAATGAAACAATAAAATTAGTAACAGTTTAAAAGGGAAAATAAAGAAGATTGGCTCTTAATAAGAACAAAAAGAAAACAATCAAGGAAAGTTAAATGGTGGAATAATCATCGTATGATGGAGAGAATCAATCTCGTGAGGATGAAATCATTGAATTAGAAACCAAACCTTAAAAGAAAATTAGTCAAAAGCATGAGGAATTTTATAAATTTTTTGTGGATCGATACTTCCATAAGTAAGAGGTAAAATAATCTGCTTCTACTTAAACTTTAACAAACGATGTAAACTTTTTAGTCAACAGATATGGAGATGTATACTTAATAATGTAATTTAGTTTTTACAAAATTCACTAATGTCTAGTTTAATTATTGATACTCTTAAACACAAATTCTAGAATCAAGTTCCTATGTATGATCATTTTGGAACTGCCTAAAAGATTTTGCAATCATTTAATGTATCAGCTGTTACTTTATGTAACATGAAAACCCCAGAAGAAAGATAAACCTATTTACTTAACAGTTTTTAATAGAAATGTGATTCATTAATGAATGAATGGATTCTTAAAATAGCAAAGAAAGATAAACAATTATAATAGATCGATAAATAATTTACTCTCACAAGAATGAAAAATCGCAAAGAACAAAATGATCTATTTAAATGGTTGACCTTAAAAAGCAAATATTTGGTCCTCCAAAAAAAGTTAAGAGAAATGCTTATGGAAAAAATTAATGAGTATGAAAATCAAATTAAAATTGCTGAAGCCATTAGCTAAAATAAAAAAGTTAATTTAACAGGCATAGAGACTATTCAAACTTCGTAAATTGTAAAAAATAATAATTTCTATTCACAAAGCAATACGGATTTACTTTAATGGAATCCTTTACTTGAAGCTAAATTTTAAAAAGAAAGAATGAAAGCTCAATACACCTACAATTCAGCAATTAATTCGAGCAATTTCAATCAAGTAGCTTTTATGTAAATATTTGATTAAGTAAAAATTGAAGATCCTGTCTATCTACAAAGAGAAGTAAAAATGTAAAAATACATGAATGGGGATTGGTTAACCCCATAAGAAATGAAATTTCTTGCTAATACTTCAGAATTACTGAATAAATGCGTAGATTAAAAACAAGTCAAGAAAGTTGTAATGCATATCAAGGAAAAATAACTCTATGATTTAGAAAATTATTTAGCATAATAAATCATTTAGAATCATTAATCACTTAATTGTTAAATTTAACAAGCTAGATCAATATGGTTAAAAGAACATACGAAAAAAAGAAAATAATAAATCAAGTCTCATGATTAATAAATTTAAGAATAAATTAAGCATGCAAAAACACTAAAAGAACATGACAAAAAAGTCAAGAAGCTTCAAAGAATTTGCAAAAAATTAGAAGAGAATATCTCCATCAAAGATTAAGTATACAGAAACTTTTTTGCTTTAATTTTTGTAAGGAAAGTAATTTAGAAAGTTGAGTATCTCAGATTCATTAAAATGGAAAAAAGTAATATGTTTGTTAAAGAAACATTGGCTGAATAAGAACAACTGAGACTTCATAAAGAAAGATTAAAAGAACTATCAATACCATATAATCATGAAGAAGACAAACGTAGAAAGTATCACCCTTCATCTAAAGTGGGATTTGTTCCTACTCATGGAATGACTGCTGATGATTGGGAAAGTCTAGAGGGTCAAAAATTGGCAGAAAGGGTTAAGATACTTAAGTAGAAAGAAAATTAATACAGATTAGGAGTATTATCAATATAAAACAATAAAAAAGAGAACTTTATGAAATTTTACTCTTCTGGACCCAATAAAGCCTTTAGATAAGATCCAATTTTTGATCCTCTTAATCCTAATGATCCGCCTAAGTTGTCAGATAAAGAATTGAATTAAATAATTATGATTCAGAGGGCTATTCGTAAAAGAATAGCATTTAAAAAATTAAAAAACTATAAAGAGCTATTATTTCAAAATAAGCTTAGAATTTACCATGAAAAATTGTTTAAACTGAATTCAGAAAAGGAGTTCCAATCCAATGTCAAAGAGACTACCTTATAGTTGATTTCAAAACCTCAACTAAGAATTAAGACTTCATCAAGCAGAATTAAATCTGAAATTTCTTTATCTAAATCTATGAGAACTAAACTAAAAACTGAAGAGACTGCTGAACCATCATCAATTGGATTTGGAAGATAAGGGAGGTTAGTCACAACTCAAAATTTATCTAAAGTGAAACAACTTCTTGTTAAACATGAAAGACTTCTTAGATATTCGAAGTCCAATTAGCCTAATCATATTCTAAAATCAGGATTCTATTATACATAAGATGATATAGATGTCATGGATCAAGATGGAAACACTGCATTATATTATGCTTGTATGCATGGAAACAATATACTAATTGATTTTATGCTAAAGCATGGTGCTAATCCTAATGTATTATGCAGTGATGGAACACCTATGCATATGGCAGTCAAATCGAATAAAATAGATGTAAAATTGATTTATTCATTATTAGGTGATATATTTGCTATTAAATAATGGTGGTAGTTTAAATATTGTCAATCAACATAATTGCACTCCTTTGGTTTATGCTACTGACAAAATCTTAAAATAATTAGGCATGAAATCCAAAGGTGTTGTTTCTGTTTCCAAATAATTTACAGAGATTAAAAATGATGAAATTCTTTATTCTAAAGACTTTGCTGTTTAATGTGATTGATGAGTTTGTTTTGTTCTTCAATTGTTTTTTTTTGACGCATTTTTATGCTCAATATTATATTACTGAATTTTAATGCTTATCAAATATAAATTTATTTAAATAAATTTTAGATGATTGGTAAAATAATGAAAAATAAACTAATAATTAAATCTTTATAAAAATACTAATAGTATTATGGCAGATGTATTGCTCATTATTATTTCAAATAGCCTATCAAAATTGTAATGTGCATTCTTTGTTGTCCATAGTGGTTCAGTTACTACTCGTTTTTACATAATTGTGCTAGAACATGTGATATTACATCGAAGAGTACTAGATTTACCCAACTTATTTAGTCTTTAAAGGCATAGGAAGTACACTTTGGAAAGTATTATTCGTTCTGTTCATGGCATTTTGTGGATTCGAACTTGTAAATTGTGTGCTTTGCATAGTAGGATGTGTTCATTGCTTTGGAGCTCCTTTTTAGGTTTGAATTTGAATTATTTTTAATAGGCATATCAAGGAGGCAGCACTTGGGTAGATTCTTTTCATAAAATGGTCCTGGAACCGAGTTGTGATTTCGAAGGGAAAATAAGTGATATTCTTGGGAAAATGTTTAAACATTGATTATGATTATTGTAAAAATGCATAATTATCAAAATTTCCAATTTAATACATCTCTAATTTATTTGATATTAAATATCAAAAATGAGTTTGAAGAAGCCAACAAAATGACAATATAAAGAATAAAGCAGCTTAATTTAAATTAAATCCTATATTAACTTAATAGTTTTAAGAATCTCACATCTAAACTAAAGAAGCCTTAATAAGATTAAGTACAAGAAAATTGCCATATTATAATTTTTGAAATATTATTAAATGGGTTATGAAGTACAAAATATGATAAAATAAATTACACAAATAAGTTATGAGATTAAATAAACTAGTCATTATTAGAATTTCATTTTCTCTAACTTTATTGAAGGTATTTTAAATTATAAAATATTTGGATATTTAACTTTAAAGATAGTAGATGGGGTATTGTTGCTTAAATAAACACTTATCAGAAAATTGCTCTTCTGAAATAATCATAACAGATACCTCGGTTTGTTTAAGAGATCCATATTTTGTTAATTTTAATTTAGGAATTTTTTTATCTTCTCATAAGTTTTGGGGGTAGCTTATTATATTCAAACAAAATAGAAATAATATATCATTTTTCGAAGATATACCTTCTATATTGATTAATATGATATATTAAAGTACATTCTTCTGCATGAAACATTGAATTACTATTTAAAAAATAAAAGTATTATTATGATCAAAGCGGGTTTCTTCTGATCATCCTTAAAATTAACTTCATTTCAAAAGATTAAACCTTAACCAATTGCCAGCTTATGCATATAGAATTTATATAAATTTAATTATTAAATAAAATTTTAAAAGATGTAATTAATAAAATAAAGAACATAAGAAAATGATCGAAAAAGTGATGAAGAAGATTAATTTAATAATTATTAATTTATAACAAAAAAGTAAGTGTCTTTAAGATTGAGTGTATAGAAACTTCGTAACTAAAATGTTAATAATCTGAAAAGAATAAAAATAATTAATTAATTCATTTAAAATGAATAAATTTATCAGTAGGAAGAATAAGGCAACAAATACTAACAGCATTTATAAAATTAATAAAATTTTACATAGAAACATATCATAAATACTATTCAAAATGATAAATAAATTTAGGATGATGAATCATTTTTTGAGAGGATTCTTGCACAACTTCAATGGCTAAAACAATTAGCAAGCTATGAATCAAGCAAAATAAAAGAATAGCAAAATAAATATTAATCTGTAAATATTTTTTTAATTTTAAGGCGACAGCCTGGATGGATAAGATGTCCCCAAAAAATTAAGAGTTTACCTAATTCTATTTATAGGTTTATGAAGTCTATAAGGGCATAAATTAGATTTTAGAATATTCATAGAAATTAAACAAACAAAAAGCTGAAGAAAACTTTTAGCATATTGTTTTATTACATAATGGGAGTAAATACTTTGAGAGGTTATTATATGTTAGCTCATTTGTTTAAAATCTACTATTTTAAGATTATAGTTAATAAAAGTTGAAATGTTTACGTTCAATTTATATTAATTTTACAGGAGAAAACTGCTAAAAAGATATTGATTTTTGGAGTCTGAGTCATCATAAAAATAAAGGACTATCAAAATTTATTACATTTTATCCCCTTAACTATGACAGTAAAGAATAATATTCGATATCTTATAGATTCTACTTAAAAAGAAAATTAAGAAAGTACAAAAGAAAATCAAAAAGAAGATTAATTTAACTTTTTTCAATAGCAAATAATTGTTAATAAAAATACAAATCAGTAAATAATCTTTCCTATTTTTTATAAATCAATTCTATCATAACAACAGATTCAAATAATTTATTCTACTTTATTGTTACCAATAATTACTTCTTTTTAACCATAATTTATTTATTTAGATCTATAGATTTCAAATAAGTTTAATATTTAATTAGAAGGGATTGAATATTTATTAAGATAGTTATAAAAAAAAGCAAGTTTGATTTTGTATCCGTGTTACTAGTTTGAAAATAAAAATATTAATAAAAAATTTTAATAGAATTATGATAATGAATTACATAATTCCTATTTAAATGCAGCTTTATCAGGTATGTCTGGATTTAAAATGATGAAAACAAGAATTTTTAATGAAAATAAACCTTTTGAGAATTTAGATTTGGCTGATTAGATGCAAAAATTCTTTTATAAATCAAATGCATTTATGTAAAAACAAGTTTAATTTTTTTAAACCTAAGCCAAAATATATGATAGATTTATGTAGTATTATGAAGCCTATCAATTCCCTATTAGATTGGAGAAAGAACTTATGTCATGGATTCTTCCATTTGACTCCTACCTTTCATGTAAGTAATTTACAAACTATTACTGCTTTTATGATTTAAATTATGTTATTTTGTTTGATCAGAATACCAAATCAATTTTTTTCTAAGAGATTTCAAATATCCCTAACAATATAATCAATGGCATAATCAAGCAAAAATTGTATTATATTTTTATAAAACATTAGCAATTACTTAGAAGTACCAAATTATTTAATCGAACCAAGCATATTAATAATAGAAAAATACTTAATTATTATATATGGTCATTAGGATTCATTAGATGAGTCAAAATTTTTTGATGGAGTTCTTTTATTTGATTTAGAAGAACTTGAAGAATTTAAAGAATATAAACGTGTGCCTGATGACAAAACAAAGGATCTTTTGGAGTGTATTAGGAATAGAAGATGCCCATAAATTTGTTAAAACAATGGATTCAAATCAGATGGGCAGTACTTATCATTCTTTCTTATTGGTGGTGAATTTATGAAGTAAATTGAATATTTAATTAGATCTGATCATATTTAGAATTATATCGAGGTAGTCTATATCAACTTAAAGACCTAAAAATTTCATTCATTACCAGTATAATTTTAGTTGGTACATTCTTAAGCAACATTAAAGCCTTGGCCCTATTAATTAGTTTTTGAGTATAGTTTTTAAGATATCCATTTATATTTGATTCAAACTGGAAGCTACCTTTTAAAACGAAATAAATTTTAGTTTCCAATAGACCCTAATTATCATAATTACTCATAGCTTCTAGTTTAATAAGATGATAAATATTAATTATACGATATAAGAGTTGTTAAAAAAGAATAGAAATATTATTTTAAAATAGAATAGCTTTATAGTCCTGCTAGAAATTGGATACTTGAAACAAGTGAATGTTCATAATCTAAAATTGTTTGGAAGGCATATATATCAAGGATAGTAAACCTGAAGAATCCTTCTAAGTGCTAAATCTTAAAAACATATAAACACATGTTTTAGGGTTTAAATTGGCATAAATATATTTAAATTTGTATAGAACTAACAATTAATTTGTTAATTCCAAATAACCATTTAGATTTTAAAAATTATATAGTTGAATTGGATTATAAAATAATGTCTTTGTCAAGAATTAATGATTGATGCTATTTTTATAAATATATTTATGAATATATAAAATAATAGAAGAATTTCTTATCATAAAAAAGAAGGGTAGATGAAAAAGACAACAGCCTTGACATATTTTTCTATAATAGCATTTTCACTCACAGCTTTTGTTTTCCTAATAAAGGGCAGCATTGATAGTTACGATTAATCCAATCTTTCAAAGAGTGAATGTCCTCAAAATTATACTGATCTTAAAGGAACTCACAAACTCTTAGCGAGAATAAATAGAGACAACACAAAGAATCCCCAATATACATAGGTAATTTAAATTTAGATATTAAGGGATTATTGTTTGTAAATTAGACAACTCTTCTTGAATCCTCAGGATAATATGGAAAAAGTTCAATTCATTATTTGAATTTGGATGATATCAATAACTTAATCTTTAATTATGAATTGCCATCTAATTAATTTGGAGAAGGATGCGATATAATAAATAACAAAGTTTATCAATTAACTTGGTTAGAAAGAAAAATGTAATAATAATTAAATAATTTCAAGAAATGTATTCAATGCAGATGATTTAAGTTTTATAAATGAGATGAAATTAGATGATAAAGTGGAGGCAGGATGGGGATTAACTCATAGAGTATTTAACGGAGAAATTTAAGTCTTGATAACAGATGGTTCTAATAAAGTGCATATTGCAGATGAAAATTTTAATGTTAAACAATCTATTTCTATTTTTGATGATAAAAAGAAGCCAGTCACTAACTTAAATGAACTGGAATATGTTAATGGAACCTTATTTGCCAATATCTATTTAACATCGAAAATTGTTGCCATAGATTTAGAAAATAAGAAAGTCATTGCAACATATGATTTCCAAGGATTGGTTAAAGATGCTAATAGGAAAAAAAGAGATGAATGTTTGAATGGCATAGCATACAATGAATATACTGATTCATTTTGGATAACTGGAAAAAATTGGGGATTTATTTAAGAGGTTAAATTACAATGAACTTTATATTTTACATATGTAGATTTAAATATGCACAAACATTGAATTTCTAACTATAAATATTAAATAAAGCAAAGGATGTCATTCTCCCTTAAATATATAATTAGTCTTCATATATCATAACTTAAGTTGTTAAAGGCTAAAGTATATTAAAATTCTAGTTGCAGATAGTGAATTAAAATCCAAGAAGTAGATTCAAATATTTTATCATGGAGAGTATATTTGTAAATATATCCCTATAGACTTTCGAATTCTTTTAAATGAGAAGTTTTAATGAAAGGTGGTTGATTGAGTAAAGCAGAAAGGTTTGTGATAATAAAATATAAATTAAAAATTAAAATAATGGGAAACGCTGTTTTATGTTAGGAACCAAAGAAAAAGCCTACAAGAGGCAAATAAAGCGATAGGACTCCAAAGAAGGTTGAAATAAGTGAAAGTGCTCCTTAATCTCAAAGAATTTAACAGCAATAATAAGTGAAAACTCCAAAAACTTAATAAGTTGATAGTTATAATTGTCAAGTTCATTCTGATGAACCAATAAAAGCTGTTTGTATGTGTGATGATTGCTAACACAATAATAAAATTTTATGTGTAGAATGCTTGATAGATTATCCTTGTAGCAAGAAACTCCGAATTTCAGATTATCTCAGACATTTACGAAGTTGTTTATCAAAGGATGCATAGGAGGCATTTATGGAATTGTTCGACGAGAAGAATCAGGTTAAGTCTGATTTGAACAGGCAAATTACGGCTGTAATTGATATGGTGTTGACTAAATTGTCATCTATTGGGTAACAATACGTCCCAATTTTAATTACCAATTATTATTGGGCATCTTAGAAACTGCCATTGAAATTGAAAGAGTCTACGATACATTAGCTTGAGCTGATTTTAGAGAGTATATTAACAATTATAATATGACTATTTTAGATAAGGCAAATGAGGCTCATTCAGAAACTCTAGATTTTGCAATCTATTTAATTCAGAACAGAGGAGTAGTAGAGACAATGTGCGAATAAATAGAGAGGAAGAAAAATAAAATAACAGAATTTTCAAATGACTTTGTATTTAAGTTTAATTAAGTAGTAAACAAATATTTGACAGCAGTAGAAGTATTTGATTAAATCTTATTATAGTTTTTATTTCATCTATTGACCACACCCATGGAGTATCTATTAGACGACGATTAGAAGCCCTAATTAATGAATAAGAGAGTTGCACAGAATAAGGATTAATCAAATATACAAAGTAGAATTAAATAGAATGAAGATAAATCAAATATCACTTCTCCCAAAGAGTCTTAACAGATTAATAATTAATAAAACTAATAATAGCAACAGAAAATAAACTTCAAGTGTTTGGCACATAATTAAGAAGTAAAGTTAAAATAAAATTAGATAGGTGTTAGCCATTTGTGTGAAAATGGATTGTCAACACAAGGATAGAAAAATGTGTGCTGATTGTTTAATAGATACAAAATGTGTGGACAGAATGAAGATGAGTGAGTTTAGTGCTAGACTAAGTAGAATTTTGAATAAGGAAATCATTGAACAATTGGCTATTCCTTGGGATGACTTAAGTATCCACAAAGGAATTGAAAAGCTATTTAGTACAGCTGGAGATAATATTAGAAATATATTAACAGAATAGCTTGCTAACGTTAAAGACATGTTCGTTAAATATCATCTAATAGAAGAATCTACTCCTAAAGAGTTGAGAGGATAGTTTACAAAGGAGTACTTTGATCAATTTATACATATGATGACTGTATAGTATATTATTTAAATTACCTTTTTAGAAAAATAGCATCAAATAACCCTGCTGTCATTTTAGGAATCAAATTTATTAACAATAAATAATTAATAGACAATATGTTAAGTGCCATCGTCAAGACTGAACAAGTGTTACCCAAAAAGGCTGACAAATTACAACACAAACTAGTCAGTATTAGTTAATTGTTTTTGGAGAAGATCCAAAATCTGATGGATCTTTATAAATAACATGGTGAGATAGAAGCTATTTAAAAATAATATCAACTATTGAATAATGAGCCATTTTGTTTAGAAGAAAGCATATATAAAATTAAATAGGATGGTAAGAGTTTGAGTGAATGGGAACCCTTTCACTTTTTCAAACCATCTGATAAAAATATCATTGATGTGTGTTTTGTTAATGAAAACTTAGCAGCCATAGCAATTATTGATGGAACCATTATTATATACAATGTAAATTTAAAAAAACCTACTCAAGTCTTAAAACATGGGATATTTGTTTTCTCCTTGAGAGCCTTCTAATTTAATGGATAATCGGTATTACTTTCTAGTGGATATTCACCATAAACAGGTAATTCATTATGTAGTTGGGATTTAAAAAGCTTGAAGCCAACATTTGTAGTATAATAGGCTCATAACAACTCGATTAGAAAAATAAAATATTTGCATATCAATCCTCAATTCTCACAAAACTTCTTTAGTAACAATAACACAACTGTAGCTTAATTAAGCAGTCAAGTATCTTAGACTGGAAGCATGAATAGCATATTCCTAGATATTGATGAGTAAATACTGTCCTGTTCTGATGATGGAATTATTAAGTTGTGGAAGATAGACACTAATTTAAAGCTAGTTGAAGAACAAATACTAAAATAAGGACAATAAGTCTTGGATTTCACTTTATTAAATGGATGTATTCTAGTCTCTGCAAATAATGATAAAACTGTATCAATATCATTACCATTTTCCAATATTAATCCATTCCAATACATCAATGATGACTGTCTTGTCTATGCTGTTTCCCCAATCGACTAACTAATTTCAAAAAAGAAATAGACAGTCTAATAAAAGTTTATTACTGGCAATGAGAAGGGCATTGCTAAAATATTCTAATGGTAAAATGGAAGAGCTGTAATTATGAAATAACTGAACTTACATGAAGATAAAATTACTAAAATTTCTATGTATGGCTTCATAATACATTAGGTTATAACCAGGATTTATAGCAAGCGTAAGCAACGATAAATCAATCAGTTTAACTTTAATACAATAGGCTAAAGTACTTACCAAAATAGAAAAACATGAACATGGAATTGTCTCGTTTGCTTACCTCAAAGCTAATGGATTTATGATAACAGCTGATCAAGGAGGAAATGCTATACTTTGGAGATGAATATTAATTATTAAAATATATAAATTGTTCTACTAAAACTTTGAGAAATAATAAATCATAATAACCAACAATTATTTCATTTCCTGCTCAAATAATATTGCAACATATTTACTTTGTTTTTAACTTTATACTTTTAATATTTATATCAAAACTATTCTAAATTAAGAATTACTCATTTTTCTTTTATTATTCTAAAATAATAAGACAATTTGTTGGTTTCCCTTTATTTTTATTATTGTTTTTGCTAAATTTAATAAAAAATTATTTGTTTAATAACTTATATGAGTGACTAATTAAATTTTAATCTTAAACTTTTTAGAGAAAGGATAACTGATAAATACTAAAGAAACTCTTCAAATACAAAGATAGGACAAAGCAATTAATTGAGTAGTCAAAGAAATTCATACAAACTCAAGTAATTTTTAATTTAATTGTAGAGCTCCAACTCTTGATTCGTTTACCAGCAGATGGTAAAATGGCAGTGTCCATCAGTTCAAACCAGATTCCCGTGTTTGTTCTCCAAAACACTTATAATCTCCTGAAACTTATAATGGAATGCAATAGAAGTTAAAATAAAATTTATTTAAGAATTAAAACTATAACCACTTCTCCTTAGAGATTTGATAATAATCATTTTGGGCATCCCTTACGAAGTCCTTAATCTTCACTTAAACCATTTTAAGCAGCTTATCAATCACCAAGAGCATAAACTGATAGATATGAATTTTAGGAATTAAAAAGATATAACTCAAATAATGATATTACTGAAATGGTACCTTTCTATGATTTAGTTAATATAAGGAACAAATTAGAAAATTGTGATATAAAGTCTGCACATATATCACCTACTTATCTCAATGAAATAGTGAAATTAGCACAAGCAATCAATACGCAATTATAGAAAAAATGATAATGTTAAATATATTTTAAAATAATATTATTAAATACTTAATTAAAGAAAGTATGGATTGAATTTTGTAGCCATCCAAATTGAAATTTTTGTTGAATTGCTAATTAATTTGTAATTGTTAAAGTTATTTTTATAAATATTGATATAGGAATGTTTAATAACAGTAAAATGAGTTGATGTTATGAGAATTATAACTTATATCAATCAAGAAATCAAGTTTTATTTATTGATGGGGTATTAAATCAATTATTTTAAAAATCCTAAATTTTTTTCTTTTATTGACAAAAATAAAAGAACTTGTGATTGAAAAAGAAAATCCAAGTTATACAATTATAGCTATTCACTTAAGATTCCAAAGCCCTTTGATTTTTGTAAAGCAAAAATTATGATAATTTATTAATAACTTTGCTGACATAATCAAATTTTATTTTTATTCACATATAGGTATCACTAAATTCCTAAGACACCCTTTGCCACTATGTTTATAGGCTTTTTTCTCTTCCTTTGAATGATGTCTATTGCCTGCGATATGATGTTACAGCCTTTCGTTTTCCTTTCTCATTGTTGGGAATTACTCTTACATTAATCATCTAGTAATTCTTAATCTTAAATTCAAAAGGATTATAAAACTTGGATTCCAAGGTTTAAATATTTTTATTTTTTGGGGTTCTCTTTTTTAACATAAAATCTAATTGCTGAATCAATGGATCAAACCTAATCTATCTTGAGATTTCATCTTCACTTGTATATTGTGATAAGGAAAACGACTTGAAATTTTATCTTCTAGCAGTTAAAGAACTACTTCTGATTTAAGATTGAATTTATGATTGACAAAAAGTTTACATTAAACTTAAATTATAAAATTTATTAGACTTATTTGTTACTAAATTGTCAGTGCTAACTTAATGTTCTTGTTTTAAATATAATTTAAGCATAACTTACATAATTTTAACTTAACATAATACGACACGTAAAATTAAATTTTTAAAATAATGCTAAATTCACAAAATTCACTTAACTAATTATATTATATAGATAGAATATTTATTTATTTGATGTTTTTTGATACTAAACATTTATATCTAAATGAGGGAATCTTGTAAACGCGACTTCCACTATAGAAAATATTATAAACCTTTTGGAAAAATGATTAGCCTGAAGCATCCAAGTTATTATTTCTTCATTAATAAAGATTTTAAAGCTAATGTTATATTAACTTTTATAATAAAATGCTTGAAAAATATTGAAACTTTGCATCTATTTAAAAAGCTCCAGAGTACATATGATATTTATTAAAAGGAACTTTAGATCTCTAATAAATAAATAAAAGCTAAGAATACAATTTAGAACCTTTTCAATTCCCATACTTTATCTATCTATTGTCTTAGCTTTCTTTGCTTTCTTGTTTATTTATTCAGTATGAGGAAAAAAAATTAAATCATTAGCTATTTTTCCTTTTATCCTTTTTAATTATAAAAAAAGTATAGTTACCTCTCAACTCATAGAATTACATAAATTGCATAGAGAAGCTAATCAAATAATTTATTAAAATTATAGAAATTTATTAGTAATAAAAACTACTATATGAATAATTTCAAAAGGTTAGGCAAATAATATAGTAATTTTGTATAAATCAATGTCAAATAATGTTTATTAATTGTAAATGTCAATTCGATTATTATTAACCTGATCACACTAACATGAATATTTTTGTATTTTAGAAACCATTTATATCTTAAATGCTTTATTTAATAACTACCTAGAAAATTCTTTAATGATTTTATATGACAATGTTTTATTGAATAATTTTTGAAATATAATTAAATATATATCAAAAATAAATCCATTTATTTTTAATTGTAATTAAGAATTAATTTCATAAATAAAAATTAATAATAACTATCTGTTAATGAACATAAACTATTGCAGTCCTAATTTCTAATTCGAGAATCGAACTCCTCTCAAAGATTACACTTCTAATGTTGACAATATTAAATAAGCCAAAAATAGGATAGCTGAACTACAACATATTATTCATGAGTTAAACAAATCCAATGGAAAAAAGTCTGTTTCTCCCTTAGCAAAAAGTCCCGTTAAGGTTAATGTTCCTATCGAGTACCATGGTACTTCCAAAAAGTAAAGTCCAAGATTTTAGACTCCAGAAACAAAATAAAGAGAAATGAGAATTGTAAGTGAAAATGTCAAAATGCAAACTGAAAACATTCTTGAACAAGGAATCTTGCAAGGAGTGTTGCCTGAACATTTACTTGAAAAATCAATTGAAAATTACACTTTATCAAAAGTACTTGGATTAGGCTCCTATGCTATTGTAAGATTAGCATAAAAAGGATCATTATTTTGTGCTATTAAAACTTATGAGAAGGCTAAAATTAATGATTAGCAAAAACGTAAAAATGTATGTAGAGAGGTGAAGATTTTATCAAAATTAAGACATCCCAATATTATTAAATTGGTCGGAGCTTGTGAAACTTAAGTATAATTACATGTCATTATGGAATATTATAGTGCAACTTCATTAAATTCCTTCATCAAATAACAACCGCAGAAGAAGCTTGATGAAAATGAAGCTAAATACATTTTCATTCAAATAGTAGATGCCTTAAGATACTGTCATCACAAGAGTGTTGTTCATAGAGATCTAAAATTAGAGAATATTCTTATTGATCCATTGAATAACCAAATTAAAATTATTGATTTTGGGTAAAATAATACTTATTCTTACAATAGATTTTCAATAGCTATTGATCCTTCAAGTAGACTTAACATATTTTGTGGAACTCCATCATATATGGCACCAGAAATAGTTAATAAGCAAACCTATAGTTTTCCTGCTGATGTTTGGGCTTTGGGCATATTACTTTTCAAAATGACAACAGGACAGTTCCCATTTAAAGGTAATGATGACAAGGATTTATATAAATCTATCAATAGCGGAAAAATCGAATTTCCTTAAACTATGTCATTCCAATTAAAAAATTTAATCAAGAAAATCTTGAATACTAGCTAGAATGAACGACCCTCACTCAAAGACGTGGCTTTAGATGAATGGCTTTAATGATTTAAATATTACTTATTATTATTTAATATATTATATTTCATTTTCATAAAAAATTAGAATTTATAAAATTTGAAAAAACACTTATTTTCAATATTTCTGCTAGAATGCTATATAAATTAAGATTAAAATAGATACATCTACTCGAGTCAATGTGAATATTGAAGTTCTTCTGAATAACAGAGATACAATCTAATATTTGTTTCTATAAATTCAAATATAATTCTACTTTCTTTATTTACCTCAAAAATCGATTACTTTATGATGAAGTTGATATAAGATCGGGTTAATTTGAGCACACATTCCCTTATAGGTTCATTTTAACACAAATGCATTGATTTTATATTATTATCTAGATAATTTCTAGATTAAATAAAATTATAGTATCATGCTATTTTTTGAGGAACTATTAATGATTCCATTTCCACAAGAAGGCTAAAATAGATTTCCCAATTTAATTCATCATTTTTTATTCAACATTATTTTAAGAACCTATTAGTTCTACGGTTTTTTGGCATCTATTAAAATAAAATACATTAGCTAAATTAACAATATTTTTATTTACATCAAATAATATTTTATGGGAAAGGTTCACAAACAAAAAGGATATAGATTTGAAAATGGAATTTCCAAAAAAGGGTTTGTTGAATTCAGAAAAATGCTTGGAATGCCATAATTTGAAATGGCGCATGAAAATAATAATCTAATGAAAATGTAAACATTACAGATAAATATTGACAATGATGATAAGTGGCTTAATACATATGTAATTTTATTAACTTATTTAATTAGAAACCAACACCTGAAGTTAAATTGTAAAAATATCTCATACATTGTAAGAATAGTGATCAATCGATTATTTCTTCTTTAAATAAGGTTGATCGTTTTCTTAATCAATAAGGGAGACATAAAACGATTGGATAAGGCAAGGATGAAGAGATACAAAAAAAATAAAATAGTTTAAGTACTGAAGTTTAGTATTCCAATAAAATTGCTTGAATTGATTATTAGTAATATTTATATTTGTATCTAAACAATAGTTAAACCTTATTATTATAAGTTTGCCCTATTGCTTTCAGATTTACTTCCAGTTTAAAAATTGGTAATCTCTAGTAAAATATAACATTCTATTATATTTTTAGGGTAGTTCAAATGATTCTAATTTAAGAATTAATATTCCAAACAAAAATAAATGTATAGCCCTACCCAACTTAAAGTTTGATTTATTGATATACATCATCAATACAAAAATAGATATTAAATAGAAAAAGATTGCCTTTGACATTTTTAGACCTTCAAGAGAAAAATAATGTTCTCTTTTCTATCAATTAGAGTAGTCTATTTTTAAAACATGAATGTTATGTATAAATATTTGATTTGAATCAAAATCTTAAGAATTTAATTAAAAATATTAGTACATTTTTTTTCCTAAAATTAGTATCATTATTATCAATATCAAATTACAGAATAAAATTAACACAGATATCTATTGTTCAAGACCGATTGATCATAAATATGAATGATGAGTTAAACATTGGAGCTGTAATCAAAAAAATTGCTTATTAATTGTAATTTATATAGCGTGTACTTTTATATTATATTAGATGTTGTTGCTTTATTATAATTATTTCTTCTTTTTTATATCTTTAAGGTAAAATTTTTTATCTTATTTCAAAGGTTTAGCATATAATCATTTCTTTAAATAGAAAAAGTTATTAAGAATTTAATAAAATGAAACAATTAATGCTTAATATGGTGAAAACCTATAAGCAAATGAACAAACCGGATGATAAACAAAATATTAAAAACTATGGGAGCATCTAATACCCAGAATGCACTTTAGGAGGAAATCATAGTGGAGAAATATTGAGTTTAATTTGTTTAGAGAAAGAGTGTTAATAAAACCAAATATTATGTTGTTGCATATGTTAAGAAGAATTTCATAAGGGTCATTAACTGAAACCACTCAAGTTATTGTTATGCGAGTATGATTAAAAACAAAAGTAATGCAATTTCAAAATATTTAGAGAATTTCAAAGTGGAACTTTAAAATAAAGTGAAAAAGATCTTCTGGTAAAAAAGATTAATGAAAAAGAAATTATATCTTTAGAATAAACTCGGGACCTATAATAGTAAATTGTTTAAAAATTGAATAAAATTCAGGATCATTAAAAATAATTTTTTGAAAATCTGAGGAAACTGGTAAAATTAAGAGAAATAGACAATGGAAATACATGTAAATTAATAAAATGATATTTTGAAGCTTTGGTCATTGAAAATATTCTCAATAATTAATAAAATAGTTAATTATTTGGAAAATTTGTAAAAGAGTTATTAGATGCATTGATAATTTAAGAATTACCTGATTAAGATCTAGGTTATGAGGAATTAAATAAAGCATTTGATTTTCATATTAAAGATTAAAGTGATCGCATAAAACAACTGGAGAAATAAATGTTCATTGGAGTTCATTAATAGATAGAATTTTTAATGTAGAAGACATCAAAAAATCTTATCTAAACGTCCTGTAATTTTGAATTCTTACACAACAATAAACACCCTTAGGTAGAAATAGTTGAACCCTAAATTGTAAAAGGTATAATTTATATGGTCAATATACAAGCAAGTTAATCTACTCATGGATACAAATTTGCAGTTATGAATCCCAGTTTGGATAAAAACTAGGTTACAGTCTTTGGATTCAAATTGAATGTATTAATGCCTTAAATATTAGAATGTTCATTCAAGTAATTGGTTAGCTGTTGGTGCTTGTCATTTATCAGTAGTGTAGAGTAAACAATTTGGATTCGCATTTCAATCACTTGGACATGGGGGATATTTAGTGTCATCAAATGGGGGTGCTTGGTCAAGTACAACTGCAAATCAAAATAATGTTGTTAAGTGTTTCAAGTTTGGTAAAGGTGATTTGATAGTCATAACTTATGATCCTAAGAATGATACAATGACTTTTACAAAATAGAAAGTAATTCATTTATTTAGTTAGTTAGACTAAAACAACATTTAAATTGGATGTGCCAAAATCTGATAATAATCTACATCCTTGTGTTCTGTTTTATTATGCCTTAGACGAAGTTGAATTTATATCATCTGAAGGAATAAATCAATTGCTTTCATCTGATGCAATAGTTGAATTATGAGTATTGTTTAGATTTTATTATTTATATTTAAAATTATGGATAATCTTTACGCAGAAGAAATAAGGTAGCGATATCATTCTTCCATGACTTACTAAGAATACTTGGACACTTATGATAAAGCTCCACCTAAACCTTAAATTAGGTATTCTGCTGATTAATTAATATTTTAAGACCCAAAGAAACTCCTTAATTACTCGAACCATTAATCTTAGAAGGACACAGAGGTCCTAAAATATAATAATAAAAATTGACTGTCTACTCTCCTGACGATGTCATTTTTGAAGAATCCGAAACCGATGAGAAACCTAAGGCACTCACTCATGTTTCATGTTAGAGAGCATTAAAAGAACATGTATATAAATAATAATCTTAAGAATGTTAGAATTAGAAGTTAGAGCGAGAATCTAGGATTTTCAGTATTTCGATTTTTGCAATAAAAGAAAAATAAATTCCCATGATTCATGAATTTTTATACATTGATTTCTTTCAACACTTCTCTAAAATTGATTGCCTACTAACAAAATTATTTTTTAGCATTCTCAATAATTGATTACTTTAGATTTCCTGATATTTTAGAGAATCTTTGGAGCATATAAATAAATCAGAATAAAAATTAAATGAAGCTCCTTTAAGCATCTTACATTCAATTTTCCGTTTAGTAAATATATATTCATAAAATTTTACATTAAATTCATTCGATGTTTTCTTAAATAGAATCATAACATTGAAGTTAAAAGTATCAAGAGACACTGTTAATTTTATTTTGATATTTAAAATTAAAATTGACAATTTAATCTAAAATTTTAAATATATCCTTTTATTATTTAAATTTTAAATAGAGATTCCTTTATTGTTATTTAAAATCAATTCAATCTCCTTCATTCTCTGAGTCTTCTCCTAGGACTCTCTCAAGTTCTGACTTAACTTTCTTTAATTAATGATTCTAAGGAATGAAGGAATTTACTCTTGCAATCTTTTTCTCTTTTTCTTTTTCATTCTTCTCCAGTTTCTAAGTTATCAATTCATTATTATTTATTAATTAAACCATGATGTTTATCAATGTTATAGTTAAACCACTGCATGAGTAAAATATTTTGCTAATTTTTTTATTTAATCCAAACAATTTTAATCTTCTTAATAACATTACAATTCTAAGCGATGTTACTATAAAATTAAGCTGTTTTATTCTTCTTTTCTATCTACTATTAATTAAACTGTTAGCACATTATACTGCGATTGTATCTTCTTAAATCAATTTATCTGGTATCTCCTATATCTCATTGACTAACTCCATTTCCTTATCATAAATGATCTTATAATCAAAGAATGATTTTAGTAATTTTAGCAGAGCCTTTGCTAGTGAAAAAGAGTCCTTATATCCTTTTATGGTTGATTTTGCTTTCAAAGATACGATTTCACTATATAGTTAACTACATTTCTTACTTTAGAACACCAATATTAATACCCCAAATGATGTGATCCATTATATAATAGAAGAAATTACATATATGCATAATAGAGGTGGTGATTTTATAATACTTTGGTTTATTTTTAGAATGAATGTTGCTTAAGCATCTGATTGAATCAAAAAACTTTAGAAACTTAAATATCTTTCTTCCGTTTTTCATTGACTCTCGAATACGAGATGCTATTTTTTTAGAAAACATATCAGATGATGCTGCTTGAATTTCAGGAATATTCGAAAATTTAATACAAGCTTCGTATAAATCTGCTAAATACTAAATCAAACAACAAATCTTATCTCTCCCTTTTGTAGTTTGCATAAATAAGGAAACTATTGAAACCTTATCTAATTAGTTATAAGATCACTACTTTTCTTGCAACATACTATCCAGCCTCAATTGTACTGTTTGCTCTGTGCTAAATTGCCACATTGAAATAATCAGCTAAATCCTTAACAGAAGCAATGCTTCTTTTCATATAATTAATAATTTAATATAATTATTTTTAATTCTAATTGTATACTATTTTTTCCAATTTTTAGTACTCCCATTAATTAATAATTATTATTATATAAATCTATTAAATATAAATTCCCTTTCTAGTATAAACTTAGCTTATTTATAAAATATGATTAGATATATTTTGATAAAATGAAGTATAACACAATTTTAAAATAGTATGTTAAACTAAAGGATAGAAGATGAATCTACTTGTAATTCTTAAGAGGTCTAGTGCTATTATATCAAAACTTGATTCTAAACTTTGAGTATGTAGTAATTCTCCTCCTCATGTAATTAATAATTATAAACATAGGTAGCGTAATTTTACAAATAAAATAAATTGATAAATGCACTAATTGGGAAAATCTGAGAAGTCCATCAGTTTTAAAGATTATTCGATTTTAAAAAAAGTGCAATCTTTCTCTAGACATGATGATGCAGAGAAAGAAAAAATTTAGATGATGAAACAGAAAAGTTTAGATTTAACTACTAGAAGAAGTAGCTCAAATTTAACCTAGGATTTTGCCATTGAATCAATATTAATTCATAGAATCACAAATATTCAAAGGTATTTTTAATATTTATACATTAAGTCCAAGTCAATACATAGGAATGAATTTATTACAATAAAAGATCTGGGAGAGGATATAGAAGTTTTCATAAAAATATATTGTATTAAATTTATATCAATGTTTTAGGATGATTAAAGTAATTTAATCATAATTGTATTGAAACCAGATTAAGAATTTGAGTTTATGTATAACATATCCAATTTATCATGTTTTTCCAAAATTAAACAATTAACCAATAGTTTAACTAATCACTTTTATTAACTTACTTAGATTTGTAAATTACTAATCATTAACTTATAGAATTATAAGACCCATATTTATCAATGTTAATAGGAAAGATTAAAACATAAAAATTAGACAATGAAATGAGGTTATTTGAGTTGTTAAATATTATAATGAATGGCAAAAGAATGCTGGTCTTGTAAAGCCAAATTTATAGTTAAGGGTGAAAAATTATTCTAAGTTAGTTTACTTTATATTTAAATTAATGAGGTTTAATATATAAAGTCTTAAATTACAAAAATCAGCATTCTTCATCATCAGTTTCCTAATTAGAATCGCAACTCAATGTTTCATTTTCCCAAGGATCAACCTTCTTTTGTATGACTTAAGTAGGTTAAAATCTAGTTTGAACGGTCATTACAAGAGAATTTTGTTCATAAAGATAATCATCTTCAAGATTAAAGTATTTCTCGAATTCACTCTCTATTTATTCTATTTGTTTTGGAGTTTGATCATCAAATTAAAAATCCTCTTAATTTAAATGTTCAATTGTATGTTATTTTAAATTTTAGTTCTATTTAATGAGTTACCTCAAGTAACCCATTTTATAATTATATAAGTATTCAATAGGTTAAATCTTTTTTGCTTTTCTAATTATTTAATAATTCTATACTTAATTAATTAGTGATAGTCTTCCAATGTTTTTTTAGGAATTCCCACTTCCTCTGCAGCTTATTGTAAGGTAAGCTTTTTTAGATTTCCCTGGCTATCGCACTTGCCATTTTTAAATAAATATCTCCATTCCTTCACTTTTTCTGCAGCCATCTAAACCGAACGTTCTTTTACTCTTTTACAACCGCTGGGTGTATCACTTTGTTTCATTTAATAATTTATAAATTTATATTTATTATTACATTCTAAAGAAAGACATAGGTTAAATAGGATTAAATAGCATATCGAACAAATTCTATTAGAAAATATTTTGAATTTCTTAATATATGTTCATCGTGTGATATATTTTATCCTTGAAAGTATATTTTTTTAGGTTTTAATTATTAATATAATTCAGCCATTGGTTAATAAGTTCAATATGGAATATAACTTTAATTTCATTATATAATTATAACAAAATTTTCTAAATACTAATTTATTGAATAACATATAATACAGATGTTATTAAGTAAAATAAATTTTAATGAAAAATGTATCTATTCATCCATTATTAAGGAGAGACATAAGAAATATTGAAGATGCAAATAATTTCTATTTACAAAATTTACATATTTATAGTAAACATCATTTTTCAACATTTTTATCATCTTCTGATCTTAAATATTCACCTAAATCTGCTTAATTAAAAACCACAACGGCAGTGGGATCTAAATCTTTACATTATAATGTTGATCTTGATGCAACTCCAAAACCTAAAGGATTTTCTTATAATGAGAACAAGATGACGTTTGCATACTAAGGTATATTTTCAGACATTTTAGCTAAATGAGCTATAAGAATATTATTATTATTTACCCTTAATCACATGGTTTCCGTAAAGGTAAGATTGTTCCCCACTTGGTTTTAACCAAACTTTATGTTTAGCATATTTGGCCAAAATCTCTAAACATGTGATGTTTAATCTAAATTTTTTAGTTTTTGTGAATTTTCCAAAATAAGTGCCAACACTTAAATAATTTTAATGTAATACTGTAATAATTCGTCTTTTCCGACATTGGTTGCCCAATTTGCAATTTACAATGACATATAATATACTTTATTCTTGATCAACCTGAAAACATGAGGATCATCTTCATTTTCAATAAGCAGTTTAATATTTGCTCCAATATATTCTCCCAATTTTTCAAAAAATATTTTAGTCTCTTCCTCATTTAATTACCTCATAATAAATAATTTAATAAATTAATTTTACGAATAAATGAATAAATATTTAGATTATCTGCAATTTAAATCAAATATTTGAAAAAGAGAGAATAATATCAATATTTATTCATTTAAAGTAAGTTTATAGGCAGATTTATAATTATATAATAATAAATGATATCATTTATTTAAAGATTTCATATTTTAAATTCTTTAAACAGTTTATCCAATTCATAGAAATGTCTCTGTATCAAATTCAAGGATTATCTATATCTGCCCATATACAATTATTAGTTTAAAGAGTCGTATTAGATACACTTCTCAACGCATTTTTGATCCTAATCAAGATGTTCATAAAAATATTCTAATTAAATATAAGATCATTATTATTACATTTATATTGATTTTGAATATTCACTAATTAGTTGTTCTCATTATTACTCATTGGCATAATGTTCTTGATTTCTTTAGTTATATCTTCAATCTATAATTTAGCACTCAAATAATCTTTTTCCAATCCCTTCTAGGAATTTCTTACTATTTCTAATTTCTTCATAATATTTGAGTATTAATTCCCCTTCTCCTTCTTCTACCTTTCAATTCCATGAATTTCTCTGTCTAATTCATCCTAATATTTCAATTACGATTCTAATTTATTCGAAATCCTGGAGTGTTGAAGTTGAAGTTCTTCTAAAGTGTTTCTTCTTAATTCTGGAGAGAAGTTCAAACCATTGAAATAGACTTCTGTAGGATTCTTGTATTATTTAATGTTTTAATCTAACACATTTACAAGATCATATAATTATTCGTTATGTATTTCTACTGATTTTGTACAGGCTGGTTTAAATAATTCTCTTAGTTTTTTGGCTTGATTTTGATCCTTCTTATAATATTCACTTAAGTCTTCATCCTGTTCAAGAGATTTTTGATATATTATTTTATCATTTAAATCTTTCAGTTCTTTATTAGATTAATCGATCATGTAATTCAATTTATTTAAATTGGATATTTTCTTATTTAATAAGATTTATTCTTGATCGTTTACTTCGTATTCTATAATCAAGGATTTTAGTGTTCTTTCCTCATTTTAATAATTTTCTAATTAATTTTTCTTCTCCAAATAAAGTTCATGCAATTAATTTCTTGTACTCAACAAATTGTTCATGTAATCTACTATTAAAGAATCATTATTAGTGGTTGAATTAAATTTATTAAGGAAAATTATGAGATCCTAATTTAATGACAACTAGAGACATTAATCTACTTAAATCTAATATTCATCATGTTAATTAATCAGTTTATCTAATTTTAAACGTTGGAAATAATCCAATGCTAAATTTAGTTGAGCTAATTCAGATTGGATTGGTAACCAATTTTGAACGGTCTCTATACCGAATTAATCAGTGTCATTGAAGACAATGTCATTCTCTAAGTAGTATTTAACTTCTAATTCAGTCACTTCAACTTCAAATATTTCGAAAGTAGTATTATCTATTTTATTTTATGGGGGAATGAAAGCAATAATGACACAAATCAGCAGAAATAGAATCAGACAGTTTGTCTTGTTAACTAAAGTGTCGGTTCTTTCCATTTTTAAATTTAATAAAATATTCTGTTGTTTAATGAATTTAAGAGAGGGCAACAAAGCATTTTAAAATTTGGATTAATCCGTTAATCAAATTTATAATTTATTTAAAAATAAATAGAATTTTCATGCAAATTAATTTCTCATAAAAATCTGTTTATGTATGCAGTTGTAACATAGTCACAAAACAATCTCGCTTAATTGGATATCTAAGTTAAACTTATCAAGGGGTCTTTGAACCTATACTTATCAATTTATTTGTTTGTTAAAGATAACTAAATTATAGCATGAGTTTTGTTTTTGTGAACTATAGGATAAATGAAAATAGGTGCAATTGAATACATATCAATTATTTCATTATAATTGAGTTCTTTTGAGATATTTGCAAAATAAGCTGGCGATTAACTGATAGCCACCTATCCACATACTCCAGCAATGTTTTCTAACTTTTTAATATTTTGGTTAGAGTATTTCCATAAGCTATTATCTTCAACAAAGACTATTTCACTTGTTGATAATTGCAAGATCTTATTTTGGATTACTTTCACCAACTCACAAAAATGAAATTTATCATTTGCCTTCATTAACTTTAAAAACTCAGTTTGCAAAATATCTATTTATTTTAATAAGAATTTTTAATGAATCTCTTCGTCTATTTTTTAGATTGTCAATTTAACAAATAAACCTAGGATGGATGCAAAATATTATATGTCACTGTAATTATTACTATGAGTAGGATGACTAAACTCTATTACACCAGCTGGCAGTGCTTAATCAGTAATTACAGGAAAGATATATGTATTATCTTAGAACACATCTTCTCCTTTATCACTTTAATACATCATGTGTTTATGAGCTGTTAATTTATTGACTGATTCTCTGGATTCAAGACTATCTCTAAATGCTCCTTTAGTGCACATGATTTTCCTCTATTTTCCATCACACATGTTGATGAAGAATCCAGTCTAAAAGTCTCTTAGCCATAGATACATATGAGACACTTTAAAAAAACTGGAAAGTGTTGTTATAAAACTATACATTTCATCAAAATTAGTCAATTAAATCAATTAACCTAATTTAATGATAAAATGATTATGTGCCAAACTGAATTCTCTATAATTCACCATGTGATTAAATAACCATGTTAATTACATTTTTTTGCTTTCTTAATTCAATTAATTGATATGCAGAATGAAATCTTCAGTTGAAAATTCCAATGCTGATTAAATAAACTCTATTGATATTTTTAATTAATTACACTTGCATTCCTGATTTTAAAATACATGACGAAATACAAAGTTCTTTGGAATTTCTGTGAATGTTATAACCATCTTCTCTTAATCTATGAATTCTTCTTCATTCTATGCCTTTCCACTTATGTAAAATCGATTATTCAATCTTTGTAATTTTTAATTTAATGCATTATTTGTCATTTAAAGTCTTAACTATAATGATATTTTGATTACTTTTAATAATCCTTCTATTTTTGAATTGCATCTTTTTTTATGTGTTCATTTTCAGACAATGCTTCAATTAAGTTATTTTTCAATTGATCTTTTTGTAAAGTTATATTTGACTCTAAAATAATTTATACTCTTTATTCTGATCTCCTTAATTTCTTCGCTAAATATTTCAATACAGATCTTACAAGTTTCTTCATTTATTTTTTACTCAGCTATAAGCCTTTTATTCAAATTATTAATGTCCATCTCCTGTTGTCTAATCTTCTCTAAGAGTACAGAATGTTCTTTTTGCATTTTTTGTATAAGCGAATTAAATTTAAACAATTGAGCCTTCAAATAGGATTGGTCGTTTTTCAACTTCTCATTTTCCCTTACCAATTAGTTGTACATTATCTCATTATATGAGACCTTTTACAAAGTGCTAACCATGTCTTATAATGACAAACTAATCGATGACAAGTCCTTAGGTGTAAGAGAGGCTGATTGAAGCTATCGAATTTTGCTAGTTAATTATTCATCAAGTCCAACCATGCTGTTAATCCTAGCATGTAGAGTCTAATTTTCATTTATGATATCTCACTTGATTTAATTCATCCACACTTTTTTAGCTTATTCTACGATACTAAGATCTCTCAGTTAAAGGAGGAGCTTCTATTCTTTTTCTAGACATTTAAAGTTCTTTAATTTTATATTTAATATATTACTATTAAAAAAATCACAATTTCCTATTTTTATATCAATTATTCATTATCTCTTAAACTGTAGATACAACTTATATAGTTCTATTGGTAGTATCCCTCTTAGACTTCTAAAATATTAAGAATTTTAAATTTTTAAAAAGAACTTAATTATACACTGTCTGCATAACTATTTAAATTTAACAATACTTACTGTTAAAGATCTCATTTTCGTATACGTCTCATTACAAGAATTGTTTATTTATATAAATTAAAATTGTTAATTTTATTCTATCCATCAAAATCAAGAGGGTTCTTTTAAAATTAAGATTTATGATATGTCTAATAAAAACAGGTATCCTCATTTCAGATTGAAAATCACAATAAAAAACACTCTATTGTGAAGACAACAACAACTGTGCTTTAAATTTTAGCTAAATTTATATATATCTTACAAATATTTATCATTATATTCATATTAAATGTGCAATAATTTTAAGACAAGTATGTTTAATCAAATCCCTTGTCTGTTGTTAAGCAAAAGCATTTTTAATATTTAAATAAATTTGAATATTTATATGATAAAAAGAGTTATTTTAATTGCCTATAATTTTTGATACATTTACTAATTTACTAGAATGAAATAGAAAAAGACATCAAAAATATTTATGACCGATAACTTCAATAGAAATAATTTGAATTACAAAGAATTTAAAACTCAAGTAATCATGTTAGTTTATACTTCATCAAAATATATTAATACAATATAGGATTAACAAGAATAAATAAAATATTTATTATAAATATTGTCGTCTTAGATTACTTCATTAGCTAGACAATCAAAAACAGATTTGATTATTATTCAAAAAAAGTGAAATGAAATGGATGAGTTGAATTTCTAAAATTTAGATGGATCAAAAATGAATATATGAATANTCTTTTTGCATTTTTTGTATAAGCGAATTAAATTTAAACAATTGAGCCTTCAAATAGGATTGGTCGTTTTTCAACTTCTCATTTTCCCTTACCAATTAGTTGTACATTATCTCATTATATGAGACCTTTTACAAAGTGCTAACCATGTCTTATAATGACAAACTAATCGATGACAAGTCCTTAGGTGTAAGAGAGGCTGATTGAAGCTATCGAATTTTGCTAGTTAATTATTCATCAAGTCCAACCATGCTGTTAATCCTAGCATGTAGAGTCTAATTTTCATTTATGATATCTCACTTGATTTAATTCATCCACACTTTTTTAGCTTATTCTACGATACTAAGATCTCTCAGTTAAAGGAGGAGCTTCTATTCTTTTTCTAGACATTTAAAGTTCTTTAATTTTATATTTAATATATTACTATTAAAAAAATCACAATTTCCTATTTTTATATCAATTATTCATTATCTCTTAAACTGTAGATACAACTTATATAGTTCTATTGGTAGTATCCCTCTTAGACTTCTAAAATATTAAGAATTTTAAATTTTTAAAAAGAACTTAATTATACACTGTCTGCATAACTATTTAAATTTAACAATACTTACTGTTAAAGATCTCATTTTCGTATACGTCTCATTACAAGAATTGTTTATTTATATAAATTAAAATTGTTAATTTTATTCTATCCATCAAAATCAAGAGGGTTCTTTTAAAATTAAGATTTATGATATGTCTAATAAAAACAGGTATCCTCATTTCAGATTGAAAATCACAATAAAAAACACTCTATTGTGAAGACAACAACAACTGTGCTTTAAATTTTAGCTAAATTTATATATATCTTACAAATATTTATCATTATATTCATATTAAATGTGCAATAATTTTAAGACAAGTATGTTTAATCAAATCCCTTGTCTGTTGTTAAGCAAAAGCATTTTTAATATTTAAATAAATTTGAATATTTATATGATAAAAAGAGTTATTTTAATTGCCTATAATTTTTGATACATTTACTAATTTACTAGAATGAAATAGAAAAAGACATCAAAAATATTTATGACCGATAACTTCAATAGAAATAATTTGAATTACAAAGAATTTAAAACTCAAGTAATCATGTTAGTTTATACTTCATCAAAATATATTAATACAATATAGGATTAACAAGAATAAATAAAATATTTATTATAAATATTGTCGTCTTAGATTACTTCATTAGCTAGACAATCAAAAACAGATTTGATTATTATTCAAAAAAAGTGAAATGAAATGGATGAGTTGAATTTCTAAAATTTAGATGGATCAAAAATGAATATATGAATACAGTAGAAGATAAAATTGATTATAATATATATGTACGTCAAACTCAAATAGGTTTTATACTTGAATAATTTTATTATCATAATATTACATTAAATCCGTTTTATTGAATGGAGAAGTCTGAAAGACGATCATTAGGAGGGACAGTCACAACATTGAGATCATCTAGAGGTGCTGTATTAGTGAACTAAGATGGATCATATGCATATGGTTCAAGAAATGTTTATTTTAGTTTGTCCGATGAAAAATGAATCAATGGTATAAAGTGAAAAGGTAATTCAAGAGCCATAATAAATAATGTTGCCAGTATTTGGAGATGATGAACTGGCTTTTTATATCAACCCATAAGACTTGCCAGATTTGGTTGATGAGGTTTTGGACACATATTTAACACATTCAAGAGTTTTTCTGGTTTTTATGTGCGTTTAGATGGTGGTGGAAATCATCTTTGATTCAATGGTTTGGATTAATTAGGACAGAATCGAAAAACTAGTAAGTTTATCAGAATTTACATAAGCTAGCTCTAATTTACAACAAGGTGCCTATAGCTGACATCCATCAAATGATAATTTTATGCTCTTGCATTAACATTCTATTTTAATGCATCTATTATGCATCTGGAATTACTGGTGCATGGCGTAAGTCTTATAAGACACTTAATGTTTTTGGAAATTTATCAATTTTAGGAATGTTTTTACAAATATTTCTGTCTTACACTTATCAGTAATTTTACATATTGAAAATAGATTCAATATATTGATATTTGCATTCAGAGTGTTGTCGTGTATTTATGCAAAGTTCCTGAGTCACTTGATCCTCAGTTTGATCTTGTTACCTCATTGAAATTTATTATTAATATCATATGCGCTAATAATAAGAACTATTTAAATTTATAAATATGCTCATCGACTTAAATAGCAAATTGATATCTAAAAGAAGTAAGTCCATTGAGAAAATATGTCACTGATATTATCGGGAATAAAAATTAATATATTTGATACAATGAGATGAGATGCATTTTCATAAAGAGATATTTTAAGTTAGATTATTGTTCTTTACTTATTTTCCTTAATAAAGTGATTGATCTTACTTAAATCAATTTTTACCATAGTATAGATCTATAAAATATAAAATAATTAATTATAAAATTTAATTAAAATAGTAGAATTAAATTTGATATTCAAAAATATAATAGATAGATCATTGAGATTCCTCGAATTATTCCAATCCTGCAAGATGAATGTTCTGATCAACATTTATAGCTTCTACTAATTATAAGATGTTGTTATTATAAATCTCTTTCAAAACTAATTAGCCATCTTCCTAAGGCATTTCAAAAACTTTTGTATTTGGACATTCTTTGTCATCAACAGTAATTTTAAATAAACTAGTATGAATATTTGTAATATTTACTCATCTTCATAGAACACCTCTATGTAATACTATTTATCATTGATTTTTTTATTCTATTTATAAAGCATAACTTTCCTTGATGGTTAATTATTTGGTGTTTAATTAGGCTAAGTAGGTAAATAACCGATAAAACTACTCTCTTTTATGAAGTATTTTAATTACTTGATAGATCAATGCTCTTCTACTTATAGGAACTATGGATTCTAGACCTTTTAAGTGGATATTCAGCTATCTATTAGACCAACTATTATTGTTTTGAGGTTTGCTTCAATATCACTTTAGTATTATAATTGGGTTTTTTGGTTACTAATCTGTTCATTAATCTTTCATTTTCAATTGTGATTCTAACTAACTCTTTCTTCCTTTTTTCTTTATTGAGTGATTATCTCCTATGAACTGATTAAGATTAATTGAAATTTGCAGCAGGTTGATTGCTATTTTACCAATTAGAAGTGGCTCTTTTGCGCTCATTATCTAGTTAGAGATTGGAAAATTACTCATGATATTTTGAATTTTTTCTAGTAAGATACGATTTTCCCTTTCAATTTCAGTAAATCTCTCTTCTTATAATTAGAGTTTCTTATTTTAGTTTTATTATAACCTTTCCATTTAAGTTCTAACTGTTAATTGTTTTTAAGTAATATACTTAAAGGTTGTGCTATCTATAGATTATGTTTATGAATTTATCTTAATCGTTCTTTTTCATAGTTATAACATATTTTATTTCCTTTAATAAGATCTCTATCCATTTAATATTTAGATATAATAAATAAATTATTTTTTCACATTATTTTACAAGAACAACATTTTGCATGTTATTAATCTATGACTTGAAACTGTTCATGTATTCGATATTCTACTTTAATAATAGATTACCTTTCATTTTAGAATTATTATAGAACTCTTTGGAATTATTATCAATACTAAAATATTCAGATTCTTTGAGACTTTGAGTACGTTTTGTAAGAGTGTGAGGTCTCTAAATGTGCTGAAACTCATCGTTTGGTTAATTGATTTGAGCTTTAGTATTGATGGGAGGCCAAAAGGTGGTTAGGTTTGGATGTTAACCTCCATATTTGATTTCGATCTCTTCTGCTGGAATTAATTCCTATATTTTATAGAAATCTGAAGCCTTGAGGAAATTGATTTTGGCAGCAGTTTCAGGATGAATGATTTCTATAATTGAGATTGGAAGTACTTTCGATTAATTTCCATGAGGAATTGAAGAAGAAGGAAGGATTCAAAATAAACATTTTATGCAATGAACTAGTGTAGTTGATTGAAAAGAATTCGTTAATCATATTGAGAGTGGAGAATGGGAAATCAAATAATCCACTGCCACCACTATCCAATATGACTATCCAATTTTCAACATAACCACGAGCATACATAAACTTAGTTACCATATTTCCAATAGCTGTTGCTGCATTTAAAAGAGTGGGCACATGAACTTTGTTTTTCGAAATCATATGCAATTAGATATAAACAACAGGTCTGTATTAGTGATCTCTTCCAAATTAATAAATGTACCCTTATTTCTAAAATTGAATATTTATTAATTTAAACTAAATATTATTCAGCCTCTGGAGACAAGACTTGATAATTTTCATCATGAATCCATTCCAAATGTTTTTGTAACCTTTAAATGCATCTACTTATTTCGAAACCCCCTGAATAACAATATTTAAGAGTCAACTCATGACACCAACTAAAGCTTTAAAATGATATTACTCAGGAGGCAATGTTAATTTATGTTATTGTATACTTGCTGTCAACTCCTTAATTTTTTATTATTCATATTCATCAAATTCTTAATGAAAAAATATTTTTCTAACATGATTCTTTCCCTCTCCATGTTTTACATAGAATGCTATTAGATATCGCATGCAAACTTACGATCATGTTTGATTTAATACACATCAGCTGGAGGTTTTAGATAACTAAAATCGCTCATTATATGTTAATTTTTTATATAAAATAAATTCTTAAATCTCAAAGAAGCATATTCTTATATCCATTTCATTTTTCCAACACTTAATTTCCTTATAATTTATCAATATTCTTAGGTAAAATGTTATTAAAATCCTAAAAAGTTCTCTATCTTTTTGCTAATCTTTTATTCTTTTCATCCTAACTTGAAGGAATATTGTAGTCAACTTTTTGACTTATTTTTGATCAATATCCTTTCAACCTCCTTTTTTGAAGGTTTTGATTAAAGTTATTCTTGCATGTGCCAATTTATTATAACTTTTGAAAAATTGCCATTTTCGATATTTTATTCTATATTTTACAAGTTATCTTTAATTCCTATATTTTTTTGATCTTTCTTTTATTTTAATTCATACCTTCTAGATATAGAATTTTAATTTTCCTTTTATGTTGACATAAATTACAGAATTTATATTTTGAAGGGCAATCAAATTCTAATAGATTTGAGCCTTTATGTTCTACTTTATCTATTTATTCAATAAAGGATGTAAAAAGATGGTCAATTCTTTATTATAGCTTATACTATTTAATTTAATTTCATTCAAATATTCCAAACAATTCAATATTGTATGTAACTTATCAAGTCCTAAATAAACATAGCTTCCCACTCTTAGAATATATCATAGTCAATTTATATATATGGTTTTTATGGGATATTAATTATAAATGAGACTAATTGAACATCAATACATCTTAAAATTAAATTTATAATGATAGTGGTTAAAGAAAGTCAATCTTCTTACTTAATTTATATATCTTCAACTCTATTAGCCTTCTCTAATGTACTTTTGGACTTCAAATACATCAATTTATTATATCGAAAGCTCAAACCAAGGTCAGTTTTATTTTACACCACAAAGGGCTTTACCCATTTATATTAAGCGAAAAACAACCTACAAATCTTTTTTCCCTTCTTAGATTTGATCAACAACTTTATGGAATTCCTATTGAATTTCTGGCACTCCATTTTTAAGAATTTTTTTATCGCTGGTTCTTAAATGATCTCTTTATCATCAGAGAACTCTTAAAGTATAAAATGGGCTAACTTTTATCCCATATTCTTGTAATAATTTTTACTCTGACCTGGAAATATGTGGCAGAAGTTGTTGCTCTGTGTTATTTCATTTGTAGTATTATTCTTATTTAGCTTTAAACTTTCTTGATATCCTACTTCCTTCTCCTTTTCCTCATTCTCCTCTTGTTTTGTTTCTATTTCACCTTTAACAGTAAAGCTATTTATTAATTGAGCAAAAAGAAGCATATGAAGTGAAATTTTAAGATTAGTATCAATGCATGTATTTTAATCAAATGCTATGTTCATTTTTTAATAAATTAGCAACCAAAAATTAAATCCTCCTTAATTCAAAGAAAATTTATAGTGTTTCAATATTTTCTTGATAAAAATTTTACAGACTTACTCCATTATTCATATGTATTCATTATTATAATATGTGTATTCAATACCTTCAATATGTAAATATATAAAAATCTAAATTTCCTCAAACTTACGCGATAATGAATTTTTAAGATTTTGCAATAATCCTACTTATATTGGGTTAGCAAATCCATACAATGGCAAAGTTATAAGCTAATAGAATTAATTTTGTAATAACTCTTCTTAATTTTATAAGATAATCATAATATTAAAATACTGTATTAGCAAAAGGTAATACATTCTTTTAATCAATCTTCAAGGGCTTAGAAAGAGATAGAGAAAGATCTAAACTGATATCATAATATTCATTATTATAATGGTTCATTTAAAAAACTTAATTTAGTTGGGTCAGGCTCAATATCATGACTCTTTAGAATATCTAATAGCTCCTTTTTTTATCTTTCGAGTTCATATATTCTTTTGTTGAAATGTGTATTGATTTCGAACATGTCTTAATACTTTTTCTCCAATATATCTAACTATACTTGGACCTCTTTGACTCTAATTTACTATGATCATAATAAAATTACTTCATATTGAACCTTGTCTTTATGAGTACTAATTTCTGCTTTTAAAATTTCGATTTCTTCAACATTCTGTCTTTTTGCTTCCAGGATTTTGTTTATAATTGATTCCTTTTATTTAATTATTTCCTAGAGTTCTTTATTCTATAATTTAATTATACATAAATACTTTCTATTTCGACCTTCCCAACATATCAACTAGCTTTTGGACTTAATCATCCGATTACTCTTTGCTTTTCAAGGCTTTTTCTCTAATTTGACTTTCCATTTTAAACAAAGAACTATATGTATCGATATCTTTTTTAATTTGTAAGAACTCATCCAATAATTTTGCTGTCTACTGCTCTATATCCTTTTATTTTGGGAAAAATATATTGTTGTATCTGTGATTCTCTTCCTCAACATCTTTGAGTTTTTCTCTGAGATTCTAGATTAAACTGAGACTTCCTTTAGAGTTAGCCATAAGTTCATCTATTTCTCTAGTTTTCCTTGATAAATTAACTTCTAATTCCTCAATTACTTATTATAATCTCTTTATTTCAACAAATTCATTAGATCTTTTCGTAACTTTCAACTCATTCAATTACTTAGTTAATTTATCATTTTCATCCACTAGGATTTCAATTTATTGTCTCAGACTTTAAACTTGTTTTGAATTATTTGTAACCTATTTTAATGCAGCGGGATCCATTGACAGATTGCAATAATTTAATAAGCTTGTAATTAAATCATCATAAGTGTCTTTTAATAAATTTAGAAATATGCCAATAGAGTAACTTTCTTCCTTAGATTCTAATTAATATCTCCAGACTCCTGGAATTGTTTCACTGCCAAAATCAATTTCTTTGAATTCCAACTTTTCACTAACGGTTTGGCCTTTGGTTTGCTTTGATTCAATATTATTTAATAAGGCCTTAATCTATGCATGAACAAAAGGTTCATTTCTTATATTCATATCCTTCCATAAGAGTAATTTTCGATGTAATAAGGCTTTAACAAATTAGATGATGAGGTTATCCCTCAAATTAAGTGTTTTAAATAGTAATTCAAAATAATTTGTCTCAGGAGTCAGTTGATCCTTGATTGATTCTATAAATTTAACTTTTTAATAGAGAATCTTCTCCCAAAAAGGATCTGGATTTGTAATTTTATCATTCAAACCCATTGTATTTCTTGCAATATTTAACAATTCAGTTAATTCATAATTCACTAAATCCAGGAATCTTAAGAAATACCTTTTCTATTCCTACAATTTTTCAGCTCCATCTTTCACTTGAATTGAGGATGGATTCATATTTTATATATAGTCTTACTAGTTTCTGATTGCAGGTGCTAATTGATCAAATGCAGCCTTCATTTTTTCGATATTCTCCGATATGTTTTTCTTCTCATTTATACCTTATCGGGCATATGAAATTTATTAAACGATTGGTTTAATTGATTACATTATATAATTATTTTATTTATAAAATAATGCAAAATCAATAAAAAAAAGCACATACATTACTTTAGACAGAAAGACACTTATCGACTAATGAATTGATTTCACCAAGAGGGGAAATTTAAAAATTATTATCGAAGTCTCCATTGAAGAAGGATAAATAAAATGAAAACAGAATTAGTAAAACTGCATTGCATAATTTAAAACAGTTTTATTATATACTTAACTAGATCTCGAAACATGGCTATGGATTTGGAAATGAAAAAATTAAATATTTAAAGAAGATTGACTAAATTTTTTAGGAAAGTGTATTTGATTACAATATTTCTATCCATAAATCAATAATATGATAAAAAGATAGTAAATGTTAGATTCAATTAAAGAAAATATGATTACCTAATTTATCCAGTATTAATGTTTAAGTATTAAAGCCAAGAACGATAATTTCAAAAAGTTTTGGGACATTTTTATGTTATTCATTTTGATCTATTCCTCTATTTATATTCCATATGCAGTAGCTTTTGAGAATGATCGGAAAGCATATGAAATAACTCAATATATTTTTACTTTAATATTTAGTAAGCATAATAATTAATAAAAGGCACTGATTTGATAGTATTAACTAGAATGTGTTATTATGATAAACATAACAATTTAGTGTAAGATCAAACCAAGATATTTTTAAATTATTTGAAAGGATGGCTTGTGATTGATGTAATATCAATAATACCAATACCATTTTGTTAATTAATCAAAGTGATAAGAATCAAAAGGGTATAAGAGATTATTAGTTCATCATCCTTAAATTAAAATAAACTGTATAATATTATTCTAATTATATAGAATCGAATTTTGGTTCAACTTTTTAGATCTAAAAAAAGCTACTCTATTCCAAATCTTATTTTTTAGTGTGATTGGATTTCATTATGCCACATGTTTATGGGCAATATCAATTCAATATTCATAACAACGTATTCCAAATTATCTTGAAGCCGTGTATTGGGCTATGCAAACCTTATCTACTACTGGATATGGTGATTCAATACCCACTACACCATTTGAATATTTATGCGCAATAATTGGCACTCTTAGTGGTGGTATTTTCATGAGTTTAATTATTGGGAATTCAAGAAGAATTTTAGATGATATGGATACTGAAAGTCATTTTAATAAAACTGCTAATTTATACAAGACTCTGTTTTACTAAATTATTATTTTTCCGGAATACAAAGATCGAATTAATAGATTCCTTCTTGTCAATCATAAATAAAATTTGAGTTGGACTTTAATTTAAGAAGAATGGTTTACCCTTATTCCTAGAGATCTTTAGAATAAAATCTTGCTTTTTGTGGCAAGGAAAGAATTGTTAAAAATTTCTTTATTTAGAATTTCAATTCCTTTTTCCTTGAAAATAATACGCCATATTAGTTTGATGAAAGCTAAAGCAGGGGAATTTATTTGGCTAAAAGGAGATCCTGTTGATGAGATATATTTCTTGATAGAAGGTTTAGTTTAATATAGAAATTAGTTTGGAAAACCCCTATTATAGATTAAAAAGGGTGTTATATTTGGAGAATAGGAATATTTTCTAAAAAAATAGATAATTCAAGTATAGTAATAACGATAGCATTATGCTATGGCAATATAGGATTGTTATTATTTAATCATAAATAAATAGAACTTTTTTGTGAATCTAAAGGAATTTTAGGCACTTTAATAATATTTATCAATTCTTGCATTGCATAGATTGGATTAGATGAACATTCAATAAAAGGAATATGAAATAGAAGCTAATAAAATCAGATTGAATTAATAAAAATTAGAACTGATCAAATAGGCAAATAGAATAGAGATAAGAAATTGTTTTTTGGTACCTACTCATGACTAAAATATTATCTATGAAACTAGATAAAGTAACACTGAGGGAATTTTGGATAAGTTATTAAATAACAAAAAATCTAAAATCTTAATGCTTATGGATAGATTCAGAAAAGTAGTATAAATGATCATTTTTGCAAATAGAACTTTCGAAATGAAATTAAAATAATAGAAGGCAAAGTAACTCAAAAGGAAAGTTAAACCTCATTAAATAGTACCAATCGGTGTTCTTATTAAAATTAGATAGAAATTCATACATATATAAAATGTAAAGAAAATAGCCTTAGAAAAAAAGAATGAATTCAATAAGATAGTTTAAGCACTTTCACAAAGTTAGATTTAGAACTAAGGCTGTTTTAGAAGATTAAGTAGTTCAAGAAGCGAGTAGACTAAGTATGCCATTATATTAAATCATAACCCCCATAAATTATTAAATGATTTTTTTTAATAAATGGGTGTGCTAGAAAAAAGCTTAGCTTTGTCGCAATGGTTAGTGAGAGAAATATAGAAAGATATAAATAATGAATTGATATTAATCAATTAGGTGTTTGAAAACAATGATTTGATAAGGATTTAATGAGTTACTTATATATACTAATGATAAAAGCAACCTCTGCTAAAAATTGATATTTTAATTATTTAAAGAATGTCCAGTAGATTATTATATATAGCTACTCTCCTGAAAACTGATGTGACTGTATTCATTTCTGGAAACAAGGAGAGAAGTCCCAATTGAAATATTGAGTTGGTTATGATAAGTAAAAAGAGACATTGAAGACACAGTCTTGCTGCCATTGCAATATTCAGAAGTTTATCAATATATTATTACCTTAACTAAATTAAAACTGAACCAAATAGAGGTCCATCGTTAGAAGGATTTCCAGAAACAGGAAAAATAACAACAACAAAGAAAATGGTTAATAGGTTTAGATTCGATTGATTTGGTTTTCACTAAAGAGTTTAATATCAAAATTATATGGGGGATGAGACACTATTTGCAGATATATAATTTGTAGGGGAATTATGTTTATTGATTAAAAAGATACTATTGCATTAAAAAGATGACTCAAAATTTAAGAAGCTTCATGGAGAATCGTATCTATTCTACTATCATTTGAAATAAATAGAAATTGTCGATTAATATGTAATAGAAAATAAGAATTTGATACTGCAATATTTAAAAGAATTGATTTTATTTTCTGTTAAAATTCCGTTTGCCATATCATTAGATAAGACAAGAGATGTCACCAAGGTATGGTAAACAAACTACTGATAAGGTGAGAGAAAGACTTAGTCTAAATTGAGTTATGGAATAAATGGAAAATTTATGAGATATTTGCAAAGATGCAGAAAGATGGACAGCAAAGTTAATTAGAACTGATATTACAGAGCGATTGCATTCATTTACTTAATATAAGGAGACTTTAACTTAAAGATTAATTGAGTGTTAGATATATAAATATATTTATTATTTATAATGTCTTAAAACAATAATCGTTAATTGTAGGCAAGGCCAAATAGAAAAACCGAACAAACTTTTGATTTCTTCAAAAACACAAAAGTTTCAACCTGCAGTTATATCAAAAGAAAAGGGGATGATTTCATTGCAGTTCCATTCTATTATAAACCAAATTAGAGAAATTTAGATTATTTGAAGTATAACATATATTAGATCTAAGTAAATCGATGTATTCAACATCAACCAACCATGATGCGTATAACAATAAAAGAAGATGCTTTTCAAGTATGAGAAACAAACCCTTATCACCATACGATCCTTTGGCTCATAGAAGCAGATTGGCCGATCAAAGTTTAAGGATCTCTTTCAGCAACGTGTGCTAAGTAGAAATAGGAGATAGGTTATAAAAATAATAATTTTAGAAATTAGAGAATGACTAAGCATTACATTACTTAATATAAGAATCACTTGGGTAATTTTGGATAAACCACTCCTTGTTCAAACCCTTAGATCATGGCTGAGAGAGCCAAATGGAATCATAAACTCAAGGATAAATGACTTCATATTAAATTTAACAATAATTTACTATTAACAGCTAGGCATCTTACCAAATCATTTGTATTCGCTGAATAATTTGCTGAGAATCGATTTCTTCATCAATATTTATAAATGCTTTTGTGAAGGCTATTGGGTAGATAATAAAACATCGATATCCAATAAAATGAATTTTATTATTTTAATTTGATGCAAAACACTTAGAAAAACAGAGAAGATAATAATTCTTCTAGAAGTCGAAGTGAATCTCCTTTAAGTCAAGAAGAACAAGAAAGAAGAAAGAAACTCCCTGTTTATGAAAGGACATTGGAAGAAAAAATAATGAGTAAGAAAATCAAGGCTGTTGAGAAGGATAGGTTAATCAAGGTGTTTAATGCCTTGATTCAATTAGAGCCTAAAAGAATTGAATAAGAAATGGATGGGAATAAGACTACAGAAGGGGATACTAAACTTGGAAAATAAAAAAGGAAGAAGTCTAATGAACCCAAATTTTCAGCCAAAGCCATTTATGCAATGATGAAAAAGTTAAAATACACTCCAGTAGGTGACGAAGTAGAAAGAATGATATGGGAAATTGATGAAGATTTGGATGAATAAATTAGCTGGTATGAATTTCAATTGATGTTCAAAAGATGCATAAAGGATACTTCCTATCTAGAACCAAGGTATTTTATTGATAGAATTAAAGAGGCTTGTTTAACTTTGTACAATTTTTAATGTATGCTTATGACAAGGAAGCCATTAAAAATACTATAACTGTCGAAGACACATTGGAATTATTGTATGTGAGATGTGGGAGATAAAATCTAGATGGAGAAATATTCAAAATATTTGGTTAAGATGAAAAGACTGCAGATGGATAAGAAAAGGAAATTACATATTCTGAATATTTGGCTTAGATGAAAAAGAAAGACTTCAGCAATTGGACTGAATTGGAAAATAAAAAAAAGAAATACGATCCTTCGAAAGAACAAAACCTTAATAAAAAAGATTGATATATTTATTATCTAGAAATAACCATTCATTTCTAACGATCCATATAAATATTGTTTATAAATGGAAAAAATTCCTGATCCTTTTATATTCTCATATAAATCATTTCTAATAGACTTTGATATTACCCTGATGAGGTATCATCAATTATTTATCAATTTAACAGAGTTCTTGCCATTGTCCATCCTTCTAAATAGCACTTTTGAATATCTTGGTTGACTTCTTTAAGTTTATTACACACAAATAACCATCTCCAGAATAACAAACTATCTACTTCGTATTCAATGGTAACAATCTATTTATTTATATTTAGCTTTTACCTATAAATAACATCTTCACTAACTTTATAATCTCTTGTTTTAGTTCCTTTCAAAATCTTTATGCTTCCATCTCCCATTCCCAGAGCATATTTGCCCTACTTAATTTATCCTATACAAAATATTGGAATTTGGAACTAAGTTGATTTTCTAATTGTTTGACTTGCCAAATCAATCTAATCATTACATATATTTATACAAAATTCAATTAACCATCTTAGCCCACTGAAACCAGCTCTTTATCTAATACAAAATCTGAAACAGGACCTTAATGAGCATTAAAGGATTTAAAATATTTTCTCTCTTTTAAATCCCATAATTTTATTGTACCATCTTATGAAGATGATATCAAGTTCCTTAAGGAGTAAGACTATAATTTAGATATCCTTTATGTGTGACCGTTAAGATTGTAGATTTTTAATTTAGACTACAAGGAGAAAGCAGTTATAATGCCTTACCCTCCAGCGAACAAATAATATTAGTCCTATAATTTAGCAACGGCTAGAGCACTTAATCCTTCATTTGCCTTCATTCTAAAGTCTAGAGAATAGTTTGGTTTTAGCCATCCAACGATATTACCTGTGTCACTTCCAGATATTAAATGTGTAGGACTCTCTGTAATTGATACTATGGAGGCTTCGGATTCGTGACCTCCATTTAAAGACTTAAATCTATTTTGCTTGATCTTATCCTCTATGTCATACACGTATTCAGCGTTGGTTTTATTCAATGTTTTGGTTGCATCATCATATAATTATTGGACATCATATTAAAAATTTTATAATCGAAAGCTTACCAAAGTTTATTATAAAACATTTTTGTTCAGGAGGTGAAATTTTTCAAAAACTTATTTGATTTCATTCACAACTGTTTTATCAAAAGATTATTTCTCTTTAAGCATTAGGACAGCTGAATCATATTCTTATTTATTCAGATTAAGATTTTTCATATTAATTAATTATTAGGCCCAGCGATTTGATTGATTAGAATTTATAATTATTCCTTACTCCTATAAAATAAATGCTAGTTGCTTTTGTTCTAAATCCAAAATGTGATGTTTAAACTTATTTTTGGCTTTGTCAAAAGACTCATCTATGTATTTCAATAATTTTGAATGTTCAGGAAAATAATGGCAGGTTGCTTTGTGCAATTCAGGATTGAGAATATATGATAATTCATTTTGGAATTGCTTAATTTCCATTTTCATATTACATTTTTGATGTGTGAATTAACAATCACTACATAAGATTCTTGAAGAGTATTTACAAACATCTTCTAAACATACTCCAGATATTTATTTCTTATGTAACTCACAAACTTATTAACTTAAATTTCTAGTTGATGCTGGTTGTGTCTGTTATTAAATATTCATTAAAGTATATTGAAATAAACAAAAAATAAAATATATTAATTTATTAAAGATAAAACTAATTCTTTTAACTTGATAAATATAATTGAATTATAAACACATGTGAATTTATCTTATTCTCAAACATAGTTGACTATTCCAATTAAAACTACATCTTAAAATATTTAGTGAATTGATTAAAATCCGGTTTGAATTATGATATCTATCGCGAATATACAACTTATAATTAATTTCATCGATGATATCCTAAGTATTTAATATTGATTGTACTTATTCATTAGACAATATCCTGCAAAAATGTGAGCAAACCCATATAAGGATCTAACTTTCAAACCTAATGCCACAAATTATTAAAAGTTTTTCATTCCTAATTGTCTGACTGATCTATCGTAATGCAATTATGTCCAAGGGTCTGTCAACAGCTATATTCCGTATATTGCTATGTAAATTCCTATCAGAAAAACTCCTATTCCTTTCATTCTTATTAAGAAACTCTAAAAAATTAATAAAATATTTAATAAATTATATATAAATAAATACTCCATCCTAAATATTAAATGAAGTAAAAATTAATGTATAGCTAAATTAACCATCCTTCTCTTAAAGTATGATTTAAGCCAATAATTTTAAGTATTACTGAAAATATTAATATTTACATAAATCTTAAATTAGTCAATAGTACGATGAAGGACGTTGTTATTAGTATTATGGATTTTAAGAGCTATTTTATATAGGTTTTTTAGATAAATTTTTTGAATCGAGTACTTGATAATGAAGTTATTCATTTTCCTTTTTTAATTTTTCATTATCTAACTTAAGTTCTGAAATTTATTTCTCCAAATAATTTATTTGCACATTCAAAGCCTTTACCTCTCCTTCACCTTATGCCCTAATAACTTGTCGATCCCCTTCTGCCTTTGCAATTTTTTCTCTTAAATTCATGCATTCCTTATTCATATCATCATATTTTAATTAAAAGTGATAAAGCTTTTCTTCAGCTTACCTCCTCTACTTCTAACTGTCTATTTATTAACGATATCAATACTTTGTTCTTCCATCTTAGCTTATTCAAGATCTCTTTGTAACTATTCCACCTATTTAAGTGTTCTCTATAAATGGTAATCTTGTATTGCATTAGTATTTTCAACTTTATCCTCTTACTTTTTGAACTTCCTATAACTTTATGTAGTATATGTAGTTGAAGATGGGTAATACATAAGAATCGTTAATTTAATTATTATAATCAAATATTTATAGGTTTGAAATTTTTATATTATAAAACAATTTCATCATTCAAATATTTATAATCATATAATTATTTCAAAAACATAAACAGTCATAAACTCTATTTTAATTTGTGTTAAAGGAGTGATATTACACCTTAAATGTTTTTAATTTATTACTTCTATTTTGAGATTCTCTTTTTAATAATTTATTAATATTTTAAATAGAATAAACTTTTAAATAAGAATGAAAATAAATAAAACTATTTTGATAGAATCATCTCAATAATTAAAGATTATCATCAAAAGAAAATTAATCCTCACCCACTTCATTCCAAATTTATTCATTAAAAGTCCTATAGATGCTAAATTTCGATAACCATCTAGAATATGGTGATTGATTTTAGTATTCAATCTAATTGGTTCTTAATTTTAAAAGATTTCTTTTATTATATTTTTGTTGCTTTCATTTAGATTGATTATCAAATTAAGAAATTGTTCTCAAATTTTTTGAATATTCAAATATTTTTTTTCTTGAATATTAATTGAAGTTCTCCTAATTAAAGTTTATTATAGAATTGGTTCATAAAGAATAGCACCACTGCTATCATAAAGTTATTTGATTTTCATAATTTTAAGCGAACATTAGTGAGAATCCTTTGATTATTATAATTTAGAACATTAATTAAATAAAGTAATCAAAGAAAATTTTAAATAGTTAAATTAATGCATAAAAATTTGTATTAAATCGAAAATCAAAAATTATACACTTTTTTCTCAAGATGGATTCACCGGCATTTCTTTTTACAAAGAATAATATTTTTGATTTGTGTTTACATTCACTCTTTTTGTTCTGAAGGTGAATTCCTTTGCTTTCATGAAAAATAAGAATAATTTTTTTGATTTTTGTATTAATAATGATTTTTGTATTTGAGTCCTAATTTCTAATATAAAAAAATATGATAAAAATAATCAAAATACAAATCTAAGTAAAACCTTATGTTTCATTTGATCGCTTTTGAGTTACTATTTAATCACTTTTAGAGTTTTTGATGTTCTAAATAAATATGTGTAGAATATAAATATTTATTGAAGATCTGTCGTTTAAATTCTATATTTAATAGTAGAGATCAATTAATAATATAGTATTATTATTTTATTTTTCATAACTTAAATAAAACTCTTCATTCTATTGCAAATAATGCCATTTTATATTCAGTTGTATTGATTAGGGAAGTTTAATTGCCAATTCTTCGACCCCCTTAAGAATGATCCAACCACATGCTAAACCTGTATGGATCTTCGGGATCAACATTATCAGCTAATTGAAGATTTACATTCTCTTTGGGTGCAAATCCAATTGAAATTCTTGGGACAAAATACCAAAATAAATCATCACTCGATCGGCTTTTTCTTGCTTTTTCTCGATTGGTTGTAACTGTAAAGATCTCAAATGCATAATCGCAAGCCATCAAAGCAAAGTGCGTAGGCTTTTAAAGAGAGATACCACCGAAGCAAGCTATTCCAGTTAAACTGAATGAATTGGACAAATTATAAATTTATTCATGAGTTAGAGATTTATTTAAAAATTAATCTAAATATAAAGTAAAACCCTACAATAATACTATTGGATAATCTTCCTTTATTTTTCCTAATAGATATTTTTGAGCATTAAAGAAGTGTTTATTCATCAAAATTCGATAATCTACATACTATCTAATTTCTAAAAGGGTGTTATTCAATTTATCATTCATTTCATGATGATAATTATCAAATATATCGATCAATTCTTTATTATCCTGTTTATGATTCAACTCCTTCTGTTAATTGATAGATTGTATATTTACACCATTAGAATTTAATATTTAATTTTGAGTGAATGATACTTATTCTTTCAAATAATTCAATTCTTAAGAAAATAAGGATATGGTTTGATTTTAAAAGAGCAACATCTCTTTAAATTGCTTCTATAACTCTAACATTTCTACTTTAAGTTTTTAATTGTATAATTTTAAATATTCAATCTCGGTAGTTAATTTATCGTCCAAAGAATTTTTAATTTCTTCTATTTTAATCATGTTATCTTATTGAAAATCAGACCACTACTCTTTAATTTGACTGATCTCTGATTCTATTAGAATGCTCTCTTTTTTCTAATTTTATGTTTAATTTGTTGATGTTAAAATTGAGAATTAGTTACTTATTATTATAAGGGTAGCAATAATAATACAAGCTTTAAAGAGTTTGTTGGATGCATATGGATTTTCTAACTTTTTAATTCTTTCCTCAGCTTGTGCTATTTTCTCTTCTTAACTAATAGAATAATATAATTCATACTTTGTAAACATTTTCTAAAAATCTAGACCTTTTTTTGCAAGATTACTTCTGACCTTATCAAAAACTTATTTCTGCTTGTTGATAATATCATTTTGGAATTTCTCATCATTCCTTATGTAGAGCTCAAAGATAGATTTTTGTGTTAAATTATTGAATTGTTTAGCTTCATTCAATATTCTTTACTGATAGCCTAATTCATTTGCAAACATCTGAATCAGAGTATCAACTTCTGCTTTTGCTAATTTAATGAAGTTTAAATCATGGAAGGGGAATTTTTCGATTTTTTATATTTACTCTTTTTGAAAATCAAAACATTTTTGTTATACTTCTTGTAGAAAATTAAATCTTCCTTGGTATTTTAATTCTAACTGATTTAAAATATCTTTAATTTCTGTAAAATCATCTAAATGACGAACAGTTTTAGTATTTTTCAATTTTTGAATTCCTTTTTAATTTGTGTGTTGCAAAGTTAAACATTTGTGGCATTGCAATTAAAATCTTTTAGCCTAAATACATTCTATGTTTGTGCAAATAAAAGTCCTATTGTGATGTGTTAATTTACAAATCTCTTATTCCCCATCTTGTGTCTACATCTTGAAGAATTAAAAATTTTATAAAGTATTTTCAATAAAATTATTTAAAAATTCAAACAAGGCTAGATTCTTTTAATCTATTTGAATCTTTAAATACAAAATCAACAGAAATAATTTGCTACTATTCAATAATAAAATATAGACTTTTTACTACAAATAAAACTTACAAATAATAATTAGAATAAATTTTCCTGGATAAATTCTCCTTGAAATAATGTGCTTTATTTTATTTAAGAATCGCTCCCACATATTATATGTACAGAAATTACTCTCTGGATGATAAATACAATCAAGAGTTGTTGAATGTTGTAGAGGCCTTCGGTGGGGCAAATTGCAAATATTGGACTTAAGTTGCAAGATTATTTTATGAAAGAACAGGACTTGCTGAAACTAAAAGTTATAATCTAAAGAAAAGGTTCAAATATACCTAATTCTATATAGATATTAAATATTGACAAATTACTCTGATAATATCAATTTGGAGCAGGAATAAATCTTATACGAAACTGGAATCAAATGCAGAGGCTTAACTAAGGCTGGTCTACAGGAATTCTAGAACAAGACTGGATGTAAGTAAGTGTACATATCAATTTCAGCTTGTATCTTGGGAGATATACTTAAAAGATTGCAAGATTTCTTTAAATTGGGATTAAAATCATCTCTTCTGCTTATATTCATTTGAAGAACATAAAGAAGAAGAGATTTGGTTCTCAGTTCCCAAGAATCTCATATGTGGACATTAATATAATGTTGAAGGCAGCTGATATAAAGGAGAAGATAGATGATCCCATTTTTATTGAATTATAAAGTAGTGCTATCAAATTAGAATAATTATTTTATTAACATGTGAAATGTTATGATAAGAACATGGAAGAGAGATACGATCATTATATGAAAGTGGCTAACAGATTGTAATTTAAGAAACTGATGTTTTTTTTATATTTTTGCGGAGAGCTAAAAAGAATTAGCTTGAATATTTTTGATAAAACTAGTAGTTTTAATCATCCTTTGATAAAAAATGATATTGAACTCAATAAGCAATCCATTTATTATTAATTACTGATATCTTAGAGTGATTGGAAGTAGAAGTATGATCTTTTTTTTAATTGCTCTAATCAACTTTAAACTAACGATTAATTTTCAATGCTCATTAAATAAGCAAATACAGATGAAATAGATGAATTTGATCTGATACCCAGAAATCAAAAATAAATTTCAAATAAAGTAGCTAATGCACAAATAGAATGTATTGGCAAATAAAAAAAACTTAGATATTTTAGGGGTCATTATGTTCAGAGGGGTTAAATAAAAACTACTGGTTAAACAACTATCTATTTTGATCATGATGTAGACTCTGAAGAAATTGAGAATGAAGATTTTGAAAAAGAATTGCAGAAATAAAAGGAGAAAGAGGAGCTTGAAAAACAAAAAGAGTAATTTATCAAAATTTATAATTAAATGTTTGCTAAGGAGGAAGAGGCTGATAAGTTTAAGGATTAAAAGGAAAAGGATTCTGAAAATCATAAAAATAACAAATTAAAAAAAAAGGCAAGAATAATTTGAAATGTATTTAATTAATATTTAGTTTTATAAATTGTCTATCAATTAATTAATTTCATCCTCATTCTCAAAATGTGNATATTGGACTTAAGTTGCAAGATTATTTTATGAAAGAACAGGACTTGCTGAAACTAAAAGTTATAATCTAAAGAAAAGGTTCAAATATACCTAATTCTATATAGATATTAAATATTGACAAATTACTCTGATAATATCAATTTGGAGCAGGAATAAATCTTATACGAAACTGGAATCAAATGCAGAGGCTTAACTAAGGCTGGTCTACAGGAATTCTAGAACAAGACTGGATGTAAGTAAGTGTACATATCAATTTCAGCTTGTATCTTGGGAGATATACTTAAAAGATTGCAAGATTTCTTTAAATTGGGATTAAAATCATCTCTTCTGCTTATATTCATTTGAAGAACATAAAGAAGAAGAGATTTGGTTCTCAGTTCCCAAGAATCTCATATGTGGACATTAATATAATGTTGAAGGCAGCTGATATAAAGGAGAAGATAGATGATCCCATTTTTATTGAATTATAAAGTAGTGCTATCAAATTAGAATAATTATTTTATTAACATGTGAAATGTTATGATAAGAACATGGAAGAGAGATACGATCATTATATGAAAGTGGCTAACAGATTGTAATTTAAGAAACTGATGTTTTTTTTATATTTTTGCGGAGAGCTAAAAAGAATTAGCTTGAATATTTTTGATAAAACTAGTAGTTTTAATCATCCTTTGATAAAAAATGATATTGAACTCAATAAGCAATCCATTTATTATTAATTACTGATATCTTAGAGTGATTGGAAGTAGAAGTATGATCTTTTTTTTAATTGCTCTAATCAACTTTAAACTAACGATTAATTTTCAATGCTCATTAAATAAGCAAATACAGATGAAATAGATGAATTTGATCTGATACCCAGAAATCAAAAATAAATTTCAAATAAAGTAGCTAATGCACAAATAGAATGTATTGGCAAATAAAAAAAACTTAGATATTTTAGGGGTCATTATGTTCAGAGGGGTTAAATAAAAACTACTGGTTAAACAACTATCTATTTTGATCATGATGTAGACTCTGAAGAAATTGAGAATGAAGATTTTGAAAAAGAATTGCAGAAATAAAAGGAGAAAGAGGAGCTTGAAAAACAAAAAGAGTAATTTATCAAAATTTATAATTAAATGTTTGCTAAGGAGGAAGAGGCTGATAAGTTTAAGGATTAAAAGGAAAAGGATTCTGAAAATCATAAAAATAACAAATTAAAAAAAAAGGCAAGAATAATTTGAAATGTATTTAATTAATATTTAGTTTTATAAATTGTCTATCAATTAATTAATTTCATCCTCATTCTCAAAATGTGATAACTACTATGAATCCGAGATACAATTATCCAAAAAGATCTGTTTCTAGTATGGATAGATAATAAATATTGAGAGCTTTGGGAAGTAATCCGTCTGATAAAGAGATTGAGTATACGGCATACGAATATGATCTCAAGCCTCGTACAATCAAATCTTGGCTAAAGCAGAAATCTAAAAATTACAACAAAGCATCAGAATCGGATGAAGATTATCAAAGCAATGGAAAAAAAACTAAAGCAGACAAGGAGCTTCTAGATTTTGAAAGAAATTTTAACTAAAATTCTGATGCCTATCACTATGAAATAAAAAGTATGGATCTCTTGAAGAATGCCAAAAACTTGAATTAATAAGAGTGTGAAAAACCTTAAGTGATACAATAATAAAAGCAACAATCAACTCCACAATAATCTATTAACCCGTTGAGTAGTGATGATTTTTTTACCATGAAAATTGATAAACTACAATAATAATAATCATAAAAATTTTCACTCTAAAATTTTGATGCCCTTTTATTATTATTAGATTAAGATGATGAAATACATCATATGGTAACCTTACTACGGAATCAGGAAAAATAAATTGAAGAATTGAAAAAGACTCAATCAGAAATACTAGAATATATGTGTTCACATTTGACAAAGAAACCAAAGAAGATTTGATTTAAATATTATAAAATATCACCAATTTAATTAACTATCAAATAATTTATTATCTTGATAAATACCTTAAAACAAATTGAAATTACAAAAATACAAAAAAGAAGTAACAGGTACAATAATATCTAATAAAATATTTATCCTTTATATTACATCAGAATTTGAATATAATAAGATAATAATAATTGGTAATAGTAAAAATGTTTGTATGTCTCTAAACTGATTTAATATAAGTCCTAATCAATAGGAAATTTATGCCCAATTTAGATTTAATTTTGCCATATATCTTCAACACAAAAATATATGATAATTTCTGCATTGCTTTTTTAATGGCTTAACTATTCTACATAATGGAAATAGAACATTTAAATAAAAATAAACCAAGTGATTTGCAAATCATAAGCCCCCTTGTGTTAATAGGTTAGTATAACTAGCTTATATTTATTGGATGTCTTAAGAAAGTCAGGCCATTCTAATCAAATTGAAAAAACCGCCAAATATTAATAATCTAACTCAGATTTAAGAAATTTAACTCCACCCCTAGACATTCTTGTCTCCACAACAGTCTTAATCTGAGGAGTGAACATTTCATTAAACATCAACTACACTCTCTTAGTGCAGTCTGTTAGATCACAATATTTGATGGAAATCCCAATTCTCTTCTTAGGGCAACAGACGATTCTCAGACCAGCATATTATGCCGACACTTTCTGTCCCAAAAGAAAGGAGGACTTTAACCCCAGGGTTTGTTTATGTAATTGCTTACATTCGTGTATATGTGCCCCGATGACTAAGCAATTTGCAAAATCTTTTGTTTATTTTTATTTAAATTATTGAAAAATAATCACAAGTTAATTTAGTCAAATAATGGAGATATAATTATTTGAACGCTTTTAAAATGATTGTATTGAAAACAAAGATTGTTTAAAATGAGCGATTATAATATAGGTTTAAATAAAATTATTGGGGGTGATTATAATTTATAATTTTTATCATAACAGACAAATATGTTTAAGGTTCTTATTGCACTTAAATCCTAATAATAATTCAAGTGTTCAGTTACAATGGGAGGAAAGACCAAAGTGATAACCCTGCCATAAACTGAAGGATTAACATTTAATGTGGAGTATAATAATTAATATATATAATAAGCTAATTAAGCGCAATCTAGTTAAAATACAATGATGAAATCTTTCGAATTCAAATGAATGAGGATATCACTGAGACAACTGGGGAGTATAAATTTACAAATGTGAGTGGATAATATTATATCGTATTGATCCAGGATGTTGAAAAACCATTTAAATTGAACATAAAATAAAATGCCTAAACCTCAGAATCTCCCTTGAAGAAAAATGATACAGAAAGGAGTCTGACTGCAAGCAATAAAAAAATAAATTTTAAGACACCGACAAATAGATAGAAATCTGAATCTAATTAAAAATTGATACAATCCTTTGTTTTAGGTGATAATTTAATGGAACAATTGAAATAGGAGAATAAAGAACTCAAATAAAGAATAATTGAGCTTGAAAATTAAGTGATGACATTGTAAGAATAAAATGAATAAAAAAGTGATAAGATTGATTAATCCAAATAGGAAGTTTCAGCAAATGATATAAGATGTGATTTTTAAAACCTGTTAAGACTACAGTAAAGATAAGCTCAAGAGAACAAATAACTACTGAAGTAACTGATGGAATTGGATACTAATTATTCAGAATTATTAGACAAAAAATCTTTGGTTGATTAGGAAGTAACAAAATTAAAATAGACTATCAGCTAATTTGATTGCCAAATAACTTAATTAAAAAGCAGATTGACATAATTTGAAATCGATGGGCTTAGTCAAAACATTTAATTAAATCTATAAATTGCATAACCAATAGAGAATGATGAAATAGTGGACAACTTGATTAAACTCATTTTAAAAATGAGAGCAACTGGATCCCAATACATTCCTATTAAGGAAGATAAATTGGACTCTAAATTAGCATAAATTATTGCTAAAGATCATACCTAACAATATCAATTTATTCGATTAAAATAAGGTTTATATTTGATAGGAGAAGATTAATATCAATTATTTTTGTAAGAGAATAAGATTATGATTACAACTGAGGATGGCGTATTATAACTTTAAGATTTTATTAAGAGTCGTAAAAGAGTAAAATCAATTAATGTTCGTAAAGCTTGAGATTATATTTGTTATTATATATATATTAATAGAGAACACATTAATCATTCAGTATTATTTCAGAATTTCATTTTTTTATTTTTCTTTTAGTTAACTTTATTGTTGATGCAAAAAATAACAGGATCTGGAGTGATGGTCTTTATTAAACATAAAGAAGATACCTTAGTGTTATTATTGCAGAACATTAGAAAGAAATAGTTGGTTTTGATGGAACCTGGAGGGAATCAAGAAGTCGGTCTTTCATCAATGAGTAATGCATTGAAGGAATTGTATGAAGAAACATTTGCAGGATTATCAAAGTCAGATTTAGATGAGGAACATAAAGTACTTGTGAATTACTAATACTTGTGCTATGCTGTCTATATTAAAATAGATGATTTAAATTTTTTTAAAGAAGTTATGGGAATGAACTAGAAAATATTATAAATGGCGAATAGTCGATCACTGCATTCATTTAATGAATGTAAAGGATTCAATATAGTCAATCTAAAAGATTTGGTAAACGTGGATTTTCAGTATTATGAAAACGACAATAATAAAATACCACTTCATATAAGAACCCAAGTATCATTAAAGGAATTTCAAGCTAAATAAATAATTCAAAAGGATTTAACAATATAATTGCCGTTGTTTTCATGCTCATTAGATAAAATCAGAATAAAGAATCCAAAATCCCCTTTATAGGTGCTTAATAATTAATATACATATGTTATACATTGAAATATTATTAATATAATTAAGATAATGAAAGTAACAAAGAATTAAAAGCTAGTGTTAAATAATAGGTTTTTGAATTACAAAGCCAAAGAGGATTTGATAAACTTCTTAGAGCAACCTCAGAAAGATGTTGAAATGAGTTAAGCAATCAGAATTAAAAAATCAACTATGATGAAAAAGATTATCGAAATGTTTGAGAAGAATGCAGGGATCCTGGAGGTAGAAGCAGAAGATGCTTTGATATCCAGATTGATTTCATCCTATGAAGTATATAAGAGAAAAGGAATTCCACACTTTAGTGAGATGTCTATTCGCAAAGAAGAAACCAAAGCGATTTTAAGAATAAAAGTTGTATTAAACCAATAATGATGATTATTAAATAAGTTTTCATTCTTCAATTTATACTCTGTCTATATAATACCCTTAAATAATCCTATTGCGATGTTCAATCTAATTAGCGAACACATAACTAAATTCTCCAGTGTAAGTGGCATCTAAGAATTTCATAGTATCCTCTGAAACCATGATTCTACCAATTTATGAATTCTATTCCATTTTCTTTGCTAACGCAACATCTGATCCATATATGTCATATCTCACAATATCTGTTCCCACTATTCCTCCAATGATATTCCCAGTATGTATTCCAATTCGCATATTGATATCAGGATATTAAATATTTTTCTTGAGTAAATTTACAATATCTAGCAATTGAAATCCCAAATTGACAACATTATAAGCTTCTTCCTCTCTGATCCCATTATTAGCATCTAAAACTCCCATTACAACATAGCTATCTCCAATTGAATACAATTTATACACATTGTTCTCAGTGCAAGCCACATCAAACTTATTAAAAAGTGAACTCAACATTTACAATACTTATTGAGCATCCACGCTAGTAGAATATTTTGTAAAGCCAGCTATATCAGCATAGAGGATGGTTGCATTTTCAAAAACATCAGGTAGAGTATCTTACTCTTTAAAATATTATTATAGAATATGTGAAGGTAATAGATGACTGATAATTTTATTTTATTCTTATTATTGTTGCAACAGCTGATCATGAATATTATAATTCTAATAAAGCAAATCTTCATTTTGATTCCTCTAAACAAAAATAAATATTTCTATTGTAAGAATAAAGATGATAGTTTCATTCCACTAATTAGAAAACGCTAGTATGAATATGACATTGATGTATTTCAAAACGAATAGCAGTTTCCTATGACGAGAAGTGAAATAAGGTAAGGCTCTTAAAAAGTATCCCAAACATAAAGTATAAGCTAGAATTAGAGTAATGTATGATCTTTCGATTGGATCATTAATAATGATGGCTATAATGGTGAATAAGATGCAAATGAAATAGCCTATGATCATACTTATTTAGAAGATATATTTGTAAGCATCCCTGAGGCAAAAAGGAACAACTATACAACTCATTAGATAGAATGCAATCTTCAATCCTTCGATAGTGAGATTGACTCCCAAATATTGCTTATATTCCATTAAAGCAAATAAAATTGGCAACTAAAATATCATCAAGTAGATAAAGAGAATAAGGCAATACTAAACCGTATCCTTAAACAATTTATGATTATAAATCCTTATCATTTCTTTATACTTGAATTATCTGAAATATACTAAGTTTAATATACATTTATTTACCTCTTCTAGCTTGATTAGTACCAAAGTCACACTTCACTCTAATCAATTCTTACATTATATCTGTTTCAATCTTCTCTTGATTACCAATAAGTTATTATAATTTTGGAATTTCTATCTTTTCTTCTTATTGCAAAGTTGAATCAAATAGATGGTTATTATTATTTTATAAGGATTTCTAGCTTTTAACATTATTTTGGGGACTCTTTGGCAATAAATCATCAATATTTTTTTAGGAATCAGCTACTTTCATATTATCAAATAGATCGCCAAATTGATCACCTAAGGGATCATCTTTCTTTTATTATTATTGTTATTGTTATTGCTATTACTATTAAACTTAATCATGTGATGACATCATTTAAGGATTAACTTCTTTAAATCTAGTGACTCTACTCTTTCTATGCATAGTAATACGTCTATTAGATATATCCTCTGCTATTTGATTTTAAATAATTACATATTAACTTATTTGCTGTAATTACATCTTATATTACTTTACCAAATTACTCGACTGGTAACTAATAAACAGATTTATTTCTGGACATTGATGATTTCCTAGCTATATCGAATTAGAAACCAGCCGGATTAACAGCATTAGTCATAAGATCATTAGGCTTATCATTTTAATCCAGTTTTTTGAATTAAATTGAACTAACTAATTTAATGATGGGTGATTTGTCAACCTTTGCTGCGAAAGTACTTTTCTTATTAATGACTAGTGAATAGAGCACATAGATATTTTTGATATTGATTTCCTTAACCTAAAATTAATACTTCATTTGTCTGACTCTGATATAGGCGGGTTCTGTCAATGAAATCCTTCCCGGTTCACAAACTGTGCAGGCTCTACTGGTTGTGTTAACAGTGTCTCCTATTAAAGAGAATTATGGTTTGTGTTAACCAATGACTCCAGCCATCACATTGCCATAATTAATTCCAATCTTTATTACTATCTGTTTATCTTAGTATTTCAAATTATTAGTTGATTCTATCATGGCAATTGCACATTCAATCATTTTCTAAGTTGAGTTCTTCGATTGCTTATCAATTATGTCATAGTCTTTTAATCCTGATGCACAAACATAAATCTATCCTACTGTCTCAATCTTTTAGATGTTATACTGATTGCATATTGTATCGAAGGTCCTATAGATAGAATCCAGAAAACTTATGACTGACACCTTCTCAGATTCAATAATATCATCAAAGTCACAGATCTCACAAAAGAGGATTGTGACTGGCCCTTAATCTTCCTATATTTAGATGTATCCTCTAGCCATTCTCTCCTTAATAAATCTGGGCATCAATATTCCCAAAGCGTCATTCAATTTCTTCTGCTCCTTCTCCAATTGCTCTTGCAATAGAAAGTTTTGTCTCCTCAAATACTCATTCACATAACATAAATAATATCCACTCACAATTGATAAACTACATATGATTATCAAAGCCAAAACAAACATTATCTATTTCTATGGGAAGTATTCATATTTAGGTATTATGAATTTCAATACCACTCCCAAGCTAATTAAACTCATAAGGATTATCGTACCTTTAAAATTCAAGCTCTGCTTTATTGAGTAATTCAGCAGGATTATCATAAATATTGACGTAAAGATAATTTAATTCAATATGTAATCCTAATCCAATAAGAAGGTTGTGATAAATTAAAACAAAAACCTACTTAAGATGCTTATTAGTTGTAAATTTTATTAGATTTTATGAGGAGTGATTTCCAAGTATTATAGTATATAAATTGTAATACTGTAGAACAGTTACACACCCCATAATATGTAGATTGCTATATTTTTCTCAATATAGTTAACTTAGATCAATAGATTAACGAAGATTGTAGCTTCAAAGAAGATGTACAAGATTGAATTCTGACTCATGGATTCTTGATATCGAATTTCAAATTCCTTTTGATTAAAGGTCAAATTTTTCTTCAATTCTATTTATTCGTCATTGTTAATATTGTTATTCAAGGCCTTATAAATCGAGTCGTCCATCTAATTGTTATCTGCCAAAATAGATTTGATGAATTTTTTCCTCTATTAAATAGACAATTGCAAACTTTGCTTTGTGGTTCTCTACTTCTTTGTCTACTCAATAGATTTAAAATTTTATTCATCTGTTATCACAGTATCTTGGAACATCTCCAAATTGTACAATTATAGTATAGAAGTGACTGCAAATTTAAACACAAAGGCAAATATGTAAACGAAAATTAAACTTCTTATTATATATCCAGGACTATAAAACAAATCTGAGTAAGATACTTTATAATCACTATAATCAGGTATCGTTAGAAATGTCACCAAACCAACAATGAATACGCTTAAAAATAACAAACCCAAAAGCTGCTTATGCTATTACTAAAATATTTAGAAATATAATTATATTTTAACTATTAATTCTAGAGTAATGATAAAAGCAAACTGAGATATTGGCAAATAATTGGAATCTCCATATAAGTATTTTGTAGCCAACAAAGGAATGCTCACAATTGCCGCATCAATCACTCCAACCAAGAATATTTTAATTAACGAATCCTTATTAAACAGGGATTTGACTAAGCATCTTTAGGGTATCAACCCTTTGTAATAGATTTCTGAAGTCTTGAATCGTTTATTGTGAGATATCAATTGAATCATTACGGTCAAGGTTTGGCTTAGTAGAAGGAGGATGTTGCAACTTTACGTTAAAAACTACCCTTGATTGATGAGATTGATTAAGACAAATAGTATCATCTCGTAAAGCCAAAAGTAAAGAATCTGTTAGGCCAACAAAGACGAACTTATGCACTTAATTATTAGGATTGATTCGGCGCATCTTAATGAATTGACTAAATAGCAAGGTTTGGATTAAGTGTAGCATTTCGGGTTGATGTCAATTGATATTTAACTCATATTATAAACCCTTTGAGTGTTAGCACAACTTCCGATGTATCCAATTTACATATTGAGTTTTTTGGCAATCTTAAATAATTTTACTTTTGAGATCTCCATACTATCATACAAGGCCAACCCCCTACTAAACCAAACGATTATGGCAAAATGATTTAAAAGATACTCATCTTTGATTATAGTTAACAAGGCTTCACAACTCAGGAGAATATACTTCTTTTCAAAGTCTTGTGCTTCGAATATTCTAATGTTTAATTTCACATTTACCTTTGTTACTTTATCAGATTTGAACAGGCACTCTAAATAGCGAATTTCAAAGTTCTCTCATCTCCGGAATTAAATTGGTTTAAATCATTTTCATTTTCAATGAACTTTGCATCAAATAAAAACCTCAGAACTACAAATTGATTTTCAGCAGAAACTAACCATGTATTTAACTATAAAATTATATTGATATTAAAAATACATTTGCTTATGAGAATGCATCAATTGTCAGAAGAGCACTTTGATCTATTTTTGCATGAGTACCAATAATCATGAGCAATTCAGCCTAGGATTCTAATTGGAAATATAATAATTCAAGCTAATCTTCATCTGTTGTATATGAATTCATGATGTTCATTTTATTTAATAGGAATTACTTGGCTTCACTCTTTTTGAGTTGTTTCTTAAAATAGAGTGTTGGTTATTAGCCCTATTTCAACATATAATACAAGGTTGAATTAGTTTCTAACACATTGATATTCATATTAGTGTTTTCATACATTTGAGAAGTCTCAATCTTGATATAAAGAAGTGCACCTTCATCTTCATTGAACTCCTCTGGATCTTTTAGGAGAACTGAATAGACTCCAATTCTATTTTTTGTTTGTTTATTTTCACTTAGGATCTTATATTATTTCAATTTGCCTTAGATTTCAATGATTTTGAGTTGACTTTTGAGAACTATGTCATAAATTTAACGCTCAGTTTCAATACTACATTTTAGTTTGTATTCTAAGAGATTGCAGAACTCAATTAAAATATAATCTTATGGATTTTTACAATAGGTTTCTATTGTTTTCTTTTATTCGTTGTACTTATTCTCAATCTCACATAGCAACAATAGTGCAACAACTCTCTCATGATATTGATTATCGAAGTCATCAAACAATTGAGTGATAAATTATTATTCATTCAATTATTGCTTTTGCAATTGGTTAATAGAAGAACTTTAGTCACCTCCACTCTTGACAACCTTTGCTCTAAATGATATGGTTTTTCCTAAGGAGTTCTTTAGTTTTTTCTATTGAGATGCATCAATGGTTTTTTTTGAAAGGGAAAATTATAAGTTCGAACTGATTCCATAATTTTATCTCTCCTCTTAATTGTGAGGAGAATAAGGATGTGAATTAATTAATTCGCTGTAATCCTTTTTATCTTCATCAAATATGTCATTCTCTCTGCCTGTATCTAATAGGGTCTTATAGTAGTTATCCCCCAATTAGATTTAATTGTTGTTCATTACTGTTACCAATTATTTATATTTGAATGTGTATTGCTTGTCATCAATGTAAATCGATTGGATTTTCCTCTTCCTTTGAAAGTACTATTGATTCAACTCCATACACACCAAATTTACTTTTGAGCATTTCCAATACTTATAGAAATTATATTAATGCTTACATTAGTTTATTACATCATAATTTAAAAGTCTTTGATGTCGTCGTATTTTGATAGTTTATTCTGAGAATAGATTTCAGTCATATTCTTTACTCTATTAAATTCAATCCAAATGTGTTTATCATCTTAGACGACTTAAAATTTTACATAATTATTTACTATCCTTCCCTTAATTATTCCCTTGCTCAATGGCATCAGTTGGCTTAACCTTCTTTTGAATGCTTGGCTGTTTAACGTAATTAAAAATCTAAACAAATTCTTTATAGAAAATGGCATATAGTGGAATTAACATGGAATCAAAACATAAGTGGATCCCATAATTTGATTTATAAATCAGATTACCAAGCTAAAATTATCTTATCACATACCAAACTAATAAAATATCCAAGAATAATCATTCCAATAAAAAATAGTGACTTCTATCTTTTGTGTTTGATTGGCTTATAAATGCGTAAACAATTATTTCCAGCCACTAATACTATTCCCAATGCCCAATCTGTATTTAAGAGCTTCTCTCCACTAAAAATAATGTTATCCTAATTGAATTTGAACACTTTTGGATCATTTTTTAATTTTATCATTCCCATCAAACTGGATTTCTTGCCAAATGAGTAGGAATACTAAATTTGCCCATTTAATGTTAACTTGAATTCGACTAACAACCCTTTTGTATCAGATTTCGGTTAGACTATGATAAATATGTGACATACTAAACGTAGACTAACAAGGATTGGTCATTTTAGGTGTTGAAATACCAAATTCATTTTAGTCTATTTATACAACTGGATGACTTGATTCTAAAAGCAATACATCTGCAGGGCATTCATGTGTTTTTTAGAGGATAACAATGTCACCAACTTTAATCTATTCTCTTAATACTTATTTTTGTGGATAGAAATAAGTATTTATATCCTCGGATGAATCTGATGCCAAAGGTTCTTTGGAATGAATAAAGTTCTCCAATATACTATATCTCTATTCATTCAATTAGGATTCGACTATTCTAAAATTACGAAATTTAAGAAAGCATTTTGTCACATAGAGACTGTAATCTAATAGCAAAACTATGCTTTGAAACAAAACAACTAAGTTGCTTTTGAAATATTCATTGTTCATTACCTAGCTGCATCATCCTAAAGAACCCAACTTATAATGATGTAGACCATAATCATCAGGATCTCAAATCTCCATAGGAACGATAAGACTTCTAATATGTGTTATTTAAAAGTAAATGATTGAACTTTGTTGCCAATATAAGATTTGCCATATCCAGTAAGCGACTTGACTTCTCCATTCACAAGTTCAATCTTCACTAATCAATAAGCAAACTTACCTTCTTCATATTATTCTCTGTCTTTTATTGGATGAGTTTCTAGACCTTTGATGATTATTTCATGTACAGGTACATAATCAAAGAATTTAGCCATCTCATAATTTATTACAGAAAAAAAATAAATTTTTAAATCTCATTTGCCCTGCTTACGTAAACTGGGTGAACGAGCTCTTGGAGAAAGAGGAGGTGAAATTTTGGGTTCATCCATAGCAAACCCTGACTTCTTCATTATTCTCAAAATTTGAACAGGACTCTTGGGACTCAGAAGAGTGCTTCTTCTGGGGGATTATTCGACAACCAAAAAACCCTTTCTCAAAAAGCTTTAGTAATTTGGATTTAAATACGGCTGCTTGTGCATAGCTTATATTTAATATATAGTGTATTCATACCACAATACAATGCCGCATTATAAACAGTTAAGGTGTCTTAGTAATTCAAGTATGAAGGTTCCTCCTCCTATTCAGTCTTCTTGCTCACTTTTATTTTGGGCAGCCAATCCTACTTTGAAATATTTGTGAAAAGATCATAAAATACAGTGAATTAAGGAGATCTAAAGTAAATTAAATACTTTAACCTTTTTACAACGTGAAAATAAATATGTGTTAACAGAGTCTCTAATTTGACATGTAATGGCAAACTATATCTTGAAGATGAAGTAGCCTCAGTGATTTCCCCCACAGGACCTGGACTTATATATTCTGCTAATCTTGCTAATGCTTCATAGAATTCTAATTAACTCATTCTAAGATGACGATCCTAAGTTAATTCATCTGCTTATGACATCATTGAAAAGTTATAAATAATGACTATCAATTTCTCATTAATGTAATCCATTAAGCCAATTTACTTACAAAAATCTTTGAACTCTTTGATTGCTACCCATTTCATTTTGAAATACCATTTTCGATTATTCAAGTCAGTAACATAATCATAAAGCTTCTTTAAGAAAGGAGTTTTGAATTAGATTAAACATTCACATTCCTTATTCCAATACCTCTCATCTCTCCATTTTTAACAAGTATCAAAGTTTTTGAAATGCTCTTTGAATTCTTTGATTAGTCTATAAACAGCATCAGCATGATTCTTAACAATATTGGTTCTTACATATTTATCGTTTGCCAAACGGAAAAACATTTCTAAAAATTGAAATCTTATAAGGGCCTTTTCAGGATTATATAAATATTTTGGATCAATATTATTCTTAATAGACGCTAAGTCAATTTCCACATCCTATAACTTAACTGACTCATTATCTATTATTCCAATTTGTTATATCATTTTAATATATGATTGGAATGAAATTGAAAAGCATTCTGATTAGAAATATCCATTGCTAGAATAGAACTTATAAATGTCCTTAATTAATTGATAATTCTCTCTTAAATACTCTTTTAACTTCATTTATTCATAATCATTTTTTACAAATCTATTAATCTTACTGCAATTCCAATCAAATTAAAAACAATCATTTAAGATCTCTTCATTGTCTTATTAAAATTACTATTTGAATAAGGATTCTTCGATGTTCCATTAATGATAATTGAGTTGTTTTCTCTTTAAATTGTTACCCATTCTCCTTAAAACATACTTCTTTTCAGAAGAACGTGGAAACAATCTGATAAGAGGCTTGTAATTGTTTTTATCATCAATAATAAATTCTTATTTTGTGTATAACTGATTTACAAAAGCAATCTTTTTAAATTTCAAAACAGTTCCATCAGAAAAATAATGAAATTGATGTTTAGGATCTTTACCTTGTAATGTTAGATTATCTTAGGGTGATGGTATATTATCCTAAGAAGGTTCTATAAAATACTATTCGATCAGAGGATTCGAAAAGAAATACAATATTCTCTGTTTAGGAGGACACATTTAATATGTAGAGTAACAAAACTTCTACAATTCATCCAGTATTTCTTTTGATAAAATGCTACTTTTTCTCTCTTAAACTTTAGAGACATTTAAAGTTGTAGGGCTATTTTATTATTTTTATTGAACATCCTTTTTTTATAATTGTTCCTTCTATTACTCAATTAGTTAAGCTTTGAGTTCAGAACTTGAAGTCATTGGAATTGGTTTATAACTAAAATAAGGATTAAGTGTACTTCAAGAAATCTAAATGAAGAAAGATTGGAGTGTCTGGTTATTCAACATCTGGGGTGTATTGAAAACGATGTTCTACCCACCCTTAACAGATCCAGCAACAGTTTTAGGTAGTTATTCTAGTAGATTCAGGTATGTAATTGACACCATCAATTTAGTATTTTATCTAACTGAACTCTTCATTTATTTATTAAAATTAAATGAATCCGTATGGATCAATAAATCCTTCAAATTTATTACCTTCTAAATGGATTCCATAGAGTGAGTTGTTTTTTAATAGTGCGTCGTTAAGTTAACGTATTTATTTCTCAGATAATTAGTTGTAGGATATATCCAAATGAACTAAACTTAGTTAGGTATTTAATAGTGCTTAACACCAAAATGAAATACAATTTGATTTTTCATTTGATCCTATTCGATTGTAACTTAAATCTAATACTTTCAATACTCGATTGACCAACAAAGCCTTGGCTATAAATATCCCAGTTGTGGAACCCAATTAATTCCAATTTATTACTAATACTTCTAATCCAGACGATTTGATTAGTAAATCGTATAGGGATTGTCCAATGCCATCAGAGAGATTATTTTCTGAAATGATCAATTTACTAAGTAGGGCATTCTTATGCAGATTCTTAAAAAAGGTATTAGCCCCGTGATCGCCTATGAAATTGTTGGCAATATTAAGAATCTTGAGACTTTTAATAACAAATTCCATTACTTTTGAAATCGACTCAGATGTTCAGCTAAGATATGAGCTCCTTTAGCTCCAAGCTAATTGTCCTTCAGATTCAAGTCCTTCATGATTGGTGGGAAATATTAGACCAAACTCAAAAATAGTTTATCGTTAATCTTATTCCCTTGGAAGATGAGTTATTTGACATTCTATTGCTTTTACAACAGAATCTTAATGAGAGGGTAATACTTCTCTCCAACTCCTAAATTTGTCAAATTTATCAATTTATCTTCTTTTAAATGAGAAGCATCATCAATTCTTTTTGGAAACAAACTATCATTTTTACAATAAAAATGACCTGGATTTGTGAAATTCTATTCTAGATCTCCGAAATTCTCTGCTATATCTCTAAGTTTTTCCTTCTTTTTAATGAAACCAAAGAATGATTCATCTGCATTCAATTTATTATTGATTGACAACATAGCTTGCTTGATAGCCGAAATGTCAAGATGCACTTCTTACTAGGAATCAGGAGATTTGGGAGCAGAATCACTTTCTAAATTAATAGATTCTTCTTCCTTTATAACGATCTTTGGTTTTTAGAAAACCTTCGGCATGACCTTCTTTAGATTGCAACTACGCTTCGTTGCTTTTTTAGGAATTATTATTTCAACTAAATCACCTTAATACTCAGTAAGCATCTAATTTTACTCGTTGCGGTTCTCAGCCCTTCTTGAAAATGTCCTAGTTGATACACTTCTCTCAGGCAAAAAGAAGGTCTTCAACTTATCAAGGCGTGATTATGAACGATCAGTTAGTTTTGGGAGAGGAGAATGAGTCTTGCCTTTAAAATAATACATTTATTTTATCATTATAAGAATTAGGTATTATTTGTCGATTGCTTTGTCTTTTTATTAATTTTATAGCACATATGTACTTCTTTTATCATTTATAGTATCTCAAACTCAGTAAATTCACAAATTTGTAAAGCATTTTCAAAACTTCAAAAACATAGTAGGTTCCAAAGAATTATTAATTCAAAACAGTTTAAATTTAGGTCAATTTTTTAAATCAATTATATAGCATTTAATGGATGAGGCTGTAGATGATGTTGATAATATAAATATGTATTCATTTTTCTATTTTATTTTATTTCATCATTATGCAGGGATAGATTTTATAAATCAAGTTAAAGATTTGTGAATTACAGATGTGTACAAAGATGATTGTCCTGACTTCATTTGAATATCCTTCTTTTGTTATTTGTTCTTCATGCAATTCATGTAGATATTTTTATATAAATTTATTTCATCAAAAGAAACCATTAAAGTAAATATTTAAAATATCAATTATTAGTTAGCAATAAAGTATTGATGTTTCATTTATTAGTAATTTGTAATTAAAGATCATGATTTAATTTTGTTAACCAGCAGCAAATGTCAGCTCCATAATATTTAATTTATCAAATATATATAAACATTAAGCTAAATTATATTTATTACTAAAATATTACTTATATTAGTTATTTAAAATAATCAAAAAATTTGTCCTCTTTATTAAATTGCACTACATTATAAGCTGTTAGCCATCAAATATAGCATCCAAATTAGTTTGTTTATAAATTAATCTTTATAGAATATAAATTGAAATTCTAATAAATAGTGGTCACCTCAATATTCAATATTATAAACAATTTCATCTGTTATGCATTAATTTAAGCTTCTTTGGCATAATTAATTTAGAAATTGAGATGATAAATTATATGATTTAGCTTTATTATTTAAGGCATAAGAGTCAATTCTTAATTTCAACAAAAGATACATGAGAGATGATTGGCTTAATTGAAACTTAATATTCTTATCTCAGTTTATAGTCACTATCATAATTGTCCTTCAATATAATCCATATACTGTTTTTGGAATACAAAAATAAATTTACTACTTATTAGAATCATAAAATTAAGAAACCCAGATTAATTTTGATTTATTGCCATTAAATATTCAAAGGTTAAAGCCACTCTAGTAATTATTACTTGTTAAATCAAGGAATATTACATTTAATCTTAAATAAATATCTATGAATGAATACTTCAGTAGATAGGAGTGTCCAGTAATTAACAAACAAAATACATTATTCATCTCATTAAATGTATAAAAGTGAGAATTTTTATATTAAGGTGTAGATGTTTCTTTAGCACAATTAAACCTCATTGCAAATGAAAGTTTATATACATTATTTTTAGTCATTTTATTTAATGGGAACTGTGAAAACCAAAAAGAATAGTACTTCAAAATCTTTCTTTTAGATATTTTATAAGATAGTAAAATATCATCTCATCCAAATTTAAATGATTTTCTACATAACATAAAGATGATTAACTATTTTATCTACAAACAAATATTATTTAAATTTAATAATTTATTCAAAATCTTGATTAATATAATAAGCTAACAGCCGTTGTAGCTTATTTTGATAGATGAGCCATAGATGATGGTAGGAGTGGTTAGATTCTTTGTCTCTTCATTTCTAACATGGCAGATGATTCATTCTTAAATTAATCCAAGACACAATTTCTATCTCCTTATAGTAACTGATCGTGTTGCATTAACCAATAAGTGTAAATATTGGGATCTTTAAGAGTAGCACTAAAATAATAAGTTTAGATGTATTACTCCTTCCATTTTTCAGTGTCTCTTGTCAATGTTATTTCAATTTCATAGACATCTCCTAATTGTTTCATCAACTCTACTAATTTCTCATCAATTGTTTTGAAATTAATGCAATCACACAATAACATCATTGTGCATGATAGCCGTTTCTTTCTGTAGAGCCAAAAGTTACCTATCTGAAACTCTTTATCAAGTTTAGCTCTCTGCCAAAGTTCAAAACTATTCAGATGACTTTTAATGATCAAATTTTATTCATTCAACAGTGCATTCTTTAAGACTTACTCACCTATGAATTGTTGGATATTGTATTCAAAAATATGCAATAACTCAGTCAAAAGAGCAATTCCATATTTAAATTCTATTTCACCATCAGGAAAATCAATGTGTTATTGATTCAATACATAATTGAGATAGTTCCTTGTCTTCTCATAATCAATTATTAATAAATTATAACTCAACAAATTGATCAAAATAGAAATCACTTTTAATTTAACAGTTAACCCTTTTTTAGGTAAACTCTCCGATTCCTCTTCTATTTTAACTTTATTTATAATCTTAAATAGATGTTAGAACCATGTATGGCTTTTTGACCCAAATAGTTTAATTGAGATTTCTGATTTACTCAAAAAATCAACATCAATCCTTTTGTTTGAATGACAATCAAAAACAACATGCAATTCCACTTTCTCCTAAGACCCTTCCAATTAAAATTAAGCAGAAAAAGTACACAAAGATTGATTTTTCTTCCCCTTAACCTTCCCTATTTCTTAAAACAAATGATATGCTTTCAAAAACTCTTTGGCAGTCTCCTTTCTAAAACTTCCTCTATTCTTCATGAATAATACAGCATCCTCAACTTGGTGTTCAGGCACTCCCACTGAAATAGCTATATTCTTAGCATGTAAGGACATGTGTCCTTTTTGAATGCCTTCCACAGTCAATGCTCTCAAAGCTGCAAAGTTTTAGGCCAATCCAACACATGCCATAATCTCAGCTAACCTTTAAGAATCAGGATACTCCAAAATCTATAAGACTGCTTAATACAAAGGGTTTTAAGAGATAACTCCCCCTTGAGTTCCCACAGATATAGGAATAGTTAGTTCTCCTATAAACTCATTTCCCTCGATCCAGTATTTTGATAGTGGCTTATATTTACCATTTAAACAAGCATATCCATGCAATGAGGCATTCACTGCTCTACCATCTTAGCCAGTAGCATTACAAACTGCTTCAATACCATTTAAAATTCCTTTATTATGAGTAACTGCTCTAAAGTAATCTAATTCAGCAAATTTATATGCATTCAAAATCATTGAGGCAACTTATTACCCTGTATAATTCTTATAACTCATTTTTTCAATGTTCAATCTAAATAACGAAGTGACTTTTCTGTTCAAACACAAATTTGTCAAAATCTTGATTCCCACTTGATGTCCTGTAATTTCTTCAACCAAAGGAGCCAAGTGTTCCAAAACTGTATTAACTATATTGGCTCCCATACTATCGCAGACATTAATAAAAATATCCACCGAAGCTTGACCTTCTCCTAATTATCTTAGTTTAACATCCTCAATGCCACCTCCTCTTTTAACCATATTTGCACATGCTTAATTACCTCTGTTTATTATTGATACTTTATTTGAATCAATCAGACATTCAGCCTTTGAATAGTTTTCAACATTTAACAATTATATTTAGCCCATCATAACTGGTCTAGTTGAATAAGTTTCAAATCCATTTCCACATTCTGCAATAGTTTTGGCTGCTGCACTAGCTGCTGCTATAACAGAGGGTTCTTCTATAGCCATTGGAATAATATAATATTGACCATTTATTAGAAAATTTAATCCCAATCCTAGAGGCATTCCAATTTTTCCAATGCAGTTTTCCACCATTAAATTTGCATTTTACAATGACAAACCTCCATCTTTGAAATGTTCAACATTTACATTTTAAATTTTGTTCAATTGATCTAATCTTTATTGTAATGTCTTTTTGTAAAAACCTGCCCATAATTATGCATACTCTAATTTTTAATCTTTATCATCAATTTCTTAAACGATCTATTATCTAATTTAGCCAATTCTCTATTGAGCTGCTCTATTATCCATATATATTAAAAATTTATTTATTTTATATTATCATTCACAATCGATCAAAATTAAAAGTATTGTATATTCTTTTTCCCTAATTAATCATCTATATTGCTGCATCCTTGACAAAACTTGAAAAAGTGTATTTCTTTAAATATTCATAAATATTCCAAAATTTATTGCTTCTTTTTCTTTAACTTTTGATCCATAATTTAATTTGAGCTTCAATTTAATATTATGGCATGTAATACTATGACTTTAATGAAATTGAATCAATATTTAGAGAAGGTTTCAGACTCTTTTGCAGTGTTGTCTCAATCTCTTCTATCATGTTGTATTGCTTAGGAATTAGAATTTCATCATTTGACAATACTATCCTACGTTATGATTATTTAGATTCCTGGACAACTGGTATTACCTTAAGATGGGACAATTCTAATTAAAGGATAAATTACTTCTCTGTCCTTTCCCTTAAAGATTCTAACTTATTCTTCTCTAGTTTTATCTTAAACAATGTTAATCTGGAATTATATCTTTTTCACTTAATATATACTGTGATGATGGAAATTGTTATTCAGAAACTACAGATTTATCATTTTGTAATTCATGATGAGATGTTAAATCTTCAATCAATTGATTATCTTCTTGATATAGTTTCAATGACTATTCTATCATTTGATTTTAGGCTAAAGAATTGTGTTTCGATTTTCTCCTGGATCTATATCTGCTTAAGTTGAACTCAGCATTAAATGCCTCCTTTTTTAATAAGCGTTCTAAATCAGGTTTAAATTGAATTAATGGACAATCGATTTCCTGATGAACATATCTGTTACAGAAACTGCATTTGTGATCAAATAACACAAAGTTCTGTTTATAAATCATCTTGTCTTTTATATGATGAAAGATCTCCAAATCCTTTTGATTCTGTCTGATGATATCTAAGAATTTCTTTCTACTTATTCTATATAGCTAACTAGCTCCTTAACTGACTGCTGTTTCCTTGGGGGCAAATCCAGTGAAAAAGGAATAGTAACCTAAATATTATGAGGTTTTTAGGTTCCTCAATTTGAGTTCAGTCTGCATTTCTATTTGATTCACATCTCCTTGTTGAATGAAGTAACTAAATTCATTAATGTGAATAAATACAGATTATCTTCATGAATATCTCCCTACTTATATATGATGTCTCCAGGCAGAAATGAAATCAACTCAAGGTTTTTTGCCACTTGTTGTTAAGTATATTTCGAGAAATGGTTGATTATTAGCTTCATTTTTCTGAGAACCCTAGTTTAAATATCACTGTTTAAATCCTTCTACAAGTTATTTGGCAATAAACCAATAATATTGTCTATTTCGCTTTGATTTTCTACGTTATCCGAAGTCGAATGGATTCTTATGTAATTTCTGATTCTGCCCTGAATGTTCTCATCCACTTGATTCTTATGCATATATTGGGTTATCTAGATCAAGTTCTTTCTGATTTATTTAATAATTGTTACTTATATGTTTGTTTGGCATCATACAGGTTTTTCAAAATAATTCCAATTGAACTCATAGTATAAGCAAAAGCATAACTAGAGAAAAACATGATGACTGATGAAATAATCATCTCAACTTAATTCGAAGCTGATATGTCACCATATCCAACAGTTGTCATAGTCATGGTTGCCCAATAAAACGATGCATTGTATTGATGCCAAGATGAGTATTCTGTTAAGTTGTGTTCAATCAACCATGATGTTCCCAAATACTTGGTTTTGTCTCCAGCATAATGCCATACACAGGCTATGATATGGGCGAAATAGTATATTTAAATGATTAATTAAATTAGATCTAAAATAGCATTCTAACCTCCTTTCATATAGAAGTATTGAAAATATTCCGCAAGATATCTTTGGATATTCTAATAGATCAATAGAATTTCTAGTATTATTGTAATTTCCAGAATGACTGTGAATATCAAATCGTGTTTCAGGCAAAACCAAATAAATAGTCTCAGGAAATCCACAAATGCATTCGATTTCAAGTACTCTTTTATTATTGTCATTCTGTTGGTAATTAAAATAGCAGAGACAAATATTCCCCTGTTGAATTGAACCAAGAAATCGATAATTTGAAAAATTAAGATGATTTATTAAATAGTAGATATGATATCGTTTTGATAATTGTTAAATGAACCTATAAAGGGAGTTAACCATAGCATTAACAGATTGTTTAGAAACCCAAAAATATCCCAAATAATAATTGCGTTTGTGGAAGGTAAAAATATTGGAATCCACGATACAGTGTCTTAAACTATCACTAATCATAAATTTATCTTACCATTTTCTTTTTTCTGGGAAGCCGAAGATTTTTCGAATAGTTAATCAGTGATTTTTTATTTCTGTTAATTTCTTAAGATATATGAGTTTGTAAAGATATTGTTGACGAATCGATGAACGTGCAACTACAATTTAAAATTCTGAATAAAATTTGATTATTTTTATGGTTGAAGAGTCTTTAGAGTTCTTAGTGGGTGTTGTCCTTTCCTCCTAAATTCAGACTTCAATAACTACAGTAATTACTTTACTTTCGAAACGTGACATGTTCATCTCAAAGCTCTTGTTTTCATTCATTTCCCTCAAACTTTCCTACTAAATTTCCTCTTCCAACATTATCTAGGATGAAGATTCCTATTTCGAAGTGAGTTATAAAGTTAGAGAGTTTGGACCAATTCTTTACAATCTTAATTGTTATTCCATTTATCAAATTTTAATTCTTTACAAATTATACAGTATTTTTTTATGTAAAGAATTTGATCGCTTTAATATTACATGATAGATAAGTTAAATATAATAATATAAAATCATTGTTCATCTATTAAATTTTATGTGAATTTAAGTGGTACATCCAACATTGACGAATCAAAAATTAATTCAAATCTATTTTCGAATGAGTCATATATGAATTTTTTTTAAGTATAAAATTAAGGAGGAGGATAAAGAGGGTCTAACACTAGTTTAAACAGATCCTCAATTAATTAAGGTATCAACTTAGTTAAAAGAGGACCTGAACATTCCAAACAAGGATTTGTGTTGGTCTCGATCAGCCAGACTTTAAATTTGTCATCAATCATAAAGTCTAATCCAAACAATTCAAAACTGTTCTCCTTTCTTTTGGGATCCAACTTTCCATACGTGGCTTTGAATTGGTGCAAGGCTATATTCCTCATTTGACTATAAATTGTTTGATAAAAGTCAATTGGCAAGAAGTTATTAAACTCCTCAAATGAAACCTTGTTTCCTTTTTCAAATCTACCATAATCCTCCGAATACTTTTAGACAGCATCATTAGTTAGATGAATCAACTTATTTGATAAATTCATCAAACTGAACTCCTAACTTGAAGTTCTGATATACCCATCCTTGTACCAATAGCCTTTGTGTTATCCATTGACTGAAGTAAACAAGATGTAACATCTAATATCAAACTTCCGCTGATTATATAATAAGGGGTTTTCAATATATTTTTAAACTATAAAGGTTTTCTAAGCCCCATTCTTGTGATGATGGATGCTCCTCAAATACTGTTATACTTCATTGATCGTCTAAAAGATATGAATGCCATGACCTCTATTAGTAAGTTCGGCTGGTTTAACAATCCAAATAGATTAATTTTGATTTTATTGAACAAAATTCTGGAGATCCTCTTTGTTTTTGATATGATAAGTTTGAGGTAAGAAATCAAAAACATTCAATCCCTACTGTTCATAATACTTTTTCATATTGTAAAAGAGATTCTTCTTACTACCTAAATGAGTATTATTTTAAATGTGATTATGCAATTTAGTATTGCCATTCACTTCAAAAAGTCTCAAGGACTAAGAAACCTTCTATGCTTGATCGTAGGATATGATTTTAGAATTCTTCCCTGTCTTTTTTCTCAACTTTTAAATTTACAGACCTAATTGATTTGGCAGTAAGTCTTAATATTAAATGTCTTAGATGATTATGTTTTGTTCATCATTATTGTATTGTTATTAAAAGATCTCTTGATTTGATTCAGGAATCGAATCAATATAAGAGTTATTCCTCAATTGTTGCCAGAGGAAGTTCACTTACTCTTTATCCTTATCAACAATGGACCACCACCATCTTCTTTTTAAAATCCATTATACTAATTGCCCATTATTGCCCTTCCCTACATATGCTTTATAAGAGTTGATGGTAGGTTGGACATATAAATTATTAGATAGATTGATTGCATTGTAATAGGTTCTCAAATTGGCATAATTAAGTTGAAATTAGGGATCCTGAGAGTATCTTTCGTCTTCAAAATAAATTCCATTAAATTTTTATTTTACAATTTTCTTCTTCAAAGCTTTCAAAGGAAAGATGTCTGGTTGATATGAAATTTTCGGTTTTATAATCTTTTTTGGCATTTGATGCAGGGTGTTGCCAACTAGCACACACTTTTCATCTTATTCCTTTTGTATTTTTTTTTCCTTGATTTTAAAATAAATTAAGGGAGGAAGCAGAGATTCACTCGATGAGTCAGATATTAATTCAGTTTTATTAGAATTTTTAGTGCTTGAGACTACTAATCCATAACAGGAAGGAGGATATTCAAACTCAAACTTGGGCAACTTCATTTCTCTAGGTCCAATAAAATAATGATCTGAACTAGGACTGTGAGACGTAAAACTTTTTTTCATTGTTTTTTTAAAGTTAAAAAATATTACTAAATAATATATTAATCTTATTATGGGCAACTTATCTAAATGAATATATCTGAATAATAACAATGTCTCATTTTATTTACAATATAACACCTATTAAATTTAAACTCCATTACCGATCAATTAAATATGTTTATTATTTCTAGAATTAGAAATTTACGGAAAAACAAAATTTAATATTTTACTAATTCTTAAGATTATGTAGATTCAAAGAAAATTCTAGAAATGAATTAAAATGCGAACACAAGCGAAAAGAACATGATAATAAAAAAATAATATCTAAATGGCTAAACCCTAAGGAGCTGGATCTATTTGGAACCCCAACAGTTGGCATTGGGAAGAAAAGAATTACACCACAATTGCCAGACAATTAATTGAATAGAAAATTAAGGCACTCAAAATTGAATCTGGAGACATCACATTGACCAACATAGAACTCAAATCAATCAGTGGAGACGTACTTGATCCGTTATGACTTTAGGCATAAGTTAACATAAGAAAAGGAAAATAAGTACTAGTCTACGATTTTGATATTGAAGTGGAATGGAGAGGTAATTTAATTAAACTAGATTTGAAGGCTCCAATGAAAGTGATGAAGCAGAAGGAACTTATAAGATCAAAGATTTAAATTCCTTAGATAATGATTTTGAAGTGATTCATATCAACAGCAGATCCAAAACTAAAATCTCAGACAAATGCAAGGATATTGTCAAGAGAGATATGCACATGAAGTTAAAAGAATCATTCAAAACTTTGATGTAAGAAATAGGCCAATTTGAATCAGACCCTGAAAAATTGTATAAATTTTAAATTATATTTTTAGAAAGAAAGATCAAGAAGCCAGGAAACATGCTGAGGAGTAAATAAAATTAGCCAAAGAATAGAATGGAGAATTGAAGGAACGCATATTTTAAGAATAAAAACTTAAAGAAATGAAGATGAAATAAGAATTTACATAAGTTTCCTCGTAATGATTAAAAAGTATTAAATTATATAATAGTTTAATCATTTCCATCTTTATTTAACAGATGAATGTTTGTCTTAATAAACATGTTTTTTTGCTGGTTTAATTGACATTCCTCTAATATGAGATCTACTTGAACAAGCACTAAAACTGTAGTTGTTTATTCTTTTTTCTTTTTTTGTTATAAACTCTACTTCAATATTCTCCTTATTGTGACTTTTATGATTAGTTTATGGTGAATTATTGGCTGTATGTTTACTTTATTTCTTTTCTTTATCATATTTTTAATTTTCGGATGGGCGCTCTTTATAATTGTAACTTAATTAAGATTGCTTTAATTCTTCATTAAAATCTAGTTTTATTCTATCAGCCTATAAAATTGCACTTTCTTAAAACTTTAATGTTTTTTATGAATGGAACATAAGTACTTCATCTAATCTAGATATAATTTAATCTTCATTAATTCTTTATTTCGGATCCTCCTTAAGCATATCAATCACTACATTTTTTAACAATTCTAAATATCTTATTATATTTACATGAATATATGCCTGTATTTATTTTATTGATATATTTCTGGAGATTTGAAGATTGAAAAGATGTCGTATCATAGATATTAAAATCGAAAGGTGTCAATTTTGTCATTATAAATAAGCATACCATTCCTAAACTAAATATTTATGCCGTAATATTGGATTTGCATCTGCCAGATAATACTTCTGGAGCCAAATAATAATCTTGATGTTTGATATTTCCTTATCTAATTCTTTGTATGTCACTCTTTTATAAAAACAATTCTGGGTCTAACATAATATATTCAGGTAACAAGATCTCCTTAGGATGTATTTAAACTTTATTTTGATTCATGTTTGAAAGAATTTATTTGATGGTGCAAACTATTTATGTCTCTTTAAGTGTGAATTCTTGAGTCAATACAAATTGATGGAGTGTTATTTGATTGTATGAGAAAAATGCTTTGATTTCATTTGGAGATCCACAGAATGTAATTTTATCAACTTCCTCAAAGGATTTTAAAATGGGAATTGATGTTAAAGATTGCAAAAAGACATCCTTTGCACTAATATCATATTGTAGTCTTTTTTGACAGAGATTGTCTCTCTCAATTATTTAGCCATAATTATAATCAAGCTTGCTCTGATCAGCGCCCATTGATTTAACGAATAAATGCAATAAAATTATTAGTATAAAATAGTTGATAATCAAAACTTATTACTTTATAAAGGAATTCAATTTTTCCATTTGGTATAGGAACTCTTTGGCAAAAGTATAGACTTATTTACGATTTGGTTTAAGAGTTAGAAACTGTCAAATCGTGAATAAGAGATCTTGAGTTAATCCGTTCTCTTTTGAATAGAATCTTAATCTGCTTCAGAGATTTTACATCTCTCCTTGTTGTCACTTTTTCCTTCTCCTAAGTTTTGATTCAGGTCCAGCAACAAAAGAGTTCTCTGCTTGACTAAATTCCCTCCAATATCCAATTTCAAGCCAAAAAGTAATTACCAAATGAGCCTTTCTCAAACTTAAATTCTCCTTCAAATGCTTCCCTATCAAGCAATATTTCTACGCATTATTTATAATCCAAATTGTTATTCCAACTCCCTTCATATCTTGCTATAACCGAATTAAATAAGAACACCTTAACCATTAACCTTATGAAATTATTATTTATACAATACGATTTATAATCCATTATGAATATTCCATTTGGATGACATTATTTCTCTTTTCAGTTCACCATATCTTTGTTCCAAAATTGCTAAAATTTTGATCCTATACTTCAAAATCTGAATACTTTTCAGAATTTCCAGTCCCCCATCCTTTTTCCTATATATAAATTTCACTATCTTAGAATAAACCTACATTTCTAAAGCATCTATCATCAGAAGAACCACTTCCGTTTTTTAATATTTCTACTCAAAGTATAGAAATATAGCATTTATTTGTTGATCTAGACTTACTGAATTTTGACAAGTGTATTATCGAGAACTATTTTAAAATATTGTTAACTTTAGTATTTCACATTTGCATTTACATATAATAATACTTTTGTCTAATCATCCAACTTCTTAAAGGTGCTTGTATGTTTATAATACATTTCAATAGTTTAATTTATTAGTGTTCTATTTAATATTCCTTTCTGTTCATTCTCAATCTTTTATTACTTTCAATTAGAATATGATCAAAACTAACGGTTTGCGCTCATGTACAATTGGATAACCTTTATAGCGGATAAATAATTTAATAAATATAATGCTTCTTAATACAGAATTTTATCTTTATTTTCCAGAGGGTATATTGTACCATTAGCTTAGGACATGAGATTTTGATAAAGTTTAAGAAGTATGAAATTAGAAAGTTCTTTGATGGTTAAATTCAATTTACTTAAAATGAATTGCAATCAATCTAATAATTCAAGCAAAAATATTAAGTTTAAAAGGAGGATTCCTTTATATTACGAATGCTATATGCAACTAAATTTAAGTTTGATAAATGCTTAGAAGCTATTAAAACTTATGATGAGTGGAAATAAAACATGGATCCTAAAGTAAATCCAATGTCATAAGAATTATTGGTATCATTAGAATTCATTCTCTAGAAACAAGGAGTGATATATATGCATGGAAGAGATAATAGATATCGACCAATTATTGTCGTAAATGCCAGAAAAGTTGCAGGAGTTAAAGAAATCGATGTCCTACTATAATCAATGACAATATTTCTTGATTACGTATTAACAAATTGCATGCTTCCCGGTTAAATTGAGAATTGGTAATTCATATCAATAATTAGGATTGTTATTATGGATTTAGGTGGACTGGGTATTATGGGGTTGCCAAAATAAGATCTTTATCGAATCATGAATTATTTATCCAGTAATTATAGATCTAGAATGCATAAATGCTATGTTATTAATTGCCTCAAAGCACTTAGTATCACTTGGACAATGATTAAAAACTTTCTAGAAGATATAACTGTAATTAACAAGCTCATACTTTAGGTTAATAAAATTCATTTCGAGAACTGTCCACTTCCATTACTGTAATATACAAATCCTCAACAATTGGAAAAGAAATATGGAGGAGTCGCCAATGATAAATAGGATAACTTTTGGTAGTCCATATCACTATTTATAGGCCTCCATAAGAAATAAGTCCAAATTATCAAATCGCAATAGACAACATCAAATTGATAGATCAGCTCACATATGTTGAACTATATAAATCTGGTAAACTAGCTAAGAATAGAATTTGCCAAGAATTAATCAAGCAATAGGACCTGTAATAAAATAATCAACAAATCAAATTAGCACAAAAGTCTGAAGATGACTTTCAATCTTGCGAAGAAGATAATGATTTATGAAATTACAAACTATTCTTCTTTGCAATTATTTATTTATGAAATGATCTATCTAATTTTAGAATGCCATTAGGTAAATAATTGAAATGTTCTCCAAGGTCTTAGAACTTTATTTGAAAATTGTTTCCTTGATTGTATTTTTATAAGAAAAAATTATTTTTATTATAATTTATCACAATATATTTTTAAGATAGTTTAGGATTTTGAATGCTAGGGAATACAAATGATTTTGCTTTATCTTCAAATAGTACTTACATTGCTTCTATCTGAATTATCTATTTTTATAAATAAAGGTTATTATGATTTATATATTTACATTTTATGATTAGATCAAACTTATAATTATTTATGGATTTTGGATAATTTTTATTAGGAAAAGTACGAATTTATAATGGATAATTCCCTTTAAAATTTAGAAAATGTTATGTAAAGTCTTAAAAGTACAGAAAATCATGTGGAAGCCTAAAGCTTATAAAACAGATTAAAAGGAAATCTTATTATGGATAAATGATTAAAACTATCAATAGACAATATTACTTTGTTCGTGAAAAAACAATAAGAATTACTAAAAAGATATAACCTCAGAACTATCTGCATAATGTTGTATAAGAGTAAGGATTGAAGATAAATTTTAGATAGTTAAATAGAGTAAGAGTTATAATAATAATAGACAAATATAAAGATTTTACATTATAATCTAAAACTTTACTATAGTAGATAAATTTATTTATTATCTTGTTAATAATTAAGTACCTGAAATCAATTAATATTATAATATAAAGTACATTCTTCTTTAAGAAATATTGAAAACCATCAATTTAATATTACTTACATTTCAGTGAGATTATTTTTAAACTTTAGTTTAGTGATTTGTTAATGATTCATTATTTTATTATGCTCTAAGATGTGTTGATTTAATTTCTCGAAGAAAACAACAGCATTTGTGGAGCAATTAGTGATTAATTGGCAAATAGAAATCAAAACTTTGTGAACCATCATCAGAACATGGAGAAAAGCAAAGGATTATAGCTTAATTGATTGGGACTTAACTAACAATAATGATGTGGCTGTTAGTATTGATTCATTTATGTAATATATTTATTCTAGTTCATCTATCCGTTTTAATTAATTATAAATAATTATGAAATTAATAATCTTGATTCTTATATGCACTACTGTTTTTGGTGCGATATTTGAATAAGGATATGTGTCATCGAGTGCAATTCCAGCCCATAAAATATACAGACAAGTATTCGATTATTGATTAAGCAAGGATATAAAATTTAATAATAATTTTGCAGAAATTCCAAAAATCGTTTTGAGTGTGATTGGTTACAACTCTAACTATAATACTTTAGACTTCTTTTCAAGAGTAACTGACATTACAAATGAGGGTATTATACTTGTATTATGAATAAAGGTTTTTAATTGTAAGTTATAAGCGATTCTGAAATCAATGAAATTAGATTTAACTATTTAGCAACAGAACATAAGGATGTTTAAACGATATGCAATAATATAGAAGTTTAAAAGGATTCAATAGACATCAAATTTAATACTGCATATGAAGAATAACCATAAGTAGCAGCCTTTTTGACAGGCATTCACCGAAAAAACTAAGATGATATCATCTTGGAGATAAAATCAATTGACAAGAACTAAGTCCATTTAACTACACAATCCAAAGCAGAAAGCTCTCTTGGTTTATGCTTACTCATAGCACCTTCGGATGTATTTAGCAGAAAAGAATTACCAATAATGTAAATATCCCAAGGGTTACCAAACACTTGTTTTTATGGAATTTCTTCTCTATCTGGAGTAACAGATGACGGAATTTAGTTGAGTTTAAATTAACAACAAGTTGAAAACTCATTCGAAATTGGATTGACCTTGGTGGAAATCAATCCAAATTACATAACCAAATAAGAAGGAGAAGGTGATAATAATACAGTATCCTTCGATGATTTAGTCAATAAGCTTAGTCCAGAAGAGCAATAAGCAAATACTGATATTTTTGAGACAGGGAGCAAAACAAGTATTAATGGTATATAAATAACCTAAGAAGAACTAGATTCAGGATCTCAGATAAACTCTATTTCCTTCATCTATCCAGAATAATAGTAATAATTGTATATTGAAGATGAAGAGTAGAATCTTTCATCTGCTCAAGAGGATGGCTAAGAAATTATGACAATCAGCGAATCATGGTTGTAACATGACTTATCAGTTGTAGATTCATCTGAAGACTAATCTGAAGCCTCTCTTGATAGCACTTAGGCTTAAATCAATGAAGGATAACAATTTTTAACTAATTTAATTAAACCCCAAGATTACAACACTAACTCAATAGAATATGAAGACTTTTAATCATTTAATCGTTAACCTGAAAATATTGCTATTGTTGACAGTACTTAATCAATTATTGATGAAAACTATAGTAGAAATAATTAAGAGTTTGAATCTGAAAACTCTATTTCTATGGATTCCTCAGTGTCATATGATGTTGAAAACAAAATCGAGGACTAGATCGAGGAATAAATTGATTCTTCATAATAATAAACTGTTGTTGAAGATTTACAAGAATAGATTGTAGAAATGCAATAGGAAATGTAAAATTTGTAATAAAATTCTGAAACCAATCCATCATCTGAATTGGATCCATTCAAAATAATTGAACAACAACAATTCATTGTTGAATAATAAAAATAATTGGTTGAATAACAATAATAAATCATTCAATAATATTAAAGATTATTTGAAGAATAAGTTAAGATGTTATCTGATAAATAACCAAATAATGAATAGGGAGATTAAGAATTAGAAGTGGATATCTAAGAAAATTCGAAATAAGAGTAACTATAAAATAACCCAACTCAAAGTGAAAATGTTTAGCAAAATCAAGAAACTAATTAAGTTGAATCAAAATAAGAAGAATCTTAGAATGAAGAATAATTGTAATAAAATACTTAAGATCAAAAGTATGTACTGTAAGATATTCCAAAACTCAGTTTGGAAGATAAAAATGACTTAGAAAAAGACTTAGAATCATTTGACAGACTCAAATAGAGAAAAGATCAAATTGATGAATAAAAAGCTACTAAAATATTAAAAGAAATCACTCAAAACTTATAAAATGATGACAAATTAGAAGATAAATTTAATTAAATAGAGGATGGACTTAGTGATGTCTTATAAATTAAATAATCCAATGTTGCTGAATCTAATTAAAATAATGAGTTAACCAATACTGCTTCAAATAAGAGGGTTGAATTTAGCAATGTCTAAAATAAACTTCCAAGTAATTGAATTTTATTATTGTTCTTTAGCCTCAGAACTTAAGGATGTGAGTAATTAAGTTGAAAACATAAGTTTATAAGAAATCAGTGAAGCAATATTCCCATAAGAATATGAAATGGAATAGGCCTACTTTGATTGGACAATGAATTAAGGTTTCATTAAAAATAGAAATGATTAATCAAACAATTAAGAACTTGTCTAATAATCAGTTATGCCAAACTAATAAAGCCAAGAAGAATTGTAAAAGCAAATTGAAGAATTCTTAGAATTAGATAATAATGATTCACATCTGAGTGATCCACTTTTTGATGATTTTCATTCATTCTTTTCTGTTAATTAATAAGTTAAAAACAATTTAAGGAAGAGAAAAGTATTAAATGTTTGAATGATTTCATTATAATAAAAAAATATGATAAAACTATTTCTTTATTCAAAGTATTTTAGATTATTTAATAAAATTTTAAATCTATGTTACTTTAATGGCCTATTTATTATATTCTTTAAAATTGTAATTAATAGAATTTCTAAAAAATACCATTCCAATTTAAACATCCTTTTAATATATATAGAAAAACTGAGGCATTATTGAAACATATAATAGTGAATCAAGTATAGTGGTGATTTTATTCTCAAAAATTATTCCCTTATTGAATATTTGATAATATTTAATGTCGCCATCATAATATGAATATTTGTAAAATAAATACTCCATACTGCCTAAAAAATATGATCATTTTTTTCCTAGTTGTTGATAGCCATTAGAATTATGAATTTTGACAAATGCATCTTGGGTAGACACACCTTTTTTAATTGGTTCTCTACCAGAGTGATTGATACAATTAAAAGAATATTGCATAATAATATTTTGGACATAAAATAATAAATAATAGAATTTTCATTAATAAAGTAAAAATCAATGGAATTATAATTTAAGTACTTAATTATTCAAGTCTCTAAATTATTTTATTATAAAAATTCATTAAAAAAGTAATTAAAATTCTTAAACATAAATAAATTATTGAATGCAAAAACAGCTGAATTAATATTGATATATCATTTAGAATAAATTATTGAATTTGTAGTGATTTCATAATCTAAAATACGCCTCTACTTTGATCAGATTTATACGTTCAGTTATTTCATTTCCATTTCTATTATAGATTCGAAAGCTTGATATATATTAATTCGGAAATGTGAGTTTTAACACCTCTGAAGCAACAGTTGAATCGTATATGACTTACTCTTGATCATTATAAGATATATAAACGATGAGACTATAACGTCTGTTACCTCTATCCCACAACCACATAGTAAAAGTATTTAATTCATAAACTTATCTCAAGCTTATTATGATAGAATGATCAATATAACAGTAGGTAAAGCCAGTGCTTGTAGTCACCAAATAAATTTAATCCCTAAATAAGATTCCGTTTATCGGACCACCATCTAAGAAATTAGTTAATCTAGTTTCTAGAAAGGGCCCATTGGAATATGATAGAACATTCTAATAATTGCCACGTATGATTGATCTAATTTTGGATTTCTGACAACAGTTTCCTAAAATGATTAACAACAAGTTAAGGAAAAGTATTTTATTTAAAACTTAATTAGTATTTAGCATAAAAATTAAGAATTGATATCAACATAAACCAATTTGAATTTGCATTAATTAATAACTATTCTAATTTAATAGTAACAACATCTTGTATATCAATAAATTCATTTCTATGAATTAAATCATAAATGTTTTAAAGGAAATAAATCAGAAAATCTTAAAGTAATTTTAACAAACCCAAAATTAAAAGTAATATTAGTAATAGAATGGCAGAATTAGTTTAAAACATATTATTATTATTATCTAATTTAAATTGAAAACCAAGTTTTACAAAAACATAAAATTATTATTTAATTAATCATTTTTCTATTAAAAAAATGAATGTTAAAGTAGTTTCAACTTCGAGCATTGAGAGAGACTTCTCAATAAAAGGGACTAATTTTGGTGATCTAATAGATGAATTAGAGGGCAATTCAAAATTTTAGGACTATTAATTTATTTATAATGGAAATTTATTATCAAATATAGCAAAAGGCACAAAGCTTTAAAATATATGTTAAGACAATGGAGGATCAATATAAATCTAAGTATTATATAAGTCTATGAAAGAAAAAATAAATCGACAATCCATCCAAAATATAGCCCAATCCCACCTCCATCCCCATCCCAAAAACCATAGTCCCACTAGTGGATCAATCCCCCCCCCCATAGCCTTAACCAAATGATGTATGGACTACTATGGTTTAACCAACTGGAAACGAAATTCCTCCCCCTAATTCTAATAGCTAAATTCACCCAGTTATTCCACCTCAACCAAAACCAAATTTTGTCATTTCTGGCTCTACTATTGGTAATAGTGGTTTTTTACCTCCTAATCCTGTTCCTTCTAATTATAATCCCCAAAAAAACGTCCCACAACCTGCAGCATTTACACCACCATTCCTATAGCAACCTACTAAAATTCCAAATCAATTTCCTATTAATCAACCACCTATTATACAACCAACTATTATACAACCACCTTAATCGTTAAGAAAAGAAGTACCATATAGAGCTTAGATTAATGACGAGTAGAATATATATTAATTTTTAGATAAAAGATTATTAATGATTATAGAATTAAAATTACAGATAAAGGAAATAGAGTAGAGTTAATAAATGAGAAATATGATATGAAGGCGGTATTTTTAGAAGAAAATGCAAATGAAGTAATTTAAGTTAATATCTACTAGAAAATATAAACAGAAATAAAATCTTAATTAACAAAAGATCTCTATGCTTAAGATATAAAACTTGTTGTGAAATGTCTAGTTGGGGAATAAAATTAATCAACTAAAGTTATTTTTAAGAAAAATTTAGATGGTATAGCCATTTAATGGGCGACTGGTTTAATAACATTGTTTGATTTTGATTTGGCTATTTGAAATAATAAATCAAAATAAAAAAAATATTAAATTATTCATGTCATTTAAGACTTTACAATTATATCTTATATATAAATCTATATCAATGTTTTTATTAGAAATTCTATAACATGATTTTTATTATAAATTTAAAAACTAACATACACCTATATCACTACTATAATAATAAGTATGCAAGCAATATTGGAATTAATATCCACAAAATCTATACCAAAGGGCTTCTTGCAATGGATCTTTTATTCATTGTAAATACAAGCATAGGGTTTTAAGTCTTTCTAAATTTTTGAATGCTTTTGTTGATCAAAATTAATCTCTAGATACAATTATTTTAAGACAGAATATTGTTTTTTTAAGCTCTATCAATATTTAATAGACTAGGTAGTAAAAATGATAGCCTTTTTAATGATTTCCAATCTTTTTCAATTTAAAGATTTAAATACATTACTAATCCACTTTGATGTAAATATAATGATAATCCGCTTTAGCCATTAACTAATTATGAAATGAATGGAATTAAAATATCTTTAATTTGCTAAATTAAGGTTGATATTTAATAAGCAGTATCGTTGTCATTTAAATCTATATAGTCCTCTTGTAATATTTTGGCAGTAGCAATTGGAAGAAAATATTTAGTTTACCCATCATTATTCAATTAAAACTCTGTTGATTCTTTGTTTGATAGTTCAACAATATCCTCTGTCAATATTTATGCAGTTATTTATCCATCAATAATTTATACCAGCTACAATTGTGCCAAGTATCCAATCTAGGTATTAATGAATACTTACATCTTAATTTTGCTTAGATTAGAATGTTATAACAAATTTTTTAATGTTACTAAATATCTATTTAATTAATTCTTAATTTTTTGGGAAACTTTTGAATTGTCCCTTTTCCAACACAATTCTTTGATATTGATAAGGTGTAATAACTTCTTTTGTATACAGAATGATTAATTTTTCAGATTATTAATTATTTTCCTCTTTATTTTCCAATTGCTATTTCTAAGGATTATCAGCGATACTCAGATGCTTTTTCAATTCATTGACTGTAGACTTAATAAGTAAATTCTCTTTCAAATTCTTAATCTCTATTGTGATTGTACCTCTAAAATTAAGAAATTTAAAACCTGCATGTTGGGCAACGTGGAATCTATTTGACTGCGTTTAAGATGCATTCCTTACAAAATGTATGTCCACAAGGAATGGTTATTGGATTAGTTAAGAAAGTTAAGCACAAAGAGCATTCAAATTCTTATTAAAGGAATTTAGGTATAGGTGTTGTATCGATCATTTAAATTAATGTTTATAATATTTATGAATAATTCCAAATAAAAATAGTAACTATTAGAATCTAATATTAAATTAGGTTATTATAACAAATGTCTTTGTTTATGACATTATTGATTATTTTTATTAATATAATTATGAATATATCCAGGAATAAACCATCTTTGCTTTCAAAACCCTCCATGAATTACAGCTATCATTCAAACAATTCAAAAAATATCTTCGATAGTAATCATTTTATAGATATTTAGCAAGTGTTCCTCCAGATTTACATTAAAAATTTGGTCCTCAATTTAATGAAAAAGGATTAATGAAACATTCAATCATAGGAAAACCAGAATGGTTTCTTAAAGTTGCTAAATAAAGAGACGCTTAATTGAGGTTCATAAATGATGATGATTCTTTGCTTCATTAACGAAAAGCATTTCACAAATAAAGAAGTATGGAAAATTAATAATTAAAAGCTATTAATTAATATGATTCAATAAGTAATGTATCCTCATCTTTAAGAACTCGTAAATTTTCTGATTACAAAGAAAAAGCATCAGATAGCACTAATACATGCAACATTAATCCTATTAATTTTGATGTTGTGGAATAATTTAATCTTATCTAATAAATGAAGAAAATTGGAGATTAAATCAAAGTCAACACTAAATAATAAGAATAACTCATCAAAAATTTGAGTATTTAAAAAAAGTTGTAAGAAATGAAAAATTAGAATGCCATGAATCAATATCAAAAATATAACATATAATGGTAAGAATTTAACGAAAAGTTAAAAATTAAAATTGCATAAAGAGCAAAATAACCAACACTTCTTGATTAATAACAATGTAATTCTATATTCTATTGAGAGATTACACTACTAAAGTTGAAACTTTGAATATGCTATAATCTATATAAAATCAATTAACAGATGATGAAGAAGAATAAAAGAAGAAACTCAATCCTCTTGGAAACCTATTTATGAAATAACGAAAAATATTAAAACTTAAAACAGAACCTCAATCTATTAAAAACATGATCCATAATTTAATTGCAAGAGATAAGCTGTTTTATATGCCAAATTCTCAAAAGTTAAAAACAAGCATATTAAGCAATGAACCTATTGCACGAGATAGATGTAAGTCTGAGTTTGATGAATTGAATGTATAAACAATCATCTAATTAAGGTGTCTGGAGCAAGTGTGTATGAAAAAGAATTATAATCAATTAAATAAATGCCGGATAGACAAAATTAGCGATACAAGTTATTTAAACATAAACCAATTGAGAAGAGTTCTGATATATGAGCAAACTTTTTAATCATATTTTAATCAACTAATATTAAATTATTCACAAGAATAATAATATTATCAATATTGCCTTTAGTCTATTAAAAATAGCATTAAGTTACCATTACACTTATTTCTATGAAAATTGGCTAAAAATTTAAAGTTTGAAAATATACTCAGTAAATAATTTCCACTGATTATATTGGTCAAAGCTAATCGATGACCAAATTTGAATAATGTTAACATCTCATTGTACTTAAAATTAGGAAAAAATAATATTAAATTTAAATTTATTTTCTCATAAGTTTCCCTGTTTTCACATTGGTTTATTATAAATATTATTAATACAAATATGTTATTCTTTTCATTTTATTTTAATATTTAAATTATTAATAAGAGTAATTTTTCCTTTAATTAAATAAAATATAATTTATTGAATTATTTTTTAATATTGAAATCTTTTAATTTCTAAATTTTATACATCTTGATTCAATTAACAAGTCCCAATATTTTTAATTAATTAATATATATATTCTATATTAAATATATACTCTTTGTATTTGGACAATTTTTAATTAGTTTTTCAACCTTTTAATAGAAGAGATACTTAATTGAATGAAGATTTATATTTTTTAATCATTTATAGTTAATAAGGAGGGTATAAAATTGAGTGCTCAAACTTTTTATATTTTTCTTGGATCTTCGCTTTTTTACATGGTAGTTTCTAATTATACATTTGAATTCAATTAATTATATAACTATTCCAAATCAATTATTTAATAGCATTATGGACATTCAGGCGGTCTTTTTAGATAATTGGCAGCTCTTATTTCTGATTATAATCGTTTGCTTTAAACTTTATGTCCACATTAAGTTAAATATTCATCTTTTTATTCAACCTCTTGAATTATTAGTTTCGACTTTTATTATTACACTGTTTATTCTTTTTACGCTATTTCTTAAAATTATTTTTATTATTATTATTATTATTATTTTGATTTTGACTATTTTTTAATTTATTCCTCATCTAAATTTTGATCTAATCTATTATAATCAAATCCTTAGTTATCTTTTTAATTTAATTAAGTTGAATTAACATTTTATTGATATCCTACTTTTTATCCTCGTTTCTATCGTTCTGCTTTAGGTTAATCAGTTTCATTTCGATTAAGAAATGTTTATAATTATTCCTTCAACTTATTTATTTCATCATCTTTAGCAATAATTTGTTTATTTAAATCCTAAATCTCCTTAAATTAATTAAATCTATTATTTTTGAATATTTTCTCATTTTCTTATTATGTCTATATTTACTTTTTAAGATTAAGGTTTTCATTTGTTAAATTTATTATCTAATCTTTTTGCTAAGTACTCTATATATTCAAATCTTCTTAATTTATCTCTAGCTGGCTTCTTAGATTTTAGATCTCCTATTTTTATTCATCACACACTTTTTATAATTCTTCATTTTACTTTTTTAGTTTTTAATTTTCTTTTTCAAAGGTTTTAAATTTCGATTATAAAATTACATTTTATTTTTGTAACAGTTGGAAGTCATTCCATATATCACTGTCATTTTAATTTCCATTCATAGTCCCATCTTATAATTAAATCTAATTATCAGTTTAATATATGTTGGATTCGTTTTAGGAATAATCGTTTTAATGAGCATTGATAGTTTATTTTATTAATATATCCTCATATCTTTTAGTTTAAGAATTAAGTTAACTAATATACGTTCTATTATTGGTACTTTCTGCACCTAATTGAAAATTTATAGAGGATTGCTAAAAACTTTAGTTATTATTTATTCTTTTTTAATCGTATTAGCACTGAATATCTTCAATCTAGAAATAAATTGTTTTTAAGTTTTCTTCAGCTAGAATATTCCAGACATAGGTATTTAAATCACCATTAAACAAGTTGATCCTACTAGTGTACAAATATATTTTTTTATTTTATCCAAATCTATTTTTAAGGATAAGGATTAGGTCGAACATAGTAGTTGTGTTACAAATACTCTGACATATTTGAGCTTAATTGTCATCTAAACTAAGGTTGTGTAGACAGATAACAGTAGTTTTAGGATCTTTACTTTTAAAAAGCAGCATAAAACTTTATTTTAATAATTATTTTATATAATAGAAATCAATTATAACACACGACTTATTTTCTTTTTAAATATTCTATTGATCATTTAATTATATAAATTTCGTAACATCATTGTCTTAAAATGCAAATAAACATAAACATATCAAATAGAACCTAAAATAATGAATTTTATTTAATTTAATTTGAAATACATAAATTTCTTATTTGAATTTATGCTTAGATCAATATTCTATCTACATTAATTTGAGTATATTTATTATTAATTACATATATTAAAAATACTTGACATCAATTAATTATCCAAACTATATTATTGAAAGAAGTTCTCTAATTTTTATTGTAATCATTTTCTTTTTTATTTTGTGTGTTTTGATTAACTTAATAATTCCAATTAAAAAACTTTTAAAATTTGCAAGATCATTTTATCCATCCATATCAAATTTATTTGGAAATTTATTTTTATAAAGTATTTACAATCATCATTATCTAATTAATAAAGAATAAAATTTAATCTTTGTGCTTTTTATTTAACAATATAAAGTGTTAAATCTAATTAATTATAACAGCACTATCAATGATATTGATAAATTTATTTTTATAAGATGTCAGATGCATTTGGTAAAGTTTCAACATCTTTTTAACCTTATAACAGTTAGAAATAAGATGCTGTTTCAGTTGATGTATCTATGGATCCTTTTCGATTGCAGCGGCCTGTAATCCGAGTTTAAACTTCTTTCGAAAAAATCATGTAATATTAGTCTACTGATAAACCTTTTTCACCAATTCCACATTGTAACATATATTTTATCATTGGTGTAGAATTATAGTCTTCATATGATGGATAAGAGATGTGTTACTTAATGAATAGTCAGAACAAATACTCATTCAATAATTCATTAGACAGCAAAATTTGGTTTCAAAGGCCTTAAGAGATTTAAAATTCGTAATGCAAACAATCTACAAGTATTCAACCTCAATTTGCTTCACCTAGAGCATCTTAAGGAAATTAAAATGAAGTAGCACAGTAGAAATAAAATCAATTGAGATCATAAAAAAAGCATTTCTAAAAAGAATAGTTAAAATTTTTCAATGAAGACTCAGTCTAGAGTGAAGAAATAAATCGCAGTGAAGAAAGCAGCATAGAAATTAAACCGAAGAAATAAAAAAAAATCAAAAATAAGCGACAAAAGCATAATAGTGATAGTTCTGAATCATTTAGGATATGCAGAAAGAAGAAGATATCTAAGGTCAATGATACTAAAAACATTACTAAAAATTATTCAAAAGCTATCATTTCATATATTTTCAATAATCCTCAAGTTGTTTAATAACTAATGCAAAAACATCGATATGACGACTTAGTAAATTTCCTAAAAAACAAAAAAAATTCAATGACTAATATTAAATAATTAAGAGACTTATGGGTGGATGGAGGGAAAAATGCAGAATACAACAGAGTTTTTAGGATAATAAGGTATTTTTAGTTTGAATATTTTAGCTAATTATTTCTAAAGACTTAAGCAGTCTCCTATGTATACAACTCTAGAATCTCAAATACTTAGTGGCATCTGAAATACAGATATAATCTATTAAGAGCTTTGAAAGAACCTTAAAATTTCAAATTTATCAAAGATATTTGAATTATACAAGTTAATGTTATTTTCAAAAAGCATAATTATATAATTATTCTTCAATAATAATTAAATATATAAATCATAATCTTCTTATTAAGAGTCTAATGATATTTTTCCTATTATTAAATTTTTCATCCTAATTATTTTAACATTAATCTAACAAGTTACTCAAAATTATCTTCATTTTCAATTTAAATTATTCATCGGATTAAATAACATTTCTTATAAATTCTTATGATATGTTCATTATAAGAAACTCTGGAGATTCAATGTTATTTATTTATTGTATATCATATAATTTTAATCCAAATTTAAATTAGAGTTTAATCAATTCTTATTGAAAATATCCTCGATATTTTTCCAGTGTGAAATTACTTAAGAAATCTCTAAATAATTCGTCAAAGTAAGGATTATTGATGTTTTTGTTTATTTCATATTTTAATTATTTTAAAAAGTCTTAATCATAAAAGAACTTTTCAATAATGATATTTAAAGCATTCTGTCTTTCCTCCAATTGTAATAATTATTCACTGAATATTTTCTCTAATAAGGATTAATGGATGATCGAGGCTTTTTCTTCTAATTAGATGTTGTTGATGCAATTGAGAAAGTTCATAACTAAATTATAAAAGATCTATACTTTTTCTAAAATTGTTAGAAGAATTGATGATTCCTTTCATTTTATTATTGAAAATGTCTTAAAAATCCTCTTTGAATATATCACTATTAAGTTCTCTTAACATTTTTATGTTTTCTACAATTTCTTCAAAAAAGTATAAGATCTCTTATTCAAATTTGAAATCATCTGGAATTTCTTCAAGGATGGTCTTAATCAACTAAAATTTACTTTTCTAAAAAATAAATAATCCAAAAGAATACATATATTTCGTATTTTGATCTTGGTTAATTCTATCCTTAATTTTCAAAGTACAAATACACAAAATAAGTAAGATTTTTATCATATTTGAGTAAAGAATTGATAATATTTACATCTTCTGGTCTTATTACAATCTCTCCAAATAAGTATAAAAGATTATCATTATCTGAATCAATAGAGAATTTAAATTTTCTCAATATATTGGTCATATCCTATGGTGTAATTTTATAATCACAAAATTAAACATAAAGCATTACAAATGAAATCCAGTCCGCCTTAGATACTTCCAGAATAGAGTTCATATCTCCTTACAAGATTTTATTTATTGTATTTAAAATAGGATCATCGTATTATTTTAAGTTTTCTTTAACTCGTTTAAGACTTTCATCCTATTATGGTGTGTCATTTCTTGGAAAAAAATTGTGTTTTTTTATAGCCTCAAAAGTATTGCGGGATAAATTTTTTTCAAACTTTTAAATACTTTCAAGAACTTAACCATTCCTTAAGAAATCGAAGTTGGATTTTGAATTACCAACTTTTTGTAGTTATACCCATTACTTGAATCTATATCCCAAAAACTCATCATTGTTTTTCCAAATTTTGATTAACAACAATATTAAATAACGATCATTTTAACCATTCAGTCTGCAGGAAGCTATCATGTCATCTAAATATTATTCATCAAACTTATTTTCATGCTTTTATGCAACTTAGATCAGGTGAAGTAAACTTTAATTCATTATTTTTTAACAATAATTAAATTATGAAAGTTATCTTAATATATTTATATAAATATCATTCTGGTTCTATTATAAGAATGTATTCTGCTATTTTTATGACTCTCCTTCTACTTAATAGTACACTTTGAGATTAAACACCAGATTTGCTTAACCTCATCCAAGTCCTAATATTTCAATTGAGTATAATACCCACTAGAAGTTTTCTGGTCCTCAATACTCAATCCTTCACTAGTGAATTCTAACAATGCATGATCATATGCCATCGCTTAATCCCCAAAAGTTTAGGATCCTATCATTTTTGATTTTCCAATTGGCAAGGTGAATTAAACAGATCCCATCTATGAAGCCAATACAATATTGCATTCTTAAACAAATTAAATTTAATTTTACATTGACCACTCTTTTGGAGACTTTGTATAACTACTTCAGTTGCCCCCATTTAAATGATATAGCCTTGCATGATTTAAGTTTTAGTTTCTAAGAGAATAAATGTTCCTATCAAGCTTCCTCTATCTTACAAATAAAATTATTTTTCTTTAAAAGTGAGCTATAAGAATAATTATATAAAAGTACCCAAACATGAGTCCTACTCACAGATTCGTGGTTTAATTGAATATCATTTTCTGGATTTCTTCCAATAGTAGCATTCTTAGTTATTAACTTTTTTTAGGTAGGTATTCCTTCTTTCTTAATTTTAATATTTAATTAATGGTTTTGTGTCTTAGGTGATTAAATTTGAAATAATTATTGTGAATTATTTTAATGTAGTTCCTGATGGTCTTTCTTTTCTTGTTTATCAAATTTAGGAGTGCCAAATTAAGGTAAATGATAATCAGATTCTTGTAATTGTTGTTATTTCTATGGACTCATTATAATTGGCTTTTAAATTTATTGCTTCGACAATTCAGCAAATATATTCTAATTTACAAAATATTCTCACTTTTTTATTGCTTTATTACACTTATTTTGCTAAGTCTTCTTCGGTTATTTTCGATTGAGATTTTGGAGCAGGCAAGATAAATTATTGTTTTTGTCTTCCTCCAGGTGATGGAAGAGGTTCAATAGGGATCTATCCCAGTGTTGTTTTTTCCTCTATTTCAGCGTCATATTCATGTCTTGATTATAATATTCTATCTTGAATCACTTTCAAAGGTAGTCTATCTTGTTATGGAATTTCAACCCTTGGTGATGAAATTTATTGAACTTCCATAAATGTTTGAACCATTTTTGGAACAACATCATTTCTTGCATGAGATTTGCAATAATTTGTAAATTCTTTCAAACCAATTTGAATCCCTGTATTCAATTATTTATTATATTTACATTGCAAAAGTTTCTTTCTTTATAATGCAGAAGTGATACCTATGTCCAATAGATCTTGATCTGTTAATATCTCTAAACATGAACCATCAACGCATTCATTCACTATAATGTAATTTACATTCGTACCAAAATAAGTATCCAGTTAACTATATCCAATATATTTTAGCCAGACTAGCACCTCTTAGGTACTCCATTTTTTGGGTGGTTTTGGCAACAAACGAAATAAATCATCATAATCCATTGATCGTTAAATTACAAAAAATTGAATATTATAAATACATAACTTAAAAATTAACAAAAGTAATTAGGTATTATAAAATAAGTTTTCAGATAAGCAACTACTCTTCAAGAAGAAGTGTTACTTAATCAATCAAATTAGGATCTAATCTATTGTCTTTCACAAACTTCTCTGCCAATTTTCTTGGTTGATCTCCTTAATAAATTGCTATTTTTTTTGTTGTATTATTTTCAAGAGCAATATTAATATACATAATTGGTAATTAAATTAATTTGTTTATCTCTTCTTAATAAAGTTATTATTCAATATTCTTTCTTTTTTTCTAATAGCAAGTTCCTTAAGAAATAATGATTTGATTTAACTGTTTTTCTACTCTCCCCTTTACCATTCGTTTTATGGCTTCTCTTTGTTCTGGCAATGGAACTTAATCATTCATATATGACAGTTAAGATTTATTAAGGGTAGGTTAGAAAGTAGGAGTTTCTTCTTATTTTGGAGAGAGCACTTTCTTTGTATTCAAATGATATCTGGGACTAGTTTAAGTTGAGTTTATTTTTGGTGTAAAAGGGCATTGTTGTTTGATATTAGTATCAATTTCCTATTTCAATTACTCTTTCTTCTTTTAATAATAATGATCATAGTCATTTAAATTAATTGGCTTAGTTTCTGTTATTTACGATTATACTCTTTATCTATATTTATTGGCTAGTTCAGTAGTTTATGAATTAGATTTAAGTTGTAATTAATTAGATTCTTATTCTTAGATTTTTTTATTATGTTTTTTATAAGCTAAATAATTTAAATATAATTGATTAAACTACTTCGAAATTGATTCTTAATTCTAAATTATCACATTGCCATCTTCGAACTCGACTAAATCATTTTTACAATATTTAGGAAATTAAATATTGTAATTATTATTATATTTGGGTAGTAATTAGAAATCTACTTGAAATCCTTGCATAGCGAGCAAAAATGTTAATAAATTTCTCGATAATATGAGGTCTAATTCATATGGACATTATAATAATCTGAATATTTTGAAAACAACGTTATCTTGATTAGTGTGATCATATGTTTAATATGGTGCAAATCCAAGGTGATCTAAAGTTATTGCCAATTCATCTATGGTCAATAAACAAAGATCATTTTCTATTTCAAACTAAAAGTCAATTTTATTTAAGTTCTCATCTAAATGATTCAAAGTCCATATCCTAGCATTTGTAATGCTTTCATAAAATAGTTTAACAAAATGTCTAACCAAATGTTTTTCTGATCTCTAAGTTTAAGTAACAGTCTTAGGTGACAATATAAGAGTTTCCTAATAATTAAATTTAAACTTTTTAGGTTAGAAAGCTTCTTCATATAGCCTATTGCTAATGGCTTCCACTCTTTCAGGGGTATGTCTTTAAGATGTTCTTGTAGATTGAGGTTATACTTATAAGAATTGAGGTGCTTAACTGAGTCCTTTCTATTTTGAGAGTCTCTCCCAAACATTAGAGGGATTGTTCTCTTTATTACTTTTTCTGCTTGAAGGTTTTAATTCTTTATTTTAAGGATGTAATGTCTAAGTTTATAAGGATTTTGGTGACATGTACCTAGGAGAAGAGCCAAAATATGATCCAATTTACTTACTCTTACTACTAATTGAGGGTTGGAAAGAGCACTATTATAATTCTAACTATTAGTAATTCTCTTTTAATTATTCTTTCTTTTGTTACAGTTCATTGTATTCCTCATTTAATCTTAAATGGATATTTGTTCTCCATTTGAGATGTTTTTGTTCTGGCTTACCTGTTTCAGTTTTGCGTATAAATTCTTCATATAGATTTTGATTCTTATATAGCTAAGGTTTGAAGGATGATTGAGATTGAACTGTTTCCATTAGGTTCTGGTTGGTGTATAAGGGATAATGTATTTCATCGATTGATTAGTCTGTAAGTGGATTTATGGGTATATCGCCTTTAGGTAATTGCTTCATTGAATCGTTAATAATTTTATAATAGGAAATTTTTAATAATAAAAATGATTAATGATAACCTTAAATGAAAATTTACATAAAATGTAAGAAAAGACTAAAAAAATTATAGGAAATTTGAATAGAAATAAATATTAATCTGTATTTATATGTCAAACTATCTCGCAACCTTATGAATTTAGTATTTTTCTAGTAATTTCATTTTATTCATCAATATTTAATTCTAATTAAATAATATTTGAATAAAATTACTTTTGATATACTAGTAATAATTTGAGGTATATGTTTCTGGTGTATGTTTAGAATCCTCTTACCTGGAGACTCGGAACACTTTAGATATTAAAAAGAAAACTATCTTCTCACGAAATAGAATGGAAATTAAAGTAAATACACAACAAGTGGGCACCCCCGCATAAATTAACCATCCATAGCTCCAGAATAATTTAATAAACAGGTAGATTTTAATTGGGAAAAAGGACAGAGAGTATATTTTTAGCTAGTGTCTCATAAGTGAAATAGTGAATTTTTTATCGATTGAATATAGATGAGTTATACTATATCGATCAAAAAGGTATATGTAACAGTTGAATATAAAACTGATGATGGTTATCACTGGACAAACATAAACCAAACATAATCCAACAGTTAAACTGTACATTGCATTACAAACCCTACTTCTTTGAGGGAAGGTGGGAGGAGTCATCAAATTGTTAAGTTGCCCTTAAAAATACTCCTTGTAATTTTTTTGGATCCTTCTTCTTAGGAAAACAAATCCCATGTATCGAATGTGTACAGTGTGAAATACATGCTTAGTGATAATCTTATTTTATGTTAATGTCACCAAATCATACACAGCAGCCGACATAGTCTTGCCACTCCAAAGCTCAAATGTAAAGATATAAGGCAGAAATGTCACAAGGAAATAATTCACTACAATAAGAACATGCATGAAGCTCCTTTCCAGATGAGCAAATGTATTCTTTCGTGATTCTTTTTAGTTTATTATTACTACTAGAATGGCAACTGTGGTGATTATTGGAACTGCCACAGTGAAAATATTAGTTAATACTCTTTGAGCAACTGACAACCTACCATTATTCTTTTCGACCTTATATTCTGGATCATTCTTGTATAAATAAATGAATTCATAAGCAGTCATTAAGGCAGCACAAGCAATCAACATAGTTATTGCACTCTTCACTTTTGCTGCTATTCTTTCTGAGGATCTGAAACCTATATTATCCCAATACATGCCATTGATACGAAATGATTTTCTAACTGCTAGTTTATCAACAATTTTAGGGTTTGGGATCAAATTAAACTTAATTCTGAATTTATCAAACCAAGAAACTTAGAAATTCTATAATATTAATTAACTAATTTCTGGATCATTAAATCTAATAATAGCTTTGTGACTGAATTCTAAAGGTTCTAGCTTCAGTTTGCAAATTTCTTAATTATTCATAGGCATATTATTAATTTATAACCCTATTGCTTACTTATGAATGTTATCATTCACTTCAGACAGTTACTTCATCAAATCACTCAATCTCTAGGATAGAAAATCTTTCGAGTAGGTCTTGTAAACCTTAACTTCGGCATCTTTATGCGTAATTATCTCTTTTCCAAGTTCTAATTCTTTAATTTATTATGCTGTGATAACCAAGTCTAATAGACAATTTTATCTTTTCTATTATAGTTCCTTTATCTCATGAGTGTTATAAATATAAACAACCTCCTCAATTTAAGCAGTATCCAACAATCTATTTTATAATCAATAGAAGGATTACTTATGTTGAGAAGAGATGATCTGATTCCTATTCCTTTACATGCTCTCCTTAATGAGATTTAGAATTTCTTGTTACGTGAGCTTTGAACTCATTCCTCTAATGTAGATGGAACTAATAGTTTCATTCTGTTTGTTGTAAGGATCTCGATTCCAATACTTAAATTATCTTAGGTATTATTTGAATTCCTTACATATAAGTGATGAGAAGATCATAAAAGAATGGCAAATGCAAATTTATTAGAAATATTAAAAATGCTGATACTTAAAACCATTGGTAGTGCGAACCTTTCTCCTAATGCAAATATTCCTAAATTGTCACAATGTCAATAAAGCCATACGAATACTAGAATTCACAAGTTCTACACAAATCATTATTGTCAACATCACAATTTAATTGTGGATTTGAATTACAAATTCGATGAACCTCACTAATGAAAAATATTCCATAGATGCAAAACACTATTATGAATACTAAGAGTTAGAATTTAATTATAGTAAAGTAAAGGGGAGCTGCTAATCCATATTCATCAACAGTTGCTTCATACAAATCTCCAAATATCCAATTAAAGGGAGAGCGATGGAACTTTTTGCTAATCATTAATACACGATATTTACTTGCAGCATTCGCAAGACTCCTTTGTATAATGATCGAGTACATATTGATCAGGACAGAGATAATATGCTTGTCTATGTATTTCAGCTTATTCCAAATTTGGTGGATAATTGTAATAATCATATTCATTCAAATTTGTGGCATTTAAGATAGAATCACTAACTCGTTAAATTTCTTATTGCTATTCATTATTCTTAGACTGATCTACAAGTTGTCTCTCTTCACAATTAGATTCATCATTATTAGTTGCAATCTTTTGATTATGCATCTAATTAATAAAGTTAAACTTTTCTTTTAAATAAAATTCAGTTTCTAATTATAATCATTCCTAATCAATTTTTCTCACTGTTAAAATTATATTATAATCTATTATACATATTTAAGAGTTATCATATATTATGTAAACAAAAATATTTTTAACTTAAGATGGGTTCCTCGTGTTCTCATTGCAATTGCGAAAAAAAGAATATGGAAAAAGATGTACAATCATTTCAAATTGAAGAATGCATAACAATTCCAACATGCTAATCCAATCTAGAAAAAGTCTAAATGGTTAAGCATAAAAAGGCTATAATCATTTAAAAATATTGGAGAGGCTACCTTATTAGGCGAACAATTAAATAAGAAACAGCTACTATGCAATCTGTTTCTAAAACAATACCGAGCAGTCTTACTATTGATATTGATAGTTTAGAATGTGTGCATAGGCCACCTTACAAGTACGCTATCTCACTAAAAGAATTGTAGGTGGAGCTGTCTATACAGGTTAATGGAGAGGCAATTCCCGAGATGGATATGGCGTTTAAGTTTGGCCTGATGGAGCTCAGTATTAAGGAGAATGGAAAAAAAATAAAGCAAATGGTAATGGTAAATTTATTCATGCAAATGGTGATGTTTATGAAGGGGAATGGTAAGATGATATGGCTAATGGTTACGGAATATATTAGCATATTGAAGGTCCAAAATATTAAGGAAATTGGGTTAATGATAAATAGCNTGAACTCATTCCTCTAATGTAGATGGAACTAATAGTTTCATTCTGTTTGTTGTAAGGATCTCGATTCCAATACTTAAATTATCTTAGGTATTATTTGAATTCCTTACATATAAGTGATGAGAAGATCATAAAAGAATGGCAAATGCAAATTTATTAGAAATATTAAAAATGCTGATACTTAAAACCATTGGTAGTGCGAACCTTTCTCCTAATGCAAATATTCCTAAATTGTCACAATGTCAATAAAGCCATACGAATACTAGAATTCACAAGTTCTACACAAATCATTATTGTCAACATCACAATTTAATTGTGGATTTGAATTACAAATTCGATGAACCTCACTAATGAAAAATATTCCATAGATGCAAAACACTATTATGAATACTAAGAGTTAGAATTTAATTATAGTAAAGTAAAGGGGAGCTGCTAATCCATATTCATCAACAGTTGCTTCATACAAATCTCCAAATATCCAATTAAAGGGAGAGCGATGGAACTTTTTGCTAATCATTAATACACGATATTTACTTGCAGCATTCGCAAGACTCCTTTGTATAATGATCGAGTACATATTGATCAGGACAGAGATAATATGCTTGTCTATGTATTTCAGCTTATTCCAAATTTGGTGGATAATTGTAATAATCATATTCATTCAAATTTGTGGCATTTAAGATAGAATCACTAACTCGTTAAATTTCTTATTGCTATTCATTATTCTTAGACTGATCTACAAGTTGTCTCTCTTCACAATTAGATTCATCATTATTAGTTGCAATCTTTTGATTATGCATCTAATTAATAAAGTTAAACTTTTCTTTTAAATAAAATTCAGTTTCTAATTATAATCATTCCTAATCAATTTTTCTCACTGTTAAAATTATATTATAATCTATTATACATATTTAAGAGTTATCATATATTATGTAAACAAAAATATTTTTAACTTAAGATGGGTTCCTCGTGTTCTCATTGCAATTGCGAAAAAAAGAATATGGAAAAAGATGTACAATCATTTCAAATTGAAGAATGCATAACAATTCCAACATGCTAATCCAATCTAGAAAAAGTCTAAATGGTTAAGCATAAAAAGGCTATAATCATTTAAAAATATTGGAGAGGCTACCTTATTAGGCGAACAATTAAATAAGAAACAGCTACTATGCAATCTGTTTCTAAAACAATACCGAGCAGTCTTACTATTGATATTGATAGTTTAGAATGTGTGCATAGGCCACCTTACAAGTACGCTATCTCACTAAAAGAATTGTAGGTGGAGCTGTCTATACAGGTTAATGGAGAGGCAATTCCCGAGATGGATATGGCGTTTAAGTTTGGCCTGATGGAGCTCAGTATTAAGGAGAATGGAAAAAAAATAAAGCAAATGGTAATGGTAAATTTATTCATGCAAATGGTGATGTTTATGAAGGGGAATGGTAAGATGATATGGCTAATGGTTACGGAATATATTAGCATATTGAAGGTCCAAAATATTAAGGAAATTGGGTTAATGATAAATAGCAAGGATTTGGTATTGAATGTTGGCCTGATGGTTCTTTTTATGAAGGAGATTATTATAATTCCTTTAAGTAAGGGAAAGGAAAATACGTTTGGAGTACTGGGCAAATATATACAGGGGATTGGGTTTAAAATTAAATATCTGGATTTGGATGCATGATTTGGCCTGATGGTAGAAAGTATTAAGGAGAGTTTCATAATGGTACTATGCATGGGCGTGGACTATATACGTGGCCAGACGGAAGAAAATATGAAGGGTAGTATTTTAAGGACAAAAAACATGTATGCTATAAGGTAGATTTTAGGGTTATGGTGTATATGATTGGGGAGATGGAAGAAAATATGAAGGTGAATGGGAATTCGGAATATAGCATGGGAAAGGATGCATAAGCTTGAATGAATAAATTTTTAATGGTTATTGGAAAAAGGGAAGACGTATAAACTGAATTTACTCAAATTATATTATTAATTATATTNATGATCGAGTACATATTGATCAGGACAGAGATAATATGCTTGTCTATGTATTTCAGCTTATTCCAAATTTGGTGGATAATTGTAATAATCATATTCATTCAAATTTGTGGCATTTAAGATAGAATCACTAACTCGTTAAATTTCTTATTGCTATTCATTATTCTTAGACTGATCTACAAGTTGTCTCTCTTCACAATTAGATTCATCATTATTAGTTGCAATCTTTTGATTATGCATCTAATTAATAAAGTTAAACTTTTCTTTTAAATAAAATTCAGTTTCTAATTATAATCATTCCTAATCAATTTTTCTCACTGTTAAAATTATATTATAATCTATTATACATATTTAAGAGTTATCATATATTATGTAAACAAAAATATTTTTAACTTAAGATGGGTTCCTCGTGTTCTCATTGCAATTGCGAAAAAAAGAATATGGAAAAAGATGTACAATCATTTCAAATTGAAGAATGCATAACAATTCCAACATGCTAATCCAATCTAGAAAAAGTCTAAATGGTTAAGCATAAAAAGGCTATAATCATTTAAAAATATTGGAGAGGCTACCTTATTAGGCGAACAATTAAATAAGAAACAGCTACTATGCAATCTGTTTCTAAAACAATACCGAGCAGTCTTACTATTGATATTGATAGTTTAGAATGTGTGCATAGGCCACCTTACAAGTACGCTATCTCACTAAAAGAATTGTAGGTGGAGCTGTCTATACAGGTTAATGGAGAGGCAATTCCCGAGATGGATATGGCGTTTAAGTTTGGCCTGATGGAGCTCAGTATTAAGGAGAATGGAAAAAAAATAAAGCAAATGGTAATGGTAAATTTATTCATGCAAATGGTGATGTTTATGAAGGGGAATGGTAAGATGATATGGCTAATGGTTACGGAATATATTAGCATATTGAAGGTCCAAAATATTAAGGAAATTGGGTTAATGATAAATAGCAAGGATTTGGTATTGAATGTTGGCCTGATGGTTCTTTTTATGAAGGAGATTATTATAATTCCTTTAAGTAAGGGAAAGGAAAATACGTTTGGAGTACTGGGCAAATATATACAGGGGATTGGGTTTAAAATTAAATATCTGGATTTGGATGCATGATTTGGCCTGATGGTAGAAAGTATTAAGGAGAGTTTCATAATGGTACTATGCATGGGCGTGGACTATATACGTGGCCAGACGGAAGAAAATATGAAGGGTAGTATTTTAAGGACAAAAAACATGTATGCTATAAGGTAGATTTTAGGGTTATGGTGTATATGATTGGGGAGATGGAAGAAAATATGAAGGTGAATGGGAATTCGGAATATAGCATGGGAAAGGATGCATAAGCTTGAATGAATAAATTTTTAATGGTTATTGGAAAAAGGGAAGACGTATAAACTGAATTTACTCAAATTATATTATTAATTATATTACAAAAATATAATTGCTTCATGAAATATTAAAAGAATGCCCATCTTTTCGAAGATGGCACATATATCGAATTCAGTGTCAATAATAATAATAATACTAAAAAAACATTTATATACTAATAAATTCCAGACTCAGCTACAGCATAATTATTTGATATTAGTTCAGATTTTAATTAGCTTGATCAATTATCAGAATCTAGACTATCCCCTGAGATCAAATCATTTTAGGCTAGAAAGGAAGAGAGCATATTCTAGAAATTCTTAGATAAGATTCCAGTGTTTCACCCAACTTCAAAGGGTTTGATAGCATGGCAATTTATCATGGTCATCATAATTTTTTTATACTTTTTCTATATACCATTAAAAGTAATTGATGAGGTTTATTTAGATAGCCTTTACTGATGAATTGAATGGTCTTAATCCTAATTATAATGAGATGGTTAATACTTTTCTTATATTTTCGATTATTGTGTTGGGTTTTGATTTGTTGGTTTCATTTAATACTGGATTCACATAAAATGGGTAAGTAAATTTGGATAGAAAGCAGATTGTGAATAATTATATAATAATTGTATAAATTATTCTCTATCTTTTAGGAATTCGAATTGGATTTTATTGGAGTGCTGAGTTTAATCCTCTCATATATTTTTGATCTTGACTTTATTAGATTGTTATTTTATTTGAGAATTTATTACGTCATAAGGTTTGACAATAAAATTGATCATAAATTATTGCTCAAAAAAAGTATGATCTTCTAATCATTTTAAATTAGCCTTTAAAGGGATCTACCTACTTATAAAATTGATTATTGTGATGCTCTTCGTTGCCCATATAATGGCATGTATATTTTATGGAATTTCATATTCTGAATTAATGAAAGATGAAAACAACTAGATACCTTATATTGATACTTGGATTGTCTTTAATGGTTATGTGATAGACAATGAGTAGATCTTTTAAGCTTCTTTGGCTGACAGATACTTGGTATCATTTTATTGGGCCATCACTACAGTATCTACTAATGGTTATGGAGATATAACACCAAAGAATAACTCTGAAATAGGATGGACTCTCTTGACGATGAGTAAAATAGTGATAAATCTAATTAGTTATTGCTGGAATGGTGTTTGCATTTAATATATCATCGATTAGGGAAACTTTGATAGATTTGAATCAGGCTGAAATCATGGAGCATAATTTTGAGGCCATAATTAGTCGGTATATGAAAATGAAGAGAATCTCAATACGTACTTAAGAGAAGGTGATTGATTATTTTTAATATATATGGAAGGAGGAGAAAAATCGTAATAGAGAAGTAGAAGATATGCTTATATCAAAATTAGCACCGGAGTTAAAATTACAATTATAGTATGAGACTTATGTAAAATTTGTTAATTGCAGAATATTTTATATGATGTATTTTAGTGATGAATTCTTATACTAACTATCATAATATATGGAAGAACATACATATGGTCCTAAAGAAGAATTGTATTTTGAGGATAAGCAAGGAGATTAATATTTGATGTACCTTTAAAAAGGGGAAGTTCTCATAGTAAGAATATTTATTAAGATTTGAGTTTGTGGAAAGCTGCTATAATTCTGTTGATGTGAAGACTAGAATCGATTATATTGAATAAGGGTAATGCATAGGCTAGCAATCCTTTTTTATGAATGAGCGATTCCCATATAGAGCATAGACTCAAGAATGGTGTAATATTTATAGAGTTTCGAGATTGAAGTTTGTAGATGTTCTTAGAGAGCATCAAAAGGATTTTGAATTGTTCCATTTGGTTATATCCAAAAGATATAGCGATCCTTACGAATTCTATACAAAATTAGACCTTAAATGCTTTACTTGCATGTCAGAATCTCACTAAGCAGACACTTGCGATGTTACTCATTATTACAAGAGCAATTTGGTTTTCAAAATCAATGTAAAGGATGATAGGCTGAAAAGAGAGTAATTCGAAAGAAAACGTAAGAAACAATATAAATCTGTTTTGATTCAACACCAAATTAAACGTATTGCTTAAGATTGTATGATGAGAATGAAATCCACTAAATTGAGAAAATAGATAAACTCGGATAGTAGCTTTGAAGATTCAGAGGAGGAGGATTTCTACTAATAATAATAATATTAGAATGAGATAGGAGAGATAAGATAGATGTTGGGCAGCATTCTTAAGGAGTTAGGAGAGGATGTCAATTTGAATTAGAAGTAATAGGTTAAATTATTTATTCCGGAACGTAAATTTATATGAATAATGATGTAGGTCCTCAGTTTGATCCTTTTGAGAGATCATTTTGCATAGACGAAGTGAAGAACTATGAATATTTCTATCCAAAGTACAACTTGATTACTATAATAAATAAAATTTTTTGATTTATGAAATACCCTCTTTTGGATGATTAAAATTCATTGGAATTTAGCATTAGAGCAAGTACAATAAATAAATCTTCTATTTTGTATGATATTCCAGCAATTGCTTAACTTTAACTTTTTGATGTTAGTTAGGATTTTGATTCACTATTTGACAAATATCGCTGTTAGTAAATGTTCTCTAAGGAAATTAAAGTGTTCAAGGCAGAAACAAATAGGAGGTTTTACCCTAAAATATTAAATGCAATTCCTGTTTTTCATCCAGAATCAAGTGGTTTATTGATTTGGCAATTAATTGTAGTAATCATAATATTCACTTACCTATTTTACATTCCTTTTAAAGTATTTGTATATCGATATTTTAGATAGCTTTCACCGATCAGAAGGATGGTCTCAATCCGAATAACATTTTTGTTGTGAAATCCTATTTGATCTTTTCTATCATTATGCTAGGGGCTGACCTTTTGGTAAGCTTTAACACAGGTATAAAAAAATAAGGGGAAGTGATATTGGATCGTAGAGAGATTGCTTAAAAGTATGTGGTTTGGGTATTGCAGCAAGTTAATATAAATCTTAGGAATTCGAATTAGATTTGCTTGGAGTAATATCACTCATGTTGTCATTGATACTCTAAAACGATTATATTAGAATTCTTTTCTATTTAAGATCTTATTACGTAATAAGATTCAGTGAGAAGATTGATCATTCCTTACAATTGAGAAGCAGTAATTATACAAAAGTTATTGTAGATTGGAAGGCAGCTTACACAGTATTGAAATTGATAATCGTTGTTTTGTTTGTCAACCACCTAATGGCTTGTTTCTTTTTTGGCGTATCTTTCGAGGAATATCAGAGAGATGAAGAAGGAATATCGAGTATCCCAACTTGGATTGAATACAATGGATACCTCGAGAATGACTAAACTATTCAGTCCTTATCATATTGGTAAAGGTATGTAGTTTCCTTTTATTGGGCTACCACAACTGTTTCGACTGTTGGATATGGAGATATTACACCTAAGAATAGTTATGAAATTGGGATCACTCTCATTACTATGAGTAAATATTGAATTTTAAATTAGTTATTGCTGGAATGGTTTTTGCATTCAATGTAGCCTCAATTCGAGAAGTAATCGTCGATTTGAATTCTCAAGAAATCAGGTACAATAGTTATGAAGCAGTTATCAATCGTTATATGAAGATCAAAAACATTTCGGTGTCAACTCAAGCCAGAATTATCGATTATTATCAATATATATGGTAAGATGAGAAGAACAGGAACAGACCCATAGAATAATTCCTCATCTCTAGACTTGCTCCTGAGTTAAGATAACAATTGTAATATGAGACTCATATCAATTTTGTTAAATGCTAAATATTCTGGAATCTTGATTTCTCTGAAATGTTCATTCGTTCCCTTGTTTAATATATGCAAGAAGAGAGCTATGGACCTGGAGAAAATATTCACTTTAATCTCCTACATCCTCATTTGATGTTTCTATAGAATGGAGAAATTTTGATTGTACTTTACTTCTCAATTATTAGTATGTTGATACTGCTCATACTTTTATTAATATTAAGACTAAAATTGACTTGGTTAAATCTGGATAATGTCTGGGCCAATTATCCTTCTTTACAGAATAACGATTTCCTTACAAAGCAGAAACTTTAACCTGTTGTAATATGTATAAATTATCAAAATCTAATTTCTTGAATGAAATTATCAACTTCCCCAAAGATTTTGAAATTTATCATTCTATCATTTCCTAATAATACACTGATCAATCAAAACTTTTTAACCAATTAGATTTAAAATGTTTCACCTGTCAATCTGACAACCATTTAGCAGATTAATGTGAAGTGACTCACTATTATCCAAAATATATATTGGCTCACATTAAAGTCAAGGATGATCAATAGAAAAGAGAAGAATGTCAAAGGAAAAAACGTTCGCAATAAAATTCAGTATTCATATCCAAAAAAGTTTAACTCTCAATTTTTGATTATAATATTAGAATAAGAAAGTTAAAGCGAATTTTTATGAAATAATAAATCTAATTTGAAACGATAGAGGAAATAGAAGAAGAAGAAAACTAAGAATAATATTATGATGATATTGGCGAAATTAAAAATATGATCAGCTTAATCATGAATACAATTGGTATCAAACAATAGTAACCTTTCAAACCACATAATGTGTTCATTCCATAAAGTATAGTTTATATCCATAATAGAACCTAAATTTGATCCTTATGAAACTTCATTTGAAATAGATTTAGTTAAAAATTATGACCACTTTTATCCTAAATACAATCTAGACAATATTATCAAAAGGTTATTCTGATTTTTATTATTTCATTTTATTATAAAACTACATACTAACCCTATTGCATATTTTATTAATACTTATGTACTATTTAATAAAATTTATCATTTATTTTTTAAATTCAAAATAAATGTCAATTGCAGATTTTGCCGAGAAAATTTATGTCGAACTCGACAAGATGGGATTGCATTCATCAAGCATCAGAGTAGACATATCTGAAATTATTGATTTTGCTTTTAGAATGCAAGTATGCGATATTGTTCCTAAAAATTTAGTATGAGAAAGAAGATATTGAAACAAAGCTCTAAACAGAAATTGATAGACTGGTAATTCAATTATCATAAAAATAAAAATGTTTATTACATTAAACAAGTATTTAGTTAAATTTACAGAAGAATAGGTGATCTTTGATTTTGAGAAGATAGAACTCCTCCTTTATGAAAAAAATGAATACAAAATGTTGCATGATTGTATTGATTTCATTAAAGCATGCAAATTGAACATTTAAAAACGTAATATCCAGAATTGGGATTCAGAATAAAAATCAGATGATGGTACATCTTCTATGATAAAATATAGCATTTTTATGTTCAAATTCGTTAAACATGCAAAAAACTATTTAATTTGCTTAAGAGAATAAAAAATTACAGGAAATCATTTAAAATATCAATAAAAGCTCAATTTCATTAAGCCAAAAAGAACAATTAGTATACAACATTATTAAATCATAAACAAAAACTTTATCTCCTAAATAACATGTGATTCTAGATGTAATATATTAATACTATCCTAGGATGTTCTTAATATTAGTTATTAACCTAATAATAAAAAAGGAAATCTAAGCATCTTATCCAGCATTCAATTTCAAGATCAAATAAACACAAAATTAAACAAATTAGGAGACAAGATCTTACTTCTCACAAATGAAGGATTTAAAGATTGTGCTTCGCCAAAGTTTTAATTCTCTTCCCTTAGTCCTATAAAACCACTCTAAGAAATTAAAGACAAATCTATAAAATCACATAGATCTTCCTTAATTTTAGGTTCATTTTAAAATACAGAAAATAAATCATAATAACAATTTATTATCCCAAGAATTTAAATTGAAAAGCTTGAAGATTTGAAAGAAAAGGATGATACAGATTACAAAGAGATCAATAAAAAATATGGAAGCCTCAATTCTTAAGATAATAATAATAAATCAAACAATATGCACACCAATAAGAAGAAAAACCCTAAATAATTATCTTTATTCGAAAAACAATCCTTCTATGATCGAAGTACTTTTATTAATATCGGAACAAATAATCCCAGGAGCAAAGAAACTAAAGACACAGACAATAGAAGAAGTGATTCCTAAAAATCTAGAGAACGAAATCAAACATTTCATTGTGGATAGCCTTAATAAAGTAAATTTCTTAAAGAATTAATGCAAAAAGTTTATTCTAGAAATAATCCAATCAAAAAACCCTACAAAATCAGTGAATTTGAAAAAAAATAGTTGAGTCTTTTAAGTAAAATATAATTATATAAGTAGTTGGAAGGGCTAAAAAATAATAATCGTTACATAATTGAATAATAATTTTCATATTGGCTTATTTTCTTAAATTATTTTTTAACATATAAGAATAATGTCAAAATTTTAGTTATAGAATAATTCAAATTAAAAATGTATTTCTTATAAATAAAAAACCTAATGGTTTACATTCTAAGAGTTGGCCATAAAATTGCAAAATAAATATATATCTTCAAGAATATTCTAAAAATCTAAGGACTCACATAAATTTTTTGTCACATGCTCCTTTTTTGAAATACATTCTTTACTTTGACAAAAATAAAAATTTATAATTTTTATTCAATAATAAAAATTATAACATGATATAAAACCTAAATAAAGCAATTTACATAATTTATTGTCATGGTTCTATAAAAAAAACTTAAATATACTGAATAAATACCCAATCGCAATAAAATTAATTTAAAAATATAACGAAACTTGAATGAGATCACACAGTCCATAGATAACATCAGAACCTTACAAATGTTCTGTTAATTTTTTCACACCTCTTAGAGATAGACATATTTCTTAACCTTCCACAGGCAAGCATCTTTTTGAATGTTCTCCAAGTGAAGCATAATAAATAAAACATGGACTTATACCATAGCTTCAACAAAGATTATTGGAGAAACAAAAGTTATTTGGAACTTCTGGTAATTATTATCAGGGTTATGGGAAATTAAAAAAGGAAACTTTGAATAATTATAGTAGTGTCTTGTTTAAAAGTGGATATGAATAATAAGAGGAGATTAAAAGATTGAACAAAGAGAATGAAAGTTTGAAGGAGACTATAAAAAAATAAGAGGAGAAATTATCGCAATACTTGGAGATGGGAGATATTTTGGAAAAGAACCGATTGCTTTAAGAGTAAGTAGAGAGATTAGAAAAAGTAATATAGTAAGGAAATCAAAAAGAAAATAGCTAGAAATTAGAAAATGAATGACTAATTATATTTATTTATAATTTATTAACGAATATAAAGTTTGCTTGCTAATGAAACCTATAAAAATTACAAATAACGAAAATGTTAATCCGTTGCCTTAAAGATAAAAGATAAAAAGAATCAATGTATTAGAATTATTTTAGAATAGATTGCTTTAGAATTATTTGAGAATCCTGTATAGCTTAACATCTCCCCCTTGAGATTGAAAGTAGAAAATGATGCATAATAGTATCTAGAAGCAATCAGTGCTTTTTAAACAGTGGAATTATAAAATCCAATAGTAAACGAAAGAGCTAAAAGTGTTAGTAATTTATAGATTTTTATAATAATAGTGGAAGACAATGATTTTGGGGCGTGGTAAGAACAAAAATACATTCAACCCAATTCTAATTAATATCGATAATCTTATAAAAAATAATAAAAGAGCTGTTAGTTCAAGATTAGACAGCAATCACCAAAAATTTAATAATAAAATAAAATTACAAATAAGATTATCCAATATCCATTGACCGGTTATTTAGAAAGGGATTAAAACCAGTTATTTTCTAGAGATAAATATTTTAAAATTATCCAGAATTTGAATGGAGCAACTCATAGGAAAAAAACAAAGAAAATATTTCCAAGCAGCACTTAAACTAGCAGGGCTTAATCATCATTGTCATTTTAACTGTGAAAGTACTACTTATTATTTTTTGTTAATAAAGCATTATATATATATATACATTAATATAAAGTCAAGGGGAAACTGCTTGTTTTCTCTTAAACCATTGCAAGACTTCTTGATCATCATGAAATAATTTAATTGCCTTGAATTCATCGCAATCATCAAATTTAAACAATTCAAAGGCTTAATCAATTAAATATTGCTTTTAAATTTCTTTTATTTAATACTGAGAATATTCGAAGGTAAGCTGAGGAAATTATTGCTTCAACTAAGTTAGTAGCACTTCTGATTATTCATAAAATTAAAAATAGTCTTTCATTTCTTCTTTGCTAAAAAGAATCTTGATACATTATTCCTCCAATACCTTTGGTTTGATCTATAAAATAAATTTATTTTTTTACCATTTTCACCAATTCATATTTGTCATAATAAATTTGGATATCATAGTAGGACTAAATTAATTCTGCAACTTGAATCACAATTCTTTCCCAATGTTATTATTCCAATATGACTAATCTTGGCTAGAAATTGATTCTTCTTTCATTGGCGTATAAATTTTTGATGTCTAATATTTTTTTCCAAGACAAGTCAAGCACTGCTGTATTAAAGTACAATCGATTGGTCAATATTTTGGCTTTTAAGTCCTTATCAGAATCTAAATAACTTTTAACATAATCATCAACTATTTTCGAAATATGAAATTACATTGCTATTTTTATTCTTCAGGAGTCATCTCTTATTTAATTTCTTATTATTAAGTTTCTTCATTTGAAGTAAAAAGGCCTTTTGCAAATTGAGTTGTAGCATTTTTAATTGAAGAAAAGAACTTTTTCATTAAATTAATATTTTAATTAAACACACATATAAACATTAAAATTTATAGGACTAATAATTTTCATCTTGAGAAAAACAAAAGGAATTATATCTTAAATAAAAAATGTTGCCGATTCATAATTATCTATAAGTATTTACTTTTGACTTATTGTCTTCTTTGTATTAAAATAGAAAATCGAAAAATTTAAATTAGTTCAGAACATTGAAATTTCACCTACTGACTGACAAGATATAAGTATAATTCATTTTTTTCTTATTCTAGATAAAAGTCAATATAAAATTTAGATTGCATTCAGTAGATTTCTGCCAGAAGACTACCACAAAGATCTTACTATATTTGGTGTTTAAATTTAAAAGCATTCAGATTATTTATTTGATTGAAATGTCTCCACCATCAGTTCCGAAGTAAATTATGACTTCTTAACATAAAAAAGAACTTTTGTTGAAATTCGAAATAAGGAAGTTTTTTTAAGTGTGAATATAAGTGATAATAAATGTTATAATGAATTTAAATGAAGAAATCATTTTTGAACTGTTTTCTATCTCTTAAGATCATTTTAGCTTTATGTTTGTGGGATATTAAGACAATCTTCACAAGAACATTATTCTCCACAAATTTATCCCCGCTTAAAGCATTCACAATACTTTTTTTAACATCCAGTCGTTTTGCATTTACATCCATAACTAATTTATAGAGACAGCAATTCATTGACTGGAACCTTCTTATCCCGATGACATTTTTTATAAACATGATTTATAGCTTCATCTCTTAATTCAGAAAACTCCGTACAATTTTTACAGTCTTTACATTAGCATTCATCTAAGCACATTCTACCACTATGGAAGCAAGCACAATATCGCTTAAGACAGTTACTCTAAGAACAATTACACGGCTAGATTTCTATGTCTGGAACATTGTCTACTTTTCTTTTAAATTTATTTTAAACTTTTTCCTTTTTGTTTCTTTATTTCTCCTGAATTTGAATAGGATCAGGTTTTTATACTTGTTACTGAATGTTGTTCTATTTGATTTCTTCATCATCTTCTATTTTTATGGGTATTTCAAAGTTGAAAGTAGAGGGCTTGGGCGTACAATTTTAAAAACTAGATATATAAGGGAAAAAAGGATCGTTTTGCATCACAGGGTGGCAGACAAACCATGAATTCTAATGATCAGTTAGAGTCTGTTGTATACTCGAGTGAAAATGTTGACTAATTGGTGAAAGAGTATATGTTACTTATCGTGTTTTATGTAGAAAATAGGATAATATTAGATTCGATCTTAGTTCGGAATGGGAGGTAGAGAATAGGCTTATTGTTAAGCTGGGTACTCTTATTTTGGCTAGGGAGAAGATTATGAATTCATTTTGCAAACTAATTAAAATCAATAGACTATCGAAAAACTTGATACCTATAAATCAGAATTGAAACTAGAATAGAAATAGAAAGAAGATAAAAAATTCAAAATTTTAAATGTTATTTGTGCATTTATAAAAATATTCATAATTGCTCAATTCAATCTCTGTCAAACAATCTGTCCAAAAAGCTTTTTGGCTTATTCTATTATTTGGCTGGTTAATTGGGTCCCTAAAATTATAATAGTATTGTGAATTACTTATGTTTTATCCAAGGGTTTGGCTGTGACAGGTGCTCCAGGGAGTCTTGGTGAAACAGTTTAGCCTAATGGAAGAGTTGTAGTTGGAGCATAAACTGGTGGGCGAACAGTTTGTACTGGAATGGATTAGACCAAAGGTGATTAGACAATGGGTTATTAATAAACTTAGACTGGTTGGGGTTGAACAACTTGGACTGGTTGTTAAACGACTTAAACTGGTTATTAAACGACTTAAACAGGTTGTTAGACGACTGGTTAAGCTACAACTTATTAGACTTATTGGACTTATTAGTGGACAACTTATCTTTCAACTGGATAATATTCAACTCTTTCTTGATATCTGTCAACAGGGACGTATTCTAAATATGGAATAAATAATTACCTGTGTATTTTTCTTAGTATACTTATGGTACGTATTCGGTTTGGTATTCCACTGCATAATAATCTGTAACATATTTTTCTCTTGGCACTTAAATCCTTTATCTGACTTCCTCGTATTCAATGACTGTCTTTTCATATGGGACATATTCAATTCTGCTTTCTCCTTGGATTGGTTATGCTGCAACAACGGGTTGAGCAACGACTGGTTGGGCAACGACTGATTGTGTGACAATGGGTTGTTAGACGACTGGTTAAGCATAGACTGGTTATTGAACAACTGGTTGAGTATACACTGGTTATTGAACAACTGGTTAAGCATAGACTGGTTGTTGAACAACTGGTTGAGTATACACTGGTTGTTAAACAACTGGTGCTTAATAAAGGGGTTGTGAATATCTCAATGGGGATGAGGTAACAGGAGGTCCATAAGACACTGGAGCAGGAGCATATTATGGAGCGAATCCTGGTTGAAATGTTGGTTATTAATATGGGCCAGATTATGGAGCTGGATGTTGAGAGGGTGGAATATTGCTCATTTTTTTTTTGATAAATAAATTTATTTTGAGATTAAAAAAGATATAATTTTTATGAATAAAAATAAATAGCGTCACTTTTTATTTAATTATTAATTATCAATCCCGAAGAAATTTGTTTATTATATTTCCAAATCCTTATTTTGTGCCTTAAAATAACTCAAGTTTTAAAATGGAATCGCTGATCTTTATTTCATCATTATGATGTAGTTCAATCAAATTTGATTCAGCTTTCTATTCTGATTATTCTGTAGTTTATAAACTAATCCAAGTCCCGTTAGCAGAATCTCTATCTTAATATCCATCGTTTATTATCCATGCTGATAACCTAATTTATATAATCCCATTACTTTTGAGAATACTTAATTCGACACTACTTCCTCGATATCGTATTAGAACTGATCTTTATGTTATTTTCAGATCCTCTCCCTACGAAAAAATCATTAGTATCAGTCTAAGTCTTCCCTACAAATAAATTTATGCATCTATTAATATATACTCCATGACCCTGGAATTTCACAATTAAAATAGGGATCGAGTATTCTCTTAATTTTGTATAAAGATCTTTAATTGAAAGCCTCTTTATAGATTCAAGAGGCTCTAAAATGCTGATTTGATTTAATAAGTCGCTCAAATGAATTTCATGTTTTTGGGTTGATTTCAAGGAAGATAAGTGTTTGATTATACTATACCATTCATCGTCGATATCTTTTAGATTAGGATTCAAGTTGTGATTTAACAAGATATTAAAAAAAGTGTCACTTCCAATACTAAATTTATGACCCTCTTTAAGCACACAAGGTTCTTATCTAAAGATTCTCAAGTACGTACCACATATGCTCCCCAGGTCTTATATTTACACAATTTTAGGATTTCTATATTAATAGAAACATACTCTAAAAATTAGCTAATTTTATATTTAATTTAGGCTGGGAGTTTGATTAGTTCCAAGGTTTTAGCATAAATAGAATCTAGTACTTATTGTTTTCTGAAGTAATCATTGTAGATAATCTTACAATGGATTCGGGATATCACTCTATCTTCGGGTAAAACTATCCTGTTAGAATAAACAGTTGTTACTTATATCATTAGGTACAATATCCTAATTTTGGCGATATTATCGGCCAATTAGTATGTCAACAGAATTAGTATTTTTTTGGGAATCTATAAGGCTATGAGATAGTTCATTCCTATTTACCCAAATTCATTTATAAAATAATGATGGTGTGCGCTCATATTTCTAAGTTAACTAACTTTGATATGAGGTAGTTTTGGATCAAATTAATTGTTTTAAATTGGGTCCGTGCGCTTTTGAAGATAATTCTAAATGTTTTGCGGTTTTTCTCTAAATCTGTGAACACAAAAGTACCTTGGTGAGGGTCTATCCCTCATTAAGGATCTTGGCAAAGAAAAGTAAATTTAGTTATCTCCATCTTCAAACAAATCATCATTTCTTAAGGGAGGAATACCACCCATAAAAATGTTGATTTGATCGATTCCTTATTATAGAAAAGAAAAAATCTGTCTATTAATGGACAAGTCAACTTCAATTTGGTTGTCTTGAATCTCATTATCGAAATTGCTCATTAATTATATTAATAAAGTAGAAAAATATAATGTATTTTTAAGTTTAATTTAATTTTTTGCTGAGCTTAAAAACCTATTTGAATTTGTAAATTATAAGATGTTATTCTATCAAATCAGCTTCTTCTCATTCTTCTATCTCTTTTTGGAGGATCTTAAGCTTTACCAACACAATTATCATCTTAATATGTGTATAAATTGGGGAAAGGCTCTTTTTCTGTTGCTTTTCTATTTTCTTCAGTCAAATCATCAGCAAATTTCTAGCTTTGTATTATTAATGTACAGTCAAATGCTTTCTGGCTTAATTGGCAGCTGTTTCCTCTTTTTTCTGTCCACCCAAATTTGTTGTTGGTAAACAAGCATCTCCAGGTTTCATTGCTAAGTTATGTCCGACAACTGATTTAGTGTGTCTCAACTTATGGTGTCTAGCTTAGATAGCTATTACGAGGATCAAGAGCAGAACAATTTTTTTTAACATTATTATATTAAAAACGAAATTGGGTTCATATTCACTTAATTAATAAATTAATGCAACAACTATAAAATTGTCTGCTTGATAAAGACATGATTCTTCAAAGTGACGGTACTCTATATATCGGATCCTTTAATCAACAACACCTCGAGGGATATAGTTTAGTAATCAATCCTGATGGATGTAATATTCACCTAAATAATTAGCATACTATTATGGATTCTTCAAGAGATCCAAACCTAAAGATGTAGGTGTTTATAAACTGAAGAACTCTTGTCTAAAGTTATTCTGGGGAGATGATGATACGATCAAGAATGTTGAAAACATTGAAAACATTGGCTTCATGCAAAAAATTATTCCATTTAAGAATAATTGTTACGGCAATAAATTACTCATCAGAATCAATCCATTAAGTTATGGAGTGGCTAAGAACCAAAAGTATGATGGATTCACAGTTATGCATTATAAAAATGGCGATATTTACTATGGAAACGTTTATAAAGGAAAATAGAATGGAGAAGGCATTCATTATAATAATTACTTATAAGAATGGTATTGGAATAAATATACTCATGGAAAATTGATGTCACATCAACTTTATGGCAAAAATCTTGTACCAAGAGAATTGATTAGTAAAGATTTAATGATTATTTAGGCAAACTCTTTAATAAAGTTAATTTTAAACCCTCCTAAATTACCATGGTCTCTCTTTCCAATATCCAATAATTGATAATAAATTAATTGCTACTCAACAGTGAGTAAAATCATCTATCCTTGGCATCAACTGTTCAAAGTGCTCACCCTGCTCATCGAGAGAATCTCTCATAAATTTTGATAGATGAAGATGATATCAACAATGCAGATGAGTTGGAGATTTTGCAGGATTCCTAGATTGTATCAAATGATTAAGATCTTCAAATTTACAACCAAAATGATTAGTAAGATGAACTAGAAGCTAAATTATCAAAATGCTAAACAGAAAAAGCCCTATTAAGAATTGAGAAGTAGCGATAAAATAAATTTTTAACATAGCCTTCTCAATCAAAATCTCCTAAAAATATTAGGTAATAAAATACTACTTTAACTACAATGTAATCGGCCCCAAAAATAACCATATATAAGAGATCTGTTTCACCAGTTTTTACTACTATTCGTCACTTGTTTTCAGTAATCAGAATTTGATGATATATATTAAAAATATTTAATTAAATAATGGCTCAAGCTGATAGAAAAGCAGTTGTGAAAAATGCTGATATGTCTGAAGAAATGTAACAAGATGCCATCGATTGTGCAAATCAAGCATTAGAGAAATTCAATATCGAGAAAGATATTGCTGTAAACAAAATGTTAGATTGATTTAGGCATTCCTCAAGAAAGAATTTGACAAGAAATATAATCCAACTTGGCATTGTATTGTGGGTAGAAACTTCGGATCTTATGTTACACATGAAACCAAGCATTTCATCTATTTCTATATGGGATAGGTAGCAATTCTTTTGTTCAAGAGCGGATGAGATATAAAAATTTAAATTATTATGGAAGATAATTAATGTTTAGCTTCTCTCTTTGCTGACCTCCTATAAATTGTCAAGCCTTAATCAGCTGACATATAACAGTTTAAAGAAGTCTCTAATGAAAGATTAAGAAAATGTATTCTTGAATTAGTTCGAGAACTCACAACTCTTGTGTAGAATCTGAAGGAACAGTTAGAAGAATTCATTGATAACAAATATGAGCAAGAGATCTAAAGACTTGAAAATACAATTCGATAACATATAAGAGTAGAATAATAATAAAGATTACATATAGAAGCACTCACGTAAAAACTGGAGGAGGAATAGCAGAAATATGAAACAGAAGTCAAAAATTAAAATGAAAAAATTAAGTAATTAGAAAATGTGTGTTCGTAAATATCAATAAATAAAGTCTAAAATCTCAATTAAACTAATTTTATTATAGATCCTAATAAGAAATCACCGACTGCCTTTGATAGGTTGAATTAATTGGTAAGTGCCAAAACCAAATAATCTACTCAATCAGCATCAATTATCAATTCTTAATAGTTATTAAAAATTTATTCAAATCCACAACAATTATTTAAAAAAATGCAAGATCACAAAACCATTGAATAAATGTAAATCAGAGTTGATACACAATAGTCTGATAAGGAATAGAGTTTATTGAAACTTCGAAGATGTGTTGAAGAAAACTAAAGTGGAATGTTTCAATCTTAGAGAATTGAATCCACTAGTTTGGAAAAGTATAACAGAAATTCAAAACTGATGAGAAATTCCACTAGACAGTCATAGGTCATGGGAAATAGTTTTGATCTTGTTTCAAAGACTATGCAACATTACAAGAAGTAGCAAAAAAGTACTGCCATTTTAAGATAATCATGGAAGAAATGATTATTATCTCCTTTTTAATTAAAATAATAAAATTATAACATGAGTCAATTTGTTTGCTCTTCTTGTTTACTTAATTTCCCAGAAGAACCAGTCTATAAGGAGCATTACAAAACAGATTTTCATAGATATAACATTGCTAGAAAAATGATTAACCTCGCTCCAGTCTCATTTGAAGCTTATAAGGAAAGTAATTAATCAAAACCAATTATTAGAATTTGACAAAATATCAGAGCAAAAGATCATAACCCCAATTCAATCTTAAACATTTAAATGTTGCAATAAAGAGTTTAAGTCAAGTAAGACTTATTAAGCTCATCTTGTTTCAAAAAGCCATTAATAAAATTAATTAAAATCTCCAATCACAACAAATAGAAGTTAAACAGGAAATTCCTTATTGAATAGTAATGTATGCTTATTTTGTGATGAATTATGTGATACCCTTGAAGATTGCTTAAAACATATGAGCATACATGGATTTTTCATTCGTGAATAAAAACACTGCATAAATATTGAAGGATTGCTAAAAGCCTTATCAGAACAAATAAATAAGAATAATACCTGTTTACATTGTTTCTAAACATTCAAAAACAGTCACGCGACAAAAGATCATATGCTAGACAAGGGACACTGTTTTATGCCTCAACAAGAATATAAGGTTTTATCAAAATATTACAATTTCGAAGAAAAACTATTAGGAATATTGGCAGAGTAAAAGGAATAACAATTATAAATTGAAGCAAAGAAACAACAATTGCAATTGAAATAAGAGTAAAAAGAAGAATAACAGGATAAGAAAGTTGAAAAGTAAGTTGAAGATGAAGGAGATTGGGAAGATGATGAAGATTTAGATTTGGATTCTGATGATGATGAAGAGGATTTGAAATTAAAATAGAAATAAACTGATGATTTACAAACTGATGAAGAACTAAGATAGAAGAGATTAAAATAATTATTAAAATAGATTAGTAAACATAAGGCTACATTGACCAAAACTGGAGAATTGTTATTACCAGATGGAAAATTGTAATAATATATCATTTATAATTAGATTGGGACATAGGGATTATAGAAAATATTATAAATAGAATCACATTCCTTTCAAAATTGGAGAGCCTGAAAAAGTGGAGTAATGTAAAATATCAATTTAATAATTTAGTGGATGTTGCTGATGAAAATCAATTAGCCTTGCTTAGTAATGATCTTATAGTTGGCCATTTGAGACATTTTTATTATTAAAAGACAAGAACATTAGCACACGGGCAAACAAAGATAGGTTAAAGAAACAACTTAATTCAAATGAGATGGTTAAGAAAGTCTTGTTGATTAGTGTAAGTATGTAATTTTAATCAAAATCATTTTTATTAAAATTTTCATTTAATATATGATAACAAAATTCATCACTTTCAAATTGGACTTATCAGAGTTTAATTCAATCCGATAAATAGTTTAGTTGACTAATGGCTATGCTATTTTAGGGGAATAATTTATTGAATAAAAATTAAGTATTAAACTTCACTTAATAGAATCGACGACAATTGCTTTAAACAATTAATTGTTGTTATATTTTGAAGTATAAAACGGATGCTGCAAATTTGAATAGCCATACTAGATTGGTTAAGGACTAGTAATTTTATCCAACATTGTTTCAAATGACAAATTTTTAGTTGCATTAATTTCAAGATAAGGATATAGAAGTCTAACTTAATTCAACCCAAAAGAACAAACAAACTCCTTTCTAATTCCTCATTATCCTTATTAACAGTATCATATTAGTAATTAGATATTAATTAGATTGTGAATCTACATTTAAACTTTTTTCTTTTAATGACCAAATTATATTAATAGAAATACACCAATCAGAATAATTATTAATTTTGGTAATTCTTAGTCATCCTAAAGCCTAACGGAAAGAAATGTAATGTAAAGCAGGGTAAAATATATAAATATCAAAAATACATAATACTAATGAAATACTGATAGTCGTGGATGAGGACTTCCACATTTTTAATGGATCTAATGAGATTATTAAATTGAATAAATAAATGCCTACTTAATTTAAGGTTAAATTTGTAATAGAAATTTAAGATTAACAAATTTTAATTTTGAAAGATAGAGTGGATAAG